CCCCCCTCTTCCTTCTCCCCATCGTCCTCAGCCACTCACACACCTCTCCTCCTTTTGCACCCCCAAGCCATGTACCATGGACTTTCTTGAGTACTTGGAGAGATCCTTGACCCCTCGCGCAAGGGTGCAGCAAGCCGCCTGGAGCCAGGGACCGCGCCCCCATTCTTGCCTCGATACTAGTAGGCAGATTGTCGCGGCTTATACATACAAAAGACCGCCGCCGCCGGGCCTCTCTTTTCCTGTCCCGCGTGAATCTTTTTTTCAGTCACTCATCCTTCTGCCTCTCTTCTGCCTTACCTATACTCCACTGGGCCTGCTCAGACCTATCCTGGCGGTCATAGTCTCCATAGATAGGCAGACTTGCTGTTCACACATTCTACCAAATTCGAGCAGCCCATCTTGACTTGCTTCTTGCATGATCTACATTTCTCCTCCAGATAAATCTTGCCGATATCCTCTCCAGAGACGCCCTTTTGGAATTGTCTCAACTCCCACAGCGCCTTCACTTGTCACTCATATAGATATTCGAATTGCCGACATCAGTGCAACATCTACGACACTCACCACTGCAGCGCGCCTCAGCTGCTAATACATCAACGCCGACCCTGATAGCTCTGTCGCAACAATGATTGAAGCGGCCTGCATGGACCATCTACAGCCCGCCAGCAGCCTTCCCGATCCAATGGACATCTCTGATTCCGCCACTACGGTAGCTTCTCCGCCGTCTTCCGACTTCCCTGAGCTGCTCCCCTTCTCAGCAGTAAGTATTGGCAGCATGCGCCAGTTTGCCTCAAGTTTGGGCGCCACCGAGCACCCGACTCTCGCTAATACAAGCTCCTCTTTTGCGCAGTCCTCTTCCTATCATATCAGCGCCGACTGCAGCCTGCTTCTCAGCCCCGTTTCATCTGTGGCCTCACCTCCAATGCCGCATGTGGTGAGGCAGTACGCCATCTTCCCCGACAACCCGCTCAACCATCTACCTAGCCCTCCCAATAGCGGCAAGATGTTCTACCCCCATTGGAACACTACCTTCGGCATGGGCCATGGCCCTGGTCCAAACGACGACGTTGCTATCCCCCCAGAATTCTATATGCAAGAGCGCTGTACCCCAGACCCGGAGTCATTCCTAAGCGCATACACTCTCGTGGACTCGCAGAGCCAGCCGCCTCTGAACCAGCCGCCCCCGTACTTTATGCCCGTTCCTCGCCTCGGTAGCAATGGCCCACCAATGATGCACAACTGCAAGCCGAGGACGGCAGAGAGTCCACAGACCCTGGAAACGTTCTCTGAAGTTAGCACGCCGGGGGAGGGGTCTAAAGCCGAGACTACTCCTGCCAAAAGAGCTTCGAGGAAGCGATCGGTTTCTGCCGCTTCAGATGCCAAAAAGGACGAGGTTGACTCTGACGTACAAGACGACGGGGATTCACAGGACGAGGTCTACGGCAGTTCCCAGCGCAGTAGCAGCGGTGGGGTGAGGAAATCGAGGAAGAGAGCGGCCGTAAAGAGGTCTAGCGCTTCGCGCATCCCGCCAGTCGATGCAGGCGAATACCAGAATTGTTTTGGTGACTTGGTCGCTCCTCAACTCAAGGACAATTGCCCCAAAGAGGAGCGCTGCATCTTTTCGTCCCGGTGGAAGCACCGAAACAAGAAAGGCCAGGACATGTGGGATAGTATCCAGGAGGACTACTACAAGGAGTTTGAAAAGGAGCAATGCAAAGAGACGCTCCAAATGAAGCTAACCCGAGGCCGCTCCAAGTACCTTAAGTGGCTTGAGAAGGATGTAAGTGGAAACATTGTTGGTCCAAGTCAGTTACTACAGAATGCTAACAGCAGCGTGCGATTTTAGGAGGAGCTTCTCAGACAAGCATGGCAGAACATGGAGCGCAACCGATACAAGTTGATACTTGAAGAGTTTTACAAGCTAGGAGGCTCACGAAATATGCTTCTGAATCCAAGCGACGTTGAAGTCAAGGTGGTTGTTGACATGGCGCTGGAGGAAGACGTTTATGTGGAAGGTGTCAACGAGATGGAAATCCGGCGCCGTTGCCGATTCTTGACAGGAAAGAAAAAAACAAGCGGTCGAAATGCAGAAGAGCCCGGGATCTCGTACAAGGGCCCGTCGTTGTTTGGACGAGCGGTGGATGAAGATGAAGTGATTGACCAGGTGATGGGCCAACAACTTGATGGGGATCAACGCAAAGGTTTGGCGCAGCGACGCAAGCGCAGCAGCGTGAAGCCAAGCAGGGGACCCAAAAAGGTAAAACTTGAGAAGGAATAACTGGGAAGGCGGAAACTTGTTTGAATGTCATTTTACTTCATTCTTTCTCTTATTTTTGTTTTGTTTTTGTTTTGTTTGGAATTCTTTCTACCACTTGGACTGACTAGACTGCTTCATCTTCCCAACGAAGAGATCCCACCGCTTTTTTTTTCTTTTTTCTTTCGGAATTTTTGCTTGTTTGGAAGGTCGTCTCATTTATGGCCGGGGCAGTCTGCATGTTCGACGAGGGTGGTACGCGGACCCTGTCTATGATGGTTGTGTTGTTGATGACCCGCTCAGTGTTGGCGTCTTGGAAGTTGGGACGGGCTTCAAATGGGATGGCTTTTTTCTTCAGCTATGATGATTCTTTTTACTTGTTAGTCTCAATGCTTGTTGAACATGATTCATAGAAAAATGAAAAATGACTTCACAACGTGACATATTGCTGCGGAGCTATGGCCATAGGGTATGGAGTAGAGCCCCCAAAGTCGGGGGCAGGGCGTAGAGATGGGGCTATCGAGGGTTGACCCCTGACCAGGCTGTGACGCCTGCCGTGTCTGCTAGGCAACAAATGAGAGGAAAGTAGGACCAAAATGGGAGGGGCGAACCTTTGTGCAATATTGTTTACTATTACTGTTACTGTTACTATTATATCTAGTTTATTCTCCTCTTCATGGTGGTATTTCTTGACGGGGACCCTTCGATAGTTGAAGTTGAGCGCCACGCCTCTCCACCGCATCTCCGGAGTTCAGCCACCCCCCCCCCCCCTTGTATGGCTGCGCCCGCTGTCAAAGGGGAAGCAACAAGGGAGCACCCCGTCCCACATCTCACGCCCCCGTTCGTGTCTGATGAGCAGCAACCCGTCGCCGATGAGCCACACTAGCAAAAGGACAAAGAAAAAAAAATGCTGATGGGAAGCTAAACTCAATCTACTGGAGATTGAAGAAAAATGCAGATGGAGTTGTCCCGCATGCGTGACCGAAGCAACCCACCACGAACCGACGGTACCTCTGGCAGTGCGCAAGGCAGCCAGCCGTTATGCATACAAGTGTATGCCCGCTGCAGAAGAGGCAGTGGCAGGTTTTTGTGTTTTATGACTCCGAACGGCGCGATGCGATAGGATACCGATTGTCTGGTAAATGAGAGGGAGCGGTGCCAGCACAGCAAAAAAGGCGGCGGAGCAGAAGACACATGTGGAGGGGGCAGGGTCAGCTATCCGGCCCGTGAATGTGCAGTAATTTGGTGAGTCCCCTCTTTTTCTTTTTCTGTTTTCTTCTTTCGCGGCACGATTTGAATGGAAATCTGATTTGCTTGAGATGATTTTTGTTGTTTATCCGCACTATATCGACAACAAAGCGCTGATACTGCTATTTTTGACAAGCAGCAGAAAAAGAGCGGCATTAGCAGGGAGCTGAAAAAAAAAACCCCCCCAAAAAAAACGGCAAAGCCACCGATGACCTTGGGGGCTGAGATACACGCCATGTTTCCCCTGTGCAAGAAAACAGACGACAAATGGCATGGAAGCGAGAGCAGAGATGCCTGAGTTCTCGTCCCAATTGCCCAATCGTGCGTGCCCAGCTGCCGATGAGCGGATGTATGGATTCGGCTCGAGGACAGCGCTGCATTGGACCATCTTGGGACTAGTCGGATGGCTTGCTGCAAGTCGTCTGTGGTCTATTTGTGGCAGCACGTTGTCACAGGTCACAGGTGGCGGGTGTGTGCCATCTGTCTGCAAAGCTTGCAGCTTTTTGCTGTGACAGGTGCGACATTGCCGGGTACGACGAGCAGCAGCAACAGCAAGGCTGAACTGGGCTTGGGCTCTCTCTCTCGCCCCGGGGAGCATCCGTACGAATAGACCGCTTCGTGTTTACAGTGGGCATTCAACTCGTCACAGCACATCTGACCAAGACAACAGCCTGATTATGATAGCCCTTCCTTGAGGCTACCCATGACGCCCGGCCGCGAACCTGGATGACCCGAGACCACCAATGCGCTCTTGAATGGGAAGAAGAGCGACGACTATGCTGGTCTTGTCATTTTTCTCCTTTTTTTTGCAGTTCTGTTCCCCGCGAGTGCATGCGTCATTCTCAACGCTCACCTGCTATTTTCGATTTCTCCTGCAGCTCAAGCGCGCCACACCAGCCTGGCGCACTTTGGCTGCCTTTTGGCACCTGGCCCGGTTCTTCTCTCATATCTACACACCCAAAAAAGATACTCTGCAATCGTCTGCTCATTGCTTCTTTTTTCTTGGTTTTTGTTGTTGTCACGACCTGCAATCATACTTGGCATCGTTGTTCATCAGGCGCCTGGTTGCTCAGCCTCCCTCCCTGGCACCTCACCCCCCACCACCACGGTTGCCCCCACAAGATGACGCGCTGGCTGGGGCCGAGATCAAAAGTCGCACGAGCCAAGTAGATCGTTGGACTCGGATCCCCTCATTTTGGGCTGAAAAAACGGCCCAAGTTCTTCAGCCAGTGGTTTCGTGCCTACCGGCTACTTCCCCCCCAAGTCCAGCACCTTGGTCAAACCAACCACGGACCTCAAGATCAGGCGAGCGAGGTGAACCTGCACGTTGCTATTCAGCCCCTGGGCGGCCCATACATCTTGATCCTCTTCCTAGCGTCCAGTGGCGTCATCTTCTGGGGCCTTGAGGACGCCGCCGGCGCTTATCATGATAGTATGGCACATCCATGGGGTGTGCGGATGGGCATCGATCCGACCCAAGCCCTGTGTACAAGCAAGCTCCTCGTCGCCGGTACATGGGCTATACACGGCCGTTGTAATCGACGGCTCCAATCCTTGAGGACGGCGAGGCTGCTGTTATTGCCATCTTGTGACCGCGGCGTGCTGCGCTAATCACTGAGATGATGCACAATTCAGCTGAAAAGGGGTATCTTGTGTGTGTTTGTCGCTAGCGTCACTGATGTGGTTCCATTGAAGGCTTGTTTGGGCGGCCACTGGGGAATTTGCGACGGTTTGTTTGGTCCGGCGTCAACTATCCCGGTCCGAGCAAGCAGACCAAAGCGCTGACGAGGACAGGACACCGATAGCACAATAGGTCAAGCGCATGATTACGCACTTGCTACCTACATAGCTAGAGATGAGAACAAGGCTGGCCGTCTATTTTAGCATTTTAGTTGGCACAACTCAGTGGGCCACGTCGCCCTACTTACCCTTTGCGACCCTCTCCCGCTACCACTCTTATTATGCGACAGATCAATGTCCGGCACTGAAGCTCTCGTAGTTCTTCTTCTTTCAGATTGGTGTGTTACGAGGCTGTTGGCCTGAACTGGCGCGCGGGCGGCTCCTTGTCTCCCAGAGGACTGACGGACTATCTACATACATAGGTACCATGTACTTGAACACGGCCGAGCCACAGTTACGCCACAGCCCGCCTTTGCAGAGGGTACCTGGACGCCACACACTTTATTTTTCATCTCCATTCCATCTCCAGCTTGCCATGCGACCAGGCTTGTCTTCCGAACTACGGATTGGTTTACTTACGAGTAGCGTTTGCTGCGCCCATCCTTCTTTTCGTCGAACTCCATTCCTATTTCCGATCCTTTTCCCACGCATCAAAACTCCCGCCTTCAAACTCACCTCGAGCAAACCGATCCCCCCCTCGGCCCCCTTCGAAGGACGTCGTCTCTCCTGCTCAGCTCCGGGAAATTTCAGTCATTCATTGTCTTGAAAACCCGATCCCAGAGCATTCTCCACCAAGTGTTATATCGCTTCAGACTCGGGTTCGCCGTTCTTTTGTCTATTACAAACGCCAGCGCCACGAAATAAACAACTCAAAGCTTCCGAATCGCACCCCCTCACGTCGGAATTATCGCGGCCCTGCCTCATGTCACGTTGCATTTCGTTTCTGACCAAGATCTGTTGCAAGATTGTCGTATAATTGGAGAAATCGGGAAATGGTCAACGGGCGGCAGCCCCTCATTCCAACCGCCCACGATCGGGGATGTGGATCACTAGGCCGCATAAGATTTTCAGCACGTGATTTCAATCAGTTGTAAGCCTTCGCAGTTGCCGTGTCTTTGATATTCTGGCATAAGTAGCTTTACAAACTGACATCCAGTCCGATTGACTCGGAAATCCATCGTGGCCGTATCCGTTGTCACTGATCCTGGGCCGGGTACACAGAATACGTCCCCGAAATTTGTGGTGGAAAGTCAGACCACAACAACCGCACTACTGAGGGCCAAATTATTTCCACCGCGCTCCATATGTGGCTTGCTTCTCAGCCTGTGGGCTAAAGATGTATCGCGTCAGCAACCGGATCCAATATGCCATTGGCACAAGGTGATACCTTGCTATTGCGTTTCCATAGCATGGGGGTTGGTTCCACATGCTGGGGAAGCCACCCTAACTAACACCCAACTAACTAGTTGATGCAGGCGACCTTGTCAAAGGTACAAGTCAAGGCCTTGGCATATCTCGAGGGTAGCCTTGATCTCAACAAGAAGCGCCCGCACTTGGACTGGACAGGTCTAACAAAACTCGGTGCAGAGAGGTAGAAAAGGAGTGGTGGTATCGGCCGAATACAGCGAACCGTATCAGCCGAGGCTACTCCAACCTTGCTAACAAGATTGCTGCGGGCGCCGAGGGTGATTCGCTGCCTACGCACAACCGTTTACGTTGTATACGCAAGTTCATAGCATGCGGCCCACACGCTGGTCCGATGAAATTGCTTCTTCTTTGGGGTGTATGCAAGCACAAATTCAGATGGGGTCGCTGTAACGTGCGTGTGGTTTCTTCTCGTCCTCCAGCTCCTTCATAACCTACTCGTCGGTATGAAGGTGTTGCCCGTCTCAACAAACCCAAAAGATCAGCTTTGAAACCCTGCTTGGTCCTGCATGGCTCGATGGTACAGAGGCGTGATAGGGACATCCCTGCACCAGGCGGAACACTCAATGCCACGCGGTTCAGTAATTTCCTAGCTGATCAAGTCGCAGGCCACGCCCTACCCAAGCATCCGAGTAACATGGAAATGCCGCAAGTACTGGTGACTTATACCAGCCAACTTGCAGGGCGTGCAGACACAAAATTGGCTCCTTGCAGGACGACTTGCGTGAAGCGGATCCGATGCTCGACGAGCAGCTAATAAAAAAACTATTAAATCCAACGTCGTTTTGCCAGGGCTCGTTTAGCGCCCTCTTTCTAGACTCGGCAGCAATTGCGAATCGACTTGGGGCAGCTCCCGTCACGGTGATAAAGGCCGCTAGCATGCTCTTCGGGCTCGGCCCCAGAACTAGGGCCTCTCGGCCTCCCAGCGTTGTAGTGGTGTCTGGACAGGCCTTCAAGGCGGGAATGCAACGGCAGCTGAGGGTCACACTTCAACATCATCAGCCTTGACACTTTGTCTCGCAGCTGATTCTCTCCAGAAACAGTCGAGCGAACGGCCGGGGTGCGCCGTTGGAGCCTTTCTACCCCCAGAGAAGCGGAGTTTCGCGGAGTACTACACTCAGCAGCCGCAGGAGTATTGCCATCACTGTATCCGGACATGGGCCCAGTCTCAAGAAGTCACTTACAACGGCAGTTGGTCCTCCCGAGCTGGTCGCCACGCCATCTATACCTGTCGACACTATTGCAGCGGTCTATAGTAACGAAGCCTGAATGGATCCGGATTACGCAATAATGTCTCTCTTAAGAATCATCACGCCTGCTGAGGGGGCGTCGAACCGGCGTAATCCCAGGCTTTTTTGTGGCTGAGTTTGGTGTCGGGCAGCGGGTCTCGCGTGAGATTCCATCGCAAAATATTGACACGAATTATGATATTCCCTATACTAATGATATTTTATAGAATTTATTTTTGGCTCCTATATCTCGGTTTTTAGCATTGCCAATCTAGGTAGGATAGGCCACGGCCGTTTGTTGTCACCTGCTTAGTTCCCATGCGGCCTCTGAAACCAGCTTCTTCATTGAGCGATCGTGCGTCTGCTAAATTCATCGCTCTACCGAGTATTTTTCTTCTTGGTTTTCTCGCCTCCATCTTCAGTGCTCTATTCTATTTTCTATTTTCGTCTCTCAATAGTTGACGACTTCGCGCCGTTGGCCGTTATGGGGTCACTTGCTCGCTAAACATTTCGGAGACCCCCGATCTTTCAGTGCACCGAGCATGGCCCCTGCTTAGGGCCAGGTATAGTGTACTTGATGCCCAAGTGTGGACAGTATCACTCGGCCATCGGCTTCTCGGCCTTGGTCACGCGGAGGTCGCCGGTCAAGGAGAAGAGAAGGGCTCTTCGGAGTATACAGCGTGCCAGCGCACGCCGGTCCCGTGTTTCAAACGCTATCCAGATACAGATATGGCTTGAGAACCTAGTTAGAGGATGGATGCCTTGCAAGACATGCAGGGAAACCTCTCTCTCTCCTGCTGCTAGTTCACTATTGGCTGCTTTTGGTAAAGCTCTTAACCAGTTCCGCGCTGGCTTGGGAATTGCAGCGCTCTCCCAGACAAAGCTAGACAGAGCGCTATCGACACATAATCCATGGGGGGTGGGAACAGCGCATCTATCGCAGCTTTTTCGGAAACAAGGCTAGCGTTGTTGGGAACAATGGTGGAGGGGGCGTGGATGCAATCACTGGTTTGAGAGGCGGAGCGGCGGGCTAGTTTGCCAATGACCCAGCATCGACTCGTTATGAAGACGAGGATGACAAGTGTAGAAAAGGTCACCAAGGAGTAAATGAATAGGTTACGGTGACTATGGGAAGAGTGGACGAGGCGATATATTAGGATGGGGCGACAAGTGTCTTGCAACAGGGCGCCAGCTGTGGCTGGCAGGCACCAGCAAGGTTTGCCTTGCTTTGTATAGGGTTACTATGGCTATTGACCATATGCTGTGGCTAATTTCCGACAGAAAAGCATTGATATGATGAGTTGGCCGAGAAAGAGTACAAGTGTCAACAGATCTCTTGAGCCAACAAGACGTGTGTCTCGAAGGGGCGGGCGTCACCGGTCCGCTGATCACCATCGTCAAGTCAGCTCTAGCCCTCTCTATCATTCCGCATGCGCGGAAGAGAAGCCGCTCTCTTTCTTCACAAGGTCACAGCAACGTCTTTCTCTCATACGGACGCAATTCCAAGTTATTCAACAACCGAGTTGCAAAGGAAAGTCTTTGTTTGCTCAAGCCTTCTCCTTAGCCCCGTTTTATGTCGCACTTAACGACTTCGGTAGTTGTATGTAAGTGTCCTGCTGAGTTACTTTTTCCTTTATTTTTATTTTCTTTCGAATGATTAAAGTAAAGACTTGTCTTGCCTACGTAATACTTAAGCAACAAAGTTTGCTTCCAAGTCTGCATTCACCCCAAGCAAGTAGCCGCCTTGATACCCAAAGAGGCGGCAACCGGTCGGGCAGTTAGTTGCCTTTGAGGTTGGCTACACCGTGATGTGTGTTGTTGCAAGGGAACCAAGGCAAATAGGGAAGCAAGGATTTGCCTTGCCCTCTCTGACTTTGCCTCTCTCTACCGGCCTGCTCCAGGTACTGAATCTTCAGGCCAAATCCGCCCGGCCGCAATAGGTGGCCGCGAGTTCTCTCCTGGATCGGTCGTTCTCTTGGCGGTCCGCGCTCCATACCTTTTTAGTAGTTCTACAAGTATGTAGGCAGGCTCCGCCCGGCCCATTATGCGACCGGCTGGGTCCTTCTCACGAAAAACGTTCGCCAGGCAAACTCTCGGGTGTGCCGACACCGCCTGGGTCGTTGCATCGTAGAGAGTCATGATCTTCGGGCGAAATGGAAAGGCATCGTCTGCCTCGCCTCGAATGATGAGGGAATCGGTTGGCGAAGGGAGTGGCTTACCGGAGCGCCGCCCCCCCCCGCAGTTGCCCCTTAGGCGACCGGCAGCCCATGTTCCGGTCTGCACAACGGCCCAAAAATGAAGGTCCCGATTTCTCATTTGATACAGTGTTTTTCCATCATTTTACTAGATGAATTTTGACTGCCAATCGGGATGAAACGCCTGCCTGGGGCGTGTAGATACGCCTCTCCATCCTGCCGCATGTACCTGTACTTTCTCGAAGGCATAGCAGGTACATGGCCGCAGTTTTATCTCAGGATCCTTTTTCCACTTTCTATTTCAACTGACGAGCTGAGAACCCCGTCTTGCCTTACTGCAAAAATCAGTCGCAGGCAACTTCGCCGTCTGACTCTTGCGTAGCAATTTGGCGTGTAAGTCGCAAGCGAGGCCCACATGTTGTTACGCAGCATCAAGAGAACATGTGATTTCCCGTTGCACTTCACATAAACAACTACAATTCTAAAGCATATTTTGTACATCCGTCAATAGAAATTTGTTTTCTACAAGTCATAAATTACCAAGGAGGCCTTACTGTGTTAGAAGTGCGTAAGAGACAGAAAGCTCCAAGTCGTGGCATTACCTAATACATATCGAATCAGCCACACTTAACCAGCCACATTTAACCAGCCACACTCTACACGCACCACCAACCAAGGTCTCGTGCGGTGTGGCGTAATTGAAGATGCCACCATTTCCCAACGTTCAGCGCAACGGCTAGTCGCGACAGCGGCTAAAGGACATCCCCGAATTCATACGTCGACCAAGCATCAGAAGATCCAGATGGAATCGCACTCGCATGCGTTATTATAGACTGACATAGCGCCTGTGCGCGCGGGAATCCTGACCTCGACCCCCCGGCGGATCACTCCCCGATTCCGAGTTATCGAGTTCGTTCGAGATATACTTGCATGGACCATGCTTCTTCTCGCAGTTCTGCTTCTCTTGTCCGCTTTACCATGGATGGCTCCAGCCATGCGGTCGGATCACCTGGCAAAGCTGCGGCAGGAGACGGTGGACATGTTTTACCACGGCTACAGCAACTACATGCTGCATGCTTTCCCCGAAGACGAGGTATGAGGGACTGAACGGCCGCACTCCGATAATCATGCTAACAGCTCTCTTTTTATAATAGCTCCGTCCCGTATCATGTCAACCCTTGACTCGAAATCCCAACAAGCCGGCGGATATAGGTCTCAACGACGTGCTCGGCAACTACTCCTTGACACTCATCGACAGTCTGTCAACCCTGGCGATCCTTGCCGGCGGGCCCGCCGACGAGAGGTATACGGGCTCTCAGGCGTTGAGCGATTTCCAAGACGGCGTGGCGCAATTCGTTCTATACTATGGCGATGGAAGGCCAGGCCCGTCCGGCCAGGGTATCAGATCCAGAGGCTTCGACCTCGACAGCAAGGTCCAGGTTTTTGAGACGGTCATCCGCGGCGTCGGCGGACTTCTAAGCGCGCATCTCTTCGCCGTAGGTGACTTGCCCATCCGAGGCTACGATCCGAAACCCGACGGCACCGTGAGGGGCGATGATCCGCTGGAAACGGCGCCCATCTCGTGGCCTGGAGGCTTTCGATACGATGGCCAGCTCCTGCGGCTCGCTTTTGACCTCTCTGGGCGTCTTCTTCCCGCATTTTACACCAAAACAGGGATACCATATCCACGCGTCAACCTGCGCTCCGGCATTCCCTTCTATGTCAACTCGCCGCTGCATCAGGATTCCGGGGACGCGGAGCCCGCGGTCGGCAACGCAGAGATCACTGAAACGTGCAGCGCGGGCGCGGGTAGCTTGACGCTAGAGTTCACCGTCCTGAGCCGTCTCTCGGGCGATCCGCGCTTCGAACAGGCCGCCAAGCGTGCTTTCTGGGAGGTGTGGGAGCGACGGAGCGACCTTGGCCTGATTGGCAACGGCATCGACGCCGAGCGTGGCGTCTGGATCGGCCCCCACTCTGGCATCGGCGCCGGCATGGACAGCTTCTTCGAGTACGCGCTCAAGAGCCACATCCTCCTCTCCGGGCAAGAGACGCCTAACATGACGCGATCCCAGAGACAGAGCACGACGGCCTGGCTCGACCCCAACTCGCTGCACCCGCCCTTGCCGCCGGAGATGCACTCGTCGGACGCGTTCCTGGAGGCCTGGCACCAGGCGCACGCCTCGGTGAAGCGACACATCTACACGGACAGGAGCCACTTCCCGTACTACTCCAACAACCACCGCGCCACCGGGCAACCGTACACGATGTGGATCGACAGCCTCGGCGCGTTCTACCCAGGCCTGCTGGCGCTGGCCGGCGAGATTGACGAGGCCGTGGAGGCCAACCTCGTCTACACAGCGCTGTGGACGCGCTACGGCGCCATCCCGGAACGCTGGTCCGTCCGGGAGAGTAACGTCGAGCCCGGTATCGCCTGGTGGCCGGGCAGGCCCGAGTTCATCGAGTCGACCTACCACATCTACCGGGCCACGGCCGACCCCTGGTACCTGCGCGTGGGCGAGATGGTGCTCCACGACATCAAGCGCCGTTGCTGGGTAGCCTGCGGCTGGGCGGGACTGGAGAACGTTCTCTCGGGCGAGAAGCAGGATCGTATGGAGAGCTTCTTCCTAGGAGAGACGACGAAATACATGTACCTGCTCTTTGACCCGGAACATCCTCTCAATAACCTCGACGCTGCCTACGTCTTTACAACCGAGGGACACCCTCTCATCATCCCGCACCAGGCGCGTGGCTCATCAACACCCAGACGTCGCCCTTCGCGAGCCTCTCAACAAACTAAAAAAGATGTCGCTGTGTATCACTACTACGACAGCAGATTCACAAACTCCTGTCCGGCCCCGCGCAAGCCGTTGGAGCCACTGGCAGGCTCCAACACGGCGGCTAAGCGCAACCTTTTTGACGTTTCCCGCTTCACCAACCTCTACAACACACCCAACATACACGGCCCGCTGGAGATGTTCAACATCAAGGACGAGGACAAGGGCCACGTCATGCAGTACCGCGCAACTTCAAACCACACCGTCTTCCCATGGACACTCCCGCCGACAATGCTCCCGCACAACGGCACCTGCCCAGCACCCGTGAATCGCGTCCTGTCGTGGATCGAGTTCCCCTCCCAGGACGCGGCCTCGTCCGCGTCGTCGTCGCTGTTCTCGCGTGCCAGCCCGCAGCTGCGGTGGTACCAAAACCTTGGCCCCACGGTCGAGACCGTGGACGGCCTGAAGCTGCAGCTCGAGCAGGAGTTCAGCGAGGGCGCCGGCAGCGACGTGTGGATGATCACGCACGTGGCCGGCAAGACGGTTGCGCGCCACGAGAACGTCATGTTCCACGCTGAACACGTGCGCCAGTTTCGCGACGATGCCTTCTCCGTCCTCCGACGCAAGGACATGGTGGACGTGGTGCTGCTCGTCGAGCCGGACGAGCCGGAGCCGGCCCCGTCGCTCCGGACGAGTCACGAGTTACCCCTGGCCTCAATGCCGCTGCCGGTAGCGCCCGGTTCCCTCGACGAGATCACTAGCAGCATCGACGCCGTTGCGGAGAACGCGTCCTCGACGACTCGCAAGCCCGCCGTGCGCGCGAGCGACGAACCGCCCGCGGCCGACCCAGACTCGCTCTTCAAGTCCATCCTGCGCGCCGTCTCGTCGGCCCTCGAGGGCAGTAGCAGTGCAGCCGCCAGAGGCACTCCCGCACCATCCTCACCGTTCCGCGGGGGTCACAGCTCCCTTGACGATGACGGCGACGACTCCTCTGGTCCATCCATCTACAGCTGGCTGGCCAATACCGCTACCGGCGCCGGCGCCTTCCCCCTGCCCGCTGTGCACGACGCGCTCCTCCGCAACAGCCCCGACTTCTCCGCCGCCGACCCCGGCGCCTCGCTTCCCTGGCGCCGCGTGTACATGGCCGGCCTGGCCTGCGACGGGCCGCTCCCCGACGACGCCGCCCGTCGGCACCAGGTCATCGTCATGCAGCGCGGCGGCTGCTCCTTTGGCGAGAAGCTCGACAACGTGCCGAGCTTCGTGCCCGATGACGGCGGCGGCGGCGGCAGCCTGCAGCTGGTCGTGGTCGTGGACGACGGTGTTGGCGATGACGATGTGCCGCGGCCGCTGCTGCCGACGGAGCAGCGCACGCCTCGCGGCGCGCCCCGCGTGCACGGCATCCCGATGGTGCTCCTGGCGGGCGCCAGGGGCACGTACGAGCTGTTCGGCAAGGCGGCGGGGGTCGGACTGCGACGCAAGTACGTGGTGAAGAGCCAGGGCTACGTGATTGAGAATGCCATCGTGCTGTAGGGGTAACAACAGGGTGGAAGGGAGTGGACGTTTTCGTCGCCGTCAGGATTGCTTGCGTTGACTGAGGTTTCGTTGAGCAAGCGTGTTGATTGACATTGTACATATTGTGAAAGCGTTGTCTGCATTTTGTATTCTTTCTTGGTTTATTGAAAGGTAGATTCAAGAACGTAAAAGGAACTGCTTGTATCTTGATGACAGAATTCGTTTGCAGCTCAATTGCGTGCTCGAAAAAAAAGTGCTCAACATCTAATCTACACGCCAGCCTGCTCGTATCGTAGAAGTCACCTATGTACGAAGTGGCCAGCCAGTACATACAAGTGTATAGGTACCTGCTTTGTCTATGGAATCAAGACTGTACACAATCATGACAGGAAAAGAAAAAAAACTAAAATTTGCTACACTTTTCCAACATTTTTTCTCAGATGTTAACTTTTCGCCATCTCTCTCCGCCCCGTTCTGATTGTAATTGCGCATGTGTAGAGATAGCGTAAAAACCAAATTGCATGTCCTCCTTTGCTACCCTCTGAGTAGGGTGCCATTATATGCAGACGGTTGAATGTCGTTAAGGTCGTGGTGTTTGTGAATACCCGTCCCCCCGGATATTAAGTATGTCGGCATTGACGGTGTTTGTATATGTGACGAATGGGAATGTCGCGCCAACGCATTTTGTATTAGGTCGTAATCATGTCTATTGTTGAATGTGCGAATCTCGAGGGTGTTCGTTTGTGCGTGTCATGTGGTGCAATCAGTTGCTTAGGCGTCCTCGAGGAGAATAGTCGTGGGAGCAGCTCCAAGCTTGTCACGGCCGTTGAGGCCAGGGATCTCGAGAATGAAGAGGTAGCCCATGACCTGGCCCTTGAGCTGGGCGACAAGATCGGCAGCAGCCTTAGCAGAGCCACCTGGGAGGACAGTCAGCGGATTGTGGAATGCAGTCGAGCAATTGGGATTGGGATTATTTACCAGTGGCAATAATATCGTCGACGACGAGAACCTTTTGACCTTCGTGAATGGCATCCTCCTGCATCTGGAAGAAGTCCTTGCCGTACTCCTTGACGTACTCGGCGGTGACACAAGGACCAGGGAGCTTGCCCTTCTTGCGGACAGCAGCAAAGGGAACACCGAGACGAAGGGCGAGGCCTGGTCCAAAGAGGAAACCACGGGCATCGAGACCGACAATAACGTCAGGCTTTGTGCTGGCAAAGGTCTGGGCAATCTGGAGCTCGAGGGCGTTGACGAGAGTGGCGTGGGCTTCCGGGTTGGCGAAGAGCGGCATGATGTCGACAAAGTCAATGCCGGGAATGGGAAAGTCCGGGAACTGGCGCAGGTTGTTGCGAAGGATTACCTTTGCACTGGCGAGTTGGGCGGCGGGGGAGGAGGAGGAGGAGGGCTGTCTTCCCGAGGCATCTTGGGCGGCTGAGTGATCACTCATTGTAAGCTTGAAGTCGAGCAAGAGCGAGATTTCGGAAAGGAGGGCGAGTGAAAATTGTAGCGCGGGGGAGGGGAACGAAAAAGCACAAGCCAAGTCTAAGGTGGTGAGGCACAATTCCCGGGGAGAAATGGGAATGATCAAAAGTGAAGCAGTTATGAGTTGATTGATGAGTGAATAAAAAGGGCGAACTGCGCCAGCGCAAAGAAAAAAATAATGCACAGCTGGGTAGCTTGGAGGGGTAATTCGGAGGTGGGCGGGCACGGCAAACGGAGGGGAAATATGCAAGGTGGGATAAAAGATAAAAGCACGCACTTTTCCTTTGGGTGGACTTCAGTGGAGACTGCAGCAGAGGTAGCAGGCAGCTGGCAGCAGCTGGCAGACAGGTTGCTTCAATTCAGCATGCAGATTGGACGCGGCAGCTGGACAGAGGGTCAAATAGGTGCTGGCGTAGAGGTACAAGTGCCCCAGTATAAAAAATAATGGAAATAAAAAAAGATTCGGGCGGCAAGAACAAGCGGAGGTGGGCGGGAAGCTGGCAGCGGGTAGCTGGCAAGGAGAAGTAGCTGATGTTAACAACAACAAGACAAACGCGCGGTTCAAGATCGAATTCGAGAGGATGATGTTAGGAAGAGAAAAAAAAAAGGGAGCTCGAGAGTGGAAGAGAACAAGGAGAAATTAAAAATAGGGCCTTGCTTGATAGGAAAGGAAGGGGCCCAGGACGGACCCAAGGCTGTAGATAGGTAACTAATGCACAGTCCAGCAGGCACGCACCCCAGGCCAGGTCACGCCAGGCCTACAGGTAGGAAGAGTGCATGGTTGGCCATATGGCGCAAGGGGGGAAGATGGGGACGTAATGAGAATGCGCGGGTTACAATTAGAACTGAAAAAAGAAGGAACGAAAGAGGGCATAACAATCAAGCACGACAAGAGACAAGTATACAAGCAGGCGCACTAGTTGCAGCTTGCGGCAACGCGCGGAATCAGCAAAAGGTCGGTGTGAGTCTTGCTGGATAAAAGTACCTCTGGTTGTTCACTCCGGCCTTGCGAGGGATAGCTAATAATGGGATGGCTTGCTTGGGCTGGGCGAGGGATGGACGGATGGATGGATGGATGGATGGATGGATGGATGGATACGCACGGAGAAGGGCATGATTCAGCGCCGAGTCCGAGGAAGCAAGGATGGCGACAGGAAATTTGGTGGAAGGAAAAAAAGAATGGAACTAATGAAACCCGTCCAAGCAGAAATAGAAATAATAGTGAAAATTTTTAAATAATGAAAATAAATCACGGCGCCAAAGAAGTGATGAATCGAAAGGTACTCTGCATCTACACCCAGCTTGGCACATCAGACTGACCCGCAGGCATGTATGTAAGAGGTACCTACCCGTTTGGCCTTGCATCGGCTTGCTTAACACCCCGCGTACAGAGAGAGAGCCGAATCATCTTTTATCAGATGCCTGATTGCAGTTTTGTGTTTAATGCTGAATTAGTCCTCGCCATGCATGTAACCTGCCCGCCTGTCTCGGTTGGCTCTTCGTGTGGCAGGCAGGTAGCGATACTTCGTAGATGGCGCCGCCGCCGTCGCCGTTTGCCTCACCGCAAAACGAGGAGGCAATTTCCACCAACAGTAAAAAGAGATCGTGTCTAGAATCGACATTCTCTGGTGTTATGCAGGTTTGTTCCATAACCAATCCACTCACATAGTTAATTTCTTGGAAAGAAAAAAAAAAAGTCGACTAGAGTCAGCCAATTCTCGGCGCTTCGTTGCCTCACGGGGAAGCTCCATGATCCGTGATCCGCCCATCGTTACATGAGCTCGACGCCGACCTGCCACAGTGGGGTTCGGACAATGGATGGAATGTTGATGGGATGGGTGAACTTTATGTGCCGTGATGCTGCAGGCATTTAACGAGTTACTCAATACGTACAATAACGTCTTCCTTTTCTGGGCATTTACGAGATGGCATTTTTTTTTTCTTTTCCGGTTTCCTTTATCAGGTTGGATGAAACACGTGTGACTCACCACTTCTCCCTAGTTAGTTATCTTTTTTCCTTCTCAAAAACATTCACACCACATTGACGCGGTCCAAACACCAAGAAGCCCACCCTCATACACACGGAAACGGCCCGGCTTACCCACGCCAGCCAACCACGGCCCGGCGATCAAGGTTGTGCCCGTTGATGCAGGGCTCTTGCTCATTGCCATTTGTTGCCTTGTTGTATCTGCAGTGTCTTTTTATTGATTCCACCTCTGCCGTTGGTTCCGCCAAGTAATTTGCATGTGCTCGTGCATTTCGCTCTCTTTCCTCCTGTCTTTCGTCTCGTCCTCTCCACATCACCAACTACCGACAAACACACCCGACGCGTCTCGTCTCGTCTTCTCACAGCTCTTCATCACCATCCGAACATCATTCATTATTCCATTACCTCTATTCAATACTCGATAATTACAAATCTAATAATCAGAAGCAGTCCCATCATTCTCAGGACTCGGGTATGTCCTCTATCATGGTGAAAAAGTAAACAGCAGGCCATCAAACAGGGTCGGGTATCAACGTCAGATCCAAAGCAGACCAAAACGCACCAAGTCAAGCAAGACAGCTTCCACCCCTCTTACCATAAAAAAGGTTCCAGACAACCGACAGTGCAACTCGACTCCTCTTTTCTAGCCCTCTCAAGTCTTTCAAACCTTCCCTTCTTCTTTCCGCTAATGAAACTGCAATCGAATAATCGAAAACATCATATTCTGCAACACATGCAGCATCACCGCCACGCACGTAGGCAGCAGCTCCGGCCACACCGCCAGGTCTAGCTTGCCCTCAAGCCCAACGTCCACCTTGAAGCAGTACCGGATCAGACCCCGGACCGCCACGCTCGCCACAAGCTCGCACAGCCAGGTAATCGCAGAAAAGTACACTGTCAGGTTCAGGTTGTACGGCTCCGAGTCGCGGTCAAACGCAAAGTACGGGTACACGTCCTTGTTGGCGCCGTAGTGCAGCACCAGCACGCTCCCCATGAACGTCGCCATCGACGCGTTTTCCGCCAGGAACCGGATAAACACGTTGCGCGTCTGCAGTTTCTGATACGATCCGTACGTTTGCCCGTTAAGGCCCAGAACGCACATGGCTCTGTGAAACGTCTTGGTCATCATCAGCGGCGTTAGAATCACTAGGCTTGTCGAAGACAGTATCTGCAGCACAATGAACTGCTGCGGTGTGCGTAGTCGAGCATATAGCGCGCGCACGTATGTTTGGTAGGTCAGCATGAAATACCTGTAGATCCATGTTAGTGAAACTCCCATGACTTCACTCAAATGCACCCACAGCTTAAACACCCAGCTCAGCGGGTAGCTTCCCACACGCTCGCCCTCCCTGATCCCCAGCACCCAGCCAGTGAGCGCGTCCAGCAGATGCACCGTAATTATCCAACCATAGACGTACACTACTGTCTCCAAACTGTTGTGCGGCAGCGTCTGCAGATAGAGCTCGGCGTAGGCCTCTCCCAGCACATATGCCATCAATCCGATAAACAATGCCACGCAGAGCCACAGAAACCGAATAAAGCTCGCCGGAAGCCACCTACGCCTCATGGCCACGCCTTGCGGCCGGGTCGACTGCAGCACGTCGTGCTCCCACAAGTCACCCGGCACGTTACGCCGGCGTCGATCGAGGCGCGGCAGGGTATCTGGCTCGCCCGTCCACCAAGACGTGGTGAAGATGCGCTGCGTTTCGGAGAGCGAGTGTCGCAGACCAATGTGTCGCTCGTTGGTCATGAGAATGAGAAACGCAATGGCCACTGGCATGGCCATGACGCAGAATGTCCACGAAATCCACGAGGTGTTGTGATTTGTCAAGAATCGAGTCTCCGGTATTAGGTAGATGGGCACCGGGACTGCCAGAGATATAATGGCAATCAATGACACGGTCACGGGGAAGCCCAGAATCTTTGGCCACCTGGAGCATGTAAGTGATGTTGCCCACGTGCAACTGCAAGATACATTCCACTTACCAGTTGAGATTGTAGAGGTTAAACACCTTTGTAATCCAGACCAAGGCTGTAGCATTGTAAAAGCCATAGTATATAAAGAGAAAGAACCAAAAGTTGACCTCGACGTTGGCAGCGCCATAGCCAGGACGCTTGCCAGGCTTTGTCGGGTCTGGTTGGTCGCCGTCGTCATCTGTTGGCAAGGGATACTGCGGAAACGGAATGGCGCACCACCCGATTGCCTATATAGAATGCACACACACGTTGTTAGAAAGCTGCTGCATTCGCCCATATCCATGCACACACACATCCCGTTAACATACCAAGATGGCAGGCATGAATACCAGTAGCCCGTACCGGCTCCACCACCTGTCGACGACCTTCATGACGGCCGTCTGCCTCGGCTCGACCCAGAGGTCCACCACCCACCGTCGCCAGCGGCGGTCCCAGGCCGTTTCGGGCACGCGCAGCTCGAGGCAGCCATCGCGGCGGATACACTCGTCCTCGCTGTCGCTATCACCTCCGAGGTGGGCGGCGATGAGGGCGCCGTAGCCGACGTGGACGCTCCCGCGCCCGGCGGCGCCTATGATGGCGCTGGTGTCCGAGAGCAGGCCGAGCTGGCTGTTGCGGCGGGCGCCAAACTCGGGGCGTTGCGGCACGGCGCGAAAGCGGCCGAGGAGCGGCGACGAGTCGTTCGGCCGGACGCGGGACTCGGTGCCCTGGGTGAACTGAAAGAAGCTGGGCATGGCTGGCTATGGTGTCGCTCGAAAAGCTCGGGAAGCTCGGGGAGAGAGAAGATTCGAGGCAGGCCGTGAGGACTGCTCATGCGGGCTGTCGGGTCAAGAAAGCTCCCCTTTCTGTTTCCCACTCGAGGGCCGCCGACCTGCGAGCTCAACGCGACTCCAGGAGCTCCTCCACGCGTTGGCGGCTGCCGCGAAACGGGGCGGTGCGGTGCGGGTGGACTCTATCGAGACTTTCGGTTATTTGTTTACTCGGACATGACAAATCGATCGCCTGTGCAGCCTGCGCGAAGGATAGGGTTGACGGGGAGTGTTGAGGCAGGTCGGCAGGTTCGAAAAGGACGGCTTCACGGACATGGAAGAGATATCTCGGGGCAGATTGGCTGTTGCCCACGTTTGTCTCGAGGGAAAGTGCTGGGCAGATAATAATAAGGGTACCTACGGGTACCTCAAACGCTAATAATGGTACCTAAATAAATGTCGAGGCTGCCCCACAAGGGAGGGAAAGCCGCTGTGGATAAGACGCCACAGCACTCAAGGGAGGAGCGTCAAGGGATCAATGTCAAGAGTAAAAAGGTGCCTGATGGCCGCCCAACATCCAAGGTGCAAATAACCTTTTACCGTAAATTATTATTGGTACTTGAACTAACAGATCATTTCTTGTAACAGTGAAGAGATTCGGTGGCCCAGAATCTCCGACGCCCACTGTAGCAGACGTACCTCGAAACATGATGCATCAACTTTCGATGCCTTGCCCCGTCGTGGCATGAGAATGAATCCTCCTCGACGCTACCCAATCACATGCTCACGCATAATCAAGCGATACCAAAGCCATCAGCAGTCCCTTCAAAGACTCCCAAATACAGCATGTATGTACACTGGCCTATTTTCCATTAACTAAAAGTCACAGATCTCCCCGCCTCGCCATGCAAACCAGTAAAAGTGAAAAAGAGCTCTCCTCTCTATATAATATACACAGTCATGCCCTCTCGGCCCGTGTTTCGTAAACGGAAATCTTCATGACTGGATTAAGCACACGCAGCCTCATTCCGCATCATCATCCTCATCTTCCATGCCGCCCGTCACATCCGCCGAAAATGCCACCGACTTGTGGCCTCCGCTGCCGCCGGCCCGCGCTCCCACAGGCTCCACGACGTCGCCGTCCCACGGCCGGCACTCCTTGACGTGCGTGCCGCACCGCAAGCACGTCATGCCCTCGCCCTCTTCGCGCTCCAGCCGCGTCGCGAGGCACACGAAGCAATACACGCAACCGCACGGGATCGTCTCGTACGGGTTCGTCACGTCCGTCTGCGCGGAGCCCACAACGCCGCTCGACGCCGCCGCCGCCATGATCTCGTTTTCCGTCGTTGCCTCGTTCTGGTCCTGGTAGCAGATGGCGCACGTGCGCTCCGGCAAGAACCCGTACTCGCCCTTTGCGGCGTCGCCCTCGGCGTCGCCCGCCGCGCCGCTCGTGTTCACAATCTCCTTGGTCTTGCGCCACGTCCGGGCCAGCCAGCGCCGCCAGCGGTTGATGCCGACGAGCGGCAGCACGAACAGCAGGAACTCGGTGAAGGCGTGCCACACCAGCTGCCGGTTCAGGTACTCAAACGACACCTCGCGGCTGACCTGGCTGGTCGGCGGCGCGAGCCGCATCCGCAGCACCCGGTCAAGCAGCGTGCGATAGCGACCGTGCAGCAGGAACACGAGAAACGACGCGCACGCCGCTGCCGAGTGTGCCGTTGTGACGCGCGACGTCCACCGCGACAGCATCCTCACGCGGGGGCTCGGCTCCTCGTAGCCGTCGTCCTGCTCGAGTAGCCAGCCCTCCCACTTTCCCCACGCGTATGTGCCCACGACGCTGACGAGGCCGTGGAGTGCCTTTTGAGCGCGCGACGGCGGTGCCAGCACGGGGCCGCGCCGGCGCGCATCCGTGTACTTTAGGTTTTGCAGGGCCGCGCCGTAGGTCGCATCGTGGTCCCAAACGGTGAGCTTGAAGAGGATGGCGCGCAGCGCGAGCCCGATCTCGTCGGCCCAGTCGTCGTGCAAGTGGCCCCCGGCGATATATCTCAGGGCGTCGCAGACCTGGTCCCGGAACAGCTCGACGAGCTCCCCGTCGAGCAGCTCGGCGTCGACCTGCGCCACGCGAAACGCGGGCCGCGTGCCCTCGCGGGTCGACACCGCATCCCAGGCTGTCGCGAGGCCGCTCAGAGGGAACGGCAGACGCCGCAGCTGCGCACTGGCCCGCGAGGCCTCGCGCTGGGCGGCGATGCGGGCGGCGGCCTGCACCTCGCGGGCCTGTCGGCGGGGGGCGACCCGTTGCTGGGCTTGCACGAAGCTCGATTCGCTCATTGGTGCGGCATCAGGTATTGTGTATGTGTCGGTTTTCGGTCAAGGGGGGTTGCGGATGTCGATAGAACTAGGTGATGGTTCGTCGGTTGGATGATGAAGGTTGAAGGAAGTCAAAGCTCTCTGGGGTCTTTCCGCGGCCTGCCGTTTTTAGCGTCTTTGCTGGGGCGGCATCGGCGAGCCGAGGCTAACATGTTGGTGCTGTAGCCTGTGCGCCACGCATTCGGCAGACCGCACGCTTTTCCAGCACTCCACTAATCAATAACTTGAAGAACTCTCCCACATGATGTGGCTACGCTGCAACTGCAGGATCGAGATGGGCATCCTCCGTTGTTTAGGCTGATGCTGAAATACCTGCTGCCGACCTGGGCTACGGGTCTTGGCGAATGAGATACGCGCTTCAACACTAAATACGTACTCTCTCCAACTACACCACATATACTCTTGGTCGTTCATGGCTCTCGCGCAAGAATTTCTTGGTCCCGGCAGCTCCAGTAGTAGTACAGTCAGAGGACAAGACAAGGTGCAGTTGATTATAGACGTTTCGAGTCGACTTGCTGTAGAACGAAAGACCCGAGGAATGTCTAAAACAAAATAAATCCTCGTGTTACACATCCATATATAGGTAATGATGATGACATGATAGGATGCAAACGAAAACGCCCATGAGGCTGTCTCGAGGTCACGGCGCCGTTTCACCCCCACTGACGGAGCACGCGCCGCCGGCCCGTCAAATTGGGGCTGCCAGCTGGCGGCCAAGAGGTGGACAAACGGACTCGACGATAACGGGTCAGGTGCGAACATGCCGGCGGCTTGCTGCATTTTGGTCAGTCATGTCATCCTCCCACCCAAGATCTGGTGATGCAATTTCAAGCCATGCAACAGCATCTTCCTGTCTCCGACCAAATACTCAGAGCCCTCGGCACCGCCACATCCGGATACCTACCAAGTAGTTACCTGGTATCAGTGAGCAGCGAGTCTGCATCCACGGGTTGCGTGCACCGTAACACCAGCCGTTGGCCCCGCTACAAATAACAACCCCCTCCCTCCGCAGGTACAAGGCACCAGGATGTCACTGCCACCAATCAATTCCCAGCCAGCCATCAACATTCGCGACACACACACGCTTGCCTTGTCTTCACTCAGTTGGCGCAACACTTTGTCTCTTATTTTTAGCGTCAACAATAACCCCTGCCTGCCTGCCAACTCTTACCTCTTACCGTGACTCATCTGCAAGTCGACCTTTCCGTCTGCCTGGACCTGTGTCAACCCATTTATTTAACAAGCAGCCCGCCCCGTGCACCGATACGCGCCGGCTTCTGGATCTCGGATCTCTCTCTCTGTCCTGCTGTGGCGAGCCCAATACACCTTCCAGACCCGGCGCGTGACTTTTTGGCATAAGCAGGGTGGTCATTGTGCGCAACCTACTTATTACCTTTCTTCCTTTCCAACAATCCTACAGCCAGCAACCTGAGGAGACAAGAAGAAGAAGAAACAGGAAGCGACCTTGCCACCCTCGCTGCAGCCTGCCTGTCTCGCTCAACCAATCAGTCCCTCACTTGCCCCTCGCTCACCCGCTTTCGCTGGCACTGTTTGTTCTGACAGTTTCCTTTGTGCGACACCATGTCCTCGCGAAGACGAAAAATTTCCGTCGAAGACTCGTGGCGTATGGTTGACGGCGAGAATGACAGCTTCGATACGTCCCTCATTCCCGGCGCGACTCCCAACGAAGACGAAGATGACATTCTCATCCCGCTGTCCAGCGAACAACCCTCGTCCGGCTTTCCCTCGCAGCCACCTCCTAGCTCACAGAGTCAGCCGAATTCCAGCTTCGACTCGCAAGATAGCCTCCACAGCTTTGTCAAGCACCGGGCGGATAGCAACGTCATTATGCGCCAGCCGTTCAACCCCAGCATCCCCCCATCCATGGCGGCCAGCAGTAGAGACAGCTCACGCCTGGTCCAGGGCCCTCGCACGCCAGATCCGCAGTTTAGAATGCCGACGGTGGAAGTTATCAGCCGCGATCGCAGGAGCTCCGGCCAGAGCTCACGCACAACTCGCCCCAGCGCGGTGAGCGGCAGTTCCCGCGGCGATGACTCGACAGCCGTGAAACGACGTGGGCATATAACGCAGTCCAGTCCCGTGAAGCGCCGGAGCACACGACACAGACCGGAGCATGATCATGATGACGCGTATAAACGGGACCGAGACGATTACGGGCCTCCCCTCCCTTCCATCTCCGTCGGCATTGCACAATGGGCGGCCGCCGTGGTCGGTCTCGCATTCAACTACGCCAAGCGCCCTCTCGCGCTCCTCCTCGCAGTGTACCTCTCCTGTGGCGCCATCATCGTCACCCAAAACATGCTGCAGAAGTCTGTCTATATCTCGCTATCACCCATTTGTCGGGTGCCTGGCGCTTCCCTTCTGAGCCTGCCGTTCTGCCCCAGCCCTGGAAGCCAGGTCGACAGCGACGCGCCGGACGGGCGCAAGGACCCCGTCGAGTTTAACGACCTGATGGGCGTGCAGTCCAAGTTCGAGGACGTTCTGGAACGGAGCGCAGAGGGTGTGTCGCTGCCGCTCGAGATGAAACGGTCTGAGACGAGCTTACGAGACCTACGCACGCTGGTCAAACGCAGCGACATCGAAGCACGCGACGAGCTGCTCTTCGAGCTCGACGGCTTCATCGACACAGCGCGACACAGCGCCACCGACCTGCAGCGCTTTAACACGCATGTCGGCTCAGCCGTCGACGCCGTCATCATCATCAACCGCTGGACCGTGCGGTACATTGACTCTCTTGCGCCCCTCGAAGGCGGTGGCCCTTCGACCTCCTCCCTCGCCATCTGGCCCGGCTGGCTCTTTTCGCCTTTTCAGCCCGGTGATCACATCTTCAGCGAGCACGTCTTGCGCGACAAGTACATTGAGCACACGATGCTCGTCTCAGAGCGCATCGCCGCGCTGATCCTCGAAGCGCAGGCTGTCCTGCGCCTGCTCACAAGGGCCGAGGACCACCTCTCCCTCATCTACGACGTCTCGTCGCGTTCCACCGAAGCGCTCGAGTCGCGGCGCGACGAGATCCTCAGCAAGCTCTGGACGATCGTCGGTGGCAACGCCGGCCGCCTCGACCACCTCAGGGGGCAGCTCAACCTACTGAGGCGCGTGGACGAGCACCGCACCTCCGCCGTCAACCAGGTGACGGCCCTCGTGCTCGAGCTCGAGGCCATCCAGGCCGGCCTCGGCGACCTGCGCGACCGCGTCGCCGAGCCCGCCGTCCTCCGTGACGCCGGCAGCCCCGCCGCCTCCCTCCCCCTCACCATACACATTGAGACCATCAACAGCGGCGTCGAGCGCCTCGAGGCCGCCCGCCGACGCATCCGCGCTGCCGAGGACGGCCGCGTCCAGGATGCACTGGCCAAAGGCGGAGTGCGTGACGACCAAGGCAGGCTGATCGGCGACACATCGAGTTAGCGGCGCGTTGTTGTCCTATCGAATCCAAGTTCTCGGGTCTCTTCTCCCGTTGAGACTGACTACGTGAAACACGATGATGAACGAAATGGTCAAATCTTTTCCCTTAGGGGTTTCTACTCCCATCTATTGTTTAAAGTTAGGGCTCTTTTCTTTGTTTAGGCGCCAAGAGACGGGTACATTTGCTTTTTGTTTAGGACATGTTCTCTTGTTTTGTAATGTAATTTTTTCCTTGTGTCTGGGCGAGATTTCGACATACCAAAGGGACAAGAAAAGGGAAGCCTTTGGCACAATGTAAAATACCCACCACCCATATAGTTTCCCGCGAGACTACTGGTTTCAGTGGAACGGACAGTCTTGAGATGATTCGATTCACAGTCACAATGTGCAAACATGTTTTGTAAATGAGGCAGTAGTCCCATTGTACCCTATATACCCCTCCCATTTCCAGCCACAATACCAGTGCTCCCGGGTTCAAAAACGTTTTCAAACTTTATAGACATACCTCAAAGGTTGGCCATTATAAAAAAAAGGCCCCAAAATCCTCCACGGTCCCAGAAAGAAGGGGACGAAAGAAATCCGCTATGGATGTTTGCTCCGCACGCAAACATCGCCTCATTAAGTCGTGAATAAAAAGAAAAGAAAAGCCCCAGAATGCCCAGGGACGAACGCCGTCGCCATGCTTTTGCCCTTGCCCGCTAAACCCACAAAACAAAGAACCGCAAAACGCCGAGCCCAGAATGCATGCCTTACTATAACCCCGGAAAGACCTTTGTGACCGCACGGCGCCACTTGGGCCGCGATTGGTCGGGATCATCAAACGGCGCATTCTGGTTAGCAATCTCTCGCATGCGCTCACGCGCAAACGAGGACGGACTGCTACGGCCAACAAAGCCGGCAAACCCTGTTCGAAGTTCTGCGCCTTCGGGCTGCGTGGGCAGAACATGCAAGGGTCGGGCTTTGGACTTGCGCGCGCGGGTCTTCTTCGGAGGCGGGGCAGAAACAGCCGGCTGCGGGACAGCAGGTTGTGTCGCCGGTGGCACGGCTGTCGGCGTCGGCGTCGTCGTCGCGGTCGCTTCCTGGGCTCCAGTTCCAGGGCTCTCATCGCTCCCATTTCCAGGCCGTCCGGTGGAGTCCTCTCCGCTGGGGCGCTCAGGCGGCGATGGTTGTCGCTTCTCGAGCTCAATGTCCCGAGTCTCACCCGACGAGGACGTCGAGTGGAAAAAGCGCTTTCCCCAGCCTGGCTTGCTCCATCCCTTGTACTTGACGTCGCCAGATTCAATAGAAGAGTCGTCAAAATCGACTCGTTCTCGAAGCTTGCGAAGGGCGCGCTCGCGGCGGACCATGCCATTGGTGATCTTGGGACTGTAGCCCGGCGGCAGCATGCACTGCTTGCACATGGGGCAGAGCGAGCTGTTGCGGAGAAGGAACTCGTCGATGCAGATCGGGTGGAAGATGTGGTGGCATGGCAGTTCGCGGATGACACTAGCACGATCTTCAAACTCGACGAGGCAGATGTGACACTGTGGTTGGAAGTTGGTGGCGGTTGTGTCAGCCTTTCCGGTTACAGCAGAGCGCTGGCTACGCAAGGTCTGGACGCCTTCCGAGACGACGGTAGCAGATGAGTTGCTATGGCGGTCGCCTCTGCGCCTCTTCTTACCCTTGCCGGATCGCATAGTCACGGTGACCTCGGAAGAGGGGGTTGCGAGGTCGTGTGCGAGCTCGGGTTGGCTAGTGTAAGTAAAGAGCGGGAAATCCTTGACATGGGACGCGGGGACGGTTAATCGCTTGATGCCCATGGCCTCAAGATCAACTTCGCCAGACTCGACACGTTTGCGCAAAGAAGTGCGGCGGCGGCGCTGGAAGAAATGCATGGTGAGCGATACGGAGGCGACAATGAAGAGGAGGGCGCCAATAACTATAAGAAAATAGACCCATAGTGAAGGTAGGCTGGCTTGACCCTTCATGGTGAGCTGGGCCCAGATTCTGACGTAGTCTCTTTGGCTTGTTCCGTATCGCTGCATGATTTCGGCGCCGTGGGGAACGGTGTCGGCGGTTCCGGAGTAGAGACTCAGTTGAGTCATCATACGCTGGCCCTCGATGCCTGGAATAGCAAAGATAGGGAACCTGGATTCCTTCCAGGCGCCGCCGTCGTCGAGATTCCATACGGCCGAGTCGGGACCTTGGGGCTTATCGGTCGAGTTGTTGGGCTTGTAGAAGATGAAGGCGCGAATGGGATCAAGACGGGCCGAGGCGAGGTAGGCCTGGACGCAGTCTATGCTGAACCAGGGGGCGAGGGCGATGAGGTTATAATTCGCGGGCGGGAGTTGGGCTCTGCGAGTGACGTTGTGGGGGATGAAGTCGTACTGCTGAGCGTTGCACGAGGCGACGGTGGAGATGTCGGGGACGTAGAGGAGGCCTTGGATGACGCCGTTGAGGGTTTGGGCACCGTTTGTCGAGAGCGTGGTGAGGTTGTTTTTGAGATGCTGCTCGTATCCCAGATCCTGAGCAACGTCGGTGATGTTGCGGATGAGGGAGACAGGGACGGTGCCGGCGCCGTTCCAGGAGGGGTTACTGAAGAGTAGCACCCCATTGTAGAGTCCGACGAGAGACATGGTGGCTGTGGCATGCCAATCAGGAGGCGGGGGACATTATAGAGAGCGCATGAGCGGCGCGGTGGTGGTGGAACGGCGGTGGTGGCGGCGGTGGTGGTGACGACGGGGCCCGACCGGACAATTGCTGACAGAGGTGGCAGAGGCAAGACACTGAGGAGCCAAGGGTTGAGTGCGTGTTGAGTCTGAGATTGTGCGCAAGCAACGAACGGGTTGGTGGCGTGGCTGCTGGTACTTGGCCTAGATATCTGTCGCGAAATGTAGGGGCGGGTCGTGCGGCCGTCGAGGAAAGGACCTCGCAACAAGGAGAAGGCTGTCGCTGTCGGGCGGATGAGTCGGCCGAGGAGTGGAGGCTAACTCGAGGGAGGGGAGGGAAGAGAAGAGAGGAAAGGGGGGAAGTGAGCGTGGGCGAGGGGGCTTGTCGAGAGACGATGAAGCGACGTTGGGATGTAGGAGAGAGTAAGAGTTTAAATGGCGAGCGAGAGGAGTCGGTAGGTGAGTAGGACGAGGACAATTTCTGGGGGAGAGAGAGGAGGAGGCGGCGTCGAGTGCGGTGGCGGTTGGTGGTAACGTTAGAAGCAGAGACAGCGGCGGGACACAGAACAGAACAGGAGCAGAAACACAGCAGACAGAGAAGCACCGCAGATTAGCTACTAAGGTTCATACCTGCAGAGCACAGCGTCCAGCAAGCCAACGACGGAGGACAGCAGGAACGAGGAGCGAGAGCGAGACGAGAAGAAAAGCCGTCCCTGTACGGAGTACCTCATACAAACTCCTGATGCTGGATCCATGTACACCCGGCCTTTACCCTGTGGCGTCCCCGGGCGGTATTCTAGGCACAGAGTCGGGCGAATCTCGACAAAAGGTACCTGGCTGTGGGAGGTACGGCGACTTACTCGCAAGTACCGGGTACGTGCTAGCCGCATCCACCAGCTGAGCCCACTTGCTCTTACAGCATGGGCAGATTGCATGGGCACTACCTATGTACATACATAAGATCTAGACTCTACCAAGCTTGTAGCGAGGGCATGCGAGGTAACAGTGAAGAGTGCACAAGGCAAACAAGACGAGGGGGAAAAGGCCCGATATCTGTCAGCTGGATAGTCTGTGGATTTTTGCGATGGTGTATCGTGAGTTGTACTACTAGAAAACGAGAAACAAACTGCCATCTGAATGGTGCTGTTTGTCCAGGTGCTCTCGCTAGGTAATTACCTGCAGACAGGCTTTGCCGCTGCACCACTGGAATTCGACGCTCAGCGGCCGCTCCACCGCACTGTGGCGGCGCCAACCTAGGCGGCCCTAGTTTGCCCGGGCGGGTTCAAACGTTGGGACCTTCCGTATTGGCAGGTCGCTAACTGATTTGCCTGCCTTCAATCTACTCCGTATAGCCACCAACTAAACTCTTTCTCATTTGCATCAATATTACCTCCACAACAGCCTTAATTCCCCTTGATCATTTCACCCCGGCTTGCATTTACTCTATTTTAACTTCATTCACCCACTACCCACTCGAGTCCTCGACCCGATCCGCTCTAACATCAGTCCTCGTCCTCCGCATGGCCGCTACCGAACGAACCCCTCCCCTCCCCCCGTACATCATCATCCGCACCGGCGCCGAGCCTTATTCTCAATGACACGGCTCTCGAACTTCCCCATACCCCGATTATCTTGGTATCACGATGCCATCGCATCGTCGCTCTCTCGGGCCCTCGTCGGGTCCTTTTGTCGTCGCGCCGCCGCGCAAACATGCACATGTCCTCCCTACCCTAGGTAGTACTCCCCCAGACTGTGTCGTCACTGGTGCTTCCTCAGGCCTTGCCTGCGTTTGCGTGTGCGACCGATGACGCTGTCTCTGCGCTCTGTCGTTGCAAAGGTTAGAAACATGTCGGCTCCGCCCGCATCGCTGGTTACACATTCGTCGCTTCCTCTCATCACCACCACACTCAGTCAGTCCATGGCTGCGACACCTCCTCGTTGTGTCTCAATTCTTACTGCAAGCCTATTTTTAAGGAAAAATGACTGTAATTCCCGAAACGATTCAGCTACTCACCACCGCATAAACGGTGACTAGGCCTGTCCTGCCGCCCCCGGGTCTTTTGCCTCGATGCCACGCATCTCGAGCTGGTCATCGAGTCATGCCGCTAATTAGGCTCACCCAATCTCCGTCCCTCATCCATTTAGATGACAAACGAATATGCCATAAAAACGAGAAGAAGGTGCTGCGTAAGGATATACATGGCATTTTCCCGCTACTGTGCGTTGCATGAGACCGTTTGTGACACGAGTTGCCACTGTCCAAGTCCCAGAAGCACACGTTGTCAAGCGGAGATGTCCATCTCGGCAGCTCCCTGACCACATCTCGTAACCCATATCAGCCAGGGCCTAACATTCTCACTGACTAGCCTCCTCCAACTATCCGTTCACTAGTTAAATCCTACATGCCTTGAGGTAGTATTTTGCGTCGCCCTGCCTGCCCCGTCTACCTACATGTGTACTTATCTATGGCGGGTGGGCAGTCTAGATGCGTCCAATTTCGATAGCTCGCTCCAGGACTAGTTGAGGACTACGGCTCTTGGACCCAAGGATCGAGATGGCTCTGCGCGTGGAAATAAGAAGCGGCTCGGGACACGAGGAACAGGTAATCAAAAAAAAAATAGCCTCGATGGAAAGTCTGCAGCACAAACGCCTGCGCGCCCAAGCCACAATATGAGACCGAACTATCCGTACAAATATGCAGACAAGAATATACCATGGCGACAATTATTGACTAGTTTTATTATACGCTCCGGGTTCAATCTGTCATACAGCGGCACTCGCTAGCGCCCTCCAGTACATGATATTCCTCGCGCTTTCTCTGTTCAATGACGGAAATAAACCACTTTGCTTCCACCCATCCATCAACACAGCGGCTATCGCCACACACTCGCCGAAGCCCTCTTCTTCATCTCTCGTCCTTGGTCGCCGATCATGGCCGCGACGAGGAAGACGAAGAGGAAGAAGAAAAACAGGGCAGCACATTTCACACAGGCACCCTTGTGCGCCATGCCCGCATAGCTATCCCCTCTCACTTCTGTTGCACCGACTGTCTGAGGCTGGGACGGAGGCGGGTTGACTGATCACACTGGTCGGTCGGTGTGTGGCTTGCAAGCAGGACCATCCGTTCGTTGCTCTTGCATCCGTGTGGCAGCAACAGCCTTCTTTCTTCTTCTTTCTTTCTAGCAAATGTCAGGCACTTTTGTCTGCACAGGCACAACAGAGCCTATCTAGGGTCATGGACGCGTCGCATGATAGACAGCTTCTCGTCCACCACCTCAACCTGTTGCGAGCTCAGCTTCGGTCGCCAGTCTTGCTGTAAATTGTCACGGAAATCCCTGCACGGCCCGGTCATGGCTTATCATGCATCTGCCTTTGTTTTGCTTTTCCGCCCAACATCCTTTTTTTCTTTTCGCAGACGTGGGCATTGGGGAAGGGATCGGAGGACCCTGGCGTCATATGTCACCGCGGTGGATTCCCAGCCCGTCTCCATACACATTCATTAGGAAGTTGATCATCGTCGCCCATGGAGCAATGCAGGCGCACCATGCAAGGCCAACAAAAAGCGCAACTCGCCGCCAGACATTTGTCTTGCATAAGAAGAGGAGTCGTGTAGTTGCGCAAAAGTACGGTTACGTAGCGGGTGTGCAGGCTCTCAAGGAAGGTCCCCTCCCCCTCCAGCAACTTTGCTCGGTTCTCGCTAAAAACTGGCTTGGATGGTGTGGCTGGCTGATCGCGCAACTCGGCCTGCACTGCATCCGATGAGATGAATCGTCGGCGTCGTGCTTCATGCCTTATCCGGTCACCTTTGCATTGTCGTGGCATTCCCGTCTTGCCTGAATACGAACAGGACTTCAGAGACTTGTGTGATTACGATGGTCACGTGGGAATTTGCCATCGTATTTTCTTTCTGAGCATGAGAAAAAGTGCAAATTGTACCTACAGCTCGCTGTCGAGTTAGTGTATATACATAGCAGTTTCGCTTGAGCTCACCCAAAAACCACGAATATCCGCAACACGAAACCACGACTTACTAAAAAACATTTGTATTATGGATGAAAAACAACCCATTTATAGATATCATGTCATGAGTCAAGCTGGACGTTTTCGGTAGCGTTTGTGCTGTTATGTTTATTTTCGTCGATTCATGCCATGTCCAGGGTAGCGACATTGCGAGACTGGACGCGACACCCCAGTCTTACACGCAACGCGTCCACGAGAACCCCCACATCACATCAACCTCTTCAAGTCAAGTTCAGCCTAAGGAAATCAATTGGATCAATTTGGTGTGTATGCTATACAACAAGAGAAGGCCAGCACCCCTTGCAACCAATATAAACCTGTCGCAATGTCGTAGCATGCAAGGCCTCTCTTTAGTATCGGTCATTGTCATATCCGTCGTCGTCTCGTCGGCGTCGACCAGATCCCCCGTGCTCCCGCCGACCACCATATTCATCGTCCTGGCCGTACTCGTCCCGTCCGCCATACTCATCCCGTCCACCGTACTCATCACGGCCGCCACGCCCCCCCTCGTGTCTGCCTCCGTAGCTGTCATCGCCCCGACCGCCATAGTCGTCATCGCGCCGCGACCCATGTCCGCTGCTGCGGCCATAGCTAGCCTCCTGCCGTCCCCCGGAGCTTTCTTCCCGGCCACCGTAACTGCTCTCGTCTTTGCCGCCGTAGCTGCTCTCATGTCTGCCACCATAGCTCTCCTGTCTTCCGCCGTAGCTTTCCTCTCTTCCGCCATAACTGCTCTCTTGTCTGCCGCCGTAGCTATTCTCCTGTCTGCCACTGTAGCCACTGTCGCTTCCACCTCCATAGCTGTCCTCCTGGCGTCGACCATATCCGCCGTTTCCGCTGCTACCGCCGTAGCTACTGTCGTTTCTACCACCATAGCTGCCCTCTCGGCGGTTGCCGCTGTCATGTCTTCCACCACCATAGTCATCATCTCTCCTTTGACCGGAGCTTCCGTACGAGTCGGAATCCTGCCGACGGCCACTGTCCTGTCTGCCACTGTCCTGTCGACCATAGCCACCCCCACTGCCACTGCCGTAGTCCTGTCGGCCACCGTCGCCGGTTCTACCACCAAAGTTACCCGAGCTCTGATCCGGCCGATTTTCAGTTCGGCCGCTGCTGTATTCCATTAGAGCCTGAGGGTTGCCTGGAAGGAAAGGGCTATTCATACCTGCCCTCTTCCTCGTCCGGGCTAAAGATGGATTTAATGAATCCTTTCAAGCCACCGGATTCCTCCTTCTCCTGCCTACCAGGCAATTGAATACCGGTTTGCTGCTCCACAATATCGGAAACCATACCACTGGCGCTTGTGAAAATGGCATTGGCTGCAGCACTGGCAATCTTGGTCTCCAGAGTGTCTGGCGCGCCATAGAGCTTACGCATTTCAAGCTTTCCAACACAGCCGTGGCCGTGGCCAGTGTCATAAACGCCCTCCTTGTGGTTATTTCCGTTCTGCACACCCTCGCGGGAAAGCTTCTGGCGATAGTCGTCGCGCTGGTCATCGCCCATCTGACCCCACCATTCCTCGACGACCTGGAAGATCATCTGGCGTGCCTCGCTGACACCATCATCACCCATACTTCTCTGGGCAGGGTGGTGAAGCACACCATAAATTAGGCGGTCACATAGACGATTCACGTCGACGTTTTCATCGTCAATGGCCTCCATCAACTGCGGAACAGCCCAAGAGACAGTCTTGGCAGCACCTCGACCGGCAACCTCGTTCAGAATCTACATCGGTTAGCAAATCCATTGCTTCATGGACATGTGCTTTCAAGAGGGGGCTCACGTTGGAAAAATGATCCTTGGAAAGCATGGAGTGGGTGGGGTTGGTGCTATTGTCATCATTGAAAACAACATGCTGCTGGTTCTGACTGCTCGTGATAATCTCCTCGGAACCAGTTTTGAGTTCGTTACGAATCTGTCGAATTAAAGGAACAATGAATGGGGCCATGATGGAGAAGACAAACTGGGTGAGTTGCTCTTCCAGCTGCTCAATGATCTTGGGTAGGACGGGGATCTTGTCGATGGCATTACCGATGGTCTTCATAATGTCATCATGAAGCTTGATGGCAGGCATGATTTGGTCAAAAATATTTTTGACGTAGACTGTGAACTCCTCGGGGTCTTTTGGCGAGACAGAGGTGTTTTGCATCTGGGCCGCATTGGCATTCTCCTGAATTTCGTCGATTTTCTGCTTCTCCTTGCCGCCACCAAGGATGCCGTCGGGGATCTTGTCAAGGAGATCGCGAAGGAAACTGGTATCAGACTGCTTACGTTGCTCCAGTGCTCCTTCGAGCTCCTCAATCTCGTTTTGGGTCAGCTTGTCGGACACTATGCAGCGTTAGTATACAAGCACTGGCGATGAACGGTGGAAGGACTAACCTTCGCCAGTAACAGAGTGCAGAAAGTCGACACCGCCGAAAGTACCTGTCACGATAGGGTATACGGAGTCCTGTGCACCTTCGAGCTGGATCTTGGTGTTAGTTCCACAGTGAGGGAAGATGTCACGCTCGCCCATTTCGATGAGGGCAAGTTCGGTGTAGTTGCTGTGCGCAAAGAAATCTGTAAAGCAGGTTAGACTGTGGAAGTGGTGCGACAAAATTTAGAAAAAAAAAATCATGCCCTCTAAACAGTGCAGGCCGGTGCCCATGAGGCGGAGAGCCTCGTTGCGATCGGCTTTGTCACTATTCTGTTTGTAGCGACGGCCAAGCTCGATGCAGCGGGTGAAAAGATTACGAACATGCTTGGCCGAGGTCATGATGTTATCAGATTCGGAAGCGATGTATTTCTTCATTCCGTTGCGCTCATCGATGGAAAGTTCAGCGTCCTCGTCGACGGGACCTCGGAGGCGATCGTAGTACTCGCGGGCATCGACATTTTCGGCGTAGTCCTTGGGGTTATCAATGTGGTCTTCGGGGCGGTAGCAGCCAACGCGATCGGTCGTGACTTCGAACTCGCCGGAGCCATAACCAAAGGTCATGAAGCCAAGAACGCAGAGGAGTAAACGGATCGCCTCGGCGGAAACAGCCTTGACAGTGCCGACGTCGATGGCCTGAGAGTAGTCGCGAAGCCAGTTACCAAAATAGACACGGGAGACCATAAGCTTGCTGAACTTTTTGCCGTTGAAGGCTTGTGCCATGGCAATGGAGAGCAGAGCATCTTCAATGTCACCGTGGCGCCCTATGTGAAAATCTGTCAGTTACGCCGAGCGGGCGAATGGCGAGGCAGATGACAAGCGAATGACTGACAGTTTTGCCCTTCGACTTTTGAGATGGAAGCGATATTTCCAGCACCGAAGGCGGCGGCCGGGCTTGCCAAGGCGGCAAGGATGACGAGACCCAGCAGCAGACCCGGAAATCGAAAGCTGGACATGGTGGAGGTGTAAACAGTGTAAGGTGTTCTCTGGGGGGTGCAGTGACTTTCAGGAGGTTACGGCTGCGGGTGCGGTTAGAAGGGTTGATGAGGAGACGAAGATTCAACCAGGTGCAAGGAAGAAACAGGAGAAACGAAAGCGTGAAAGAGGGAAATGAAGAAGAAGTGAAGACGGGAGAAGAGGAGGGGGCCGCGAGCAAGGAGGGGTTCGTGCTTGGCGGGGGAGATGGTACGTCAGTCAGTGTACAATAGGCGTTTATGAGGCAAAGCACGCGGCAGGGCACAGCGTAAGCAGTGCACGACTATCAACAGCGAAGTTCTCCAGCGCATAGTTGTACGAGACGTTTTTTTAGCGGAACCAAAAGACCGGTGAAGTTACGCGGCGACTCGGATAGTGGTGCGAGGGGCAGAAAGCAACAGCACTAATCGAGGGGCACGAGCTTTGAGTGGTTGGTGATAGTTTAGAAGGAGAGAGTTAGGCCGCTTGTGGCAAGTTTTGGGAGGGCTGGGAGGGGAATAAAGGGGCCGCTAAACTCGCGAAGCTTATTATTATACTTTAAGCGTTTGAGTAGCATACTAATTGGAGGCCAGTGCCTGGGATAGATGACGATGTGCAGTGATTGATGGCGCTGCGGATGGCAGGGCGGGGAGGTGGCGTACAGAATTACCCAGGTAAGTCAAAGTATGACGAGGGATTGGGCTTGTCAACAGAGCAGTTTGAATTTGATGAATGTTGGTCGAAATTGCATGCAGAGTATGATTTACAAGTATCATCGCTTCAATATTTCCACAGCAGCCCAAGGCCATGGATTTGAGGCATTGACGTTGGAATTGCACAAGCAAGCTGAGACCCTGAATCGGTAAAGCGGGGCTCCTATCAGCTTGCTGGTCAGAGGCAACAAGTGCAGCCTCAGGCCTCCACTAAACTGAACACTGCTTTGTTTATGCTGCGACGCGTAACTGCAGATCATTAACGTGTTTCAGAACGCAGATTCACACCACCTGTCGACGAAGAAGAAACAACGGAGTCTCTGCAGCTTGCAGAATGCTCTTCAATTCTGAATGGTATAGGTGCAAGTTGAAATAGAAGAGATGCGTTATCTCCTGTCGGCATGGCTCGGCGTAATCAACGCCCAGTGATTACTTGCTAGTGACACGACAGTGGTTGAATGAACCCTACCTATTGAGTGAAGCAAATAGAAATGCACAGTCCAAGCCGGTAGCCGCTGAGAGACTGATTAGCAAGAAGACTTTTTTGCCCAGTTGAAACTCCCATCACCAACTCGTTACGGCTGCCGAGGCAGGCTTGACGACCATGTGCTACCCTGTTGGTTTATACACCAGGCATGCACTGGCAAAACAAGTGCGTTGAAAATGCCCAATAATTTCAACATGAATCTACACCGTGATTAAATAATCAGCTGAGTCGTGACAGTTGGGACCGGATGGTAAAATGACAAGTTTGTCGCGGCGGACGATATCAAAACGCAACTTCCGTGACAGAGAGTGCAGACGGAGACCGGCTTTTGTACTCGTCGTTTATCGCGAGCTAGAATGGCTTCAACGGCCTACCTGGCTAACGGCGACTGTAAGAACCGCATGTTCCGCTAACATCATACAGCGTAGCAATGGTGACGTTGTAGGCCCCTGATCGGCCTACGCTTTGTACCTAGGGAACTGGTTGGCAACGAGGAACCAACACCTGGGAGTTGACTAAACTACGGCTTGTGTAAGATTTTGCTGGCTGTTGTCTGTATAGCTCGCTGGTAATGGGCGTCGAAGCTGCAGTGGCCGGTGTAATGTGCTAGCCTGAGTTCAGTAATTTTCGTTGGCATATCGCAGACCTCAGCGCTTCATCATTAATCAAACAGGTTTGGGCACCTATCGTTCTTGCGTTCAGCAGCCAAGCTCAGCAGCCATGCTGAAGGCCAAACGCCGGTAGAGAAGGTTAGCGGTGTCAGGTAGCCAGCACGGGGATACTGGAGTGTCGCAGTGCTGACACGCCGAGTGAAGCAAGTGAGGGGTAACAGAGCCGTGCTGAGAATTACACTCTGTGCATGTGGAAGCCTGAAGCCGCTGGAACGGCAGCAGACTGTCAGCCCAACTGAAGAGCCCGACCGGGAACTCTGGGCTTTTCGGTCAGAATCCTCCCGCCCAACCCAGTCACAGTGCCACAAGGCCGCGCCGCAATTTACAAGGTGCCGATGGCTACAGGGCTTCGCCAAAGTCGCCGCGAGGTCTTGTGAGATCAAAGTCGAGTCCTGGCCAGCGGTCAAAAGGGCCATTGGGAGTCGTGCTAGCATCGACGCGACACCGCAGTGGCTGCAAATAATTCCCGTGTAAGACTGCTGCTCATTGAATCATTCACTAGAGCTGTTTTAACAACTGCAGTAGCAACACAATAGATTGAAGTACACACAGCAGTTAGTCGAGTACACGCTGTATACCGCAGCTGGGCGTAGGCGCACTGGGTGTGGTGGAGAGAAAGTCATTTCGAGAGAGAGTGAGAAACCTCAGAGGTAGGTATGTACAGGGGTTGCGGGAGACAACGGGAGACGGCATAAAAGGAGTGCTATGGCGAGATGGAGGCGATCGTTGGGGACGGACACTCAGAGCAACAGCAGGCACATGCTAGCTTTAATTGCTTCTGGCCTGGAAACTTCAGTGTGCGTGGCGTGTAAAACCAGGGCGTGATACGGAGGTGAACGCGGCCGTTATGCCAGTTAATAAGTTGGTTACACGGCCAGGAACGCTTGTAGTGAGGTCGCTGTTACGAGGCTTCCACGTTCAATTTCCATGCGCCTGGGCTGCTGCAGCTGGTGGGGCATGACCCTGTAGGCCAGCACCTCGGCAAGCGAACTAGCGACTCTGTGGTAGGCCTTTGCAGTGCCACTGCTGTTTGCGGCTGGGCAGCTGCAGGAGAGAGCGCGCTGGAGCTCTGTGATACAGTGAGTTCCGGTAGCGGCGAAGGGGGGGCAAGTGTGCAGGTTCGGTCGACGGTTTGCCCATGAGGGCACTAGGCATGAACGGGACCGAATAGCGAGACACTATTCAAACATACCACCAGAGCTCAAAGCCGGCCAGGCTACAGTACTAATGTGCTATCTGGCCGGCGCGCACAAGAGCGAGCAAGGAGGGAGAGGGGGCGATGTGGGCGATTAGCAGGTACCTGTATGGCCAAACAGAGGTAAGCCACCAGCACTTGTCCAGTGCAAAATTTTCCTGCGCGACACAACCCCCTCCCCTTCTAGGCTAGCTGCGTCCAGGCACCCCCCCTTCACACCAGCGTCACCTCCCTAGGTAAAAATAACAGCGCACACCTCAACCATCCTCAACCATCCCTAACCACCAGGACCGCTGCGCTTACCCCGCTGGCTCTGAGCCGGCGTCGCGCTGATTGTGCACCGCCTGTGGCTCCAGGCTCGAAAGTACTTAATTGGGGCGCCACCCACCCGTTATGCCCCTTGCCCAGCCCCCCCGAATTTTTTTTCCAGATCACTCGCTGTCCTCTGATTTTCCAGCACCCCTCTGATCCCCTCTCCCAGGCTTCACTGAAATCTTCTCTTTCCTCCAGCACCTCACTCTCCCCCAAGCCTCCCGCCCAAAACCTCCAGCTCCACCATCACCACCGCCCGTCAACAGCGTCTTTCCGCTATCGCGTCAGTGGACTTTTTAGGCCTTTGTGATACCTCTGCAACTTCTCTCTGCTCTGGATTACAGTGCCACATCTGAAGCTTGAACCAATCCAACCAGCTTCAATCAAACGGCCAACGCTCCCCCCGGATCTGGCCTGTATATTCTCAACGTTCAACAAAGAACCAAGTCATTCATCACGATATGCCTCGCCCCGCCAAGAAGGCCGACGACAAGCTCAAGGGAGTCATTCCTGCTACCACCATGGTGATGCCACCCGTTATTGCTGGTCTCGTTCCTCCTGTGAACCCCAGCGCCGGTCCTCGTGTGGTTGATAACGAGAGCTTTTTGCGTGTCCGCGACTCCGTGAGTAGCCTCATTTTTTCTTCCCTTTTCAGCTCTGTATATACTTGAATATCCCCTCCTCGCCACCCTGCCTCATCCGCCCAATGTGTGCTGGCCTTGCTTGGGTTGGCGCATCGGACCTTGGTGTAACAGCTTGGTCGCGCCAGAGCAAAGCTTCATTCAGTGCCTAGCTAGCTAGCTACAGCTGGCCAAGCTGTTGCTTGACTTTTTGAGCTACGAGAAGCGGCGGCAACTTTGGCAGCAAACGGCTTTTTTGGAAATTGCAAACAAATGCGAGTCCACGCCCTTTACACCATTTTTCTCTCCCATGCACAAATCGTCAATTTTGCCTACATTTTTCTCCGTTTGTTTCCCTACGCAGCTGTCGCTGGCACGAGACGCGACTGGACTCTGTGTTGTTTACATGCGCCCCGCGAACACCCAAGCCCCAGCGCGTTCCCCCACTGCCCATCGGGTCTGGCTGGTGTCTCTTGCCTGGCCGCTAAAGTACGGCAGCTCTGCCAGCTTGGCCGCTATCCATCACCTTCACTAGCCACCTAGGTAGCTTCACCACCGCTTGCCACTACCAGTACCTATCATCTCATCGCGTCGTCTCCCTTCCCCTGTCCATTCAACCTTGTTCATATTTATTTGGTTATCTTTTCTGGTCTTGCGCTATTGAACAATGGCTTACACTTATCAGGCTGTCAGCCGTCTCTCTACTATTCTGGAGCTCCTCCGTTCCTTCACCAATGATTACATCCGCCAGACTAGCCTGCTTCTCGGTGAGCAGCAAGGTGATGTCAACGAGTTGATCAACAGCTTCGACCCCAGTGCCGCCGCCGCCGGGCTCATGCTTCCCGTTGGTGACCTGGCTGCGCCTCCAGCTGAGGAGAAGAAGGAGCGCAAGAAGCGCACTCATGATCCCAACGCCCCCAAGCGCCCTCTTACTCCCTACTTCCTCTACATGCAGCACGCCCGCTCCATCATCGCCAACGATCTTGGTGCCGAGGCCCCCAAGGGTGCTGTTCAGGAGGAGGGCCAGCGCCGCTGGGCCAATATGACCCCCCATGAGAAGCAGGGCTGGAACAATGCCTACCAGTACAACCTCCGCCTCTACAACGCCCGCGTTCACTCGTACAAGGCGGGCAACCCGGAGGCCAAGAACATGACGGATGAGGGTGCCCTCAAGTACGCCGAGGAGTTTAGCATTCCCATGCCGGACCTCAAGGACGCCTCCAAGACGGAAAATGTGCAGGCAGCCATCGCTGAACAGCTGCAAGACGACTCGGCCAAAACTCCCAAGAAGAGTGCAACGGGTCGTAAGCGCAAGAGCGATATCCCCGTCACCGAGGTCGAGACTCCCAAGGGCGGCCCTGCCAGCCCTGACAAGAAGCGCCGGCGCACGTCCACCAAGGCTGTTGATGACAAGGATGATGGCAAGAAGTCGGCGCGCAAGAACAAGAAATAATGTCTTGAGATGGGACTTGTGCAGCTCGATTCACACGGCGCATTTTTTCTTCGAAGCGTTTGCCTTTTCTTTCTCGCGGTTCTTTTCAATACTCACACTGTTATGATCGGCTGCCGAAGCGGCCACTTTTACATGGTTGAGGAACCAACACGTGTTGAGGCGACATGCCATTCGTGGCTCTCATAGTCCTGCGCGGCGCATGTCCCCTCACGTGTGAGCTGTACTAGCCTCGCCCGTCCTGCGCCTTGTGAGGCAATGCACAGCATGTAGCTGCTTGCTGCCCGCTCTTCTACTTTACTATATTTATCTGTTCTGGGATGGGGGTACCTGGCGGCGGGTCAGGTCCGGAAGACGCTTGTGCGCAGAACCAAAACTTGACGGTATACTATTTAGGGCCTTGTTTTTTTGCCTAGTTTTGTTTATATTTTCTTTCGGCGCGAAGTTTGGCGGGACAGGGGAGGGATATATCTGGTTAGGGCACTCTGGCGAGGTTCGCTGTGAACGAACCTTTTTGATGACTGTACTTAGCGGGAGCACTCGGTTGTCGAGAATGCCCGGTAATGAAAGCAATGATTTTTCTTGAACATTTCCAGTTTTCTAGGCATGCTATTATGCGTAGGAGGATGGACATTTATTGTCACGTAGTTGGACTTTCCATTTCGGTCACGGGAAGCTGCAGGTTTCTTTACTGATGAAATCAAGTTGGTATTTCCGCCAATTCTAGCAAAACTCGCTGAACAAGCCATGAAATGATGAAAAGCTCCCAATGAAATGGCACTGGTGTGAAACCACACATACACCACCACGAACACGGACGGGGTAAGTACACGTACAGCCTTCCCATCCAAGACAACGCATCTGCCGCCTGCCTGGCCGCTGCCCACCCACACACATCAAAACACGTAATACGCCTGCGTCAAGGGTAGAGTCTCGGCGGGCTCGGCGGTGCAGACCTCGCCGTCGGCCTCGACGGTGTAGCTCTCCGGGTCGACGCGCATGCGGGGCATGGCGTCGTTGAACTTCATGTCGGCCTTGCCGACGGAGCGGCAGCCATGGACGGCCTCGACGCGCTTGCGCAGGCCGTACGAGGCGACGGTGCCCGAGGCGACGGCAGCCTGGGAGACGAAGAGCACGCTGGTCTCGGGGACGAGCGGCGCGAACATGGGCCGGCCGATGACGGGCTGGACCGTGGGGATGGACGCGTTGGGGTCGCCCTGGCGGGGAGTTTGCTTGTCAGCGTTCATGCCTTTTTTTTTCCTTGGTGCGTTTGTTGGTCGCAAACTCTACACAATAGACTGGTGGGAAGCTCAACAAAGAAAGCAGAAAAAAAAAAAAAAAAACTCACCATCTGCGACCAGGCTATCAACCCGCTCTTTATCACCTGGTGCGGCTTGGTGCCGAACCAGGCCGGGTCCCAGATGACCAGGTCCGCCAGCTTGCCGACCTCGACGCTGCCGACGAGGTGCGCGAAGCCCTGCGCGAGGGCCGGGTTGACCGTGTACTTGCTGACGTAGCGCTTGACGCGAAAGTTGTCCGCGCCGGACCCTTCGTCCTCGGGCAGCGGCCCGCGCTGGCACCTGTTCTTGTGCGCCGTGTTCCACGTGCGCAGGACGACCTCGCCGCAGCGGCCCATGGCCTGGGAGTCGGAGCTCATCATGCTGATGGCGCCGACGTCGTGGAGGACGTCCTCGGCGGCGATGGTCTCGGCGCGGATGCGGCTCTCCGCAAAGGCCACGTCCTCGGGGATGTCCTTGGAGAGGTGGTGGCAGACCATGAGCATGTCGAGGTGCTCGTCGAGCGTGTTGCGCGTGTAGGGGCGGGTCGGGTTGGTCGAGGAGGGGAGCACGTTGGCGCGCTCGACGACGGAGATGATGTCCGGCGCGTGCCCGCCGCCGGCGCCCTCGGTGTGGTACGTGTGGATGGTGCGCCCGCGGAAGGCGGCCACGGTCGACTCGACGAAGCCGGACTCGTTGAGCGTGTCCGTGTGGATCAGGCACTGCACGTCCATCTCGTCGCACACGGTCAGGCACGCGTCGATGGCCGAGGGGGTGGCGCCCCAGTCCTCGTGGATCTTGAGCCCGCACGCCCCCGCGGCCACCTGCTCCCGCAGCGCCGCCGGCGCCGAGTCGTTGCCCTTGCCCGTGATGCCTACGTTGACGGGCAGGGTGTCGCAGGCCCGTAGCATCTGCTTCATGAGGTGCTTGCCGGGCGTGCACGTGGTGGCATTGGAGCCGGAGCTGAGAGAGAGAGAGAGGAAAAAGGTGAGCAAGGGTGACTGACGTTCAGAAGAAAAAAGGCAGATCATCTTACCTAGGACCGGTCCCTCCCCCTAGAAACGTCGTCACGCCAGATGCCAACGCCTCCTGCGCCTGCTGCGGACAGATCAGGTGAATGTGCGTGTCGATGGCTCCCGCGGTGACAATCTTGTTCTCGCCCGCGATCACGTCGGTGCAGCTGCCGACGACCATGTTGGGCGCGACGCCGTCCATGACGTCGGGGTTGCCAGCCTTGCCGATGCCGACGATCATGCCGGCCTTGACGCCGATGTCGGCCTTGTAGATGCCCGAGTGGTCGACGATGAGGGCGTTGGTGATGACGAGGTCGAGCGCGTCGGCGTCCGGCCGCCCCGTCGCCTGGCCCATGCCCTCGCGTAGCGTCTTTCCGCCGCCGAACTTGCACTCGTCGCCGTAGGCCGTGCAGTCGCGCTCCACGCGCACCCACAGGTCCGTGGCGCCGAGCCGCACGCGGTCGCCCGTCGTGGGGCCGAACATGACGGCGTACGCGGCGCGGTCCATGCGATACGGCCGCGGCGCCCGCGGGACGCGGTTTGCTACCGCGCCTGCCGCTGCCGCTGCCCTCGTCGTCGCCGACCCTCTCCGCCGGGCTGTGCTGCCGTTGGTGATGCCGTTGGTCGTCTTCTCGTCGGGCTCGGGCAGGTGCGCGTATCCCTGCGCCTGCAGCCTCTCGACGATGTCGTCGACGCGCCACCGCTCGACGCCGCCGGTGGCCAGGCCGTTGCCGCCGCGGATGACCTGGTGGCCGGCGATCTCGACGAGCGTGACCGTCTTGGCGTCGCCGGGCTCGAAGCGGTACGAGGTGCCGGCGGGGATGTCGAGGCGGAAGCCGTAGGCGCGGCCGCGGTCGAAGGCGAGCTCCGGGTTGGCCTCGATGAAGTGGTAGTGGGAGCCGACCTGGATGGGGCGGTCGCCGCGGCTGGTGACGCGCAGGCTGATGCGGCGGCGGCCGGGGTTCAGGGTGATCTTTTCGGCCTTGAGCGGGACGAGGGCGCCGGGCTGGCGCGCGGGCGCGAAGGCGGCGGCGTCGAGCTCGGCGGGGAAGAGCGCGTCGGCCTCGGCGCCGCGCGGGACCGGCAGGAAGCTGCCGTAGAGGGCGCGGGCCAGGTCCCCATCGTCGGTGCTGATGGGGTTGTGGACGGTCACCAGGTAGGTGCCGGTGGGAAAGGTGCCCTCGACCTGGATCTCGCGCAGGGTGTGGCAGACGGAGGGCATCACATGCCGCCGGCCGAGCATGGTGGCGCCGAGGGCCATGAGGTCGGCGACGGTGTGGTTGCCATCGCGGATGAGTTCTTGGATGTTGTTGGTGATAAGGGCCTAAGATGACGCCAAGATCTCATGTTAGCTTTTTCGTGTTTTTTTTTTTTTTGCATTCTTAATTTTTTTTTAATCATTCATTGATAGTGTTGGGTGGATAATCGGTAGTAGGGGTCTTGGTGGTGTAAGTCCCCGGCCCCGAGAGTCGGAGCGCCAAGTGGTCGGCGGGTGGATTCGAAAAGATAAGAAAGAAAGAAAGCAAGCAACACAAAGAAACGTACCGTCGCCTCGGCATGGTTAAGCTTGACTCCTCGCGCCAACCTCCGCTGGGCAAGCAGACCAAGCTGTGAGATGACGAGCTTGTCGAGCTTTTTCGCCGCCCAACTGTTAGCCTTTCGTCTCTGTTCTGTCCCTTGCCTTGATCAAGAACAAGAATGCTTGGCAAACGTACCTCCTTGGGTACAAGGTGCATCCTTTCTCTGCGGCTCTTCTTAGTGGTGGGCTGGAGTCCCCCTTTCGTGTCGTCAGCGGTTCCGGATTGGGAAGAAACGTTGGCCAGGGTGCGTGCATGCCCCAAATCGGTACCGAGCGATCGGGGAATGAAACGGTCGAGAGCGAAAAGTCTGGGGAAAGAGAGATTACAGATGGAAAAGGAAAGGAAAAGAAAGGGAGAGGAAGGGAGAGGGAACAGGATAAGAGCAGGTCTGTCTAGAGAGCTACAGGCAAGCTAGAATGGAACAATCGGCACTTAGACAGCCACCAGAGGGCCGGAGTGGCCATCCCGAAGATAACGAGAGACAGACGGACGACGAGAAGAGGTGCGCCAGTCCAGAACGCCAGTCCAGGGGCCGACTGGCCGAGTAGCCGTGCCTGCGGAACCCCCGTCGCAGTTCTGGGGAGAATGCAGCCAGTGCGCCCCAGAGATAAGGACCAGAGCAAGGCCATCCGACTTGAGGCCGTTGTCCCAGACCGGTTAAAGTTGAGAGTTAGACCAGACGCTAGCTACAGTACATAGTTCCCGGCTCGCTCGCCCGTCCAAGGCAGAGCACACGGCCTTGCATTTTGCTGGGTTTAACTTTGTTTTTTTTTTTCTGGTTCTGAATGTTCTCGGGAACTGGATGCTCTCTCTCTCTCTCTCTCTCTCTATCTTGTGCAGCTTTTTGAGGAGGGGGGGGGGGGGGGAAGTCGACTGATACGAGGCTGAGGGGCTTGCTTGATGCACACGCACCAACTCTTCTTTCTGGCAAGCCGATGATCAACAAACGCTTGGGACACAGGCCAGAAATTCCCGCGTCAGAAATATCTAATATTTCTCAACTCTTCTCAATTTTAAATGTCGGCCCCCGCGCGGGTCATGTACATGGACGGAGGTCTCCGGGGAATGGACGCATATACCGGGGCATTCCTATCAACCCAAGCTCCCTTTTCCTTCCGGGTGGGTGGATATTGAGGTTCGTTGGTGCGGCTCTTTCATCAACTCCAGGGCAAGTTATTTCCACGCGACTTGTCAAGATAAACCAACATGCATTCAGAAAAAATCATCATGTTTCAACCTCCATCACCCATGTATGAACTAGCGAGCTTGACCATCAATCTTGACCAGCAGTGAGACTCGCACCGTACTGGACCAGTCTTCTCCGAGGGCTCTCCCAACAACCAACCTTCACACCCTCACTAATAAGAAAATGCACGCACGTACTGGAAAAACACTTGACCATCTGTCTCTCTCGCCACCCGACGACCTGGGCCCTGGCTCCTCGCATTGTCTCATCGTAGAGACGCTGTGTCACCCCGTCTTGCCCTGCCCAGCCTGCCGGGTCTAGACCCCAGCCCGGGAGACGCGGACAGGAAAAGGACGGGTTCGGATACCCAGGCAACGGAAGGAAGGGAAGAACGAGATGACGATGACGAGTAGCTTGGGGTGGCTTGGATAAAGAAGCCAACGGGGGTCCCTTGTGTTTCGGTGCCGACCTCGCTGTAAGTTAGTAGGGTCGGGCCGTCCGCCATCTCCGCCCGCCCCAAGTCGTACGTAGATCGTCTTCCCTTTCTTTCATTACCTAGTATATAGCGTTCCCTCTCCTAACCGGTTAGCCTCATCCATCGTGGCGGTCAGGCCGGCCGCCAACAGCTTCATCCCATATGCGACAACAAAACTAGCTTCCTACTAAACCTAGCCCACGCCTTAGCCGATGCGACTGTCTGTGGCTGCCCATCTTCCTTCCGATACGACATGATGCGTTGTCCAACAACACGTCGGATGAAGTTAGATTTCCATGCTGCCCTTCATGTCCGTTGAGCCTTTCATTTTCCGCCCGTCAGCAAGCCACAACGTCTCAGCTCACCACCACCACATCACTCACAGCCATATATGTCCTTTACTTCACCCCGGCTTTCACGAACTCTTGAGGCACAGCATGACCTCGCTGGAGCCTTGTAAATGTATGTGCGTGTTCCCGATGGGGTGACATCTCTCTGCTGCACCAGTGCCGGGTTTGCCGCGTTGTTTACACGGGAGTCACACGAGCGGGCATCATGTGTGTCGCCAACCGATGTAGTAGTATTCACCGTGTCTCATACCCCCCCTAGTGTCGGCCTCTACGGTAGGCAACCAGTGCAGTAACAAAAGGCCCAAGACGAACCCTACACCAAACTCCGATACAAGAATCTTGCTAACCCAACTGATAATCATACCACGGAAGAGATATCCTCTAAACGCCAGGCAAGACGTATGCCTGCCCTTGTAGTACCCAAATAAACAAACATGACCCCCTCCCTCCTAGACCTTCGTTGGCGTCGTTATCAGCGGAAAAAGAAAAAAAAAAGGCGCACCTCCATGCTAGAGCCTACTCCTCCTCGATATCCTCATCCCACTGTTCCTTTTCCTTCTTCATCAGATCCGCCATCTCAGCAGACTTGAAGATGGAGCTACCTTCGTCCTCCACTCGGGGCACCTTCCGAAGACTCTCATCCTCGAAAACGGACCCGATCGTGTCTATCCAGCGTCGTCGGCGCTCCATCAGCGTCTTGGTAAGATCGCCGATGCCCGGACGAGCCATACCCGCCGCAGCACCGGCGGCGTGGCTGCCGCCGCCTGCACCACCCGGCCGCTTTGCCTTCTTGCTCTTACCCATGGTCCGGGTTCTCTTGAGGTAGGCTGCCTGTACTTGGGAATCCAAGTCCTCCAAAATCGTCTGGTACTCCTGGTGGGCCATCCGCTCCCGTACGAGATCGGTGAGCCGCGCTTTGCGGGCACCGTTGATGAGCATCTGCTCCTTCAGCCGGGTTTGCAGCACACGTAGTCGGGCGGCAACCTCGTCGTCAAAGTGACCGTCATAGTCGCCATCTCCCTCTGGTGGCAGGAAGCCGATGTGTCTGAGTTCCTGCTTGAGTCGCTCCTCAACCTGTGCATACTCCATCTTCGGATGAGTTGCCTTTTTCCAGGCGTCCGTTGAAGACTCGGTCATGTAGGTGGCTGGAGGCATCGCCTTATCGTCGCCCGCAGGCCCATGGTCATCGCCGTCGCCATTTACGCTTGCGTCGCCATTAATCCCGTTCGTCGCCGCTCGTTCTTCCGTCACCTGCTGGCGATTCTCGGGACGCAGAGCCTGCAACAAGCGCGATGCGAGAGGCCCAATAGAGAGCCCGTCAGTCTCGGCGACAGCGTCATTCATGTTCTCAATGGTACCGCGAGGAATGTTGGGCGAGAGCTTGTCTCGCCCTTGCTGAGGCGAGTCCAGAGACATGGCTCCATCGTCTTCCGCCCAGATTTCAGTATAGTGTCGCTTGCCTCGCTTCGGCATAACAAATGGTGAGGCTCGGTCGCCGCGCTCTCGTAGGAAGGCGAGATCTTCTTCGGAGAAGGGTCTAAAGAATGGCTCGATGTAGGTACTGAAGGTTGAAAAATTGATTTGACTGCTTGGTTTTGCGTTGCTGAAATCCTTATCCGGGGGATCGCCTGCAATGAGATCGGCGAGGTCACTCTGCGGGTATACGGCGACTGAGTAAATTTGCTTTCGCAGCTCCTCTGGGATGCCAGGGTAGACTTCGCGAACCTCGTATATGGTCGGGTCGGGGAAAGTGGACGGGTCTTCGCCAAACGTTTGCGCGGCAGGCATCTCTCGCTTTGGTGGCGCGCCCTCGTCTTCGGAACTGGATTCATCCTCATCACCCCCTTCCTTTTCCTTCTTGTCCACATCCATGGCAGTCGGGGAGCCAGCAGCATTGGGGGACAGAGGAGAGCTGGGAGACCCGGCTCGCCTTTGCTTTGAGTCCCGGACTGGCGAGGATTGATCTGTGAAGAAGAAAAGTCAACGTTGGCATATGCGTCTTGAATGCACCGGCTGTTTGCGACGTGTGCAGCGCGAGGATGCCGCAAGGGCACTTACCACCTCCGTCCTGGGCATCGCCCTTCTTGCGCTTATGCTTTACTTTCTTGCCTTCAGGTTCCCCATTGGCATGCATTCGATCAAAGTCATCCGGGCGGTTCTTGCGCTCGTCTGCTAGATGTCGCATGCCACGATCGTAAAAGGTGGATCGCTTCTCCATGATGTTGGTAAGACTCTTGAGCTTCTCGAGCATGGCGTCGACGGTTTTGGAGTCGGGAACGGTCGCGTTGGAGGCTCCATGATCGACCAGGTCCTCGTAGTTGAGGTTTGCGAACAAGATGACACGGGTGTTGAGGTAGTCGGGGTCGTAATACTCTGCTGGCGGGAGGGAGGAGGTGGCGGCGGCGGCGGGAGCGGGGGTTGTATTTCGGCTTTGCTTCTGCATCGCGGCGTTTTTCTTGCTGGTTCCCTTTTGACTGGATCCGGGGGCCATCCTGGCGCAAGACTGGCTCAGCACCAGAGCTTCATGGAGATACTGCCGATGGAATGATGGGAAGATGATGTCGGCTGAGCTTGTCTGCTGTGGATGAGTCGCGCCTTGAAAGCGTGTTGATTGGCGCTGTTGATTGGTGGGATGGGGCGAGATTCAGGATTGGGCTAGACTGGAGGCGGATTATTGATGCGCCGGATGCTACAGTGGGCGCCAGGTATCTGACCTGACCTATCCCCACGATAGTTGAGATAGCCAAAGATACCTAAGAAATGTGAAATGCCTAAAATATGTAAAATACCTAAGATATGTAAAATACCCAAGATATGTGAAATACCTAAGATATGTGAAATACCTAAGATGCCTAATAAGAGAGGGTGAGATACCCAACAGGGGACGAATACATGTTGCCGCCCACTGTAGGCACGGGCTGTAGGTACCGGCTGTGGTCTAAATAGGCAGAGATGTAATCTGCATATTTGTTAAAATGCGTTTCCCGCCAAGTACTCTCCGAGAGTCTAACAACGTCTCTCGAAATTGGGCAACGACTCAGCCTATCAGCTTCGGCCATAGTCGCGAGCAGCCCGCCCAAGGCCATCTGGGGCTCGTGCCTCGGCGGTAGGCCTAACTTTTGCAGCAACTATAAAGACTGCATCGCAGGGAAATCACACGGTGGTGGGCTGCATCAACCTCGCGCTGTACGGCAACAAGGACGTCCGCGCCGCGCTCCATGACACGGCTAGTGGAAGCAGCAAGGGCTGTGACGAGACGGGTTTCCTAGTTACTCAGGGCCGGGGCGCGACGACTACTTTACGCTCGCTTTACTCTACGGCCTTTTGCTAGGCTCTTAGTAAACTTTGAAGTGTGTAGTGTTCGTTACGTTTTGAGTGTGTATATTTTCAAATGGATTAACTAGTATAAGTTGTTTATAGTGTACTTAGCATTTTCAAGCTTCCTTTGTCGCGGAAGAAATTGCAAGTCAAACTTTCGGCAAAATCGTCTTGGTGTCTTCCCGACTAGCAGCTTTTTATCCATAGAAATTCAAGAGTATAACTTACTAGTTGGGTAGAAGACGATCCCCGCCGAACTTTAATAAGGGATGCATTTGAAGGTTAGCTGGAAGAAGGCGCCAAGAGCATTGTGTCTACCTACACAGGCCCGGGGTTATCCAATGCTCTCTCTACAACAACAAATGACTGCCTTTTGTCAAAGAATGTAAATGGAAAGAAACTTTCAATAAGAGACCGCAAAAGGATATGATTTGCTCGGCTTAAGAAATGCCCAAAAAAGAAACGTACAGCACCCGGAATTCGCTGGTCGTCACCGAACCAACTACTACTCGGGCGCTCGAGTGGTTATCGCTCGGAGATCAGACGGGATCCAGATTTATCACTCGGCTATGGCCGTACATACTAAGCAGGTATGTTATTAGAGTCTATATAGGAATTTCCCATCTTACAGTACAAGTAGCTCCTGATTAATTTAATAAACGACCGTGGCTTCTAATATGAATTCTTTCAAGTATGAGGGTCCGTACTTGGAGTGTTCCTGGTAGATACGGAGGAGTGTATTATGACGACTTCTATCACCCTACCGAAAGAAGCGAGGGAATTACGACCAAAGGAACTCATACATGGCGTATTGGATATTGAGCTTTCGAGTGAGAGGCAGAGGCATATTCGGCAGCTCTAAATAAAAATTATACAAGGTGTGTGGCTGGCGCCACCAGGATTAATTACCTTTTTCCAACGGGCCACGAGGCAGCCACCTTAAAAACAGAGCCACACCAGCAGGTCGCGCTCACAAAGTATAAATAATGGCCTTCTCCCGCCTCTGTGATGAGAACAATAAAATATTTCACGCATCTGCGAAACACATTACGAATTTGCACACTATACGACGTACTGCATTCCTGAACTTGACTCTTTATCTAGGCTGGACTGAGCTTAAGATCTACTTTGTTTTCTTTCACAAGATCACCCTTCATAGCATCACCCTTCATAACATCACCCTTCATAACATCACCCTTGCTCGACACGATGTCTACCCAACAGGTGCCAGCGAAGGACGAACCGGTCACAACATCCATTGCCAAGTCCGCCGAACCATCATCGCTAGACAAATCCGTCAAAACATCCATCATCATTTTATCAGACACTCATGGCATGACCCTCGACGGGAGGGTTCTGAGCCAGGTCGCAGACGTCTGTATTCATGCGGGAGATTTGACTGAACAATCATTATTAGAAGAAGTTCGGACCACAATCGCGCTACTATGCAGGATCAAAGCGCCGCTAAAGCTCGTTATTGCCGGAAACCATGATTTTACACTCGACACCTTGAGTTTTCAGAAGAAACTCCAGGCAATCCAGCCACCTCTCGAACCAGATCTAGTGAAGAAATCTTACGGCGATTATGAAGAAGCCAGGCAGCTACTCATTGACGCAAAGGAGGAGCATGGCATCCACCTGCTTAACGAGGGAACGCACGCCTTCGAGTTGCATAATGGCGCCAAACTCCGCGTGTACGCCAGTCCGTACACGCCATCCCTAGGTGATTGGGGCTTTCAGTATCACCCGAATATAGGTCACGACTTCGCTATCAAAGACGGGACTAATATTGTTATCACTCATGGGCCACCGCGGGGCATTCTGGACCGCACTGATTCCCGAGAGCGAGCCGGGTGCCCAGACCTCTTTGCGGCCGTGGCCAAGGTAAAACCACAGATACACTGCTTCGGGCATATTCACGAAGGGTGGGGTGCGAAGATGGTCGCTTGGAGAAGAAGATTAAGCGACAAGCCGTCTTTTCTTTCGGATATTGACAACACAGCCTCCTATGTCATTGAGCAGCTCAGTACACTTCACGAGACCATGTTCGATACCTCCGAAGATGCCAACTGCAAGAAGGCGAAACTTGAGAGATACACAGCGCAGAAGTACTGCAGCGCAAGCTGTTCCGAGAAGGATGTTGGCAAGACGTTGTTTGTGAACGGGTCCATCAAAGGCGACTCCTACGAGGATCTCCATTTACCTTGGCTTGTGGACGTCCTGCTGCCACGGGAGTCGCATTTAGTATCGGTTACTGACCACTTGATCAATGCTGATTCTGCCTCCTCAAGTGGCTCTGGCTTTGGCACGGAAGGGGCTACCCTTACCACGCATGTCAGCAAGAAGCGTGCTTTGGATTGCGAACAGCCATCAGATGCGGAATCACAGCGGGAGCAAGCTAGGAAAAAGACGTGCCCTGAGAGCGACTAAGTAGGCACAGGCACTTATACTGGCTCTTAGACTTGGAAGCATGGCTGTTCTGAGACCAACCAGTCGAGCACAGCGGACTACTGTAGGAAACGTGCTTTCGAAGCTAATTCGACAGCCATAGAACTGCTGCAGCAGCCCTAGGAAACTGCATGTTGAGCACGATTAATCATGTCGCAGGCCCCAAGCCTTCGGCTTAGACGAATGGCTGGGTTGAGGCTGATAAGCCAGTCACGGCAGGTTGGGAGGCAACGACCTTTGAAAGATTGCTGGGCAAGGGCGCGCGTAGCTTCTTGGAAGGGTATGTACCGGCTCCTGCTTCACTTCATTTCTTGATATCAGCCATGTTTCTCCAGGATGCAACTGCCATTTGCGGCGATCAGGGAAGACTGCCCAAGGTTTCTCTGGAATAGGGCCTGATAGATTTGTGTTTCTTCTTGTTCTCTAGGCATTAATAAATCAATGTTATTTTTTATTTTTGCTTGCGCCATCGCCCCAGCTCCCAGAACATCTCCAAAGCCTAAACTACATCCTCCAGTAAGTTTACTTGCATTGACGTGTCGGCATTCGTGCCACGCAACCGCTCAGTACGCTTACACGGCCACAGCTCCCTGCTTCCATCTCTCACCGTCGAAGCAGCCACAAGATGCCTAAACGCACTAGGCTTATAAAACTTTTTTTTTTTTTTTAAATTTTTTATAATAAAATTATTTTGTATCAGAGCATCACCAGGTGTCCAGTTTCAATAAATTAGACTTGCACAGCATCGATTGATTGTTATGGAAAATGCTCACGCGAGGATGCAGCCGTGCCTAAGAACCCTGCATCTGCCGGGGCCTTATGTGAGTACGTATAGTTATCCGTGCTGTTCATTTTATTGACCAACTTGGACACGCGTGTCCTTGGCTGAGGGCATGCTTCTGCAGAGCTTCCCAACAATGTGCTGTAACTAGGCCTTGACAAGGCACAAGCCAGACGCGCCTGATTGGCCGTCTTGGCGTGTAACAATGCGGGATATACCAGTAATAAGTGTACAAAACTTGGTACGGAGAACTGAATTTTGATTTGCACGTATTCTATTCGTACAGACCTAGTCAGTGGCGGGGCTGTCACAAGCCAGAGAGAGAGACAGACAGACAGGCAAGCAAGCTGGCAGGCCCGTCTCCCTGTCACCGATCCCGGTTGACAACTCCCACTTTTACTCAACAACAACAGGGCCCTTGAACTGAGCCAAAAGCCAAAGCCAAAGACTGACGCGCAAAGACAGCGAAACGAAGCCAAAGCCCCCAAAATACCAGCCCACCACACCTTCCGCTGGCGGCCGTTACCATCCACAAACTAGCCGCATGTGCATGGGTCGATGTATCTTATTGGGCGGATGGAGCCGGCTTAGTGTAGTTTGTGGGTGAGTTTATTCCTGGTAACTTGAGGAGAGAGAGTGGGATTGCAAATGTATCCTGATAACTTTTGTTGAGCTTTATCATTACGAGGGAGAGGAGAGGTGATACGACTGACCTGTTGGTGGCCACTGTTATAGTTGTGGCTGTGCAGGCTCATTCAATGACTGCCGACCAGCAACCTCTCTCAAAGCTTCAACGCTTCATCCTCTAACCGACGCCGACCGAGCCAAGTGACAGACAGTATGTATGGCCTTCCTTGCCTTGATCCCATCACCCCCCAAAGCAAGCTCCAGCTCCAGCTCCAGCTCCCACTCTCTCCGCCTCCGCAACTTGCTCGCCCACCACCCTCTCTGCTAGTCCAGGTCCATGCTCTTCTCGCTACCCACTTGCAACCCTGAACTTGCGCGATCTCTTCCGGTAGCTGGGTGGCAAGATGGCCTGCTGCACCAGTTTCTTGAACCGTGGAAGCCCGCCTTGTGGAGTAGCGTTGCTCTTGGACGTGCCTCATGCCTGCGATCGCCAAACAAGGACGCTGCCAGCCTACCAAATCTGCACATCCAACAGCCTCCTCCGCCCCCTGGCCCACACACACTCACTCCCTGGCTCTTGCCTGCAATCTGTCTTTCTCTTTTGCCTTTTCTGCCTGTTGTTAGTAGGCTCAACAAAGCTGGCAACGACTTGTTTCCCTTTTGCCCCATCAGTGTGCATCTACGCACCACGTTGCCCATCCCATGTGGCCCAGCCATTGGTCCACGCCATGCCAACCCCCAACCACTGCCGCAAAATATGTCATGTTGCAGGGGATAGAATACTGGTTACAGTACAGCATGTGTGTACTGGTAGACTCTGGAGGCGGGGCTGTTCTTTTTTGCTTTGCTTTGCTCTGGCCACCTTGTTGCACAGCATGAGACAAGCAGCCCCCTCCCTCTCTCCACGTTCCGACTAACACGTATACTCTTCATGTAAGTTGTAACAGCAAAAGCATCACCGGTCCCTGCGGGTCTGCCTGGCCTGCCCTTTCCAGCAATCAGTGCAGTGCAGACCAGAGTCCCCCACGTCGCCACGCGTGCGGTGTGAATACTGTTAGCCCATCATAAACCGGGTTCGCTCTTCCATTCGTACTAATAACTAGTTACCAGTACTAACTAGGTGGAAAGAAAGGAAAGCATGTGTCCATCCTGTCCTGTCCTATCTGTCCCCTTGTCGGCCGGCGGTGGAAACTCCAGGTACACATGCACAAGAAACCCTTGTTCCGTATATATACGCCACGCTCGACGAGGGGCAGCTTCCTGGCCCGCCTCTCTCTTTCATCCTTCTTCTCTTCTCGTACTCAACGTAATCTTCCTGCTTCAGTTCTGGGCAATTCAACAACGCTCCGAGCTGCACAAACTCCTCTACATAGTATTCTCTCGCAAGACAATGAGAGAATACCATGGCTTTTCCTGTAAGCTTCCTCATCATCAAAGCCTCACCCCCTCCCCTCCTCACCCCTCTCCGCCCTCTCTCTCTCGCCCTCTCTCCCTCCTCACCTCTTACTTATCCCCTCCCTCTATCCTCACGTGCTAACCACTCAATTCCCAACTCCATAGGGTGGTAACATTTTGCCCTTTGGCACCGACTTTGAATTGCGCTCTATGCACTATGCCGGCATAGCTGTTGCTCTCCTCGGCGGAGCCTGCCTCTTCTCCCTCGGCAAGGCCACCGTTGACGATAAGGAAAAGGACGAGTCCTCTCCCGGGCTCCTCAAGTCCTTCTTCCTCTTCTTCTACTCCTCCTTCCTCAAGCCTCACCAGGGCGGATCTAAGGCTTCCCAGCAAGATGCCCTCGAGAGCTTTTACAAGAGACAGGCCGGAGCCTACGACACCACCCGCGGCATCCTCCTCCGCGGTCGCGAGGACATGCTCGCCCTGGTCGTCGCTCAGCTCAAGGCCAAGTTCCAATCGCCCAAGGATGCTCAAAAGGGTAAAACCGAAAAGAGAATTTGGGTTGATGTACGTCTTTGTCCCTGTCCCTTGTCCCCTGATCTGCTTGCCCACCTGATTCTTCACTCTTCAATAAGCATGTCACTTACAACCCCCACAGATTGGCGGCGGCACTGGCTGGAACATTGAAGCCATGGGCGAGCACGTCAATGTTGCCGAATTCTTCTCCAGCGTCTACTTGGTCGACTTCTCCCCCTCCCTCTGCGAAGTCGCCCGCAAGCGTTTTGAGCGTCTCGGCTGGAAGAACGTCACCGTCGTCTGCCAGGATGCACGCAAGTTCCGCCTAGAAGACTACGAGGATGGCATACCCGCCACTCAGAACCTGCTTCGCTCCCCCGCACTCAGCTACTTCAAGCAGCAGCGCCCGGAGCATGGCGGCGCCGACTTGGTCACCATGTCTTACAGCCTGTCCATGATTGTAAGCTTTGACGCACGCGACGCGCTGTGATGAACCGGACCTAGCTAATCTTACTCAACAGCCTGACTACTACTCCGTCGTCGACTCGATTGGCTCTCTCCTCTCTCCGTCCGGTGTCTTCGGCGTCGTTGATTTCTATGTCCAGAACCAGTTCGACTTCTCCTTCCGAAACTACACTGCTGGTTACATTGACCGTCACGTCAATGCCCTCTCCCGCATGTTCTGGCGTGCTTGGTTTGACTTTGACCGTGTCGCGCTCGAGTCTGGACGCCGCGACTATCTCGAGTACAAGTACGGTACCATTCTCAACCTCAACGCTCGCAACCGCAGCCTCGGCTACATCCCTTACTACGTCTGGGTTGGATGCCAGAAGAAGCCCTTCTCCAAGACCGCCCTGCCCCATGAGATTCTGGAGCGAATCGACGCATATGCCACCGAGTCGCCCTACCTCTACCCTGTGAACCAAGGTGACGCCCTCACACGCGCCATTGAGAGATCTGCTCCCGAAATCCGCTCCAAGGCCTTCCTCACCGCTGTCCAGAACCTCTCGGCCAACCTACCTCTGCCCGCCTTCTTCTACCAGAACCACCACTGGCGCATCTACTACGACGACCAGCTCCAGAAGCACAAGCAGTTCAACGATGAGTACATCTATGCCTTTACCTGGGAGGATGCCCGTGTCGATGAGCGCATCCTCAAGCTTGGACCCGAGGACAAGGTTCTTGCCATTACTTCTGCTGGCGACAATATCCTCTCTTATCTGGCTCAGGGTCCTGCTCGCGTCCACGCTGTCGACCTCAACCCGACCCAGAACCATCTTCTTGAGCTGAAGGCCGCCGCTTACACCGCACTCCCCTACGAGGACTTTTGGAAGATCTTTGGTGAGGGCAAGCACTCGGAGTTCCGCACGCTCCTCATAACCAAGCTCTCGCCTCACCTTTCTAGCCGCGCCTTTCAGTACTGGCTCAAGAATGTCCACGTCTTCCAGAGCACCTATGGTCTTTACGACACCGGCGGCTCTCGCCACGCCATCCGCGCCATGCGCTGGGTTTCCCGCCTCTTCGGCATCCAGCGGGCCGTCAAGCAGGTGCTCGCCTCCAAAACCCTCAACGAGCAGCGCGAGATTTGGCGCAACAAGATCCGCCCTGCCCTCCTTTCCAAGCTCGTGTCCAACCTCGTCGTCGCCCAGGAGAGCTTCCTCTGGACCGCACTCGGCGTCCCCAAGAACCAGCTGGCCATGATCGAGAACGACCACGCCGAGTCGGACCTGGTCCGGGGCCCGAACCCGCAGGCCAAGAACACGCGCTCCCACGCCATCTGGCACTACATGGTCAACACGCTCGACCCGGTCGCCGAGGAGACACACATCGGCGCCGACAACCCCTACTACTACGTCTGCCTCGCCGGCCAGTTCAGCCCCAAGTGCCACCTGCGCTACCTCGACCAGGAGGTGCACGCCAAGCTCTCGCGCCCGGGCGCCCTCGACGGCCTCCGCATCCACACGGACGAGCTCGAGGAGGTCATCGCGCGCATCATGCCCGGCACGCTCACCGTCGCCGTCGTCATGGACAGCATGGACTGGTTCGACCCGGGCTCCGAGGCCGCCGCCAAGCAGGTCACCAAGCTCAACCGCGCGCTCGCCATCGGCGGCCGCGTCATGCTGCGCTCCTCCGCGCTCGAGCCCTGGTACCTCAAGGTCTTCGAGGCCCACGGCTTCGCGCCCAAGTGTCATGGAGGCCGCCGCGACGGCGCCTGCATCGACCGCGTCAACATGTACGCGAGCTGCTGGATCTGCACAAAGGTGGACAACCTCCGCCCGCCCACCCCGGAGCTGGACCGTGTCGGCAGCCACGAGATTACGAGCCTCGAGATCTGAGATGCGGTCCGCCAAGCCTCTGCGTGTGTGCTGGGGGTGGGGGAATCTCGAGCCGGATATCGTTGAACACTGTATCGTGTCGGTTTTGATGTGCTCAAAACGGTAAACGGAAGAAGCGAATGTCTAAATGCAGCGAATATGAGAATGCACCAGATTGTCAAGATGGATGGATAGCCTGAGTCCTCACAAGATAACAAGAATGCCGTAAAAATTGCAATGAATACAATACCCAAAATTGAGCGACTCATAGTCGACCATCTTGCAAGTGTGTGTGCACATGTATAGGAAAGGACGGTTTAACAACCCGTTCCGCGTTCATGTTCTTGTCTCGCGTGCTCACCACGGAATTCAAACCTAAGAGGTCATGATTACAAAAGAGAATGCATTCCACGGTAACAGAACCGTTATATCTTACGGACCGAAATACATGTGCCGTCTGCCTAGCAGACCATTCTATACACTGTGACCCAAGTCACATAAAGCCGCCTTGACAAAGAAAATTGAAACAAAAACCACACGTATTTTGGCCCTCATTCGCATTTAAACTCCCTCCACCGCTGTGCTATTCCAAATACCTTTCCGAAAGCCGTTACTCCGATTTGGAGCTGGCCGTCCAGACACGCTTGATAGCCTCGGTAACGCCGACGTCGTTGGTCTCAAACTCGTACAGGGAGACGCCGACGGCGACGGTGGCGATGTTCAGGGCCCACATGAAGATCTTGTGGAGGCCGGCGTACGTGCGCTTGGGGATGTAGTCGATGATGACGGACTGGAAGCCGATGTGGGAGTGCAGCAGCAGGGCCGAGCACAGGACGGCGTCGAGAGTCGGGTTGAGGGAGCCGGCGGCGAAGGGCGCGATGGAGAGGGGGACGAGCGAGGCGGCGAGGAGGCGCTCGAAAGCCCAGTGGTAGGAGCCGTGGGCGGCGTTGGCGTGGGGTACAGGCGCAGGGTCGTTGACTGGGAAGAGGGTCATGTTAGCGAGGATAGGTGACGCTCCGCGAGCGCAATTGAGCGGCGCGGCTTCTCTTTCCACGTGGGCAAGCACTTCGTACCTGTTCCTTGGATGACCTCTGTAACGATATATAGGTTAGAAATTGACCGCAAAAAACGTGGCAATGGGTCGGGAGTGACTGCTTACGGGGAGGCGGAGGGAGGAAAGCAGCTCGCTTGCTGGTGGTGTGCAGAGCGGCGGCGCGGAGGACGGTGTTGCGCATGGCAGGCTGAGCAAAGGCGCTGCGGCTCATGGCCGCCTGGCGCAAGATGGAAGGACGCATGAGGGAAGCCATTGTGACGGAGGTTGTGTGGTTTGTTGCTTGAAATGCCGCGATGACCTCAACCCGAGTCTTGCCGAAGAAAGGTACGGGGTGGTGACGGGGGAGCAGGCTGGCGAAACTCGTCTTAGTGTGATGCTCGAATTGACGATCGGGAGGGCAGGTCGTGTCAATTGAAATGCGCGTTCCGGACACGATGCGGGCTGTCTCGTCGGGTGGGCAAAAAGGTCGAGTGTGGTTTGGATGGATGGTTCCTGGTGGTGCTGGGCTTTCTAGCCTGGTATTGCCGAGGATCTCTAATTAGGAGCTCTGCGATTGGCTGGACTGCTCCCGAGCGTTGGAGCGTTGAGTGAATCGGCGACTGAAGAATGTTTCTCCGGTGTTGCTGCCAGAATCGGCCTCTCGCAGCATGTGAATTGCTGTGCTGGGAGAACGTGCCCCACCGTCTGGACATTTTTTTGGTTCTTGGACAGGAGCTCAACAGATCGCGTCCTCATTGCGCCGCGGGGTTGCTTTCCACCTGTTGTTGATTTCATCGACGATCGTGACTCTTGGATTAAGGAAGAAAAGAGATCTCTTTTCATTGGGCTCGCTTCCTTCCACACCGGCACAATGGCCGCCCGATTCTCGGCTGCTGCGCTGGCCCCCTTAAGACCGACCTCGAGCTCGATTTGCGCCGCCCGCCACCTTAGCTGGGCCCTATCTCGGAATCAGCAAACCCGAGGCGTTGCGCAGACTCATCTGAGAAAGGTCGCTGAGGGCGAAGAGCGTTGGAAGGCTAGGGCAGAAAAGATTCAAAATGGAGAGCTGCGGCACGTGTGGGACATCTTGGACGAGCGAGGATACATCAAGGATGTAGCAGGGTAGGCGCTCACCTCGTGCAGCATTTCCTTCACTGTGAATTCGGAGACTGAATGGTCGGCTAACCGTGACGGACAGAAACACGGACAGAATCAAAGAAATCATGCGAATCAAGCGCATTGGCGCATACGTCGGAATCGACCCCACGGCGGACTCACTACACGTAGGCCACATGCTGCCACTGATGCCTCTCTTCTGGCTGTGGTTTCATGGGTACCCCGCTGTCACGCTCATCGGTGGCTCGACGGCAAGAATTGGCGATCCCACTGGCCGGTTACAAAGTCGCGATCACATTTCCAACTCCGACATTTCTAAGAACATCACCAAAATCCACTACCAATTGACAAAACTGTGGCACAACGTCGTGCAGATGCGCATAAAGTACGGATACGAAGACGATTGGGCGGCCAAAAGAAGTTTGCTTAACAACAACATGTGGCTGCAGGGCCTAACACTATACGATTTTATAAAGAGACTTGCCAGGGACACCCGAATCGGCCCCATGCTGAGTCGAGATACGGCCAAGCGCAAGCTAACAGAGGGCGACGGCATGTCGCTGGGCGAATTCATCTACCCTTTGCTGCAGGGTTGGGACTTTTGGCACATGTACAACAAGATTGGCGTGCAAATGCAGATCGGAGGCTCTGATCAGTACGGCAACATCGTTGCGGGAATCGAGTCGCTCAAGACCATTCGGTCTTCAGAGGAAGCCCCGTACGCGCGCATGGAGACTGGATGGCAACATGACCCCATCGGCTTCACGGTGCCGCTGTTGACAGACTCCACTGGCGTCAAGTTTGGCAAGAGTGCGGGCAATGCGGTCTGGTTGGACGAGTTCAAGACGTCTGCTTTCGAGCTGTACGGATACTTTATGCGCAGAACCGATGACGAAGTAGAAAAGATGCTGAAACTATTTACCTTCCTGCCCATGCCCAAGATCCAGTCCATCATGGAGGAGCACAGCGCGGACCCCTCGAAGCGCATCGCGCAGCACAATCTCGCCTTCGAATTCGTGTCCTTGATCCACGGATCACAAAAAGCCCTGGAAGAGGCCCAGCAGCACTCCTTCCGCTTTGGCGGCCAGCTGCCCAACATCGTCAAGGAGCCCGCCGAAAGCTCCGGCATCATCAACCCCAACACGGCGCCCCGCAGCGACATCAAACTGCCCCGCTCCGTCATGGCCCTGTCGCCGGCCCGGCTCCTGTTCGCGACCGGCCTGGCCCCCAGCGCCGCCGAGGGCCAGCGACTCGTCAAGATGCAGGGCGCGTACGTCGCCGCGCAGCCCGGCCAGAAGCGCGGCCTCGTCCCCGGCAACCTCGACTGGACGCCCATGAAGATGTGGTTCCCCGAGGAGACGGCCAAGTTCCTGATGGACGACCGCCTGCTCATCCTGCGCAAGGGCAAGCACAACGTGCGCATCGTGGAGCTCGTCGAGGACGAGGAGTGGAAGGCCAGCGGGCAGGTGTACCCCGGCGAGCCATACACGGGCGAGGTGCGCCGCCGCAAGCAGGAGATGATGGCGCAGGCGGCGGAGCGCGGCGAGACGTTGACGATGACGCAGGTCAACAAGCGCCTCAAGAAGATGGGTCGTAAGCTGGCCAACAACCCGGACATTGAGCTGCCGAGCAAGGCTGAGGTCCGGGAGCGCGCCAAGCTGACGCGCATGCACAAGGACGAGGAGAAGCGCAAGGGCGGCGCAGGCGAGCAAGAATGGTGAGGCGATGGAGAATATGAACTGTCTATTTCCTCCACATGTAAAATATGAAACAATCATCTTGTAAACTATAGAGTGTACACCACCAGCATCATAAAACGGCGGAAATCAAGCCATTATTCGGCTTCTCATCAAGCTCATTAAAGTAAGAAAGATACCATGAGTCCTAAATGATTATAGAAGTATGGTGAATGTCAGATGATCTTATATGTACCTGGCGGACATGTCATCTGTAGAATACGGCCAAGTCGCCCTTGGGGACTGGTAGCTGCTTCAACTTGTCAATGACTTCGTCGTTTGTCAGGTTGCACTCGGTGATGATCTGGTCAAAGTGGTGGCAGCCGTCCGTGTACTTTTGGATGGGATCTGCGGCGGGCCCGTCGACGGGCCGGGCCTGGCCGGTGGCGAGGGCGGCGATGTACTGCTTGGAGACGACGTACTTGTGGACGCGGTAGAGGCAGCCCTTGATGACGCCGAACTGGACGAGGCGGCGGACGTCGACGTAGCGGAGGACGTCGAAGCCGGCGTCCTGGTGGGCCATCAGCCACTCCTTGACGCTCTTTCCCGGGCCGAAAGACAGCATGAGCTTGACGAGCATGAAGTTGCCGACGCGCGCGGGCCCGTGCGAGACGTAGCCGGCGCACTCGTCGACGATGCCGTCGAGGTTCTCGACGAAGTCGTGGATGCCGGGCCGGGGCGCGTAGCAGGAGGAGAAGAAGAAGATGTCGAGGAGGAGCACGGTGTCGTAGTAGAGGAGGTGGCGGAGGGCCGTCTTGGCGAGCTCGAGGGAGACGGAGGCCTCGTGGGCGATGCGGCGGACGTCGGAGACGCCGTCAATCTTCTCGATGACGCGCTGCAGGGTCAGGTCCCAGGTCGGGTCGACAATGTCGGCGAACTTTGTCTTGGCGACGGGGACGTGCCAGCCCTTGACGGCGGGCGGGGTGAGGTGATGGGGGAAGAGCTTCATGTTGATGGTGTTGGCTTCGTCTGGTAGGTTGTAAGCGGGGGACTTGGTCAGGGGGGTGGAGATGTGCTGAGGCAAAACGTACCGACGGGAATCATGCACTCGCCGTAGTTGTTGAGATCCTCCTTGATAATCTCGAGGAGGCTTGCAATGGGACGGCGGGCGGTGATCGCATCGTCGCTACTTGCGGCGTGGGTGGTCGTTGTTGCTGCCGCTGCCGCCGCCGCAGCGGTAGCAGCAGAGGAAGTGGACGCGACAGGGCGCGCATCTTGACTGGCGCTCAGGTACTCGTTTTGCTTCTCCATCTCGGAAAAGGTGGCGGCGAGGCAGCGGACGACGCGCTCGTAGGCGGCGTGGTCGACGTCGGCCTCGACGAGGAGGCCAAAGTTGAACATGAACTCATTGCGCAGATACTTAGTGTGCGCAATGACAACGGGGTGGCAGAGGATGGTGTACTTGCCGTCGGGCGAGTTGATGGTGACGTAGCGGTTGCAAAAGGCCTGACGGGGGATGATGTACTCCTGGAGGACGTCAAAGTTGATGAGCGGCGGGCGCGTCGAGTTTTCGGCGGCGGTGATGCATCCCGGCGGCGATTGGGCGACGATCTTGGGGCCTGAGAGCGATCAATTTTGGATTACGTTGGATATCATGGGTTTGAGATGCAGGAGGTGCGGGAGGGGAGGGGATGGCATACCCTCTTCAGGGAAGAATCTCGCGTAGAAGATGCCCTGGATCATGACGCTGGCTGCATTGTCGTGGGCGCGGAAAGCCGGCTATGTAAGAAATTAAGAGCTCGGATTGGAAGGCTATAGAGGCTAGCATGAAGTATGAGCGTTAATGAAGTGAGGAATACGCCCTTTCTGATAAGAATGAGGAGGGCCAGCTCTGTCGTGATGAGGCTATCTTGGGAGGTTGAATGGGGTACCTAGGTACCTCTAGCTACAGTGGAGAGGACAGGCAGTGGAGTCACCGTGAAGTAGTGTCTATTTGACAATCGCGTTGGGCTTCTCTCTCCTTTCTCCGAGGTACATACATAGGTCGGAAGTACTACTAACCAAAGCAGAACTGCAGACACGCTAAAGTGAAACAGACTTGAGATGCATCTACATAAAATCCGAACGGAGATGGGGCTGCCGTGGGGGCAGGCAACAACCGCGGCTGAGGGACTGGCGGAGTGATGGGGTATCAATAGTGACAAGTTGGGGATGACAGTTGATGAGGGGAGTGCGGACAATTCTTGGCGTTATCCGGAGCACTGGAATCAACCTTGTGCATGACTACTATGTACATAAGTACCTACTAAGGCAAGTTGGTTGCAGTGGTATGAGAAGGCTGTGGATGCCCATGGAAGTTGTGGCGATGGCTGTAGCGGGCCACTCACTGTGGGAGGCAGCTACATACATACATACATACATACCTTATGTATGTACAAAGAACCAGGCATAGCTGCACCGGACGGCCTTGCGTGGTTTGGCGTGGAGTGTGTGCTGCTTGAATACTGAATGAAGGACACGCTGCTTAATAAAGCGGCTTAATTGCATTTGAAGCTGTACCTATGAAGATGAAGTCTGTTTGTACTGATCTACCTAATAAGCACCTGGTAACTTAACCGGCCGGAATCGGAGCAAGCGGCTTGTTGCAGCAGCCTTGCACTAAAGGTATGTATGTATGTACATACATAGTTAAAAGGTAAAAGGTGTCTACCTCCAATGTCGACACAGTCAGTGGCTGCCCACGTCCGCTCATTGACAGTATCCGTGACCAGTGCAGAGGTCCCAATCAATTCTTTGCAACTCTTCATCAACCATCATTTTCGATCTTCTTGCCCACCTACAAGCTTCAACCGCCTGCATTCAACGTATATTCTCTCCCTTCTTCCCTTGTAAACGGCATTTACTACTCATTATTTGCCGCGCCCGCATCGCATCATTGCCTTCATCTCTCCCCGCCAAACCCCTGCTGCTACAGTACCTACTGTGCGCCCTAAAATTATTGCAGTGAGACAGCGAACAGCCCAGCCCAGCGGGACTTGACGCTTTGCCTTTGCCCCGCCCGCTTGCCGCTCGCCATCCATCCGTCCATCCTGGTCAGCTTCTCGCCTCTCTCTCTCGCTTTCTCTTCTATCCTCCTCACCCCGCCTGGCCTAGTCTTGCCTCGCTTTCCCTTCGCCTTGTCCTGCCAGCCAACAAGTCGACCACAAAAAAAAAAAATTGTCCTCTCTTGCCTAACCATTCGTTCCCTTCTTCCCCCCTCTCCCCCTCTCCCCCTCATCCCCTCTTCCTTCACCCCCTCTTCCTTCATCCCCTCAACGGCTCCTGTTGTCGCACCGCGCCATGGCCGACAACGCCGAAGCTGGCAGTGATGCCCAAATCACCTTCAAGGTCAAGCCCTTGTCCGAAAAAGTCTACACCATCGAAATGCCCGAGAGCACCTCCGTCCTCGAACTCAAGACGAAGCTCGCTGGTGCCGACTTCGAAAACGTCCCTGTTGAACGCCAACGACTCATCTACGCTGGCCGTGTCATGAAGAATGAAGAGACTCTTGCCACATACAAGATCAAGCCAAACAACACCATCCACATGGTCAAGAGCGCCGCCAGCAACCAGACCCAACCGGCTAGTTCCAATGGTTCTGCTGCACCCCAGACTCTGCCGACAAATATGGCCTCGGGAACCGCCAACAACCCTCTTGCCAACCTTACCAGTGCCCGCTATGCCGGCCATCAGCTGAACCTTCCTGGTTTGGATAGCTTCGGCCCCGACGGCGGCGTAAGTTGCTCACCACCGCATCTTTGCCGCGCATCTCCTTACTAAAACCTGCCAATAGATGGGCCCTCCCATGGACGATGAGCGAATGGCCCGTTTGATGTCAGACCCTAACGTCCAGCAGTCGATGAACGAAGCTCTCAACAACCCCGACTTTGTCAACATGCTCATCGACTCAAACCCCATGCTCCGCAACATGCCTAATGCTCGTGAGCTCATCACGTCACCATTCATGAGAGAGATGATGAGCAACCCTGCCATGCTAAGCGGTGCTATGCGCATGCAGCGTGGTATGCGCGGGGGCGAATCGGCTTTCCCTGCCCCCGGCGCGACTGACACAACACCCGAGAATACAACACCCCAGAATCCAGCCGATGCGCCCCGCGACGGTGCCCAGCCGGAGAGACCATGGATGCCCACCTTGTTCGCCCCTGGAGTTCATATCCCACCGTTTTTGACTGAAATGGAGCAAGGCCTTATGAACATGGGGATGGACCCCAATGCGAGTTCTGCCGCCATCCTTGAAATGATCGCACAAGGCGCGAACCAAGGCGGTGCTGGAACAACGGGTGCTGGAACCACGGGTGCTGGAGCAACGGGTACTGGAACAACGGGTGCTGGAACAACGGGTGCTGGAACAACGGGTGCTGGTGCGCCCCCAGGCACAGGCCCGGGCGCAGGTGCCAACGCGCGGAACCCTTTTGCTGCCTTGTTCCCCGGCGCTGCAGGCGGAGCCGTGCCGGGTGGTTCGCCCTTTCAAATGACTCCCGAGCAATTACAGGCCGTGACGCGGATGCTGCAAGGCAATGCCGCTGGAGCACCGGCTGCACCGGCTGACACTCGCCCTCCAGAAGAACGATATGAGGAGCAGCTTCGACAGCTCAACGACATGGGCTTTTTTGATTTTGATCGCAACGTGGCCGCGCTACGAAGAAGCGGAGGCAGTGTGCATGGTGCTATAGAATATCTGCTTTCCGGTTGAACGCGAATTAATGCAGGCAGGCCGGGAAAGGTGCGTGTGAAGGGCAGCATTGGTTTTCTTATACATATACCAGAAGATGGAATAGCACACATGGGTGCAGCAAGGATGATGAATGGAGACCCTTACGGTAGAGATGGAAAAGGCCGTGTATTGTTCTCTACCTAGGTACAAACCAGCATGTATACCACCACTTGATCAGCTCGTCATGGTGCTAACCACCGAGGTTGGAAAGACAGCAACAACTATCGACAGTCATGATGACTGTCTGACTTGCGTATTTGTGACTGCTTGTGTATTGCCCGATTCAATACTACTAGAAACAGCTTCTTGTTAGACGAACGAGGGCGCGCAGCTTGTATCCAGGGGGGGCGGCGGTGGTATCGGAAGTGGTTTGGACGACGGGCTGGTGAAGGATACTTGGGATGGAGACAGCGGTGGCGGGTTGCTCTTGGCGCTCTTTTCGCCTCGGCTTCCTGCCATGGTGTATAAGCATGTATGACTGTGCGAATAGAAGGGAGGAGGAGGTGGGAGGAAAACCACAAAATGTTCAGAACATATATACATCTAGCCATGGATATGGCCCCGACGCGGGCATGACACTCGGCCGGGTGTGCGCCACCGTCGGCCGTAACATACAGCATGGTGGTGGGCAATCCTTGCATGCATTCTGAAGAGCCACGAGAAAAGATTCTAGACGGATCTTGCACTGGCTCTAGCATAAAATCTATTCTTTCTTCCACTTTCCCGGGTGCAAAATGGCAAACTATCCATTTCAGGGCAAATTCCCTGCCCGCAGTACTTTGCTAGATACTTATGCTTCCCCGGATTCAAAGTCCGTCTGGACCTCGGCACCCGCTCCGCGGAGCCCCCGCTAATAATATAGCAGCAACCCGGGGAAGATGGCACCAGCGATATAAACTCCGCTCCAATGCCTCATCGCTCATCCATCACTATCTCTCTTCATATTGTGCTCACGCAACTGCCAGTGTCAATTTTTTTTTTGCTTCATTTCAAACTCATCCTGTGAAGAATCTTTGCTTCCGCACCCGTCAACTGCTGTACTCTTTCCATTGGCGTTCTCCCTATAACACAGCCTCCTCGCCGTCAGCATTCACCGGACATTATGAGGGGCATCCAGATTAAGGAATACGTCAAGGTGCGTCTCGCCTGCCATTGACGAGCGCCAATGTCTCTCTCTCTTGCCCATCTTCTCGCTAACCGCATCTCGGGAAAATTGGCAGGGGCCCGATGATCTCAAGGTCGTCGACCTACCCGACCTCGCGCCTGAGGAGGCCGAATATGTGATCAAGGTGCACGCCGCCGCCGGCAACTTCTTCGACATTCTCCAGATCCAAGGCAAATACCAACACCAGCCTCGTGCGTCACCCCCCCCTTTTCTCATTCTTCCTGGCCTCTAACAATATTTCCTTTGCAGCCTTTCCTTGGACCGCCGGCGCCGAGTTCTCCGGGGTCGTCGTCTCCGTCCCGACCAACCCCGAGACGCCGCCGCTGTACCCCGTCGGCACCCGCGTCTTCGGCGCCTCGCAGGGCGCCTACGCCGAGTACGTGCACGCCCCCGAGCGCGCTCTCCTGCCCGTGCCCGAGGGCTGGTCCTTCGAGGACGCCGCGGGGCTCTTCGTCACCGCGCCCACCAGCTACAGCGCCCTCGTCCAGCGCGCCAACATCAAGCGTGGCGACTGGGTGCTGGTCCACGCCGCCGCCGGCGGAGTCGGCCTAGCCGCCGTTCAGAGTAAGGCCCTCCCGCCGCCCCTTGATATACCAGAGATAGAGAGGGCTAACACCTTAGCAAGTCGCCAAGGCGTTTGGCGCGACCGTCATCGCCACCGCGTCCACGCCGCGCAAGCTTGACGTGGCGAAGCGCTTCGGCGCCGACCACGTGCTCTCGTACAACGACCCGAGCTGGCCGGCGCAGGTCAAGGAGCTGACGCCCGAGTCGCGCGGCGTGGACATCGTGTACGACCCGGTCGGGCTGGTGGACAAGTCGACCAAGTGCGTCGCGTGGAACGGCCGCATCCTGATCATCGGTTTCGCGGGCGGCGCCATCGAAAAGGTGGCGATGAACAAGGTGCTGCTCAAGAACATCTCGCTGGTCGGCCTCGCCTGGGGCGCGCACGCGCTGCACCAGCCCGAGATGGTGCCGGTCGTCTGGCGTGGCGTGCTGGACCTGGTGCGCAAGGGGGAGCTCCGCGGCACGCAGTACACGGACGAGGCCTTTGTCGGGCTCGACCGCGTCAAGGACGGCCTCAAGGCGCTGGGCGGCCGCGACACCTGGGGCAAGGTCATCATCAAGATCGCCCCCGAGGACAAGAGCAGCAAGCTGTGATGATGGACGGACGGCAGGATTTTACTTGGTAAAGAGACTAAAAGGAATAGATCGAGGCAATACTTTTTGCATATATCAACCGGTCTATGTTGGTTCTAGTTTGTCCATCTAGCCGTGTTTCCATCGTTTTAATCACGACAAAGATCCCATGCAGTCGTTAGATTCGTGCTGTCCGTCTTACTGACCCAGACCCGCCATGGTCTGGAACTTGGCGGTGACGTCTCGGTCAACATTGGCCGCCCACTGCTCCTGGAATGCTGACTCGCCGCCTACACGGCCGACAACATCTTGCAGTCTCTCGCGAACAAATTGAGAAGCCTGGATGGTGTGGACAGGATCGCTGGCCACCATCTGCCGCTCTGTGATGCGCTTCGGGGTATCATACTCTGTTGCTTCTCCCAGCTCTCCCAAGTCTCCGATCAACGTGTCGTGGCCGTTGGGGACGCCTTCCTGCAGTTCTGCCAATACCCCTGCCCACATGTCGAAGTAATCTTGCAGTTTGGCCAGAGTCAGCTCCTGCATAGGAGACGGCAGCTCCAGTAATCGAGTAAGTCCTAGTAGAAAGAGCTTCTGACGCGGAAGATTATCCATGCTGCGGATGTACGAGAACCACTCGGCAGACAACCAGCTCCATACTTCATCTAAGGCACCGAAGGATGCCAGGAGTTGCACAAACAGACCCGGTTCAGCCAGTGCCAGGCGCGCAAGAATGGCAAAGTAGTCTCCCTGAGTTACAGTGTTCAGCTTGCTGACCCTCCTGTTCGGCCCTGTTGTTTGGTGGGCTTCCCAGGCATCCCGCAGATTTCCCATGATGACGCGCATGAAGCCAATGTCTACCATGTCTCGAATGACGACAGAGATACCGTCAGAACCTCCAAGTTGAGCGGCAGCGCGAATCAGATATTCAATGCACACGGTAGCGGAGCGGACTTGCCCTCTGCTTGTTGAGGTGAGGCAGTTGGAAAGTGCAGTCAGCGTAGCGGTGCGCATATCACCGTCAAGCATAGCTGCAGGGGCAATTAGAATATACGACTCCACCGCCGACATGGCTACGGAAGCCGTTTCTTGTTGATAAGACAGAAGAGGTAGAGCTGCATCGGCAAGGTCGAGGACTTGCTTGTTTAAAGGGGGTTTACTTTGTTCCAAAATTGCAGTCCAAAGCTCCAGAGATTCGTCAATAAGATGGACGTGTAGATCGGAGCCTTCTCTGGCTGCTTCGCTGAGGAGAGGCATCATAAAGTTGTGGTAACGCTGTGAATCGTTGCCCATACTTGTGACAAGGGCAGCGAAGATGGCAATGATATGTTGCTTTATCATGTACTCTTCCGCATCCGAGTTCTCCCACACCTCGGGGAGCCCGGTCATCAGCTGGTCACCAAATTGCGCCACCTGGTCTTCCATGCGCATAACTAGAATTCGAATAGATTCTAGAATAGCGAGCTTCGTTTCGTCAACTCTCACGTTGTGAACCAGGTAGACAAGTTGGCCCAGAACATCGGGAGTGTACGGCAGGAATGCGTCGACATTAAATTCCAGCTCATCCGCGATCCATCGGAGCTGGCGAGCAGCTGTGATTCGCACTACTATGTCGTTTGTCTCGTCTTCGGGATTCAAGAAATGGCGGAAAATTTGATACACCACCGGTCTGCTCTGGTCGGATAGTTGAATAGGTGCCCATTGGCTGATGAGGATGGCGATGCGACGTCTCAGAACCTTGAACAGACCACCTGATTGCTGTGCATCGCTGATAAGGGTTGAAGACAGGACAGCTTCGAAGTCAAAAGAGTTGACAATGTGTGCAGCGGAGAGCCCCATAGCGGTATAGACAGCTTCTTTGGTGGCGATATCTGCTTGCGGTGTTTGCGCACTCTGGAAATATTGCAGCAGAGGAGGAATGAGGAGCTGCTTGTAATTTGTAAGAAGATCCAGGAATAGCTTTTCAGCACACGGGCGGACCTCCCATTCATACGCGTTGCCTTCACTCTGTTCTTGTTGCTCCCACTCCTCGGGATCATCATCCCAGGCTTCAAGATCAGATTTGCGAAACAAGAATAGGTGGCTGATGATTGTGTTTACAATCCGGACAACGAGTTCATCCTGCAGCAATTCACTCTTAATGAGGTTGCGTGCACGGTCTTGCTCTTCCTTGACCTCTGGCGTGCGATATTTAAATGTCTGTAAAGGCTGGAAGGCAGCCCTGACGCAGGCGCGCAGCAGCAAAAGACCTTTAAGCGCAAGCCTCTCCAAAAGAGGGCCTTCTGCCTTTGCTTTGGCATCGTTTTGGCTCTGACGAATACCACCAGATGAGTCGAACACCTCTGCAAATTTCGCAATCAAGTCCCAGTACGCGCGGACCAGGGGCAGGGAGTTGGGCAAGAATGCGAAACTGGCAGCGTGTTGCTCGGCCATGTCGATGTGAAGTTTTGTGAATTGAAGAAGATGCTTGCCAACCATTTCGTTAGGAGTATTACTGTCGTTTACAAAATTGAGCAGCTGACCGAACTGATTTTGAGAGAGCATCCAGAATTGTTCGACGGTAGAATCACTATGCGGCCGGTCATATCCAACCACGACGAGGCGGCGGAGAGTCCGAAGTGCGGAAAGACTGTTTTGCATTGCAATCTTTGCTTCTGCTTCGGTACCCTGACCGGAAGAGAGATATGAAACCCAAATATTTGACTTCTCGGCGTAGATTTCGGACAAGACATAGACGATCTCGGGAGTGACGGACTGAAGGGCAGTTTGTGACTTCCGCAAGCGCGCAGTACCAAGCTCCTTGACGACGCGAAGAAGGATCTCTAGAGCGCCATGTAGCTGATGCTGGTTGCCGTTCTTGGATGAGCGTAGTAAGGATATTATACTGGCAAGGGCATCGGGCCACTCGTTTGGGTAGTCGATGCGAACAATTTTGGCAATGACCAGAGAGTTGTGCAGAGCCAGCTTGCGGTCCGGCTCATCGACTGTGCCTTGAAATAAACGAGACCGTATAGCAGCTTTCTCATCCGGTTTGATGCCATTTTTCGTCGCGGCGGAGTAAACTCTCCACAGTCGGTCAATGCCATTCTTCAGTTGGATGACGGCGAGGAAGCGAGCGTCGACGGGGAGAGATCGATCGAGGAAAGCAGTCTTGAATGCTGTTAGCGACTGAGATGCAATATACATGTAAGATTTTGAACACATACCTGAAGTCCTAAGTAGTAGCCTGGCTGCCCTTGACTCCCCCAAGACTCGAGCTGCTGCCCCGCGGACTGCCTTTGTGCATAGTCGGTCGAAGATGCACCCAGCAGAGCGTGGCAGAGGGTTTCGAAGTTGAGCGGGTTTGCCTCGCCGGGGACTTCAATAGAGAAGCTCATGGCGACAAGATGGCACCCAAATGACGTAGAAAACTCGTCAAAGTCACCGCAAACGCGGTTGAGGCGGTGGGACGATGCTGGTGAACCTGGAGGAAGTTTCCCTAGTGGGGGGGTCTTTCAGTTGGGCGCGCCGTGAAGACCAGAACGATGACCCCGCCTTATTTGCTGCGCTGTGATGATGTGACGACACAGACTGTCTGGTAGAGCAAGACGCAGTCAGCTCTGAAACGACTAGAATTTTATGAAATAATAAACAATCTAGAGCATAGCACCAGAACCACTAAATACTTCTTTTTTCACTGAGCCATTTCTTTTGGTCAAAATGAATTGCAATGTTCAAGGACCCCTGCCAGAATTCCTAGGCCAACGGCTACACCAATCTTGATCACAGTGGGTCGGCTGGCAACAGGTACCTGAAATACAGCACTTCAAAATTTCGGTTCGACTCAGCATCGCCAGCTTCAAACGAACCAATTGCTCAAACACAACCGCATGTTGCGCTCGCAGACTACTAGGCGACTCGCCTCGCTTGCTGCAGTCCGTCAATGGACCTGCCCGAAATGTCTGCCGCGACGGCTTTACTCGCAGAAGCCAGCGAAGCGTGAACCTCCTGACCACCGAAAGCTCGGCCACCAGCAGGAGCTATTCATCACGTCCGCCTTCAGTCCTGGGTCGCCAATATTCCTCCCCAATGGCGCGCGCATATTCAATCGACTTGTGGACTTTCTACGAAGGCAATATGTGCGATACGGATTCGAAGAAGTCATCACCCCGACCATATACAAAAAGTCGCTATGGGCCAAGTCCGGCCACCTCGAAAACTACGCCGAAGACATGTACACGGTGACCGGAAACAAGCGAGCGGCGGCGCTCGAGCATTCCGAGGGATGCTGTGGCGATAAATTGACCGAAACGACCGGGGCGCAGGAGGAGGACGACAGTGAATATGGCCTCAAGCCTATGAATTGTCCTGGACATTGTCTCATCTTTGCGTCGAAACTACATAGCTATCGAGACTTACCGGTACGATATGCGGACTTCAGCCCCCTCCATCGAAACGAAATATCAGGCGCACTGTCTGGACTCACGAGAGTCCGCCGCTTCCACCAGGATGACGGCCACATTTTCTGCCGCCCCAGCCAAGTCGAGGAGGAGATTAAAAAGACGCTCGATTTCGTGAAGGTAGTCTATACAACTCTAAAATTTGGCGTCAGCTATCGGTTAGCACTGTCTACGCGACCAAAAGACCACTTTATAGGCACAGAAGACGAATGGAACAGAGCAGAGGATCGTCTTCGTCGCGCCTTAGATGCATCAGGCATGCCGTGGAGCCTAAACGAAGGAGACGGTGCCTTTTATGGCCCAAAGATCGACATTGTGCTCAAGGATTCCGACGGAAAAGAGCACCAGACCGCGACGGTCCAGCTTGACTTTCAGCTACCAAAACGCTTCGAGCTGGAATACCAAGCACCTGCCCCCGAGTACGAGGCTCGTGGCGAAACCACAGAGGATCCTGCTCTGCTGGCAGAGTATGGCCCGGTACGGCCGGTCATGATTCACCGCGCTGTGCTTGGTTCTGTGGAGCGTCTTATGGCGCTTCTCATTGAAAACTACGACGGCAAGTGGCCGTTCTGGCTGAATCCGAGACAAGCCATCATTCTCACAGTCAACACAACCAGCCCGGTAGTGGATTGGGCTGGAAAGGTGCGTGACATATTGCTGGGCAATCTTCCGGCATCCTACACTGGGAACGAACCCCCGGTGACGGACACTGGCATTGCCTTGTCTGGCCAAACAGGTCTGGCAGTGGATCTGGATACCACGGCCAGGTCCCTAGGTGCCAAGATTAGAGAGGCGCGGAACAATGGATACAGCCAGATCCTTGTCGTGGGCGATGAAGATGTGCAAAATAGACAAGTCAGCCTGGGCAAGGAGCGCATGTCGCCGGGTAACATGAGAGATAGGATGATGCAGATGGTGGACAGGTTTGAATAGATGTAAATCGCATGTAAAACGGATGTAAAAACAGTCTACTTGTACAATAATACCGTGTAAGCCTGCATGCGTGGCAGCGGCAACAGTCCACAGAACTGCCTTCTCGGTGTTTTTATGTGTGCTCAGCATTCATGAAGAGTACTTCTGTGCCGGTTTTCGTGTACAGCGGCGAACTCGCCGCGGCGCTAAGATGGTCTTTGGCGACGATAGAGATGCACTGTTGCACTGCCCCCCCGGGGGGGGGGGACGGGCGGCGGGCTCGCGTGCGCGACTGCATGCAGGGAAAATAGTATCCTCGTTTGCGTTTCCTAGTCATTGGCAGAGTGCGTATCTTCATCTATCGGCGCGACCGCGGTTGTGTGGATGAGCAAAGGCTGGTCTGCGACAATCGAGGTCAATTTGTGTATATGCAGTGGGTGGGCATTGGTCGCAATGGCGCAACTTACGACTTGAGTTCGGAGTCCACGGCCCCGCCGGTCTGCTCAACGCGCGCAATCATAGACTGGCGCTCGTCGAGCTGCTGGCGCATGTACTCGACCGTCTTCTTGAGGACGAGGCCCTCGGATCGGCCCTGGCCCTCGAGGCCAGGCACCAGTTCGGTCAATCGGTCGAAGCCCTCGCGAATCGCCTGTCTGCGCTTCTGCTCTGTCCAGAAGGTCAGTCGCCAAGTCACCAGTTGTTGGCAAAGGCCGCACCCTGTGCGACGACGTTCCGGGGCGAACGCGGGCATGTGGACAAACTAACCAGAGGCAATGTGGTTCTGCTTCTTCTCCTCCTCGGTAAGTCGGGGCTTGTCGTCGCCATTGGCGTTGGCGGCATCTCCGGCGGCATTGTTGGGCGAAGAGGACATGATCAACGAGGAGGAATGATAACACGACTTGGAATCCTAGGCTGGACTTTTGCGCGAGAAGGATGGGTTTGGAAAGAAGGCGGCTCGCCGGGACGGGCTGGGAGGTTAAATCGGCTGCCCGCTGCCCGTTCTCTTTGGTGTCTCTTCTGGTGGGGGATCACATGCGCAGCGCCAGCGCACTTGTGCAAGGAGGCGTTCGCACCACCTTGGCCCTCACGGTTGGCGCTGGAGGCTTGCAGCGGCCGCAAGGGGGAGCCGGCGACATTCCACTTCTTTTGATTTGCCCAGCAGCATTTTCTGGCAAGGAGGGGTCTTGCCCCAGATCCCTTCCGAGTGGCATGACGCAGTGGGCGGCCGCGCTGCTTTTGCCGTAAGCCACTCGCAGTTAGGCTAAGACAAGCCGAGGGACAAGATTATTCTCAGTTGCCGTGGACGACTTCGAAATAGGCTAATCATGCATGCAATGCATCTATGAGACAAGGCTAGGGTGAAATTCAAGGCACACCAAATGATTTCGTACTGGTACTACGTGGCCATCCTGCCCGTCATTGACGGCAGCTGCCCAGAGGCGCTCGCGGACTCCAATCAATAGGTTGAGGTAGTCGTCGTATTAGATGTAGCAAGTCGCGAACGGCAAGCTTTCCTAGCACGCACAAGTGCTTACTGCTGCATGTGGTATTTATTGGTTGCATACGCGAGCTACCTCTCACGCAAGTGCTGCATCGTGTGTGTCCGCCATTGCAGCGCCACTGTGAAAGCCAGACAATGAAAGACAAGAGCAAAATCTAACTTCTATTAATAAATTAGTCTCACCCATCCGACTCTGCTTCTTCACCCTCAAAGTCTACTTCATCCTGGCGGAAAATGACCTTTTCCGCCAGTTGCAATGTCTTCTGCACGGGCAGGCCAATGACATTGTCCATACTGCCCTCGATCTTCTCAATGAGGAGCAGCCCGGCGATACCCTGAATACCATACCCGCCAGCCTTATCAACACCTTCACGCGTCTTGACGTATGCCTCGATGACATCATCCGGCAGACCGTCCTCCTCGCTGTAAAAGTAGACCTTGGTCTCCACCGTTTGTGTCGCCATGTCGTAGCCCGGGTGGCGCGCATCTTCTCGGGGCGCAATTGCAGTCACCGAGGTCAAGACGCGATGCATCCGAGAGTCGCGCAGCAGCTTGAGCATGGCAATGTGGTCGGCTTCGCTTCGCGGCTTCTCCAGGATGCGGCCCTCGCGGGTGACGATGACGGTATCGGCGGAGATGACGAGGTCAGGGTCGGGTATGGAGTTGAGATGCGTCTCGAGCGATTTTTGATAGACGTTGAGGCCTTTACGACGGCCAGTTTCGGAAACGTACTCCCATGGGCCGTATATCGACTTGTCCAGGTCTTCCGGGATGGTGGAGGGTGTGATTTCGAGATTTCTCATGCCAACCTGCCGTGAGGTATTAGAGCGTGCGCTTCGAGGCGGCGCCTACCGGGTACTGACCTGCTGCAGAAGAGCCTTCCTGCGGGGCGATGCTGAGGCCAGGATGACTCGCTTCGAGTTGAGGTGTTTGATGATGGGAATGTCGAGCGGCGCAGGGCCCCGACGCAGGCCTGCTGGAGGGGGAGGGCGCGTAGCAGCGGTGTTCTCCGAGGCGGCTTCATCGTAGCCAGGAGGTGGGCCTTTCGGTGTATCTGAGTCCGCCATGATGTCTCTGGCGCCCTGCGATTCAATAGATCGAGCTACAGATGCGGATGAAGAAGCTTCGTCGCCTGGGTTCGCTGGTCTCTGGTCGCAACCTGGGCTCCCACAGCGGGGCACGCCAACTAGCTGGTCCCTGTAGGACAGGAACTGCCGATTGCCAGGCCGTTTACGTCGTATATTGGTGTAATAAGACGTAGGTAGAAAAGAAGAACAGGTACACTATGAGATAATAGTCCTGATACAATTTTTCGGGTTTGTTCTTTAACAAGTTGTGTTGAAGTCACCAAGACTCAACGGGACAATCGCGATCGCCTGTAGGATAACCCACGAACAGCGATGGCAGTACGCACCCGGCGTCCCACGTCTTGACAGAGCCTTGGCCTTTTAGAACCTCGAAAACTTTTCTTTTTTTCTTCATTTATCAACATCGACCTTGCAAGTTCATGTACCGGGTGCTCCATTGCTGCGCCGAGAGTCTTTGAATCGTCGGGAGGACGGCAGATGGCGCTAGTCCTAATTAGGGCTCCGGAACTTTGTTGGCTGGGTGCGTTTTGCTGCCCCTGCGCTTTTCCACTTGTCCAGGACAAAGACCACCCACCAGGTCATCCACGCCAGAGCCTCGACACTTGGTAGCTTGCAACGCCTGCACGCGGCCTCAAGCAGCCATTTCGATTTTGGGCAACAGTAAAACGAAACAGTCGCGCCGATTTACATCACCAAGTGGCGCGCACGACAGCCATCCCAGCGCCAGTCACATCTCGAAACGCGAGCCCGGCCTGCTAAACACGCGTCTACCAGTTAGCGGCACGAGACCAGAGCTCAACATTGTGCGCCCATTGCCCTAGCGATCGATTCGCATACGATACGGCAGATTCGAAGTCGCAACCTCGCGCATCACAACCGGTCAGACCCTCTGGGACGATACGGTGCTCCCACAATGGATAGCAAACGCAAGGCCGAGGGTGGAAGCGGCGCAGACTCCAGTGACCGCTCTTCTAAGCGTCGCAAGGTTTCGGTACGATTGATACCCCAATAATTGATTCCGATATCGATGCAGGTCATACTGTTTAGATGCATGGCTTCTACCACGCTTCTGTTTCTCTCAGCATGCGATGCGCGATCGCTGCGGCGCAGAGTGAGGCTAATTGGCTGTTCAGGACTTTGACTTTAACAAAGGCGAGAGCAAGGAGTCAACCACCGCATATGGACTTGCATTTCTGGAGCAGATCCGCCGAACCTCCGATAAAAGGTAAATGTGATTGCTTGCCACTCGTGATGCAGCTGCTAACCTGTCCTCCAGTGGCCGTTTAATCGCTACCTATTTCGAGAAGCTGATCCCCCGACAAGGCAATGCCGAGTATTACAAGAAGACTCGGATGCCAATTTCGCTCGAGATTGTTGAAGGAAAACTAGAAAAAGGCGAGTTTCAAAACTTGGCCGAGCTCGAAAGCTACTTTAAGCGCATGATCACAAACGCCAAAGAGTTCTATCCGCGATCCTCTTCTGTTTTTGACGATGCGGAGCGCTTTCGCAAGGCCCTCAGCAACTACATGACGAAGAATAATCCTGCGTATTCAAAGAGAGGCTACCAGGCTATCGCGACACCACTGCCTGAGGAGGATGCCGAGGCTGAGGGTGATGAAGATGATCAAGAAGATCAAGCCGATGAGAGCGGAGATAAGCAAGAAGAGGCGGAAGAGGAAGAAGTAGAGAAAGAGGAGCCAGAAGAAGAAGAAGAGGAGGAAGAGGAGGTCAAGGAGGAGGAGGAAGCCGAAGGCCCCCGTCGCAAGTCAATCATTCTTAAGAGGAGAGAAGAACCTGCTGCCTCTCGTTCACGACCGCGAAGATCTTCTGCCTACCTTCAGGCGAGCCCTAAGCCTGCCACGCCAGCAAAGCCCGACGGCCATCAATATGAAGGTGTCCCTTACAAGGGACTTACATTCCAAGAGGCGCAGGAAAAGATTGTTGAAGAGCTGCTCAGGCACCGCGAGCCCGAATACGAGGAGGTCTACTTTGAACCTTTTGTCAATCTGCCTCCTCGGGCTCTAAAAGACTACTACAGAATAGTCACCGATCCTTTATCGCTAAAGAAGCTCCAGAAAATCGTCAAGGGCATTCAAGGCCGTGGCGAACTGACCGGGGTCAGCGAACTCAAGTCGTGGGCGGCCTTTGAGGAAAAGTCCAAGTTGCTTTGGACAAATGCCTATTTTTACAATGAAGAAGGCAGTGAGATTTATTCTCTTGCACAAGAGCTACAAGTATATCGCTCTTCGTACCAAAATTTTAGTTCGTCGCTAACAGCTTATAGAAAATGTTTAATGCTCAACTGAAGAAGGCCAAGGCTGCTGTTTCAGAACCAGCACAATCAAAAATTAAGCTCCGTGTCGGCGGCCATGGAAGTAGCGACACCCCTTCAAACAAGAAAATCACAATTCATGTCGGCGGTCGGGGCAACGAGGAGTCACCAGCCTCAGCTCCAACGTCGGCACCAGCTCAAGGCACCGAGACTCCGACTACCAACGACGAAGGCGTTAACGGCGCTGCCACCCCTGCTGCCCAGGTTGAAGACGGAACCCCGGCTAGTGCCCCTACACCAGGCCAGCTCCCACCCGGCGCTCCGCAACCACCCGGACTATCGGAGACTCCCGTTCCCGCCCCGCCACCGCCCCCGAACCCCGCCCAACATAACGAGACAAGGCGGCCTCGAGGCCACGGTAAAGGTAAGAGCCCCCGATTTTGGATTTCAGTGCCCCCAACAATGTTTGCTAACCCCAAGCCCTGCAGGCGTTAACGATGCGCTGCTCTCCCGGCTCTCCATCCTGGCCCATCCGATGCTGCAGCTCGCCCAGCCCAGCATGGGTTCCATCTACCCGGACCCCAAGTACCTGCAGCAGTCGGGCGTCATCAATGTGCCGCCGCACTGCACCCGCGTCTTCGTCGTCACCGCGCTGCCCGAGTTTTTGCACGAGCGCCACTACAGCCTCTGGACGCTCATCAACCGGCAGCCCGTCAAGCCCTATCCGCAGATGATCCCCGGCCAGCAGCCGCAGGAGCTCGCCTTCGAGGTCGGCCTGCACCCGGGCGTCAACGTGGTCGAGGCCCATCTGATCGCCGCCATCCCCGGCGCGCAGCGGGAGGCAGGAGGTCCTGAGTCGGAGCTGGAGATCTTTACGGCATACGTTAACGTGACGAGGAATTGAAAGAGCGCAAAAGGGAACTGGATCGCGGGTGAATAATAACAGTGCGTAAATGCCTGGGGTTGTGTTTTTATTTTCTTTCTTTCTGTGTCTTCTTCTTCCTTTGTTTTCTATGAAATTTACGGGTTTTTGGTCATCTTTCGCTCTCTCGGAGACGCTTTCTATCAGGGCATGGGTATAAGTGCTGAGCCCCGTTGGGCACAACTGATGATTTGTCTGCGATTTAGTCGGTGTTGCTTTCGTCCAAATCATTATGCTTTGAAAAAAAAACAATAGTGTAAATTACGGGCTTGAAGCGCTTCGAGACTTTATTTCTCTCAGTTCCCATGATTTTTTATTCAAAACGCGTAGCCGTCATGGGTGCTGGCGGGGGTGAAAAGTGAGGAAACAAGCCTTTTTGTGCGCGCCAATGCCATGCTGCCTAGGTAGATACAAAATACAACGAATACAGTGAGTGATGGTGTTTCGCTTCCCATCTCCCAAATCCCAATATTTACACCACGATATCGCCCTTCATTTCGCTGGATACTGCTGGAAAGGCAAGAGGTGCTTGAGCTGTGTTTGAATGTCGACGAACTTCTTCTGCTTCGGGTCGAACCAGGCGACGACGTATACAGCCATGTAAGCCTTCTTGCCGGACACCTGTATCAGGCCGTCCACCTTGATGCAGCCGGGGCCGGGGCCCTGCCGCGCGGGCTTCCAGCTCTTCGCCAGCGTCATCATGGCGGCCGAGCTGGCGTGCTCCAGATTAGATGGCATCACGCTCCCAAAGGACACCGCTGACTGAAGTGTCTTTTTCAGGTCTTGCAGCTCTCTGTTCGCGCCGGGACCGACGGTTTCCTGTTGCTGCATGCGGTTCAGGATGACTGATTCCCATGTGGGCGGTTGCTTGGCCGGCTCAGAAATGCCTAGGAATACGGCGGTATCTGAGGCCAGCCCTCTGCCGAGGACGCTCAGAAAGCTCCAGGCCGCCTTAGCCACTGCAGCGGGGTAGATGGCCAGTGATAAGTGCTTCGCGGCGAGCGTATCGATGGGGCGGTGCGCCCAGTATATTCCATCCTCTTCTATACTGATTCTGTACTGATGGTCAGCATCCATTTAGAGGGGCATACGCATCAGTTGAACAACAGGACTTACCCCGCTACATAGTGCTTAGGTGGCGGCCGAGTGGGAAATATGGTATCCAGCCAGAACTGGGAGACACCAATGTCCTTACCGCCTAGTAATCTGACATACTGGTCGCTTTTTTGGATCGCTTTGCAGATGATATCGGCTAGCTTGTCTGTAATCCATAGTTTAGCCCGGATGTGCACTGTGTAGGTTTGGAACAAAGTCACCCACGTTTGATGTCTTCGCGCGCCTGCTTGTTTCTGCTAAAGGCGACGAACTCCAGCCACTCAGGGTCGCTGCTTCGATAAGGTGGTTGTTTGACCTCGATCGTTCCGAAGGGCATAGGTAGAAATAGTAACGAATCGGGACCGTCGTCTGCTTCGTCGGTCATCTCTTGCTTCTCCTTCTCGGACAAGGAGTCCCACTCGTCCTCAGCCCAGTCGAACAAAGGCTCCAAGACGACGACATAAAAAACGGTCCAGCAGGCGAACACTGTGGCTGTTGTGAATAGAACGCGCCTGTAGAAAAGTGACCAAATGAAGGTTAGTAAACTGGCGCCGGCACAGGTTGATAGTAGCGAGGAGCGCCGTACCCGACAAATCGGCGTATTGGCCGAAGGCGTGAGCGAGTAACTGGCTTGGGGAAGTAAACGGGTAGAGGCTGAGTTGCGTGGTCACTCCTGCGCCACGGCAGCACAGATATTTGCCGGGCATTCAAGAAAAATCGCTGGTTGTGAAGTGGACTCGATCGCAGAGCGTTGAATGGCGTCAGCCGAGGCGCGAACGCCAGCCGTCGCATCGCCATAGTTTAGAAGAAGACGACACAAACTCTCGTCATATGGAGGGTTCAGCCAGGCCCTGCCGGGGAATAAAATGCATACTGTTAAAAAGACAACGCCGGGTTTGTAAATACACAAATAGTGATGATGCGATTCGTCATGCGGCAGCACCTGATGCTGGTTTGCTGCTAGTGGCTGGACAGCCCGCCAAGTCGCCCGCCGCCGGAGTAACCAAACGCCGGGCTCCGCACTGTGTAACGGGCGACATGCAGCTGCCTTCAACCATCTCCTTGGTGATGACGTTTCGGTGCTTCTCTCTGCTCGACAGCCATACCTTTTTATGATCCCACAACCATCATGAAATTCACAGCAGGGATCATTGCAGCTCTTGCGAGCTGCAGCGCAGCAACCACAACTACTGGACAGGCCTTTATCTTTCCACGCGATGGATCCGCCTCAACAGCTACGCTCAATCGCAGCCTGGCCAGACTCGTGTTCCTCCAGCGCTTGGCCAACCCCGGCGAAGGCCCAAGCATCAGAGATATCCCCGAAGGAATCAGCGCCGACGAAGCCGTTGCTACGCTCAACAAATTCTCGAACGCCAAAAGCGCCTTATTTGCGTCCGAGCCGACGACCAAGCGACTGCTTGTCATGGTTGACGGTATGACTGCACAACAAATCGACGAGGCTGAGAAAGCTCTCGACCAGAGTGCGGCCTTTACGATAGATGACCTGCCTTCCTCTACGGCCAATCGCGATTTATTCGAAATTGATGCCTACAATGCGGGCGCGACGAAACAACACCGCTGCTCACTGGGCGAAATTGTAGATATGAAAGAGAGCAAGTGCTGGAGTGAAACATCCACAGCTGCTAGATTCAACGTCGCAGAGGTATGTCGGGAGTGCGGAACCTACTAATGTTCAAGACTAACGTCACCTCAGAAGCCAAACTCGATGAAGAGCATCGTCGATGCTCTGAGGTCCATCCCCAAGCTTGCTAAAGCCGGGGAAGTGGAAGCTACGATCGTTCTGCTACCTGCTACAGGCGATAATGCGAAGCCTTCGTGGTCTGATAAGCCCCAAGAGCTCCGCCGTCGACAGGCCGAGCAGGTCATCTCTTCCAACCATAAGGCGGCTTTATTGAGCGAGACCCGCCCGTCTACGACCTCGTCGAGCTTGCCAGTCGAGAAGACACCTATCCCTGCCTGCTTCACCTCCAACGAGACCTGCATCGCCGGCACGAACAATTGCTCGGGGGGACACGGATCTTGCGTTAACAAATACGGCGCCGTCCCCGAGAATCCCAAGGAGGGAGACGTCTGCTTCGTATGCCGTTGCAAATCGACCGCGAATAAGAACAGTGGGCCGACGCACTGGGGCGGACCAACATGCGCCAAGGAAGATGTTAGCGTGCCGTTTTGGCTCTTTTTCGGGTTCACAATCGTTCTCGTCAGCGTCGTCTGGATGGCCATCGGCTTGCTGTTCAGCGTGGGCGAGGAGAAGCTCCCCGGGGTCATTGGTGCCGGCGTTTCTCGCTCAAAGTAATGGCGCAGCGAGCTGTTTAGGAATGTTTTGCTCAAGGTCCAGGCAAGTATATCCGGGTAACCTCGACAGGTTGGTGATATATTGCGGATGGGCTCAATCATGTACTATAGTTCGGCGATAAAGGGGACTAGAAATGTCCAGCAGTCGCCTGGAGGAGGCTTGTGCGCTTCGAAGTAGCAACACTGAGTCATTTTCAGCCTTGTTTGGCTTGTTTGGCTTGTTAATAGAACTAGTATGAATCCAAGACGTGTTATGTGATTAATAATACGATTTCTATAAATGTGAAGTCGGTTAACTAGTAGTAATTGGACGTGCACAGTAGCAAGAATAACATGTCACATAGGCGGGAGTTACGGACTAGTTGCTACATAGATAATGACATGATTGGTTATGTTCGTGAGATCAAAACGCCTCGGGCAAGGCATAAAGGGAAGCTACGGAAGCGAGAGCTGATCGTAACTAGATTTGGCTAGAAAATTCCATGATTGACTTGCCCACCTCGCCTCTCTGCCTTGCCAACGCATTTCTCTTGAAGGCGATTCGCAGCCTTCGGACGGGCACGAATAATAGGTAGTTAGGCTGATGAACCCTGAAAGCAGGGGCGTTTTGTAAAGCAAGTTATAACTTGACTCAACTAGGTCAGGCCCAATCGAGTTGCTTCTGGCATATCCACCATTTCAAAGCCGATAGGCTAGCTGCCGAGGCCCCCGGTGGCTGGCCCACTCTTTTCTACCAGTGTCCGCCCTCGTCCGAAAAACGCCGTTTCCCTCCTGCGATCTTGCCTTTGTAATCCCAGCAGCTGTTTATTAGGTGCCTGTTCTCATCACTCACAGAGGGAGCCCCTGTTTATCAGGCATCTGGCCAGGCACATTCAAAGCCTGCTCGCCGGGTCAACCTGCATTGGATAATACCTGATCAATCTGGGGCTTGTCTGACGTCGTGCGCCTCATTCCACTGGAGGATGCCCAACGACGAGCGTCCGAAATTGCCGACGGCGAAATGGGGTGCGGCTTGCGCTGCCTGCGCAACGGCGAAGGCAAAGTGTATCCGCTCGAATAAGACCCTAGGAACAAAATGCGACCGGTAAGTAGGCGCCGAAAGCCCGCATCCCCGTCATGGAATATATCGTCACTCCGGCCGCTGGGCAAAAAAGTCCACATCTGCGCCTCCGCCTCCCCAAGCTCGCCATCTTGACGCACTGCGCACTCAAACACCATGCCGGCAGTGGCGGATAGTATCAATGCATGGTCTCGCTGACGCCGAAGATGATTCTAGTTGTGAACGGTTGCTCAAGGAATGTACAGACCAAGTACACAAGCCCAGGAAGAAAAGGCAGCCCAAGCCCTCGTGAGTCGCTTCTCATCCCCATGCGCTCATCTCCTCGAGTCCATCGCCTCAGTCGCCATGGAATACGTGAACCCCAGTCAGCTAATGCTAAACCCTAGACGCACCGCTCAAATCGAGGAGCGTCTGAATGGCTTGGTGAGCTTGCTGCAAGCATCAGGAGAGCTGCCGCCCCAATCCCAAGGGCAACAGCAGGACGGCAGCACTCCTGGTGACTATGACGAGTCTAACATTACATCATCGCAGATGACAGAGTCACCCATAGCTAGCAATCCAGCTCCAGTCCAGAGCCAGCAGACGGCCAAAGAATGGTTCATTCCCGCAACATACAACTCGTTCGGCGCCGCAAACTGCATCTGCCGCCCAGCACCCGGCGATGCGCCGCCACCTCCAGAGACCGACGATGTTGCCTTGGAAATCTACAGGACTCAGCTGCAACAGCTGTACCCATTTGTCGTTATCCCGCCGAGCATAACAGCGGCCCAGCTCGGCGTAGCACGCCCATTTCTCATGTCGGCAATTCGCATGGTTACTTCTTTTCGCAGCCTGCGTTCGATGAGAGCGCAGATGTACGCCTTGAAGATGCACATCTCCGATTTCATGCTGATTCGCTCGGAGCGGTCCATGGATCTTCTTCAGGGCATTATCGTTATTCTTGGCTGGTACCAGTACCACTGCTTCACCCATGCCCAGCTCCATAACCTGCTGTCGCTAGCAATTTCTCTCATCGGGGAGATGGGACTCAACCGACATCCTATCATCCACGAGGGCACCAGACTTATGGCCGCCCAACCGCCGGCGCCCCTTGTACGGAATAGCGACGAAAGGCGTGCATTCCTTGGCGTCTGGTTTCTAGCCTCTTCGTAAGTTTGCGGTTATGCCCCTCATGCACCCTGATGATACTAATTCCAGCCAGAATGTCGACTGTGTTTGGGAGAATTGAGCCCATGCGCTATACCTCATATGTCAGAGAATGTGTCACTATCCTCGAAAAGAATATGGAGTACCAGACCGACGTTAATCTTGTCTTTCTTTTACGAATTCAGCATTTAACCCAGCGCATTTCGGAACTGAATCCACGAGACAATACCATCGAAGAGTTTACGAGCATTCCGAAAGCTCCCACGGCAGTATATATATCTGCTTTTCAAAGCGAGCTTGACGAGTTGCGGGCCAGCTTGCCAGAGCATCTCAGGAACGACAGTATGTCTGCGCACAATCTTGAAGACATCATCAGCCACGTTACTAACCAGCTCTTATCAGATATCATCACGATGTACTTTAATACTGCGCGTCTGAGACTTTACGAGCCACCGGTTGTCGACAGGAATCTTATTGCGTCATTAGCGGACGCTTTCACAATGAACAATACAGGCGGAGGGACGCCTCTCGATCGTCTCTACAACACCAGTGCCGCTCTTACAGGGTGGTTTGAGACTTGGTTTGTCGTACCAGTTTCTCAATACGCTTTGCAGCCTACTGCAGTAGGGGCGCAACTTGTGTATGCATTGACAATGCTTGGGAGATGGGCTCAGCTTGTAGCACCCAAACCGGTTGGGGAGCCCGAGGACACGCAGCGCGGCACAACCGGGCTACCATCATTTGAGCCCAAGCCACAAAATGCACAAGGCACAGCTGCGTCGCCTCAAACAGTTGATCACGGTGTGATACCGCCTCGGCTACCTTGCCCACTGGCACCTGCTGAGATTGACCCGGATCTGCCCGCCGCCGTCGCGCATTTACGTGCGCAGCTGAAGACGCACCCAGGCCTCATGGTCAACGTCGGCGAGATCCTCCTGGCTATCTGCAATCGTTTCGAGCAAACCAACGCCACCTTCCAGATTTCATCGACAGACTCGAGAAAGGATGAAGCCAACGTGTGGAGCATGACCGCGCTCAGGGTCCGCATCACCAAAGCGAAGTTGGAGCGGTGGGCCGAGCTCGTCTCCAAGGAGGGTGAGAACCACTCGCCCGGGCAGCAGCTCAAGGCGGACATGGACACGAGCATGTCCGGCTGGAACGCCGGACCGTCGTCCGCACCGGCGTCCGGCATGATGCAGACCGACGGCGGGGCTTGGCAGGGCATGGACTCCAACGTGCCAGCGGATCAAATGCAAAACGTGTATGGCAGCACCCCGTGGCGAAGCGACCTGCTCACGGGCGTTGACCCCGCAGTTTGGTTTGATGGATATCTCGACTGGGGCGCGGTCATCATGAACTCAATGGGCACGGTTGAGCAATAATTGGTATTGATTTATTGGCGCGCTAGGGGTAGGTGGCTAGTGGTGCAACTGGTATGCAGCCATTGGTCGAGGCGCGGTAATGGAAAAGGGTAGTTGATCGTGAGTTATGATTTTCTTTCTGATCTGGTGCTGGGAGCCGACTTTCCCCTCTTTGTACACATCAATAGCCTAGAAGCTCGCCAACTTGCACTTGCAAACCTATTGGCAAGTACCTCGGGAACATGGGCCGAAATAATTGTAAACTATATAGAGCATTGACCGTTTAACTGGACATCCGCCTTGTCTGCTTTATCCGTCTTGTCTACTTTATCTAAAGTTAAAACAGATGTATTGAGACACCTAACACTGGAGCTCTAAGCGTTGCCATCTTGTCGGCCGCTCTTTATACAGCTATGGCGCCGCAATGAGCGGCAATCAGGTTAGCCGATCTTATTTCCCTGTCACCTTACATTCAGCTACTCCAACGACATTACTGTTCGACTCCGACGTCACCCTCAAAGTCACGATGCCCTCGGCAGCCGCTCCCCCGGCAGGCCGAGCCGCCACCAGGACATCTACGCCTTGACCAAACTGCGCCGTCGCAATCTCATTCGGCAACTGGACCTCCCACCCGGAGCCAGCCACGGTGGCACTCAGCCTGTAGATGTCGGAGTTCAGGTACGGCGCGGCTTGAGCTCCGGCGTCTGCGCCCTGATGCCCCCCCTGTGTGCCGTTGTTCTTCACGTTAAAGGAGCAAAACACCCCCGACGCGGCCTCTGCACCGGCGGTAGCGGGAAGGACAGACCCGGCCGACACCTCCACCGCGTACTCGTTGCCGCTCGTGTCGTTGAGGGCGCGGGCGGCGACGGTGTAGGAGAGCGCGCCCTTGCCGGAGCGGTGGTGCTCGAGGACGTAGAGGTGGACGCTGTTGGCTCTGTCGACGTGCTCGAACTTGCTGCCCGAGTTGGTGCCCGTGTGGAAGAGCGCGTCGAGGAGCTGGCGGTAGTCGCCGACGGTGATCATGGCTGTGGTGCCGTTGGGACGGACAAAGTCCACGATGCGGATGTCCTGCGGGTTCGCGTCGATGGTCCACTGGAAGGGGGGGTCCGGCCCGTACTTGACCTTGCTGAACATGACGCCCGCGTCCGCCTGGAACGAGTCGGAGCCGCTCCGGTCGACGACCTCGACGTCGTACGCGTCGTACCCGCCGCCGTCGCACAGCGGGTCACGCGCGACGCTGCAGCCGGGGGACAGGTCGCGGTCGAAGTCGACACGCAGGCCGATGAGGCCGCAGCGCGAGTTGCGGGCCGCGAGCCGGGCCACGACGGGCCCGCGGGCCTGCAGCGTCGCCTTGGAGACGTTGAGGAGGCGCCGCTCGGCGACGAGGCCGAGCCAGAGCTTGTCGCGGACGGTGTGCTGGGAACCCATGGCGCCGCCCTTGAGGGCTGGGATCTGCCAGCGGGTGTGCGGGCCGCCGGGCCCGTTGAAGGTGCCGCGCGACATCATGGACCAAGGGCCTGTGTAGGACCGCACGGGCGGGACGCCGTACGGGTTGTTGTAGTTGTCCCAGATGTCGATCAGGTGGCTGAGCTCGTGCGCGTACGTGGCCATGCCGGAGCTCTCGCACTGCACCGAGGACCCGAGGCCGATGGCGGCGTCGGGCCACAGCGAGGAGGCGGACGCCCACGAGGTCCAGCTCACGTACCGCGTGGCGGCGAAGTTGGGGATCTGTGAGCCCGGAGGAGGTCCGAAGGCGTCCGGGACGTCGTTTTCCTGGCCAAACTTCATCTCGCCAAACTCTTGCCAGGTGGAGGACTCGTCCTGCCCCGCGGAGAGGATGAAGACCATGTCGAACGACTTGGTCGTGTCGTTGCCGACGTCGCGGCTCCAGGCGGCCTGCACTGCGTTGCGGAGGTTCAAGTTGCATGTTTCGTTAGCAGGGCAGGCGCCTGGGTTAAACTGGCGGGTGATGCCGTATTGGTAGTGATGCGCGGGCATCTGATACGGCCCAAATGCCGTCAAGTCTACGCCGAAGCGGCCGCCAGAGCTCTCCATCCAGTACTCGTGAATCGTGTGTCCCCGATTCAAGTCGGTCGGCTTGTTCAACAAGTCGTGGTAATACGAGGGTACGTCTTTCCTCTGCACATTGCCGAAGCCGGGTAGCGGATTCCCGAAGACGGTCGAGTTTGGGGCTCCAGTAACGACAAAGGGCAGGTTGTCATAGTCCACTGCGACAAGGGCAATGTTGAAGTTCCTGTCGGAACCAGCGCGGCTGGGATCATTCCAGTTCGCGCCGGGAGGTGCCTTCCAGTCAGCCCATGTCATGTCGTCCGGGTTCACCCAGTTCTGAGGATCAATGGGCTGGAAGGGCACATGTTGAGGGCCGACAGAGGCGAGGGCGGCGGTTCCGCTCAAGGCGACAACGAAGAGTCTTGAAACGCGTCCCATGATGATCGAGTGCATGAGCGAGAAAACGAAAGAGCCCAAGGTGACGCGATGGGCGTACTACCAGCAAACACAGTCGAAATGGAGGGGATTCCAAGCTTTAAATATTAATCCAATGTCTCAGTATCTATGTACTATTTACTGTTCGTTCCCGAATACCACGATAAACCAAAATACAAGCTTAATATATGGAACCGGGTGCTGTAGCCTCTGCCAAGAGCTCGTTTATTGACGTTTACGTTTACTAGAGGCGAATATATTTCCGAGGCGTCCTTCACTTGACGACTGGGCTGCCGCCCACAGTGAAGGGACCTGCTACAATAGGAATAGCGATACCCAAAACTGTATGTCACCCCAATCTGGGGCAGAAAAGCCATGAGGGGGCATGAAGAATACAAATCCATGGAACTTCAGCTGGGGCTTAAAATCAATGATAACGTCAAGTTTTCTTTATGTAACAGAAGTGTCAAGTCGCCGGTGGCTTACAAGTTGGCTTGTATGCGCAAGTATACATCTACGGTAGGACCGGTCACAGTATCTATATGGTTTTTTTTTTTTCTTCGAAACGCAGGACTGATATGATTTCACCTTTTAATTTTAGCCGTCCTCAATTCCAATACCGGTTAGTCCTTCGAGTGACAACGCTCCAGTGCTGGAAAAACGAAAACGACGAGGCATCAGTCCAATCATGTGGACCGCTCAGTGACCACTTCTCATACGCCACCGCGGCGACTTCGGCCCTGTAAAACCTCATCTCTGCATAGTCCCTATTTACGCCCTATTTGCGATACAGAAATTACCGCCCCTTTTTGTCAAGCCCGGCCAAGCTCCCTGTTGCATCCTCGTCGGTGCCATCATATCATGTCGACAGATGTGAATGCCCCGCCTTCTGGCGAGGCCCCTCCATGGTGGGCAGCTCTGCCTGAGCCGCAGGCAGCGTGTGAGACAATTGAGAACTCGGACGTCATGGCTCTGCTGGAAAAGATGCTTGCTGGACCCAAACATGCAAGTAGGAACTTTCTTCTCGTAGATGTTCGTCGCACCGACTGGGACGGGGGCACCGTGGCCACCTCCATCAACCTCCCCGCGCAGTCCTTTTACCAGACCAGGCCCGTCGTCTATCAGCTCTGCAAGCAGGCTGGCATCGAGAAAATCATCTTCTACTGCGGTAAGGAAACCTAGACCCAGCTCGACACACTCTACTAAGACCTTGCAGGAAGCTCGGCAGGACGCGGCACCAGATGTGCTCGGTGGATGCAAGACTATCTGAACGAGGTCGGCGAAACTGGTATCAAGGCCATCATCATGGCCGGTGGCATCAAAGGCTGGCACAAGGCATTCGGTGGCAAGATGATGGAGAATTATGACGAAAAGTTCTGGGCAGCCAAGGCATAGTTTTGATTTGGCCTTTTGCAATATGCACAGGGTAGCCGGTTTCCCTGGTGTCTTTCGGTATCTGATCCCATATTTCTTTAAATATCCTGCTTCCATTCATACCAAAACGCCGAGCGAACTTGAAATCAATGTTTGTTTTTGTTTCCCACAGCTAATCCCCCACTCGGTGTCTATCGGTGTTGTCGGTCGTCGCCGCCGATGCGCTCCATTGCTTCCAGCATGACAACTGAGTTGCCACGGATGACCTTTCGCTCCAGTTAGCAAACATGCAAATAACCAAGTTTCCGCATGAAAAATAGCAAACGTAACATACCACCATGCCTAGTCTTGTCTTGTTACCGCCATCAGTCTCTTCAAACGCATCGTCAAGAACAATGTTCAGGAAAACCTGTGTATCGGGGTTAGCGAGGAGGCATCGTAGGTCGCCGAGGGCATCTTTTTGCATACATCGTATCCGCGTAGGACACCAATCACTTTGCGGCTGCCATTCAGTTGGACAAACAAGCGCTTATCGAGGTACTGTGATCGCAAAGTTAGCAAGAGCTCCCTCCAGCTGCACGCTCGCTTCTGGTTGCCCGCAGCCGCAAAGCGCAAAAAGCCTCAAAGTCGCGCAATTAGGGGAAAAACATACCTTCTTGAGCTCGGGCTGGGCGGGCGCCATTTTGAGCTGGATTTATGCGAGTATGAGGAGATTGGTCAATGGCACGAGAGCAAACCAAGCTGTCACCCGCACGCGAAGAACTTGGTTCAGCATCGCGCTACCTCACCCACGCAAATGGGTCACGTGCAGATAAGATTATAACGGCCGACATGTCGACAAGGCAGCAACGGCGACCAATACGTTGTCCAGGAAAAATAACACAAAATCAATATGAGCTCATTTGGGTCACGGCGAAAAGCTCGAGTGATAAAAATCGATGATGAAGAGGCGCCAGATGCAGAGAATAACGATTCTGAGAATGGTGGCGAGTCAAACACAGGTAACGACCCCAAACGCCCATGGTTCGATTTGAGGCACTCAAGTGAGACTGACTGTGAGGTCATGACAGACTTTTCACAACCTTCCTTTAAAATAAAATCAGCCAAAAGGGGGATCCGCCAGTCTGGCCTTCGAAAAACATTTACGGCTGATAGCGCCAATGAAGATGCGATCCCTGGCAATGAGGAGGAGGACGATGGCCCGGTGGTTGTCAAGGCCAAATTTGGCGCCCAAAAACAAAAGAAGAAACCCAAGTCACGACTGTCCTTTGGACTGGGAGCTACCGAAGAAGAGAACGACGATACTACTCTAGAAGCGCCAATGAAGAAGTCGACATTGGGCCAGCGAGTGGTTGAGAGCAACGCCGTGAAGCGAGGCATAGCGATGAGAGGATTTCCGGTGCGGACTTTGGATGATGATGACGACAGGCCGAGATATAGCAAGGAGTACCTCGACGAACTGCAGTCATCCACACCGACCACACCCATCGACTCTGCGTCCCTACCGACAGACGGTGATGAAATGGAGCTGGACGCCTCTGAGCTTGAAGGAGCCATGATCGTGGACTCACCAGCGCCCGCACCACCCGCGACCAAAATTCAAGTTCTCACTCCCTCAGAAATCCAAGAACGAAAAGAACGCCGGGCAAGGCTAGCTCAGGAGCAAGATTTCCTATCCGTCGACGACGACGACGACGACGACGGACGGGCCAAGAAGAAGGGGGACACGAGGCTGGCAACCGACGAGGACCAGATGGGCGAGGGCTTCGACGACTTCGTCGACGATGGGGGCGTCTCCCTCGGCAAGCGCGCCGAGAAGCAGCGGCGCAGGCTGGACCGGCAAAAGATGGCGGAGCTCATCGACGCCGCCGAGGGCCGCTCGTCGGACTCCTCGTCGGACAGCGAGGCCGAGCGGCGCATCGCGTACGAGGCGGCGCAGACGCGCTCCGGGCTAGACGGCCTGCGCAAGGAGCGCCCGCGCAGGGACCCGGCCCGGGAGCTGCTCGAGATCCCGCCCAAGATCACGCCACTGCCGGGCCTGGCCGAGTGCGTCGCCCGCCTGCAGGCGACGCTCGGCGGTATGGAGGCGCAGATTGGGGTCAAGGCCGCGGAGGTGGCGGGGATGCGTGCGGAGCGCGAGGGCATCGCGGCACGCGAGGCCGAGGTGCAGGCCCTGCTGGACGAGACGGGCAAGAAGTACCAGGAGGCCATGGGGAGGGTCCCGGCGCCGGCGAGAGTCATGGATGAAGGAATGCCGGCTGGCGACCTTGGCCCGGAGAGCTTGGGATCGACACCGAGCAGGACTGCAGGGGATGCTGGGGGCGCTGAGTTGTAAAATTAAGGATATAGCTGCCTATGTACGTTGAAAGATACCCGATTTCCAAAGAGACTCGTCGTATTCTCGCATTAATTTCGCAAAGTATTAGCTGAGCGGTGTTTCCCAGTCTTTTCTTTCCAACAGCGGATGTCACTCCGGCCGTTTTCTCAAAGCAACCCAAAAATCCGTGTCGCAAACGAAAATCGACGCCTTCGTCTTCATAGGCTTTTCCGGGTTGATGATGGCCATGTCGAATCGTTTCATAAGCTAGCAACGAGTTAGACGCAGGTCCCCTCAACAGCGCGACCAAAAACAAAAGCCGGACGTTACCTCATGTACAGTTTTGTGCAGCTCCATCATGGCAATCGGCTTCCCCAGACAAGAAAACTTGCCTCCCCCGAAATGCGTGTCCAGGGCCCGGTTCATCTTCTTCAAGTCCGCCGCACCGGCGCGCAACCACCGCTCCGGCCGAAAGACGTCCGCGTCCGGCCCCCAGACCTTCTGCGACCGGCCCACGGCCAGGAACGCCTGCCCGATCTCGGTGCCGCCGGGGACGAAGAATCCGTCGACGTGCGCGCCGCCCGCGGGCACCCGCTTGAAGCCGAGGCCGCTGACGGGGGGCCACATGCGGAGGCCTTCCTTGACCACCGCCTGCAGGTACGGGAGCTTTTGAATTTCGCGCCACGAGACTGGGTCGCTGACTGCCGACCCCGTCGGGTCGATTTCGCTGCGGAGGGCTCTCAAAGCCCATGGTGCTGTGAGGATGGAGAGGAGCGTCAGGCGGAGAGTGTGTGCCGTGGAGTTGGATCCTGCAATGCTGCACCGGAAGAAAATTAGCTGTGATAAAAGGGTCAAACCATCGGTACGCACATTGTAACGAATCCCTGCTGGATCATGTCGTTTTTCGTCAGCCCATTCTCAAGGTGATTCTGCACCAGGCTGCCGGCTTTCGCGAGCATTCCTGACTCGACAGACTCGGTAACAAAGCTGACCAGAATAAGTTAGGATTGAGAAGATTTAGTTTTCTTCTCTTGCTTTCACTTACTTCATGAGACGCCCAAACCCGACCTGGTCGCCTTCTTTCGGTAAAGCCAGGCGAAAAGGCCACTTGTGCAGGATATCAGTGATGCCTGGCAAAACCGACACGAATGTCATTATCGGTAACGACGACAAATTTATCTCGTTGTAGTTGAATAGGTCTCTATCCTGCTCCAAGTACCCGAATGGCTTCCCGATGGAAATATCGCCAATAATGTCCAGGGCAAGGAACTGTGTCTTTTCAGCCATGTCAACTGGTCGGGTTTCCGAGTCGGTTGATATATACTTGGTTTCCAGCATTTTCACAAAGTTTCGAATCTGCCTATCCATAGCAGCTTCAAACCCATATTCCTGGTCATCCTTTGCTGTAAACTGGGGGGTGTTAGCAACGTTGCTTGCCCGGCCCCGATCCGTATCATACCGTGGAGTTCATCTGAGCACGCATTGTCTTGTGCTTGTCCTCATCCAATGCCGAAACCACATTATCAACACCAGGTACGATTCGACCAGCTTTGTAGAACTTTCCTTTGGTAAATTTGCTCCGCACAGCTGATATGCGGCGGAGGACCTCGGGATCTGCGGAGACCAACTGGTTGGGGCCAATTCGAACAAGAGACCCTGCGCCAAGCTGCCAGTTTAATATCCTAGATCTAATAGGGAAGTTTTTATATGTATCTGCCGGCTAGACGCACCATACTGGTCTGTTGCATCTTTCAAGATCTGTGGAAAGTCACCACTCATAGCCCCACGAAGATGCCACAATAGGGACCAAGACGCCGACCGAGGACCAGGGATGTGTCGTAATCGATACCAGGCACGAACCTGACAAATGGCAGAGAAGAGAATCATCGCAGTTATTGCATAGCAAGTCAAAAAAACCGGAGAGCAGCTTGACATGGTGATAAAAGACTCCATTGTTGTGACATGGGTCAAGAGAGTTTTGCTTCGCACTGCCCTCTTCAACCAGAGTATCAGACCGCGAGTAATTAGCTTTGCGAACGGCAAGAAGTCAAATGTGCCTGCCCGATCACAGGGAGCAATGGCATGAGCGGGCTATTATATGGACTCTCCGTATTGGCTGTTCAAGATGATGTACACTGGTCTAGCTAATGCCGGTAGCTGACCAGCCCAGCAGTACGACCTCACAGGCCGTCCCGAAAGTGCGACTAAGCCAATGAAGTTTTGAAGATGGGCCACCCGGCTTACACTATTTGGTACTAAATAGGAGAGCGCGACCCCAGTTACAGCCTACATCACAGGATGTAACTAGCCCAGGGTGGCTTTCTAACGTCGTATCCTAGACATGGCCTAGCAAAGAAGGCGGCGCTACTGCCGTATTATACAGGATTTCCTGAATGGTACTATCTATGTATGGACAGGGCAGACAAACTGCCGACTGCTGCGGGCAGGACAGCTTAGCGTTTCGTTCCAAGTTGAAAGGCATAGTAGCCAACGACAACCTTCTTGTGCACCAGCTGAGCTTTTTGTCACCCTCACTCACCCCAATGAACGAGAGGTACTAGAGTGGCATCACCATCCACCAAATGCCGGCCGGGTGTTCCCGTTAACAGTGGAACTACCGTATGAGGATGATATTGGTCATGGTGGTGGGGTGACAGACCCCGGGGATGAAGAAAAAAGCAAGCCGTGGCGCCAGTGAATTGCTTCCTTCGGAGCCTCGTCTGTGGGTGCGACTGCAGTCAATACCTCTTTGTCTCCCCTATTCGGTGGAGAAAAGCGGCCTGGTAAAGATTTGCGAGCCAGACATTGCAAATGATCCTTGTAAACTGCAGTCCCCCACGTGCATACCGGTAGCTTGGCATTGTGTGTCCGCGATTATTCATCGTTGTTGACGCTGCTTGCTCCAATGACGGCAAGACAAGTCGGCGGTCAGACCATACACGAAAAGCTGCGTGCAAAGAGAATTCATCTTAAGCCATTTCGCTTGGGCAATTCGCCGAGAAGAGACTTGTGCAACATGGCGCTATCGAGCCTTGCTTGTCACACAAGGTCAAGGTCTCAGCAAGGCATTGGGCTGGGAGAAGATGCTGGGTCGTTCCTAGAAGATGATGCAACACTTGCTCTGTCGGTCCTTGTATTGTAGATACAACCCAGCCCACCAGAACTAGCAATCCTTGGTTACTGCTTCGCACCGAATTCAAAAATGAGTAGACTATGGGAGACGTCTTGCGGATGGTGGTTTAAGTTTAAGTGACTGTATTGCTGGGAGCAGGACCAGCTTCTGTGATCGTCAATTTTGGACAGTCTAGGGTACGCCGGAGTGGAAGTCGACCGGTAGGGTGTCCACCCGAGATTTCCAAAAGGCTGGGCCAGGAGAACAAGACAGGCTGCGATGGACAATACTCCATTTGGTCGAAAATACACTCAGGTTTCTTGTTGTAGGTAGCAGACATAGGTGCTGTTGTTGACGGAGGCAAGACAAACGGGGGAAACGCAGGCTGGTTGCTACAGTTTGACCCACACTAGCTTGGGCCTGGTCAACTGGAGGCCACAGGCCAATAAGGTGGCCCAATGCGGGGACGACCATCGAAGGAGCTAGAAGGCACCTCAAGATGGAGCTTCAACTTTTCTCCCCACCACATTCATCGTCACAAGACTTGCTACCGTTTAACCATTTCAACTTTTGCCTTTGCGTCTTGTACTAATTTATTGACTCACACTCAAAAGACATCACAAGCCGAACCTCTTTGCCCAACCAACAGTAGATTTACCCCTTGGCAATCTTATCCCCAAAACTCGTCCACCATGGCCAGCGCAGACGAGCTCAAAGCTCTAGGCAACAAGGCCATTGCCGAGAAGAATTTTGACGATGCCATGTGAGTCTAATCATTTACCACCTTGCCACCGCTAGACTTCAAATGTCCTATGGATACTTACACGGCGATACCCCTCCTAGTGAAAAGTTCACACAGGCCATTGCCCTCCAACCCGAAAACCACATCCTCTACTCGAACCGATCTGCTGCCTACGCCTCGAAGAAGGAATGGGACGCCGCTCTGAAGGATGCCGAAAAGACCACAGAGATCAAGCCCGATTGGCCCAAGGGCTGGGGTCGCAAGGGTGCTGCTCTCCACGGCAAGGGGGATCTGCTCGGTGCAAACGACGCCTACGAAGAGGGTCTGAAGCACGATGCCAACAATGCCCAGCTGAAGAGTGGTCTTGCGTCCGTAGAGAAGGCCATGCAGCAAGAGGCCGGCGGCGGCTTCCCTGGTGGTGGTGGCGACCCCGGTGCTGGACTCTCGCGCATGTTCAACGACCCTCAGCTTCTGCAGAAGCTTGCTGCCAACCCCAAGACCAGTAGCTACCTTTCCGACCCCGATTTCATGTCCAAGCTCCAGCAACTTCAGAGGAATCCTCAGATGACTACAGATATGTTCAGTGACCCCCGAATGATTCAGGTCCTTGGCGTTCTTATGGGCGTCGACATGGAAATGAGAGACAGTGATCCTCGTGAACAGGGTGATGTGAGCATGCCGGATGCCCCAGAAAGCAAGCCGACTCCTGCCTCAAAGGCTCCGGAGCCAGAGCCCGAACCCGAAGTCCTGGACGAGGAGGCGCTCGAGAAGAAGAAGGCCAAGGAGGAGGCTGATAAAGAGAAGGCCCTGGGTACTGAGCAGTACAAGAAGCGCAACTTTGACGAAGCCGTCCAGCACTACACCAAGGCCTGGGAGACATTCAAGGATATCACATACCTCAACAATCTTGGTGCCGCCCAGTTCGAGAAGGGCGACTACGATGCCTGTATCGAGGCGTGCAACAAGGCCATTGAAGAGGGCCGCGAGATTTATGCCGATTTCAAGGTGATTGCGAAGAGTTATGCACGTATCGGAACGGCATATGAGCGCAAGGGTGACCTGGCCAAGTCCATTGAGAACTACAACAAGTCTCTGACGGAACACCGCACTCCCGAGGTTCTCAAGAAGCTCCGTGCGGCCGAGAAGTCCAAGACCGAGTCCGCCAAGACCGCCTATATCGACCCTGCCAAGGCTGACGAGGCGCGTGAGGCTGGCAACAAGAAGTTCAAGGAGAGCGATTTCCCTGGCGCGGTCGCTTCTTACACGGAAATGATCAAGCGTGCTCCCGAAGACCCTCGCGGCTACAGCAACCGTGCGGCTGCTTTCATCAAGTTGTTTGAATTCCCCAGTGCTCTGGAAGACTGCGACATGGCGATCAAGAAGGATGTTGCCTTTATCCGCGCGTACATCCGCAAGGCACAGGCCTACTTTGGCATGCGCAAGTACTCGGAGTGCGTCGATGCTTGCACGGAAGCTCTTGCCGTTGATACCGAGCACCACAATGGTGCAAATGCCCGCGAGATTGATCAGCAGCAGCAAAAGGCGTTTGCCGCCATGTACTCGGCTCGCGACAATGAGACGGAGGAACAGACACGTGAGCGTTTGCAGAAGGATCCAGAGGTAAGCTTTGACAGGCCCGAGACGAGAGGAGCTCTGCTAATGAAGTGTATAGGTCATGAGCCTCATGCAAGATCCTGTGATGCAGTCGATTCTGCAGCAAGCTCAGTCCAACCCGATGGCTCTGCAGGAGCATATGCGCAACCCAAGCGTGCGTACCAAGATTCAGAAGTTGATTGCCGCTGGCGTAATTCGTGTTGGACGGTAAAGGAGCATGGATGTAATATAGCTTGCGATTTAATATCCGTAATGAGAAAATGATTCGCGCAGTCTATTTATAAACTTGGCACTGTGTTTGCCGAGCCGAAGCTGAGGACGCTGGGGCTGTGGGAGATGCCCCGCAAGAGCGAACAGAGTGTCACTGAACGGTGGTGCCCAAGGCCTGTATATTCTTCTGCGGCTGGGATCGGTTCAAAAGCTCCGGGCAATTGCGAGAAAATAATAACCTGAATTACTAGGGGATTACCTGCCTAATCTCTTACTTGATCAAGGTCGGTCGGCTGGTTCGGAATTCAGATGAGCTGGGGGCTGTGGCGCTCCTTGTAGTTACAGCACCAAGACCCTCCAAAAGTCCAAAAAGGTGGCGCCCCTGATTGCTTTATTTGCTCAGTGCTTGGCCTCTTGCCTTGACAACAATGCCCCCTCCCATTGCATTTGCACAACACACAAAACAGCGAGCTGCTGTCCTTTTCTCGGAGACGTGGACAAGCTTCCAGCAACATCCTTCGCCATGAGCGACATCGCCAGCCTGGCACAAGGTAAGTTTTGCATTTAAAGGCGTTTCGCGGCCACGCCACGGTTGGTCGATCCCGAGATGGAGAGACACGGAGTTTCTGACATGGGACGAACCCGGTTACAGATGCCACGCAATGGTCAACCACACAACTGATGGCCGAACTTCAACGCCGGCAAAATGCCAACGGCCGACCAAAGTGCGGTGGAAAGGGCCAGGGATGGTATGACATGGCCGCACACGTCTTTGCCCTGTTCCTGATTCTGGCCCTGAGCACACTCGGTACGTCCCCGGACCCTCGATCCGACGCGATGGCCCCCTGGGCATCACAGTCGAGCCCCCCTTTCCCCCTCCCCTTCTGCAGCTAACACCCGAGTGAACGCGCAGCCTGCGGGTTTCCCCTCATCGGACGACGCGCGACGACCGGCCGATCGCAGAGCCGCCTCATCTTTTACTGCCAACACGTGGGCACCGGCGTTCTGCTCGCGACCGCCTTTGTGCACCTCCTGCCGACGGCCTTTGAGTCGCTGACCGACCCGTGCCTGCCCGACTTCTTCAGCGAGGGGTACACGCCGCTCCCCGGCCTGATCGCCATGGTCTCCGCCATCGTCGTCGTGGGCGTCGAGTCGTACCTGACGGCGCGCGGCGCCGGCCACTCGCACTCGCACAGCCACGCCGCGTGGGAGGAGCTCGACGGCGAGGACGACGACCTCGCCCACGGCGGCCACGACGACGACAACGCCCACCGAATGAACGGCCTTGCGGATCGACGCAGCCACCGCCCGGATAACCTCACCGTTAGCGACCCGGACGCCGAGGCTGCCGAGGGCCTCGTCGCGGGCGCCTCGCCGTTGCCCGGATCGACGCCGACGATCGTGCCGCCGAGGAGGCGCTCCGTTGATAACGCCTTTGCGGATGGTGACTCGGATCTCGACTTCGACCTGGAGGAGCTGGATCCCGTGCCCAACGGCGCGAACGGAAGCGGAAACGGCCGACAATATAGGGGACTGAATCGTGGCGGCGGCGGCGGTGGGCACAAGCGCGCAGACTCCAGCAGCCTCCCCCCGCAGACGCCCGAGCAGCAGAAGCGGCAGATGCTGCAGTGCCTGCTGCTGGAGGCCGGCATCCTGTTCCACAGCGTCTTCATCGGCATGGCGCTGTCGGTGGCGACCGGCCCCGCGTTCGTCGTCTTCCTCGTCGCCGTCAGCTTCCACCAGTCGTTCGAGGGCCTGGCGCTGGGCAGCCGCATCGCGGCGATCCAGTTCCCGCGGGGCTCAGTGCGGCCGTGGCTGATGGTGCTCGCGTACGGCGTGACGACGCCGATCGGGCAGGCCATCGGGCTGTTCGTGCACCGCATCTACGACCCGTCGTCGATGGGCGGCCTCATCACGGTGGGCGTCATGAACGCCATCTCGTCGGGCCTGCTGCTCTACGCGGGCCTGGTGCAGCTGCTCGCGGAGGACTTTCTCTCGGAGAAGAGCTTCAAGATCCTCAAGGGCCGCAAGAGGCTGCACGCGTACCTGTGCGTCGTTGCCGGCGCCACGTTGATGGCGCTCGTCGGCGCGTTTGCGTAGGAGTCCCTCGAGATTGATAGCGACATAGAAGTATTTAAGCTGGCACGGCGTTGGGGTGTAATCAAACTAGTTTTTGACAATTGTTTGCCTTTGCAGTCTACTTGATGACATTGCCATTGGATCCTGAATAATAAGCTCTCGTCATGTCTGCGTTGGGGAAGACGAGCCGTTGTTCTACGTGGCGGTACTCTGCACACGGCTCACTTGAGATTCTGCGTTCAACTTTCGTTCTCCCTCCTTGAGATCATCTCCATCTCCCCATTTATCTGCAGCAACTTGGGCATCCATCTTTCTCTTTGGTCTACAGAGAAGCACCGTCGTTAGCATGTGCATGCTCTCTCCATTTGTTTTTGGAGGACAGAAGACTTACGCGAGGTAGCGGACATCTACGATGCGCAAAAGGACGCAAAGGACAATGACGAGTGCGCAGAGCGCAGAGGCAGACTGCCAACCGAACTTGTCTGTTGAAATGTTAGATTTCTGATGTGTGGCACCTTTTGCGGTGAGACTTGCAGTAGGGAGCTTGGCTGGCGGGCCAGAGTAGGACTTGGCTCCAGGCGGAGATGGAGTAATAACCGGCAATGGAAGCGCCGACAATGAGGGTGCGACCTTCTGGGTCAGTCGGTGACCTGTTATCGGGACAGGTAAGTACGTATGGTTTATCGTGGCCAAGAAGAAGGGGGCAAAAGGCTTGAGGAAAGACGAACAGATCGGACAGCCAGGCCCAGATGAGCGGTGCGGTTCCGAGGGCGGTGCGCTGGATGAAATAAGCTGCGTATGCGGCAGAGAGCGGCGTTGCTTGAGGATGGGTGGTCCAGACGCTCATGATGATGGCACCCATGACGGCAATAGTGGCTAGATGCTGTGAGAAAGGATACGGCAGTTTTTCTTTTTGGTTTCCGACTTACCTTGGAGTATGATCAACAGCCAACGCGTGCGGAAGAAGTCGGACATGTATGCCCAGACCCAGACTAATGAGCATTGTTAGGGGAGTCGCTACGCCTGATGAATTAAATGATGACTTGCCGAAGACGACGGTTACCGCAGAACCGCCGATGGGAATGACGTTGACGTCCGTGGTCGTCCAGCGTTGGCTGCCATCGCTCCGGCGCACGGATTTGAGGAACAAGCCAAAGTAGTCGGCACCCGACGTCCCAAGGACCATGGCAATATACAGAACCGCAACGATGTATACCAGCCAATGAGTGAATGTACGTCTGCAGGGGGAAGGACCCGCGTTAGACATGCCGAGTCTTGTGTGTACAAGTGAGATGAGGGAAACCAACCTAGCGCCAGACCATGATATGGGCTTGGCATCAACCCGGTTCGTACGAGCTAGGCGACTAAGAGCGAGCTCAGAATGAACCTTCTTGAACCAGAATGCCCACGGGTTCGGCTTGTTGGGCATGTCGGGGATCATGAAGTAGCCTGCGAGGCCCCAGACGACGGTGATGACGGCGTTGACGACAAAGAGCCACCTATGTATGAGCCAGTGAGGAAGGGTATCGCGAACGGGGAGAGAGGAGAATGGACGCACCTCCACCCTGCAAGGCCAGACCTGCCACTCAGGCTGTTGATGATGGCGGCCTGCAGCGCGCCGGAAAGCATCTGCCCCAGCGACTGGCAGGAGTGGTAGAAGCCGATGCGCTTGGCCATTTCCGTCGGTGTATACCAGGACACTGTTTCAATGCTTAGCAGCGGTTTACGCAAGGAGCATTCAGCATGGCCACTCACTGAACAGCGTAATCATGCCGGGGTAGGCGGCGCTCTCGCACAGGCCGAGAAAGGCGCGCAGAACGTAGACCTGCTTGGCGCTGTGGGTGATGGCGATGAGGCCGGTGATGACGCCCCAGACGATCTCGATGGAGGGCAGCCACCAGCTGGGGCGGACGTAGGTCATGATGATTTGCGAGGGGATGAGCATGATGCAGTAGGCGACGTTGAAGTAGGTGGTGAATCTCGAAGTCTGGTCAGCGTCCAGGAAAGCAAAAGGGGGGGGGGTTCTTTTGAAAGAAATGGGCAGGGAAAATGAGAAATGGGGCAACGGACAAGTTCAACTCATCTCCATGGAGATCAAGGTCATCTTTCATGCCCGACACGTAGGCGTTGTTGATGTTGGTTTGGTCAAGATACCTGAGGGCCATGTTAGTTAGCAAGGCCCCGGCGGGAGGGGGCTTGGAGGGCGGAAGGATGTATACTTGATGACTGTGACATGGGTGTTAAAAACGAGTCTTTAAGAGGGGGGGACTGCTTATTTGTTCTCACCTTGCGAAATGCAACCAAATGTGAGGAGAAAAAGGTCGAGCCGGGCGACAAAGGCTCGCTCTTCCTTGGACTGCTTCTGGGCATTCTGAGGCTCGTCGACTGCGGCGACCAGCTCGTTGAGGTTCGTCATTACGGCAGCGGGAGGTGAGATGCTTAGACTGACTGGTCTTCTATTTAAAGAGAGGAAGAGGGCACAATTGATGAGTGCCAGCTAGGAGGGGTAGAGAGGGAGAGAGTGAGCCCGACTGTTTGCCATGTTACGTGGGGGGTTGGCTAGTGTGAGTGAGTGAGACGTTGCCTGGCTTCCTTTGGGCACCACCACCATCTAATCTCATCACCATCCCCGCGTTCGTGGGCTTGAACCATTCGGATAAAGATGATAATTTGGGGGCGGGGGATGCGAGGTGCACGGACGGTCTTCTTCTTGTCTTGCAGGTGGTATTAGTACGGAGCATCAGACACTGAATTGCATTATCCCTAGGCTTGTCACTACCGTCACCCCAAGCCCGGATGGCGCCGCCAACGCGGGAACAAGCCGAGATCGGCACTAGTTCGCTGCTGGATGTAAGCCACGCAACAATGTCGATGGTAGCTGTATTAACACTACGCAGGTATTCCAGGCAACCAACAGCATACGAGTTCTCGACGTTTTTTCCGCCTACTTTCTAGGCTGAGGGGGGGTAGTCCGGGAGTGGTTGGCGATGTTGTATGAAGACGATGGATGGCCAGGAGAGAGCGGTAGAGAGGCTGAAAATATGACTGTAGCAGGTCTAGCAATACTTCAAGTATCTATTACTAACTTGATAAAATTTCAAAATAATAGGTGTTAAAATATCAAGCTTGTAGGAATACTCTTGATCCTCCTCCGTGCTGTTGTTCAAGGTATCTTGTCCGTTCATCCTTTATACTTTAGCGCCCCCTCCCCAAACGCCCCTCTCCAAACGCCCCCCCCGACATCATCGCGCAAGATTTCCCGCTTCATCAGTCGGCCTTCCAAGTTTCTAATTGTCCGTGATTCCCCAGACCCACGGCTCTTCATCGTCCTGCTTCTTCTCCTGCTTGGGCTCTGACTTGATATCTTCCGCGACACCCCAGACCCATCTGTCCTCATCTTCCTTTGCCTGCCGTATCATTTGGGTTAGCTTCTCGCACAATGACTTGGCTCATGGCTATCGCCTCAAGGGAGCCTACCGGGTTGGTTTGACTGGGTGCTTGCGGGACGGCAGCGGGCTTGCATTGGAAATGGTTAAAGTTCAACTCCTCACAGTTGACCTCGCCATTGAACTCCGCAGGTCCGACCCATTCGAGGGGGCAAGGGGCTTCGATCGTGAATTGTTCCCCTGAGCCACCGGCAGCTGCCTTGGCAGCGCACGAGAGGGTCAGGGTCTCTGTCGAGTTCATTTCGCAGGCGAGGCCGTTCGGGAAGGACTTGGGACCGTTCCAGTTGACTTTGCAACCGGCCCAGAGCTCGCCCTCGCTGGTGGAAACGGGACGTTTGGTGCTGTACTTGTGGCGCAGGTAGCCATGCGCCCTGATGCGCTCGCCTTGGAGATCGGTGAAGTTTCTCCGGTCAGGGCTAGATGGAGCCGAGTGACGAGATTTAGCAAATCATGGTTGCAGGTATGTCGTAGACGGGTGTAGGTGGCGGAACTCACAAGTAATCCATGAAGTTACGGTAGTTGCTGGGGCGCCATTCACCACACTGGAAGACCTCGCCGCCGTTGTCATTCCTCTTCTTATCCTTGGGGATGCTGTTCGTCCCCATCTCCTGCGGCCAGGTATCGGCAACGTAATCGCCAACCTCACAGCCCTTGTCCCAAGGATGGAACAGGCCTAGCCAATGACCGACCTCGTGGGTGATGACCTTGCCGCCGACGTCCTCGACAGTCGTGGCGCGCAGGGTGCAGGCGTCGACGGGAACCACCTGATCCCGCGTGAGCTTGCCGTTCAAGTAACCAGGAGCCGGCATGGTGCATGCGCCCTTGGCACCTTGAAGGAAAGCCACCCAGATGAGATTCAGGTCCGCATACTGGCCCAGTCGCAGCGGCCTCACCAACGTCTTGTGCATCTCTTTGCGGTCCGTCACGGTGGTCAAGGTCTCGTCCGGGATGTAGCTTGTGTTGACGTAGGTGAAGGACACTCCAAACCTCCCAAAGTCCGTGCTCAGCATGTTGACCACTTTTTTAATGTCGTCTTCCTGCCTCGGAATTAGCCTGGCGCACGAGGCGATGGCGGCACAAAAAAAAACGCTGCATAGAAGCAGCATCAACGTACCGCTACCCAGCCTCCCTCGACAGTCTCGTTCGCGTAAACAACGTGATTGAAGACTCGAAAGCTCATTGGGGGGAACTGCTGCGCTTCTTGGCGGCCTTGTAGAGCGTCATGCAAAGGTTCAGGATCGTAAAAGGGCGCCGGGTCGGCCGACTCGAGGTCAAGGTCCCCGTCACACCACATGGTCACATCTTCAGGAGTCGAGACTGCGGTGCTTGCAGCAGCAACCCGCGCCAGTAGGGGGAGTAGAAGAGTTAGGAATGCTGTCATGATGTAGATTAGCTGGAACAGCGTCGCAGATGAGGAGAAATGAGAAGATTATGGCGAGAGAAACAAGTTGCAAGAGCCCCTTGACAGAGGACGACGGGTTTATATTCTTTACAACTTAATACCTTGACTACGAGTTTCGGGCCAACCGAAACGGCGGAAGCTTTTCCGATTTGCATGGTGCCAATTTCCTTCAAAATGATTCTACTAGTTAAGTTGACAAGCTCATGGACCCTGGCTGGATATGGACGCCGTTTTATCGACGCAGGGAGGAGATAATACTAGGTATACACACATATAGAGCCCCAAATCATCAGTGCGACTATTAAAGGTGGTTATTATGCTTAAGAGCGGTTATATAAGTTTAAATTTTATTCCGAGGTTATTCATAAACCTGGACAATTTCTTTGCTCCCTTGAAGTCAGTTGGAAAGTTGAACATTATTACTCTTTCACAACTGGAGGCCCCATTTCGCCGAGTTCACGTTTGACTCGTGCTAACATTGAGGCGCAGCTGCTGAGTGGATGTGTGACAGAGGGCCTGCAATAGCTAATTTTATCTTCTAAACTGTGATCTTTAGCTTCGAGCAGGATACTTGGTTAGAACGACTCGTTTTGTACGAATAATCTTCGAGCCAAGCCGACCAGTCCGACAGTGGTGCCTGAATCAGCTGAGTCGCAGCACATCAAACAAATCCACAACATCCCATCCACACATCCACACATTCGGCACCGGAAATTAATATTGTCTACATGATATGCCGGCATCGAATGTCACAATCCCCATTGCTCGGAACCGCATGAAGCTTATCCTGCTCGACAGAGAATCACTGCAACAATTAGCCGACTCGCTAAGCGAGCGCTTCTCTGCCTCTCTCCTTAGATAAAATGCCGTCATGACTCGCATCAACACGACGACACGGGTACGCATATGACGCAAACATGACCAGTCTGGGCCATAGCCTGAGTCAGAGCTCATAGGGATTGAACCTATGATTATGCGACTTCGTGATAAGATGTCGGTCTTGTTGCGACTATGCCATCTGGAAATTCCCCAAGGCCGGTTCAAAGTAATGAAAAGAGAACGCAAAGGGAACGTGCAACAACTTTGAAGACTTGGCACCTCACGGCAGCTAATAATTCTAACCTAAAAGAATAGACGCAGCGCAGTTCAATCACGTACCTTTCCCTATCCTTACATGGGAGCTGGCTACCGAATACATGCATCGCCTCCATGCCAGCTTAATACCCTCATCAGGCACACGTAGAAGCTGGTGGCAAAACACCTGGTTTAGCTTCATCCACGTTATTTTGCCGTTTGTCCTTCAGTTCATGGTCTCCCAACACCACGCACGTCATGAGATTCACCGCGGCCAGCGTGATCGCCGCTACCACGAGCTTGTGCATGTTGTCAGTCCAAGCATGAATGATGCCGTCGCGAACAGGTGAGCCTAGGGGAAACTTGTTCGCCGCCAAGCTTCCCTGCGCATAGATGAGTCCAACAGTCGTTGCGTTGACACCCGGGATTGGGTCCAGGTACTTGTGAAGGCTCGGCCGAAGCGTTTGCTGGAGGGCGCCTACCACGGCGCTGCCGATCGCGCCACCGAGCTGCAGCACAAGAAGGATGAACCCGATAACGATGGACACCTCATCGTGAGGCACCGCTGCCTGCGCCACGGTGAGCATGTTGGCGGTCATGAGCCCGCCGCCCAGGCCCATCAGGACCTGCGGAGTCACGACTTGGAACGTCGATGGGCTGGCCACCCGATACTTTCTCATCCGGCCCAGGCCTATGATGCGGATGCCTGCCCTAGAAACGGTCAGGAGCTTGTACCGGCCGGTGTACGTCGCGACGAACCCGGCGAGCAGGTTGAAGACGATGAGGCACAGGGAGTGGATGGGCTGCTGTTGTAGACATTGTCCCGCACGTTGTGTCTCCCAGTCTTGGAGTACATGGATGAGAAAGGATTGGCAAAGATGGCCCAAAATCGCGCTTTGCGGCAACGACTGCCTTTTATTAAACTGAGGGGTCCTACTCGGACTGCCGAGCAAACCCGAAGCATGGCTTGAGGAGTTAACTCAATACGCTCGTGGATGTGGCGTTCTTGAACTACACTATTTACATGGAAACGTTCGATCTTATCTAATCAATCACTATGGTTATAAGTGAAATGAAGAGAAATTACATAGATTTCTACGGTAGAAAATTGATCATCGGGGACTTGCATACAACCATCCCGATTTTCGGCAGGATACTTATAATTTTGGCGTGCAGCCTACTTGTCGCAGTCTTCTCACCATGTCCGTGGGAAACGAGGGCCGAGACGGAGCTGAACGTGGACGAATGTGGACTCGCTTTAATAAGCATGGCTCCGAAATAACCGGCTCAGGGGACCGGCTGTTCTCCAAGAAGAAGGTGGACGCGTCCAGCTGGTAATTGCATTGTTGCCTTTTTCCCAATGTCATGATGGCGAGCTTCATAGTTGCATGTGCCGCAAGTGGTCCAGGGTAGGGGAGCAGAGCACGGCGCAGCCCAGACAAGTCAACCGGTAGCCTTTTACCGTTTTTCCGTTGAAGCCGCAGGAATAATAAAATCTCAAAAATATTGAAATTCAGTAGTCAAGAATATTCCGGCATCTTGCTAGTGTCAAGTCTCAATGGATTATTCTGTGCACCTCGGAAAATTGTACTATAAAGCAGCAGCCCAGTAGACTGCCAGCCAATCGGAGCCACTGTAATCTCAGCATCCCGCCCCGGGTTACTGCTGCTACCCTGTAACTACCTCTCATCCACCGACTTGCAGCATGGGGTGATTGACTACTCTCAAACAGGCCACTCGTCTCATCATCCTTTCGACCTCAACTGCCAACCTCCAGCCGGGTTTTTCCTCTTTATAACCGGCCCATCATGTCCTTGATCGGCACCCTCGTCTTTGGGACGGCATGTCTCGCGACGACCAGCTTCTTCAACTACTCGCCCTACATGGCCCAGACCTCGGCCCCGACATCACCATGGGCCGACGCGCCCATCGTGCTCGTCGCCACGCCCCAGCATCTCACAGGCAAGGTGCGAAGCCCAAAGCCCAGCCCTGTATCTCATCCGGCGTCTCTTCTTAATTTTTCTTACCCTTGACGCAGACTGATCTCTTCACCGCGGGCGCCACCCACATGGCCCTCGTCCACAACTCCATGATTCGCGGCTTCAACTCCATCTACCAGCAGGCCCCATACGTCGCCGCCGACGACGAGCCGGCCCTCGCGCGCGACTTTGTGCAGTACGCACTGACCTGGGCCTCCTTCGTCACCTCGCACCACCACGACGAGGAGGACAACCTGTTCGTGCAGGTGTCCACGCTGCTCCACGACGACACCGTCTGGGCGGAGACGCGCCGGGAGCACGACGCCTTCATCGACGGCGTCGCCCAATTCCAGACATACCTGCAGAGCACCCTCTCCTCCGAGCTCTCGGCGGATGAGCTCCTGCGCATCATGGACTCGTTCCGCGCGCCGCTGGAGGAGCACCTGCACAGTGAGGTCCGCACCATCGCCGCGCTGGCCGCGCACCCGCGGGCGCCCCTGGAAGGCAGCGACGAGGCTGCCGCCGCCGCCGCCGTCTTCAAGGCGTGGGGCAAGAAGACGGTGATGAAGGCGGGCGTCCTCGACGTGGTGCCGTTCTTCCTGCTCAACCTGGACCGCACGTTCGAGGACGGCCGGTGGGCGCGCTGGCCGCCGATGCCGGCCCCGGTGCGCTGGGTGCTGGCCAACGTCGTCGGCACGTACCACGGCAACTGGTGGCGCTTCGCGAGCTGCAGCTCGGACGGCAGCCCGCGGGAGCTGCTCGCGCTGGAGCTGCACGCGAAGAAGAAGAAGGAGAAGACGGGCGCGCAGCAGGGACAGGCCAAGAGTGCTGCGACGTCGGCAGGTGAGAATCCTACTGCCCGCGCTGATGAGCTGTAGTAGATAAGGCGAGGAGCACACTGCATGAGACGCCTGGTCTGAGCACACCATAGCGATGTATAAATAAATAGTGTATTACAATCAAACTGCGTTTCCAAACAAGAGTCGCTAACTGAGTCTTCATCGGGCAAGTCATTAATTACGACGAATTCAAGGCGCTCCCGCCCTGATCTGTGCTCAACCGCAGCAAACAGTAGCCTCCTTGGTGCCGTTGGGCTGATCCCTATTGCGAGTGTTAATACGAGCGACAGCTCCGCGAAGGGCAGGGCAAAAAAGCCACTTACGACACAGCAATGGGCTCCCAGTTGAAAGCCATGTAACCAACGAAGGCGCCAAGGACGATGCAGAGGATAATGTAACCATTGTAGTACATGGCGAACCTGCAGTGCGACACACATCGATTAGCAACCCGAGGTTGCACGCGGGCTTGTTTCCACGCTCAGACGAGGCGACTTACAGCATGACAATGTAGGCGGTGCCGAACTGGAGCATGTGCAGGGAGGCGCGGATGGCCTGCTGGACGAGGCTCGGGCGGAAGGGGGGGATCGGGGCGCAGGGAGCCGCGGCGACGACGCCGTCGGAGCTGTCCTTGCGCGGGCCCGCGACGGCCGCGGGACCGCTGCGGTGCTGGGCGACGTGCTGGGCGGTGATGAAGCGGTCAAACTCGCGGGTGGCGCGGCGGAGGCCCTCGAGGGCGACGACGAGGACGAGGGCGAGGATGCAGGCGCCGGCGAATTGGCCGTTGGTCTCGATGTAGAAGTCCTTGGTGAAGAAGCAGCTGCCGATGGTGTTGACGTTGAAGAGCATCTGGTGGAAGAGTGGTTAGCTAGCTGTCTGGGGAGTTGTGCGGCATCGACCCTGCGTGTAGGGGCTGCTTACATCAATCTTGCACTGGCGACCACCGCTGCCACCGCCCATGTCCATGCCGCCGTGGTCCATGCCACCGTGGTCCATTCCGCCGTGATCCATGTTGACGTGGTAGAGTAATCGATCCGCTCGGCAGGTTGTTGTGGTTGGGCGATGGATGTTACTCGGGAAAGAACGTGTGTGTAAGACGAGGATTGAAGAAGAGCAGAATACACAGGGGACTGATTCAGTGCAGGACTATTCAACGTCGTACAGACAAAGAGCAATGAGAAGAAGAGAAAAAGACAACTTGGCAAGAGGGCCGAGGTGGGAAGGCGACAGGCTTTATTTCTACGTCCATGCACGTCGCATGCATGCATGCATTCCTAACTAGGCGATGGGCCGGGCCATCAGACAATGGGATGGGCTGGGCCCAAGCCAGTCTTTCTTGCGCTGGCCTGCCTCAGAAACGTGCTCACAACCCCTCAAATCCAGCGCAACTTGGTCGCGTGTTTTCCATGAGTAATTAAATTTTTCGATACTCGGGTACTCATAGGCTATCCTCTCCCACGCCTTGTCCGTGGTCAAGCCAGCCATCGGGCAAGCCTTGGAGGACCCTAATAATGCTCCGCAAGTGGATTAGATTTCAGTGGACAAAGAGAAAAAAAATTAGTTCAAGCTGTCACAAGTCTGACCCCATGGAGCGCATGATTGAGCAAGTTTCCCGCTAAGAATGAGTTGCTTTTGGTAGTTCAAACAAGGAGCCCGCCCGGCAACCGGGTGCGGATGTGGCTGGAAGCTAGTCAACTTGGTACCTAAAGTTAGTGGACGGGATCCCGATGCTGCATCAATGGTTGCCTCACTTTGTGCGCAAGTGGCAAGATGTGAAAACGCCATTCCTTAAAGGATGGCAAGAAACATGAAGGGGTTGGCGAAGCATACAAGCTTTTTTTTTTGTTTTTTCTTGCTTCAATGACATCCGCGACATGCATCGTCGCATAAAGAGCGCCGGGGCATCATCAGCGAGGGATGTCGAGGATGGTGAGGGACAAGGGGACAAGGGGACAAGGCTTATCTTGACCACCCCAGTAAAACCTTAAAACTAGCTCACTGATCACTCGCTGTGACGGCATCCACAGACCCTGTAGCAGATCGGAACATCGGACAGCGGGAATGCATCGCCATGCAGGTGTTTTGTTCTTCTTCTTTTTATACAATTACATTGGCTTTTATACATCTCTCGCCACAATCTACTGATTTGTAGAAATTTCAACAAAAATTGAAAAGACAAAGATGAATCTGTACAGTACCAGCAGACCCGTAAACCCCAGCGACAGCCACCCACAAGGGTTCTCGCCAAGCACGGGTCTCCAGGGAAATACGAAAACAACACCAAAAGTCAACGCCCAAAAGCATCCCAACACAAAGTGTTCGCTGCACCGAAAACTCCATCCTCGCCCAGCATCGCTTCCCTCACAACGACTCTACGACCCTGATCGCCGACTCTGCTTCCCTTGGCCACGACCATGGCTGCCCTGCATCTCAAATCAGCAGCGCCCCGTGGCCGAGGATGTTCAAGCACCTCGCCACGTCCCAGTCCTCGCCCTCCGCGCCCGCCGCCCACGTCCTCTCCATGATGTTCCTCGCCTCCTGCATCGTCCCAAACACCCGCAGCGGGCCCAGCCGCCCGACCAGCGCCCTGTACCGCTCCCGCAGCTCCTCCCGCGCCGCCAGACACCCCGCCACGCAGAACGGGAACGCCATCGACTGCATCGTCTTGCCGTCCGGCAGGCCCACCAGCAGCTCCGTCACCTTGTCCACCGACCGCCGCACCTCCGCGTCCGCCGGCCGCCACCCGGACACCACCGCGTCCAGGTACAGGAACGCCGCGTGCAGCCAGATGAGGTTCTGGATCACGAACTGCGGGCGCTTCGCCGCTGCGGTCGCGGCGGTCGGGTTGAGGCTGGATAGGGGGTCCCGGATCACGGAGACGGCTCGCTCCACGGGCGTCTGCGCGTAGTCCTGCTCGTCCAGGTGCCGGATGCCCGCCCGGACCGCCCGCAGCAGCGGCTCCCCACGAGCCGAGAGCTCCGTCGCCGTCATCCCCTCGCCCGCGGCGCGCGCTGCCGCAGCCTTCTTGTCCGCGTCCAGCGCCGCGATGTCGCCCAGCGTCCGCACCACCCAGTTCTGCAGGCCGAAGAACTCCTCCATCCGCAGCGGGCCCGCCGACTGCGGCTGCGTCGACAACGGCGGCGCGTCGCCCCCCGGGCCGCCGCCGCCGTCGTCGCCGATGGGAATGACAGAGTCGTGGTAGGCGGCCAGCCGCGGCCGCCGCGACATGGTGATGCTCGCCATGACGTCAATGTACAGCAGGTTGGCGCCGAAGAAGCGCAGCGCCGCCTGGTCGGTGCTCCACGGGCGGCGGATGCCCATCTCCGGCGGCGGCCACTTGGGCGTCCACAGTGCATGCAGCGTCTCCGTCCAGCCACCGGGCCGCGGCAGGATCTGCGCGAACAGCGCCATCGCCGCGTCCAGGTGCATCTTCCAGTTGTCCTTGTTGGCCGCCGTCACCTCGAAGATGAGCATCTGGATGACGCTCTGCATGACCTCGAGCGCCTCGCGCGCGCACGAGGTTCCGTCCCCGCCGCCTCGCTTGGCGCTGATGGCTTGCACGTTCTTCTGCAGCTCCTTGAGGCTGATGCCCATCTGGTGGTGCAGCTGGCGCGCCATGCGCTCGGTGCAGGCCGCGTGCTTCTCCTCGCCGCCGGCGAGCAGCACGCCGAAGAACCACGAGGACAGCGCGATGGCCGTGTAGTAGATGGCGCGGCTGCCGTGCAGGAAGGCGTCCAGCACCCAGCCGCGGCCGCCGACGAGGATCGGCGGCTGGGAGTAGGGGAACGCCGCGGCCGCCGACGAGGATCGGCGGCTGGTAGTAGGGGAACAGGTAGGGGAACACGAAGTCGACGTAGTTCATGATGAGGTGCGTGTCCTGCGCCGAGTCGTAGTCGCTCTTGCGCTCAGGGCCGGGGCCCGCAAGTTGATGGTGGTGCCAGGGCATATCCGGCGACGGGCCGGTTGTAGCGCTGATGGAGCTCGGCGACGTGTCAAAGGCGCGATCGCTCTCAGAAGCAAACACGGCGGGCGTGTCGCTCGAGTGGTCGCCGTTGGTCGCGGCGGGAGGCTCGTCGTTGAGGTTGACCATGCGGGTGCCGCTCTCCAGCATCTCGAGGTACTTGCGGTCGCGCCGCTGGCTGGCCTGCTTCTTGACCTGCGACTTGATGGTCTCGGCCATGGCGCGCTGCCTAGGCCCGCCGTCCATCCAGTCGGGCTTTTGCTCGCCGTAGAAGCAGGTAATCTCGAGCGCCGCGCAGCCATCGCAGACGGGCCGCCTCTCGTCGCACTTTTTGCGCCGCAGCCGGCAGGTGTAGCAGCCCGACTGCGAGCGCACCTTGCCGGATAGTAGGCTCCTGATGGCGGACATGGCGATGACTGCGGGGGTAAGTACGTCTTGAGTCAAAATGAGGCGGTAGCTCTCCCACGTATAAGATTCGCGGAAAGGGGTTGAAAGATGACAACTCAGGACAGCTCGGCTATGACAGTAGAGGGCAAGCCGTGTTTTTTTCAATTGCCAGAACAAGTCCAGGGGGCAGGTGGCGATGTCTCAATTGTAGAAGCACACCACAACAGCCTCAGTGGAGTGTGGTGTAGACTGGTTGACTGGCAATGGTGAGATGCAATCGACTTGCAGTACTTACTTGCAGGTGGGTGGTGATGGTGGGGAGCAAGCGGACGCTGTCGATTTCGATTTCAGTCCACAGTCTCCATACATACATAAAAAAGTGTGATGTGACTCTCAATCATCATCTCGGCAGAGTTCATCACGCTTTAGTCAGCTCGGCAGATACACCGAAAAGTATCGCCGCTGGTGCTGACGAGCTAACTAGTTAACATGGAAGTTAGTGGCCGGGAACAAGGTCCAAGTCTCCATCGACAGACCGTGCACCAATAACCACCTGCCTAGACAACTAGACTCTTGATGGTGTGGTGCAGCCTCAAGCTTGTCCAACTTGTCAACCTTGGACAACTCGGCTGCATTCTGCATGCTGGCCGCATGCTTGCACATCAATCCTGCAAGTCGTTCCACCTGGCCGTCTGAAGTCGGCGCAGAAGTCGGTTTCAGTCCGTCCCGTGCGCCGCAGCTGTCTATCGCTGACAGACAAGCGCAAGGCTGCCCGCCCGTGGGAATGGGATGGGATGGGTGCTAAATACCATGTAACCTCAATACCTGTTAGCTAGCCAGGGGATGCTGGTGAGCCAAGCGACGGCGACAGAACTGGGTTGGAACCGCGGGAAGCTCCGTCTTAGCCCCCAATAACTGACAGTGACAAAATTGTTCAAAGGCATGATTCTGCGCTACCAGACTATCAGGCAAACATTCTGTTATTGGTTGATTGGGGCTCTAGATCAGTAAGCCTGCCCAGACAGTGTAAGACGCAGACACCAGGCAAGCCCTCATTAAGATCCAGCCCATGAGATGGCTAACTGCAAAGTACAAGTGTAAAATCCAAAATCCAGCAACAATCTTGTCAAAAGCTAATTCGCACACGTGGCAAGGAAATCCCCATCCCTTCTCTGCAATGCTACTTCACCCGCAGTAGCGCGCCTGCACTGGTAGAGTAACCATGGCCAGGAGGCCGTTTTGCCGATGGCAACACCACCCATTCTGTCCTTCTCTCACAGTTTCTGCTCCGCCATCGTTTTGCTCCGGCTCCTCAGCAGCGTCTGCCTCCTCTCCAGGAGCCCCAGATCCCACCACCCCTCGATGCGCTGCAGCAGCGTCTTGCGTCGCGACCTCGTCCTGGCGGGAGCTGCCGCGGCCGCCTCCAGCGATGGCGTGTCGGGGATGGCGTGACTCACCCTTGCCGGCACGGGGAGCATCGGCGGCGGGGGCGATTCGGGGCTTGGCCGAACGGCGCGCTTCGACTCGATCCCTGCGATGGCCGCGGGAGGCGGTGGGGTGGGATATCGGCCGCGGTGATCAGAGGAGGAGAGGTGATGCGGTAGAGGCACGTTGACGATGCCCAGGCCGCGCGCCGAGCCGCCTTCGTCCAGCTTGCCGGCCCGCGCCATGGCCGTGGTCCCCAGGCTCCGGGTCCGGGGCCGCTGCGAAGCTGCATTAGCAACAGGCAACGGCGCCCTTCCCCGGTCTGTCCCTCCCGCTCCCCATCCCGCTCCCCATCCCGCTCCCACCTCCCTCCCGCGGTCGCACCTTCACGCGAAGTCCTTGGGCGGAGCGCCAGCGCCGCCGGACTTGAGGCGCCGCCAGAGGCACGCCGTCGTCGCCGTGGACAGGGTGAAGAGCGCGCACAGGGCGATGCTGATGCCCCAGATGGCCTTGAGCTGCAGGCACGAGGGCTTGCTCGGCGCCGCCCACGCGAAGGTGTTGCCGTCGAGGTGCCGGACGTTGGCGAAGAGCGAGTCGAGGAAGACGGCCGTGTTGCCTTTGGCAGGGAACGCCTCGCAGGTGAGGTAGCTGACGGGCTTGCCAACGACGCAGGCGACGACGATGCCGGCGACGAGGCACAGCGCGTCGGCGGCCGTGGCGACGAGTAGTGGCAGCAGCGAGTCCCAGTACAAGATGTAGCTGATGATGACGTAGACCTCAGCAAGACAGGCCTTTTCCCTCCACGTTAGCGGTTTCTTTTTGCGCACGCACGCTTCCATGGATGGCGTCGGGGGAGAAGGGGTGGGGGTAGACTTACAATGACGAGAGTGCCGATGAGGGCGGGAGGCACCGCGAAAGAGGAAGCGACAATGTCGGCCACGAAGCTCGAGCTCAGACCGATGATGATGACGAGCCCGATGAACTGCATGGCCCGCATCACGGTGAAGGTGAAGCCCAGGGCCCCGAGAGCTGGTGGCGCGGCCATGCTTCTGGAGAGGGATGTTGTCTTTGGCGTACGGAGCGAGAGACGAGGGCGCGAGGTACAGTTGATGGTGCGAAGCGGGAGATGCTTGGCGTAGAAGGGGATGTTGATAGGTGGGTTGTTGATGGGAGAAATGATTGCTGAAGTGAGCGCTGCTTTTCTCGACCCAATTGGCGGGAAGAGAAAGTCGTTTTAGCAAGTGGGAAGAGGAGGAAGTTGAATAATTTCTGGCACAGCGAAATGTAAAGAAAAGAGAGAGCCTGCCTCTTGGAGGGAAGTGTGATGGAGTTGGGGATCCGTCGAGATGTGGTGATGGTGGTGGTGGTGGTGGTGGTGTAAGTGACGTGAATGTGCTGAATGATGCCCAGTCCAAACGACAAAGGAAAGAAGACAAAGACAAAGGGAAAAGGAAATGTTAAAAGACCAAAAAAAAAGAGGAAAGAAGTGACTGTGGTGCTTTTGAATTGAGGAGTGTCTATCATACGAAAAGCAGGGAATTCCGTCCATCCTTATACACCTTCACTCTCGACATGCTCGGATCAGCTGGGCCAGGCACAGCCCAACACTACTCCGTGTCACAAAGACACAAGGCCCCCCGCCACTCTCAAAAGGACAAAAAAAAAAGGATCATTACTCACCGTAAACATGCAAGAATAAACAAAAACTCAGATATTTTCCATTTTTATTTTTACTTTCCCTGCTCGATCCACAGTTGGCAGCGATGCCGAGTGGTCACCAGGAGCCGCAACATGAGACGGGCCACCGGTATCGCCAGCCGCCGGAGCCCAGCCAATCACGGCGCGTCATCGCTTTTAGGCGCCGGCGGTCCACAAAGCCCGGGATACGGATACCGGTGGTAGGTTGACAACGCCCACCACGCGGCACTCTCCCACCCACCATCCCGCTCATTAGTCCTCCTGGATCCGGCTGGGCTATTTTTAACAAATGGGAATAACGTTAAACACGGAGCCGTGGCTCAGCTTGTCACGGTTGGCGGGCTGCACGTCGCCGTGTTTGTGGCCCGGCATCCATCCATCATGCCTGCATCCCGGATCTGGATCGACTCGCGTCCGGATCGACAAGGTCTAGACTCGCTTGGCTAGGCCAGACATCTTCTCTCGACTGGCTACATGGACGCCCGCAGCGGTTGGGGTGCTCGGCAGGATTGTGTGTCATCGAATGGAGAAGCTCAATTGCAGCAGCACCAGGTACGCCCATCTAAAAACAGCCTACTTTTGAAAGTGGAAAAATAGCATGCTTGCCTAAACTCTTCATGATCGACATACTCAACCAAATATGTGTTACCCTGCGCTGTCCCAATGAAACTCATCCCCACTGCCTTCCATTGGTTCATAGCCTCTCCGTCTGCCTGTGTATTATAGCAACGATTGCACCGTCCTGGTTTAGCCGAGAAGGTCACCGGAAGCTGAGCCACCACCACTTCCGGACCCAGTGCCACCCAGTGTTTGAGAGTTCGACGCCGAGGAGCCCCAAATGTTGGCGCTGCTCTTCTCCTTGGCCAATTGACCAAGAGCAGGGCCAGACGTCGCCGTGTTCGTCTTCTTGATGCCGGCGCTCGCCTTGCCCCACAGAGCCCCAAAGGCATCGCCCCCCGCCGCAGGGGTTGCCGGCTTGCTGTTGCCCTGAACGGGTCGCGTGTTTGCCATGGTCGTAGGTCCCGAGCTTGTCGCCGTAGGGATCGTGGGTGTGCTGACTTGGGTGCTGCTGTTTGACTGAACACCGCCAAAGTAGTTGGGTCCTTGAGGCTGGAACCCGGCTGGAGCTGCAGGTTTGGCGGTCTGGGTAGGCGCAGCAAATGCACTGTAGTTAACGCCAGTGGTGGCCGATGTGCTAGCTGACGGTGACAGGGCCGCAAACGCATTGGAGGCCGGAGCTTGTGAGGGTGCTGCGGCGGGAGCGGCCAGCGGTTGGGCAAAATGGGCCGGGGCAGCAGACGGCGGTGCTGCAGGCGCAGCGGACTGGAAATCGTCAAACTCATCATCATCATCATTTGCGGCGGCAGGCCCGCTGCTGGGACCAGCAAGAGCAGCCAGTCCAGAGCCAGTCGCCGGGGCTGGTGCGCTCGAGGTTGTCGCGGGCTCATCGAAAGAGAACAGGTCGACTGCAGGCTCTTTGGGCTTTGCAGGCTCGGGAGTTGTTTTCTTTGTCCCGGCACGCTCGGTTCGGGCCCTTCTGGTCGAGCTGGGTGCGGGTCGGTCACCTTCGTCAAACTCGTCGTATTCTTCGAATCGATCGGATCGGCCGGCACTACCACCTTCTTGGTAATCACTAGATTGACCGCCAAAGCCACCACCATCGCCATAGACGCCGCCAGAGTATCCGCCATAGTTGGCAGGGCCGCCTCCCGAAGACTCGGGCCCGAATCCGCCATAGCGGCTACCACCAGAGAAACCACCACCAAACGATGAGCCTCCCTCTACACCGGTGTACTTGCTCTTGGTCGCGCGAGCCTTCTTACGCTCGGCCCTAATACGTTCAACATCGCCCAGCAGTTCTGCTAGTTCCTTGGCTCGGTTTCGCACATTGATGCCTTGATCTTTGCCGTTTTGGTCAATGAAGTGGAACTGGCGCAGCATCTTGAGCAATGTAATGTGTCCCCTGGCATCGTCGATAACTCGTTCGGACCCATGCTTGATCAGGAATTCCAACAGCTGTAAGGCCTTGTAGATTTGGCGCCACTCCTCGGCCGACTTTTCCGTGAACCTGCGGTATATCATGGGCATAATCTCGTTGAGTGTTTGACTATGCACAGTTAGATAAATTCGACGGCTGGTCGTATCTGCGCCTCTCACTAGCTGAATGTGCCGTTGGCGATTTCTTGCATCGTTGTCGACGAGGCACCCCATGGTTCGTTATTGGTTGCCTCTCGGACCTGTGAGGGGTATTAGTTTGGTTCTCGTAGGCTAATCGCATTGCAAACCTTTGACTCCATTTCTGTATAGTTCATGACAGCTAATTACCCATTAGAAGCGTTACTTGACAGCTGTTGCGCTCCGCCACATACCATTTTGTGCTTTACGGAACCCGGCCTTGAGATCATACAAGGTTAGGTTCGACACAGTGCTCTTGAGATCGTTAAAATCCATCTTGAAGGGGTCGAAACTAGGTCCGGACAGTTGAAGCGATCGGGTCGGTTGGCGGGCAGTCCGGGTTTCCTCAATGGCCAACAAGGTCAGCCGGGATGCGTGTCTTGGCTTTGGCTCCAGGAGGCCGTAGTGTCCATGATCTGGACACGGTGACGTGCCTCACCCGCAAAAGCGGATCACGTGATATACAACTGATTGAAAAGTTTACACAGCGATTGAGTGAGTATCGAGGATACGGCGAGTACGAGAGCGACTGGAAAAAATATTTCCAATGCGAATTGTGAAAAGTTCCGGGAAAATCTACACCTACTCGTACAGATAGCTTACCTGTTGGCTGTTATTGCTTTTGTCAGTTCATGTTTTGGCGGGAAAGGGTACTTGAAACCTTAGGCCGGAATGGCTCTGGCGCTGCTGGGCCTGCCTCACCAAAACTTTTTCTCTCTGAGAAAGCTCACCCCTGATCTCTGCTCCTATTATCACCACCACCTCTTGTACATTACTTTTCAATTCAGCTTCGCAGGTATGTGAGACTCTACGTTGCCACGCTTGAACTTGGGCCTTTCCTTTTTGGCAAAGCATCGATACGATGATGAAGGCCGAAACACTGTTTGTCACCATGCCTCAGTTGCTTTCAGAGCCGTCATCTCCTCTGAGCCGGACAGCCAGCGAACTGTATCGGAAGCAATCGGCATGCGCTGCAACTGGACTGCGCCGCTGGCTGAGTGAGCAGCACTGCGGTGCTCCAAGCAAAGCTGGCGGCGACGGCATGCAAGAGAGCAGTCCTGGTTGATAGGTCGGCATGCCGTGGCAACCACCAGTTAGTTTGCCAGACCGTTCCGGGGCCCTCCAATGAGGGCGTTGTTGCCGCCTCCGCCTCCCTGCACGCCAGTGGATTCTGACCAGAGTCTCACCAATGCGCAATATATATGGCGAGCAGCGAACGAGGTGCAGCAGCCGTGTTGACGATGGCGGCGGTCCTACAACTTTGGAGATGGTGTGTGGCGGCCAAGTGGCTTGCCGTGCACGCAGAACCATCTCTCAATGATGCGAGCGAGGTGATAAGGCGACCGGCTTCTCAGCTCGCCGAAGCTGGCGCGCGTTTGCACCAGGTACGGGAGAGCTGGGGCGACGATACTAGCTCAGCTCTATTACTGGAGCTGGCGCCGTGTCAAATTGACAAAGCCGTGGGGGAGCTTCTCCAGGGGCAGCAGGGCGAATGCTTCCAGGGCGACGACGCGCACGTGATTCACGTCCTTTGAAGAGTCCCACCCTGCCTCTACCAGCCCGTTGCGCTAATTGGCCGGAATATCCCGCTAATTGTTTGACCCCTCCAGAACCGCCAAAATGAGATCAGCTCTTTTCCAACCCCTCCTACTACCCCGCCGGACCTTTTGCTCTGCTGCTCCCAGACCTTTCTCTCTTCCACAGCTTGTTTCCTCTTCCAAGACTTTCCACAAAGCTCGCTTTTTTTCAGCAACCACAGTAATGGGCAACTCTAAGGTGTAAGTCGTTACCCGCTCCCTCCTTTCCCTGTTTGCTCGATGAGCATGCCCGACTGATACGGCTCTTTCAGTTTCTTCGACATCGAGTGGGAGGGTCCCGTTTTCCAGAACGGAAAGCCTACCTCAGCCGTCGAGGGTGAGTAGTTTCCCTTCTATGGCTTAATTTGCATCTCCAATCTGCTCTGCAATCATCAATGTTGGCTGCAGTCCTGCGTTGTTTAGCTCTGCACGACGCGACCTTGCTTTCTGCCGCGCGTTCCAATGCACAGCCCCCCGCTGATGAAATTTTCCATTACAGTTCAGCAGGGCCGCATCAACTTCAACCTCTTTGACGATGTCGTCCCCAAGACTGCCGCCAACTTCCGCGCTCTTTGCACCGGCGAGAAGGGCTTCGGCTACAAGGGCTCCTCCTTCCACCGCATCATCCCCGAGTTCATGCTCCAGGGTGGTGACTTCACCCGTGGCAACGTACGACCCGTCCCTCGAGCTATAATCAATCATTCTTTATGCTTACTCGTTCTCCGCATAGGGCACTGGTGGCAAGTCCATCTACGGCGAGAAGTTCGCTGATGAGAACTTCCAGCTGAAGCACGACAAGCCTGGTCTGCTTTCCATGGCCAACGCTGGCCCCAACACGTAAGTTTTGTCGCTCATTCCTTTGAATCCGAGGCCCGGAGCTAACGTACCTCGCAGCAACGGCTCCCAGTTCTTCGTCACCACCGTCGTTACCTCGTGGCTTAACGGCCGCCACGTCGTCTTCGGCGAGGTTGCTGACCAGAAGTCCCTGGACGTCGTCAAGGCCCTTGAGGCTACTGGCTCTGGCTCTGGCACTGTCAAGTACAGCAAGCGCCCCACCATCGTCGACTCTGGTGCTCTGTAAGCGATAGGCTTGAAGCCTGTGTATCTTTAAACATCTAAGTATTGGATCCGGACGAACAAAAAAATGTTGAAACTGGAACTTGCAGCACTGGGATGTTGACAACTTGTGAATTGCGTCATGGATTGGCCCCAGCGGGTTTAGCTATACATAATACATGCCAACTTCTGAAGTGTCACCATGACAAAGCTGCTACCCTGATGTTACTGCCGTTTTTTTGGCCTTTGATATGCTTTGCTTTTGGCTTGCCATGTCATTCCCCGCTAATTAAAGCCATTTCCTGTTTGCAAACGCCCCCATGCCCGTGCCCAGGCACGACTGCAAGCCCTTTGGCGTTGCTAAACCTGCATGCATTAATGTTCAGACATGCACAACACTGCAGCATGCATTGCAATGGGTCCCAGGGTCTCTTGCTTTGAAACCTTCACGGCACACACGTCGACCAGGGGTTCCCTTTCACTGCTTAGTGTTGATCCTTAAGATAAACAGAACCGTGACTATGGCTCAGCCTCGACGCATCCAGGGACAGGCCATAGGAAAGAAAATGCAGGTGGTTGCTTGATAAGACAAGAGTGCATGAATTGATCCTATTTATTCCACTGGAACCGAAGCTTATATAACCGCTCTGGTGCTGAGAAAGCCTGTCCCTAGCTTCGGTATCTAAGTGTAAGTAATCACTTGCGAACAAAGTGACCAGCGACGGGGTTAAAATCAGCCCAGTGGGTGTGCCAACCCATGAAGCAGTCAATTCGAAAGTGATCCGCCCTACTCCAGAGCCTGCGCTGCTGTCCGCGCGTCGGTGTCGAGGAGATAGAGGATCATCATTTATGCGGTGTTGCGCAGCAGCATGCTTGGGGCTCTTCTAAACGGCGCAATTCCCATACGCGCCGGATCGATGCCCCCCTTTGCCAAAAGGAATAATTCGGGGTATAAGTGGTTTGAGTTTTGCAAAAGGCGCACGCCTCCTCTCAAGGATCTGTGATCCCAAGCCAGGTTCTAAAATATTCACAGTTGCTAGGCCCGACAGGCCCACCGTCCTCGCAGAGATCAAAAACCGGGCACTTTCCACAGGGAGCTTCCGTGTAGGGGCTTATATACGGCTCTGGCCCTCCCGGCTCTTCGCGGCCTGCCCAGGGCTCGGTCGACTGCTTGGACACCCTAGACACCCGGTAGCCGACCTTTCCCGCAACCCGCACTGGCTCAATGAGGTTGTCCCAGACCAGGACGTCAATCAGCTTGCGGACGTCATCCTCTGACAGGATTGTGTTGTTGGTGATGCCGCTGCTCGAGAGTAGCCGCGCAATCTCTCGCACGGACGGGTAGCCAGTGTAGCCCGCGGGCAGCGGGAGGAGCGCGGCCTCCTTACGAGGCGTGGTACCGGCGGCCGTCTTGGACACCTTGGACGGCGGCTTGCTCATTTCCCTGGCGTCTCGCTTCTTGCCCTGGTTGAGACCGCCCTGCACGACGCCCTTCTTCGGCGCCTGCGGCCTGGTTGCGCCCGACCCGGAGTGCGTGCTGTGGTAGCTGCTCTGGCGCTTGATGAAGTCGAACACGACGCGCTGCAGCTCCTCGATGAAGGCGTCGTCGAAGTTTTGGTCCGTGTACCACGGTCCACCGGTCGCGCGATCGCTGGGCCGGATGGAGGCCTTGATGTACATCTTCTTGTTGGGGTGCTCGACGTTTTTGAAGGGCGCAATCAGCCCTTTCGTCTGCAACTGCTTCAGCGCATTCTTAAGGACCGAGTCGTGCATGTTGAGACGCTTTTGCAGCGTCTGCGACCATATTCCATCACCGCCGGCATCGTCGACAAGGGAGTAGACCAGTACTTGTTCGTCGGTCGTACACTGCTTATACCTGCGTCGATGTGGTCAGTTCAAGAGGGTCGAGCACAACTCCTGCGGGCGGTAAGTAAATATAGTGACGTACTTGTGCGCTTCTTGAGCGTCTCGCCACTTCCACAGCACCTGGCCAGAGGCCTCTCGCATGGTGATGAAGAGCTTGTCATCACTGAGAGACTGCACGACGCGCGCTAGCAGCCCCAGGTCCTTGTTCGGGATGACGTCGAGCCGCAAAAGGTCATCTTGCGAAAACATGTCATTTTCGGGCGCGGCTTCTTTGCATTTTTCATATAGCGCCTCCTTCCAGACGGCCAGCTTGGCCGCATCGGCGTCGCCCCCGGCCGGCCGCGACATGATTGAGGGATGGTGGGATGGTGGGCGGGTGTCTTCCGCAGTGGGCGTGGGTGAGTCAAGTGTCCAGTTGTTGCTGGTGCAGCGCAGTGTCCGCACAGTGTGTGCAGGAGACTCTCTGTATTGCCCAAATGCTACCTCGACATTGCCGTGTGATTTGAGGGGAAGGGGAGAATTGCCGCTTGAATACAAGGCGCGCAATCGCGGTGGTCGTGGCAGAGAGAAGAAAAAAAGTTTGGGGACGATTGTGATGGAGAAGGCAACCTTTTTCTCGACAAACCCCACTTGGAGCTCCTGCGCCCACTGTACCTCCGTAGGCCCAGTCATTGACGTCTTGTTGCTAAACAATGCAAGTCACAAAGCTAGCGCCCACAGCTGCGCTGGAGATGTTTCAAAAAATCAAAGAAACACTACTGAATTAGTCAAATACATTCAATCGCAACAATCTTGTTATACATTCAAAAACCAGCCTTGTGCATCTGTGCCGCCCGCTAGTGTAACAAACTCCCGAACGCCGCCATGTAGGTAGGTAGGTACCTTGGCCCCAAACCCCACTGGCTCATGTGGCCATTTCCTAGGCTCCCGAAATCATTTGACCCCAATATGGTAGAAGAAAAAGCGGCGGAATATTTATGCTTGAGTGCTTGGTGCAACGTCAGACGATGGCTCGGCCTCTATCGATTCAGCTGCCTTCTCTTTGTCCCCATCAAGCTCCATCGCATCAGCCGGCTCCTCCTCCTTAGCCTTGTTCTCAGCCTTCTCGGATTTGCTCTGTTCCTCGCCGGCTGACTTCTCCGCGTCCTTAGGCGCATCAGTCTTGTCATTCTCGGCAATTGTATCCTCAACGGCCTTCTCGGCGTCTCCTGAAGCACTGGCAGCTGTAACAGGGACTGTCGTGTCCTCTGTTTCCGGCTCCTCCTCTTTAATCTTGGCCTCTGGCTCAGCGGGAGCAGAGTCGGTCATACCGACGTCACCGTCGCCGTCGGTCTTTTCCTTGTCGGCTTGCTCCTCAGCAGCCTCTTCGGAGGGTCCATTATCTGCCTCCGCAGCGCCAATGTCTTCAATAGTATCATCGTTTACATCGTGGCCATCCTCAGCGTTGTTATCCACAGTCTTATCATTAGAGGACTTGGCGGGACGCTCGGTGTCTTCCTCATCGCTATCCTTTCTGAAGTCGGTAAAGGTGCGTTTGCTGCTTGATGCACGAGTGGCACCGTTTGCTCGTGCTAGCTCGTCATCATCGCTCGCTTCGAACTCGGCACCATTCTCAACGTGCTTATCCCAGCGGTGCTCTGTCATGCGGACGTCCTTGTTTTCATCTTCGTCAAGATCATCCAGCTCGGCTTCCTCTTCGTCAGTCATGCCACCGAATGGCCTTCTTGGAACATCTTGCATTTGAACCGACGGCGCCGGGCCCGTATTCCGGAGATTGTCGATGACAGCAGCAGTGATCTTTTCCAAGTATTCGCGACTATTGGAGTTTTCCATGTTGGATGATCTGACGTTGAGCTCGAAGTCAGGGGCGTAGTACTGAGACTAGTTAGCTCGTTCAAGGCCCCGAGGTTAAGATTTACCTACTTGGTAGTATTCATTGAAGGGTAGCTTGCGGTGCATTTCTTTCCCAACGAGAACACCCGTCTCAAAAGCCCAGGTTCTGGCGACATTCCGCATGGTGTAACCACCGCCGCCGAGGACGAGAGTAGGCAGACCGAAGCTTTTCACGTAACTCACACAGTTGGCGTGGCCATCCATGCTTAGGTTGAAACAACCGAGTCTATCACCCGAGAGACTATCGCCACCGCATTGTAAGACTACAGCCTCGGGCTGGTAATATTTCATGACATTCTCGATGACGGGTTCAAAGATAGATTTGTAGGATTCGTCAGTGATACCGTCTCGAAGCGGGTAGTTGACGGAATAGTGTTTTCCTTGGCCGATACCAATGTCGCGAAGTTCACCAGTTCCAGGGAAGTACTCTCCGTACTTGTGGAAAGAGACTGTCATGACTCGGTCGGTTGTGTAGAACGCCTCCTCAACACCATCGCCATGGTGAACATCGATATCAATATAAAGAACGCGTTTCATGAATCGAAGCAGTTCGAGGATTCCGAGGACGATATCTTTCACAACAGTTAGGAGGGTGGTGGGCCGCATAGACACAAAGGGTACATACCGTTGACGTAGCAGAAGCCACTGGCTTCACACTTCTTGGCGTGATGAAGGCCGCCGGCCCAATTGACGGCAATGTCACACTTTTGACGGTTGAGTCTGGCAGCTCCTTCCATGCTGCCACCTGCACTGATACCACAAAATTCGAAAAGACCATCAAAAACAGGACAGTCGTCACCGACGTTGTATTTGCCTTGTTCACGCATGTAGCTGTCCATATTATCAGGAGTGACCTTTTGAAGGAAATCGATGTAATCATCGGTATGAAATTGTGTCATTTCGCCTCTCGTCGCAGGTTTGGCACGCTAGATTCGCGGGTTAACGATTTGTGTAGGGAACGAAGCCAGCAAACTCACGTAAATCTCCATCTTCTGGTACAAGTCGTATTGCATGATCAGACTGTGAGCCAGACGAATACGATGAGGCTTCATAGGATGACCGGTAACGTATGCGTAGTTGCCGATATCAGAGTCGTAGAAATATGCAACTTTCTTGGGGGATGAGCCATTGAGGGCCACTGACCCCAGCTGGGGCACAACAGACTCGTCTTCGCCCATCGCGATGCGGTTGACGGGGGGAATGGGGCGCTATCGTTCGGAGGGGATTAATTCTATGAGTCTAAAAAGTATGAAATGAAAATGCGTCAGACGGGCGCTCGCGTCGCTTCAATACCTGTTCGATAGGGCAAGAGCAGGTTTCGGGTGTTAATAATGTAGGGAAAAGGAAAAGGCTGAAAGCCAGAATGCGACTGCGAACTTCGGGCGGCGCGTGGTGGGCGGGAGCGAGTGGGAACAGCGACTTAACTGGTAACCTCTGTCTGATCGCTTTGCCGGATAAAGGTTGTTACGGTCTCGTGGCTTGCTGCGATATCCCAGCCACAAGGTAAAGCCACACGCTATGAGCTACCTAGTTACACGTGACTCTCTTGCGAAGCTATGCCTATCATTGTGCAGCAGGCTACCGGGCTGGCGTCAGTCAAACAGGCGCCACAGAAAGCTTCCCAGATATCGCTAGATATCGCCGACTTTCCATCGACACCGCAATTCGACGGGTTTCTATCCTCCTTGCTGCTGAATGCTCATACCTTACCATACATACCAATTTTGAACTGATATCACCATGGAGCGCTTCAGAAACCTGCTTGGAGGCGGCGGCATTGGCATGGGCGGCCCTGCTCACGGATCGGTAAGCAAGCGAGCAGCTTTCAATTACGCACATATGCCTTCTAGTTGCTAATTGGTGTTGCGCGCAGGACAACACGAACCTCATTGACAACTCCGAAACCGTTTACATCTCATCACTGGCACTTCTCAAGATGCTTCGACACGGTCGCGCTGGTGTGCCGATGGAAGTCATGGGCCTGATGCTGGGAGAGTTTGTCGACGATTTCACAGTCAAGGTTATGGACGTTTTCGCAATGCCGCAGTCTGGAACTGGAGTCAGTGTCGAGGCTGTTGATCCCGTATTTCAAACAAAGATGATGGATATGCTACGACAAACAGGACGGTAGGCGCTCCTCGAAACCCAACTGCGGAGCCTTTGTGCTAACCTGTGCTTTTAGCCCCGAGTCCGTCGTCGGCTGGTACCACTCGCACCCTGGTTTCGGTTGCTGGTTGTCTTCCGTGGATATCAATACTCAACAGTCATTCGAGCAGCTTAACCCGCGCGCCGTGGCCGTAGTGGTTGACCCCATCCAGTCCGTCAAGGGCAAAGTCGTCATCGACGCTTTCCGACTGATCAACCCTCAACTTCTGATGATGGGACAGGAGCCACGCCAAAGCACGAGCAACCTTGGCCATCTCAACAAGCCTTCGATCCAAGCACTTATTCATGGCCTCAACCGCCACTACTATTCGATCGGCATAAACTACCGCAAGACGGCACTGGAAGAGAATATGCTGATGAATCTGCACAAGCATGTCTGGACAGAGGCCCTGGAGATGGCCGACTTCAAGGTGGAAGGGGAGAAGAACAAGGATCGTCTAGAACGCCTTGTGTCGCTTGCTGATGGCTACGAAAAACGGGTCAAGGAGGAAACGGAATTGACAAAGGAGCAGCTTAAGACACGCTATGTTGGCAAGGTCGACCCAAAGAAGCATCTGGAAGATGTTGGTCAAGAGCTCATTGAAGACAACATTGTTTCAGTATCGAGACAGATGATTGACAAGGAGGCCACGATGCCAAAGAAGGAGGGTGAGGGTGGTCGGTGCGCTGCAGAGGCCAACAAAATGGCGACTGACGAGGAAGAAGAAGAGTTATAAACGGTGATACCGCAATGATTCCAAAATTAGCCAATGACATCATGGGTGAAAGATAATGTACGATACCTTTTCGGCGCCGGGGCTAACAGGTGAATTGAAACATGGATGCCCAGAGAACTATTTATTGTGAAATTCTTTATGAAACAACTTGGCATGCCGTCTGTCGCGGTCTCTGCCTTTCACGCTCAGCTTTATCACTCCTTGTCTGCCAGTCTTTGAGTCACTGCTCTGTGCTAGTTGTACCAGCGTTAACAGTCGTCACACGTCTGCCTTTCAAATGCTATGATGTTAAATGCAATGGTGCGATGTCATGATTATGGCTACTATTTAAACTCGACAGTTGCCAAGCTCATGGGACAACTACTTCCCATATCCATTACGCCGCTGTCAGCATACGCTGCAAATGCTCACGCCACCTTGACCGGTATTGCCTAAACATATTCGGAGACTGAAAGACTTCCAAAACCACATCACAGCCAGATTGATTCGATCACCAAAGTCCGCTACACGAAACTTTGAAGTGCAAAACCTGCAAAGTATCAGTCGTCCAGCTCTAGGTGCTTTCCCCGTCTGTGAAGGATCTACTCCCGATTACTGATTCCACAGCTTCAGCTCGCCGTCTCTACCAACATATACGTGGCTACGAGGCTCAAGTCAGTTACCGAGCAGTCCAAGAGTGCCTACGACATAAGAGCCGCGATCGTCTTGGACAGCCGGCAGTGAGGTTGAGGAGGAAACAAATAACCCACAAAGAGACAAGAAATAAAGCGCCTGCGATCAGACGAAGCCGAGTATTGCACCAACCAACAAGAAGACTTTCTTTGGGACTTGCCACAGTGGGAGTAGCAACGCCTCCGTCGCCACAAAGAGAACAACCAGCCTATCCTACCGTCGACAGTTTGAGTCTGGTCGCTGAAATCATGGCCAACACAGAGGCTCTCTCCAAAATAAGAGGTAGAGCAGTCAGTGTGATCGAAGACCTCCGCAGTATGCTGCAAGGCATCCCCTTCATAATCGCCGGCGACCTCGCACGTATCTACTACGGGTTCGATCGCGACACACGGAATGTGTTCATCATATGCTCGCAGCGCTTCCATGATACTATCCTCTACCGGGCTGGGATGCCTCAAATGAAACCAAGAGACCTGGAAGGTCGCCAATCATTCAATCACCGGACGAATGACGGCTCCACGTTCACGGTGCATGTGGTGGCCGCTGAGTGCGACCCCCTGTTGAACGCCGATATCCACGACAACCAGCTGAATATCACGAGGCTGCCGTGTCTTCTCGCCGAGTGTGCGAGGTTTTACGCGAATTACCCTGACGAACGCGGCCCCCACGACGAGTGCATACTGTGGATGATGCGAAAAACGGCCGAGCGGAACCAAGCGCGCCGTTGTAGAGATGATCGCCAGTGGGCGTTTACGGACGACCAGCTAGAAATTTTGCTGAACGACAACTTCTTGGAACCGTTCATCATTGATCATCCCGAGGCCGCCGAGATCCTCTACAGCGCCGGCGCGTTCTGGGATGTCGGACCTTGTTACAGGCCCGGACGCAAAGCCGCAACTTTCGTGTGGCACATCGGGCATGGCAGCCTGGCCAGGATGGACAGCTCTGTTATGGAGAAGAATTTATCAAATTGGCTCCTTGAAAGGCACGGACAGCATGGATTCAACAGCCCTGAAGGAAACCCCCTATCGAGCAGATTCTCTGGTGAGGATGGGGATAGATATTATAGGTAAAGGAAACGGCTTCCGCAGCGACGACTTATGTCTCAAACGAAGGGCAGAATGGCAGGCACAGCAAGGTACGACAAGGATATTAGTTGAATGGGCGCGTGAGAGAGGAGGAATACGAACGTTATTGATTTTTGTAATTAGATAGTGTGAGATTGATTTTTTTATTCATTGCAGAAACAACCAATGTCAAAGCACACAAGTAAAGCTGCTGCAATCAGAACACGATGCGCACTGAGTTTAGGAAGCAACAAGGCGTGCAAGTCAAAGACCCGGTGTGAGCTCCGTCTCACACATAGGCATACAGGTACTGAACAGCACCCGCACCGTGGTACTCCTCCACCCCGAGGTTGACGCCCACACAGTCCTTGAGCTCCTCCTCGTTCGTCGCGTTCCTCGCATGCCGGCTCCTCGTCCCCCCTCCGCCGCAGACCGCCCAGCCGAACACGCCGCTCGCGCCGCCCCCGCGAACGCTTCGAAGCCGAACTGGCGCGCCCCGTCCGGCAGCGTCAACGAGTGCGCGCCGGGCGGTACCCGACAGTGAAGTTGCGGGTGAGGTAGACGGCCTGGCCGCCGGGCACCTCGGCCGCCATGCCGGCCTCGCCGTCCTCGCCGGAGAGCGCGACGACGGCCACGTCCCCGGCGGGACAGGGCAGCGGGGCGGTGCGGGCACCGCCGGCGGTTTGTGGACAGCGCGAGCAGGTCCGCCCGCCGACGTCCCAGCGCAGGTGGCACGCGGTCACGGGCTGGCTGCGGGGCGAGAGGCCGTCGCCCTCGGCGCGGAGTCGGAAGGCGCCGGTGGGGGCGGGGAGCTCGGTCAGGTGGCGCCCGTCGCCGCAGGTGAAGCGGTACAGCGAGTAGCATACGGGGCCGCAGTGGGCGAGGACCTCGCCGTTGACGGGGGCGCACGGGTCGATGCGGACGGTGACGGTTTGGGCACCGGCGGCGCGCGGAGGAAGTAGGCGGTGACCGCGAGGCGGCAGAGAAGTGTCTGTGGAAGCATGGCGAGGAGGAGATTTATATGTAAGTAGTTGAAATAGCTTTTCTGCTTCTTTCTAAGTAGTACGAGTGTATAAGTCGCATCTCTATAAAGTGGTTGGGGGGAGCGAAAGGGTGATGTACTTGCCATTGACCAGCGTTACATGGCCGAACATGGCCGAAAGTTGGTCGCACGAGTTTTTGTAGCATTGAAAAAGTCAGCCTTCTTTTTATTTGCTAAGGAATTTTGACTCAAATTTCTCTGAATAAGGGGGTCGGTGCCGCTCTCGCCAAGCGCAGCCGGGCACCAACATGACATTCGCAGTTCAGCTGCGAAGCCACGCAACTCTACGTTCGCAACATGCATATGCTCTCATCTTTTCGATTTACAACACCAAGCTATGTAGCTGAGCCATTCTTCAATCGCGTAACCGTCATCGCGCCCAGTGCCTCGTCCCACCCCTCCAACCATCCATCCCACCCTGTCCTCACGAATACTGCCACGCCGCCGGCTCATCCTCCTCCCCAGCCTTCTGCTCAACCCTCAAGTTCAACCCCGCGCACCCCCTCAACTCCTCCACGTTCGTCGAGTTCCTCACATGCAACACTCTCTGCTCCCCACGCCCACACGCCGCCCACCCCCACGCGCCGTCCAGCAAGTTAAAAAACCCGCCCCCCTCCGCGAACGCTCTGAACCCAGCCGTCGTCGAACCCGGCGGCTGCGTCGCCGAGTGCGCCTGCGTGTACCCCACCGTCCACCCGGCCGTTAGGGAAAAGGCCTGCCCGCCGGGCACCACCACGTCCATCGCGTTGTCCCCCGCCAGCAGCGCGGTCGTGTTGCCCGCGGGACACACCGCCGGGTTGGCCGGCGGCGTAGGACAGTAGCTGCAGGTGATGCCGCCGACGTTCCAGGTCAGCCGGCACGCGGTCATCGGCTGGCCGTCGATGGGCGGCGGTGGCTTCGTGCTGCCGTATGGCGGCGGGAGGGGCGCCGCCGGGGGCCGGATGCTACTGTCTTGCGGGTTCGCGGCGCGCAGGGAGAACCGGCCCCGGGTGAGGGTGGGAAGGAGCTGCAGGTCGGTGCCGTTGGTGCAGGTGTACATGTACCGGGAGAAGCAGGCGCGGCCGCAGCGCGACAGCGGCTCGCCGTTGATGACCGGGCAGAGGGAGCCGTCGTGGCAGATGTACTAGAGAAAGATCAACGAACGCCCGGTGTCAGCTTTTCTCTTTCATCCTTTCCCGCGTATCTCGGCCTTTTTCTCTTAGTGTTTCCATTCTTGTCGAGATAATTCGTACCTCGTTTGGATTATACCATTCGTCTCCGCACGGCTTGATCGGCTGGAGCAGCGCCCCGGCCGCAAACTCCGCCCCGGCCCCGGCGAGCACCCCAGACGACGGCGTGTAGAGGGCGGCGGCGAGCGGCGCATAAAAAGTGAGACCTCGCAGATGCATCTCTTCTTGTTTTTTTTCTCAGGATTGAATAATGAAAGCGGACCGTGATTGTGCATGCAGCTGCAGTCGAGCCCAACGCTGGACGGATGGGGACTGGTAAATATTGGGCTCGTTTGATCCAACTCAAATCGGATCAAGGTTGCGCCACCGATGCAAGTTACACAATGACGGCCAAGCTGGTCTCAGACAATTGGTTTGCCCGGGCTTGTTGACACATATCTCGTACACACTCCATTTGGGGATTTGGGAATGATTTACATGGGGATATATGCACGCTGCGCTTGATGGGCAGCTAAGATAGCTGAGTTGTGATGATGCCTGCAAGTGTGGGTGTCCGTGTTATCTGCAGTAAAACTGCCTAGGGAAATGCCTTCTTTGACGTAGCTTGCCCCAGTCCTGCCGATTTGCCTCATTCGTTCATTTGTAACACATGCGTCGTGATGAAAAAGAAGAGTAATAGGACCAGCCCAGGAACAACCAAGTTGAGACAAAAAGCGCACAACGCAAACAAACCAAATTGGCAACGAGTGGGCTGGCTGCAGAGCTTCATCTAGTAAACAACAACAAAATAAAATACCAACTTCGGACAAACCAAATACTCCGTCGCGCCTGGCCCCGAGCGTAGTGCAGGCCACCATCGTTTGTCGACCCCTAAAAGAGTAATCTGTCACCGCGCGCGTGTACTGGGCGAAGCGACAGTGGCTGCATACCTCGGCACAATTCCAACAGTGTTTCCCTAACCATATTGCTGTGATTGGGTATGCGTGTATCGAGATAAAAAAAACGTATTGCAATCGATTTGACATGGTTTGCATCATGCCGGCTTGACGGCTTCATCCCTTCATGCGCCAACAGCGGGCATCTTCTTTCCCCTCTTTCCTAGCAGAGTCGCGTTGTCCAGGTTGAGTTCAAACGGTCCCTTATTGCGATTCCGGTCACGGACCTGTTGCCTCGCCGCTGCTGTGACTGCTGATGAGTGCTGGCCGTAGCCCTTCTCGTTGGTGGCGCGTTCCCGTTCTCTGCCGCGAGGATTGGTGTCTTGGTCCTGAATGCTGGCTTTGCGCATGCCCTGTTCCAGGACACGTGCGCTGCCTTGAGCCTGCTTGTCGACTTCCATCTCCTCTTCCTCGTCTTCCTCATTCAAGCCACCCAAGGGACGTCCTGGGCCAGCACGGGCGCCGATCTGAGCTCGACGTTTGGCCTCCTCTTCTTGGCGATGGACAGCATAGCCGACATCGAAAACTTCTCGCAGGTTGACCGCACCGGGAGAGCGGAAATCCAGTCGTCTGCCGTCGTCCAGCTTTGAAGGGTCAAAGGCGCGAAGCGGGGCTTCGGGTTTGCGCTCCTCTCGTGGCGTAGGACCGCTTGCACGAACCCATGGATGGGCAAGGAACTCAGTGATGGTGTAACGCTTCTCGGGGTCGACAGTCAGGAGATGTGAGATGAGATCCTTGGCCGACTTGGAGATGTCGTCCCACCAGGGCGAGAGGAAGGTATATTGGCCCTTGGCTACCTTTTCCGTGAGAATCTCGATGCTCTCGTCGTAAAAGGGAGGGAAGCCGCAGAGCAATGTATACAAGACACATCCGAGCGCCCACATGTCAACAGACTTGGAGTAGCGTTCATCCTTGACGATCTCGGGAGCAGTGTAACCAACGGTACCGCAAGGTGTCATAGTTTGCTTGTCCCACACAATCTTGGACAGACCGAAATCGGCAATCTTGATCTCACCAATACCTCCAGCGCCGATGCCAGGAAGAAATTCGCCCTCGTCAACCTTGTCCTCGTCGCCAGGCTGCCTAGGCTTGGGGACTTTGGAAGGGAGGAAGTCGATAGGGTTGAATAGAATATTCTCGGGTTTGATGTCGCTGGAGAAGTCAGCCTGTATCCTCAGCTGAAACTCAAGTCATGGAAAACTTACCGATGAACGACACCCTTGTCCTCGTGCAGGTACTCGAGGGCCTTGGCAACCTTGACGATGACATGTCTTGAAAGCTCCTCGCTAAAGTATGTGAGGCGAACAATCTGGTGGAACAGCTCGCCACCAGGAGCAAGCTCCAGAACAATATAATAGTAGGGCTTTGATTCAGAAAAGTCAATAAGCTTAATGACGTTGGGGTGGTCGAGCTGGCGCATGATTTGAACTTCTTTCAGGATGTTGGCGCGCTAGAGAAAGCGGCATTAGTATAAGTTCGGTTCTTAGTTGGGCATGCAAGTTGCTATGTGAAGTTGCGGACGATTCTAATGAAGCCAAGAGCAGGGAAAAGGTATGTGTAGATAAAAAAAACACAGGGATCGGTGATGAAGGATGGTATCGCACCTCGGCAGCCCTGGGCGCCCTCTTGAATTCTGGGTGCATACGCTCATTTCCCTATCAAGGGCGCAAGGCCCCCCCCAGTTGGTAAAGTTCATTGATCGTAGGGAGAATGTGTAGTGAGGTGCATAAGATGAAAGAGGGAAAAGCATTACAGAAAGAAATACACGGCAAAATGATAAATCACGGGCTTCAGAAGATTAAGACTTACCTGCATGTTGTTCATCTCGTACTTGCGGACAACTTTGATGGCGACTTCGCCATATTGCCCCTCAGTATCACGAGCACGGTAGACGTTGCTGAAGGCGCCATCGCCCATCTTCTCCAGGAGGACCCATCGCTCAAGGCCGGGGTATTGGGGGAACTTTGTCCTGGAGGCATTTTCTTCGGCGACGAGCTTGGCGAGGTTGGCGTCGTCAACACGTCTGCTTGCGCGCTTGGTGGCGGAGTCCTCCTTGCGAGCCACCTTTTCGGCAGGTTCGGAGAGGAGTTCGGCAGCGACGGACTGAGGGACGAGAGGATCGGAAACTGATTTTCTCTTGTCGTGGGTGTTGGGCTGCTTGCTGGGCGGAGAATCGACCTTTCGGACGGCCTCTTCGTTGGCGGCGCGGGCTTGCTTGCCTAGCGTAAGACAAAGATCTGATTAGTCCAGGTCGATGGAAGTCGTGCATGGGACGGCCGGCCAGCTGGCCGCAGTTGATATGATGTGCGGCGCAGTCTATCGTGGCCAACAGTGCGGCGGGGGAGAAAGAAGTATTCTTACCGTGCCGAATAAAGTTCTTCAACTGCTGAATGGTTGACATGCCGGCATCACAGACCCAAGCGTCTGACACACACAACAACACACGGACACGCTAGGAACAAGACAAGCAGATGCTTTTCTGGGGATTTTGCCGAGCTTGTCGGGTGTTTGGTACGGGGCGACTCGGCGCGTCGCAAAAGCAAAAGAGCGGACGGGACGCAAGGCGGGAGATGTTTTCAGTCGAGATTGTTTGGTCGAAGACGTTTTTGCGCGTTTTTGAGGCTGGGCCTGGACCTGGACGGATTTGTGGCGGGGTTGCTGGGGGAGGAGAGAAAGAGGGCCGCCTTTGTCGCAGCGCAGCCTGGGAGACAGACAAGACGACGGGATGACGTACAGCAAAACGGGACGGGTTGGGCTGGGCTGATTGATGGAGGGGTCGAAGCGGGCAGCGTGTGTTTCGTTTCGTTCTAGACGGGGGAGAGACAAGGACGATGAGAGGGAGGTGAAGAAGCAGTAGAATTCATACGTTTCTAGGCAAGAAGGAAGAAGAAGAAGCAAAGTAAGATGGCCAAACGGCAAAGGATTCAAACGGCCAAAGACGATGATTATGGAGAGGGGAAAAAAGACGGGGAGGGGGGCTTCTACGTTTTTCCCTGCTTTGGTGGGCGGCTTGGTCTTGATTATCAAGCGTCAAGCTGGGGAGCTCCAAAGCCTTGGCTGATTGATTCTGACAGCAGGCGTTTACAGGGGGTTGCCGCTTAAACCACAGGTCAATTTAATGACAGAAGTACCGTTATTGCGCCCTAGGAGCCTCTGAAGAGTCTCAAAAACGCGCTGGAGTTTTAGTGGACTTCAGTGGGCTGAGTCCCCCAATCACGTCACCATTTATTACCCTCCCAATTTGGTCAACGCCTACTTGCCCACTATCTGTCAGGTTCTGTTGCGGTATCAACGTGAGGTCAGGATGATGAGGTTGATAGTGTTGCCCCAGAGAAGGCTTCGAGTCATCCGCGTGTGCAGCAGGACACAATGACGAGACCTCGACTTAGTATTACACGGCAGAGAAACACACGGTGGCCAGGGTGGCCCTAGCAGAGACACACGCCAGGCGTTGATGCTCTGCAGATCTGCGGCTGGCTCCCCCGAACCTGCAACTGCTTCCTTTGGGAAGCTATTTTCAAGTCCCGTTTTTTTCCAAGGTGCTCCAAATATGTAAGTATGCATGGCATCATGCGTGGCTGTAGTTCATGCCTGCGGTTGAGGTAGTCCTCGGCAAGTAACCCGATATCCCTCACGCAGCCAGATATCACCACGCAAGGCTACGCGCTGCAATGTAGCGCGCATTGTATTCGCTAAGTAGTGTATTCCCCTGCTCTTCGAGAGTCTAGAACATGTTCCACGATTCTCTTGCATCTGTGTCTGCATGCTTGCGCATCCTATCATATTATTCACATTCTCCTGCGGCGTGCTCTCGTGGTTTGGCGACCCACTCCACTGCCTTGCCAAAAACCCAGTTATAGCCAGGGACGCCTAGTTACCGCGTCTTTAATAAGTCTACCCTTCCCAGCCCGCTGCCGGCAACAGCCAGACCAAGTGTCCAGATCTTCTCTTATGACGCTTCCAGCTACGTCATAGGTCGCGCCCCGCCAAAAAACCTGGCCTAATTGTGGTGGGGCCAGCAGGGATTCTAAGTCGAACCAAGAGCTTACTTATCGTTGGACGGACAAGCTCAACCACCGGACATACAGGGTAAGAAACCGGAAACGTCAAGCAAGCTGTGAATGTGAAGCAAGTGCAAGATAATGAATATCAATAATGGGTTGTGATACTTGACATTAGCTGCCGTCATCAGCTCCAGTCACAATGCTATTCCCACTGGTCTAATACAGCTCTATCAAACCGGAGCGGCTTCTATATTCGTAGGCCAACCATCAACCATTATATCTTCAGCCAAGTATCCAAAGTTATCATTCAGTTAATCAGGTCACCGACCTATCCATCTTTCTGTTGATTATTGTTTCTGACGCGCCTTCTCGATGCGCGCAAGCTCCTTGTCTATCCGCTTGAAGCTCCAGCTCTGCCAGAAGGAGGGGTCTAAAAACTTGTGTTAGTTGCAGGTTGACGCAGTATTGCTGCTAGATTGACTAACAAAGGAATGGTCTCAAATCTACAACAAGTTAGCATTTTCCGTCTTAATTTTCATATTGCGAATTATCTCAACGCACCAAAGCGGTTGTCATCAGGTGAATAATCGTTGCTAGACAGGATCAGTTTACATGCAGCGACGAGCGAGAGGGGAACTGGGAACGGACCAGTGCACTAGATCGAGGAAAAACACCAAGTTAGCTGGAAACTCAAGATACGAAAGCAAGAAAAAGTAATTTCATGTGTACGTACAAGCAGGCGTGAGGGTCGTGGCCTTGTGTCGCGTGATCGCACTGCTCACTGTTAGCAAGCTGCTTTTCTGCAGGCACTGTCGATCGGCGGCTCAAAGTGGCAACATACTATTTCACAAAGAAGAACTTGACCTTTTCGGCAATCTCTGCTGGATCGAGGCAGGGGTTCTCGTCGTTTGGTTCCTTGACTCGGTCTTTGCCCCAGACATGGACGAGATGCTGCCACATGGACAAGGGCCCCATCTTCCTTTCCTTGCGTAGGCGCCCTGGTTCTGTCAGAAGATCGTCACACGCTGTAAGCATAAAAGGAGTCATACCAAATATGGTCAGTTCAGCGTAGGTTATTCCCATGTCTGCTTCGTCTGACTGCACGTAGTCCTCCGTCACAGGCTCCAACTCGGCCGTGGGAGCGGCAGTGAGGAAGTCTTCCAGGCATGGTATGCCAAAGTTGACCTGGGCCCAGGAGATGAGGCCTCGAAGAGCTGCCTTGTCGATGGAGCCAATCGGATTGATATCTGCCGAGGAGCAATCATATTTTGTCATGTAACCTCGGAGCGCTAGAAGAGGGTCAGTCGCGTCGCGCTTCTTACGGCAAAGTGTTATGCTCACCCTCGCCAACATTGGCGCTGCCCAGGACCAGAAGACCTCCGCCAGTCAACTTGCGGGTTGTTGGGAGAATTTGAGCGAATTCGTAAGCAGTCTGTGATAAAATGTCAGTCAAGTCCACAGTCAAGGTTTCCGTGGTACCTTACCACCATACGGGTGCGGGCCTGAATGTTCTGAAGCATGAGATTTTCAGCTTCGGAGCCACCTTCAACTTTGAACTTTGCGTCAAATCCCAAAGACTGTTCGACTAGACTTTTCTGTGCATGATACACAGTGTCGATATCAAGATCGATATGGTAGCTTCCAATGGCCTCGGATAATTCTTTCGCACGCGTGCGCGTCTCGCGGGAGCTCTGCTTCGACATTCCCATGTACACGGTATGCAGAACGCGACGACACAATTCTTGGGCAGTTCGGGGAAGCTCATCCTGACCGAAAATCCGTTGGACGGTGGCAATTACCGGCTTGTTTTCGTCCTTGAGGGCAGACATAACGAGTCGGCACATTGAGAAAACAGAAATAGCTGATAGCAAGTGTCAGCATATCATTTGATGCTAAAGTTTACACAATCGGTCGCCGCTGAGTTTCGCTTACCCGTTGCGCAGGAGTCTAAGCCCCCAGACAGTGGCACGAGACTATAAATGGTCAGTCAGCGAACAAAGACAGACATATCCATGAGATGGCAAGACTTACTAGCCCCCTGATTTACTTCTTGTCAAGTAATCCCAAAGGTAACAGCCAGTGCACTGTGTCTAGATTAGTAGTCATTTGAGAGTATAGTCAGATTGGTACTGTACAAGTGCGATTTCCTCGTCGGCGGAGAAGAATTTCGGTTCCCGGGGCGGGGTTGGTCGGCGTTGAGGATACAAATCATCCTCATCGGGGCTAAGCTCAAACAATGTCTGTATCCTCTTGTATTTTAGAGTATTATGTGCGGCTTGCAACGCCCGAGAAATACTTGAGCGATAGGCACGGACTTCTTCCAGATCAACGGTTGCAGTAACGACGTCGACGTCATTCAGCGAGAACTGAGGACTTTGCGCAAGGACCTGGCCATTGCAGAGGATCATGGCCGACCCATCAAAATACAGCCTGTCGCCATCACCGCCTATAGATAGAATTTGTCAGAGACGAGAAGTAGACAGTGTCCTGTAGTAGGATACCGAACGAACCTGAGGCATTGGAGTAGATGTAGACACCTCCACACTTGCGAGTAGCTTCACCGATGAGCTTCAATCTAGTGTCTAATTTCTGCAAGCTGAAGTGGCTGGCGGAGCTATTGGTGATGATCTCGACGCCATCCAAAGTCATCGGAATATCTAGGTCGCTTGTTAGCGTTTATTCGGGGATAGTTGACAAGATGGCACGCACGAGGCGCGTTTGGCGTCCACATCTCCTCGCAGGTTTCGGCTCCGAAGCAGCTGTCGGGTGTGCTGATGACGCAATCACCAAAGGGCACATGGGTGCTTCCTTGCAGCTTTTGTAAAGCCTTGGGGAGGTGAAACTCCTCCCAGTATGTCGGTTGAACCCAGGGAGTAAAGTATCGCATTTCTCGGTAATCTATGACCTTGGGTTAGACTGACTAGTTATGTAGTCTGCCGACCAACACTAAATGCTTACTGCCGTCATTGGCCAAATCTGCGATAAGGTTAGCATTGCAAGTTTTCGTGACCGAGGCTGAGTATAAGAAGGGTCAAGGTAATATACTCACGCATCTTTGGGCGGATAAAGAGAATTTTGCCATCAAGGCAGATGACTCTGCAATTGTAGTTGACGCTGCGGTGGGTGACGGGGAGACCAATGTCGAGGAGGATACCGTGACACGTCTCATCTTCCAGAATCCGAGCCAGCATCTCCATAGAATGTAGATACAGGTCTGGCTCGAGAAAATGGTCATTGCAAGAATAGCCTGATATCTCTAATTCCTGTACCGATGGTGAGCAGAGTCATTTCACACGAATGGGAAAGGCACGGTTCATACTGGCCCAACGCGAAGTCTAGCACCAGCAGCTTTGGCCTGGTGAATGGACTGGATGATCCTGTCCGTATTACCCTAACAGGTGTCAGTTGTATTTGGCTCAATTGACTCATCAGGCGGATCAAACGGTACCTCGAAATCCAGGGCCCATTGCCTGAGCGAAGAGGCAGCAACGGTCACGAGCCGGCCCATGATTGTAAAATGTAAAACTCAGCGATTCTGCTTGATGCAAGGAGCTTAAGGGTAGAGGGAGGCTGTTGATCAAGCTGAGGTTGTGATGAAGTTGGGCGGAGCGAGCTCGGAGGAGTTTCGGTAATGTAATGGTTGTTGAAACTCAGCGCTCCCCACTTCCAGCGCCAGGCCACATTTTGGGTTGCTTTTGGAGACAAACTTTGAACCGGTTCAATCAACACCGTTTACACAATAAAATGAGATGAAATAAAATAGTTGATGTGTAGATGGTGAAATTCATCAATACATCTAGGTATACGTGATTTCATACGGTGTTTATCGAATTTGGAGTATCATTAATCACAAGCTACGTTCTTCCCCCAAGGTAAGCTACAGTACTACATGAGCTATGTACAATGCTTGACGGCTTGCCGTCCTTGCATGCACCCAAGTCTCGTCATTTAACGTCGTTCACATCATGACACCAGCCATCCATGCGTGCCCGAGACGCCTTCGACAACCCCTCACAGCTTGTAGAGCCGCGCCTGCACGCCGCGCCGCTGCGCCTCGGCCGCGATCTGCGCGTTCTTGCGCGCGTAGAAGACGCGCAGCCCCAGCGACACGGCCGTGACGAAGAGCAGGAAGCCCGCGTTTGTCCAGTGGCCGGTCGGGTATCCCTTTTCCTTCTCGCTCGCCTTGTAGATCCACACGCCGGGGATCTGGCCCAGCCCGCCGCCGATGCTGACGTTGAGCGCGATCGCAAGCCCGACGGCCGCCGTGCTCACGACGTTGGAGGTCAGCCAGCCGAGCAGCGGCGGGATGCACGCGAACGCGCCCGCCGTCGCCATGATCAGCCCGCCGTAGCGCGCCTTGTACGCGTCCGGCGGCAGCGCCGCCGACACGATGAAGCCGACGGCCCCGACGAGCGCGGCGCCCGCGGCGTGGTACCCGCGCGCGTTGAACCGGTCCGCCGACAGCGCAACCAGGATCTGACAGACTATATAAAAATCAAAAAGTCAGAGCTTGCAAAGCACACAACGGATGTTCTCCTCCGTAAGTCACTTACCGTATGCGACGACCCACGGCGGCACGGTCATCAGCTGCGCCGTTAGGTCACGGTACCCCAACCCGAGGGTGATGGACGGCGTGAACAGGCTGAGACTCGCAAAGGGCGGGCTGATGGCGAAGTAGATGGCGTAGTGCGCGTACAGGCGCCAGTCGGTCAGGGTCGCCTTGGCGTCCTGCCAGGTCATGCTCCGGTCGTGGCCCTTGCTGCCCTCGAGCCGCAGCCGGCCGACGGCCAGCACGCGCTCGGCGTCGGTCAGCCAGCCGGCCGTCTCTGGGTAGTCGGGCAGGAAGAAGAGCACCAGGAAGGAGGAGAGCACCGAGGGGATGCCCTCGATGATGAAGAGCCAGCGCCAGCCGGCGATGCCGGCCGCCTGGTTCATGTGGCCGATGCCGTAGGCGATGGCGCCGCCAAACTGCTCCCATATGATTAGAAAAAAATATCGCTCACCTGTGTTTTCTAGCGATTGAATGTAGTAGTTTGTGACTTACAGCACCCGCCAGCGTGGCTGAGGCGAGAATGAACGCAACCCTGCCAGCATTGTCAGCAGCTGTCCTCGCCACCGTCTTCCCTGCCTCCAAGGGATTTCCTCTTCCGTAACTTCCACTACTCACCTCACACTTCGCTCATTATGCCGGTACCAAAACGTCAAGTAGTAAATCAGGCCCGGGAACAGGCCAGCCTCGAACATGCCGAGCAGGAAGCGCACCGCTGTGACGCTTCCGAAGCTGCGCGCCGCGCCCAGGCACATGGTCATGGCGCCCCAGCAGAACATGAGGAAGGCGAGCCAGCGGCTGGGCCGCAGCTTCTTGAGCAGGATGTTGCTGGGCACCTCGAAGACGGCGTAGGCGACAAGGAAGACCATGAGGGCGATGACGAACTGGTAGTCGGACATGCCCGCCGAGTGCTGCATGTCGTCGCGCGTGGACGAGTTGAGCACCTTGGCGTTGCCGATGTTGGCGCGGTCGAGGAAGCACAGGAAGTAGATGCCGGCGCAGAGCGGCACGATGCGCGCGTCCTGCCGCCGCACGAGCCGGCGCTCCTCGGCGCTGGGCGGCGCGTCCGAGTCGGAGCCGGAGGTGTCATCGCGGGCGTCCTGGTTGGTTGGGGGGTTAGCAAGCTTTGCAGGGCATTTTGGGGTTCTAGACAGGTAGAGAGGGCGCCGGGTTGGGCATCTATTCTTCTTCGGGGCTCCTCTGCTACCTATCTCCGAGCATCAGCATCACGTACCTCGTTCGCGTTGACCTTTTCGACGTCGTCCGCCGGCGGCGACACAACAGCGTCCTCGATCTTGGACGACATGGCGTCTGGTTGGCAGCGTCGTTTTCTTGTCGTTCCGCAGAGGGGAGGACGAAATGTGCGGTGAGGAAAAGAGTAGATTTTTTTTCGTCCCTCCCCTCCCCTCCCTCTCCAGAAATTAATGAACCGTTGGGGACCCGCGCAAGCTAATATCCGGTGTCCGGCCCGACCAGGATGGTGAATGCGGGGAACGGTGCTGCTAGTCCCGGCTGACAGGTAGGGTAGCGGGCGCCTTGGATAATTGAGCCGCGGGTTTGAAAGTGTGCTGAGAAGTACGTAGATTACCAATGACTTCCGACACGTTGGTTACGCAGGTTTGTTGTCTGGCGGTATGAAAGTGGCAGCTTTAGAACGCGCTGGTCGCGGATAGAGGACGTGGTGATGCGGGCCAGTGGCTGAAAGCCAAATCTAATATAAGCATATCGAGCTCCGGTTTATGCCCGACGGGTAAATGGGCACAATTAAACAAAATCATTGAATTCAAAAAAAAACATCTTCATTTGCTCGAGTATCTTGACATGCCAACTATACAATAGTGACTGAACTGCCCTGGACTCGTCTACTTGTTGAACAGCTGGTAATGTGCTGGATATGGAGTACCTACAGCTTATATCTGCCAAGGTTTTCCGGTGACGAAACAGAATTCCTAATGCGCGCCGTAAAGAAAGCAGCACGTCAACTTAGAACAAAGCCTTTGAGATTCCCCAGCTCTATCAGAGTCTAAGATAAAACACGTACATCCTCCAGCGCCTGCCTCCCCTACTCCTCATCCTCTGCCTCATCTTCCGGCCAGACGGACCAGATGCCCACCATGACGAGCTTCAGCGCCGCCGCCGTCCACAAGGCGCCCTCGATGCCCACCGGCGAGTGCGCAAATACGCCCCCCGCCACCGCGCCCAGCAGCAGCAGCAGCGGAGCCGCCGCGCGCCTGTTCCTCTCCACATTGTCCCGACTGAACAGGCGCTGGTCGGAGAAGAGGTCGCAGTAGATGCTGGTGAGCACGACGCTGGTGAGCGCGTTGTGGCGGAGCGCGCGGCTGGCCACCGCCTGGCCGCTGGCCTGCAGGGAGACGAGCACGACCGGCAGCAGCACCGTCCAGCCGGCGTCCCCGTCGCCGGCCGGCGGCGGCGTCAGCGTCACCACGAGGGCGGCGAGCGCGGCGAGCGCCGTCTGCGCGAGGAAGGAGGCGCACAGCACCCAGCGGCGGGTGGCGCCAAAGGACCGCTGGAAGCGCGCGAAGAGCAGCGAGCCGACGCAGAAGGAGAGCAGCGACGCGCCGGAGCGGTAGAGCCGCGGGCTGATGGGCGGGTAGATGAGGGAGGCGATGCCGAGGGCGACGTAGACGGTGTTTCCTGAGGAGGTTTGTCAGTTGGGGGACAAGAGGGTGGTTGTGAAAGAAAAGGAAAGAAAAAATCGTGACGTTATGTGGCCTTGCTTACCGGTTTGCATGGAGACAAAGGCCCCCCATACTTGGGTCGAGGCACTGTCGAGAAGGCCGGTGACGACGTAGCAGAAGAGCAGCATGAGGTCGGCCCAGTCCCGCGTGACGTTGGATTTGAGTGTCCGACGGAGGCCGGCGAGGCCGGAGGCGCGCGGCGATGATGGCTTGCCGAGGAGCGGCTGGCGCTCGGCATCGGGGCCGGTGCGACGCGGGTCCGGGTGGTGCCCGTTGGCAGTACCGTAGAGGCCGGCCATTGTGTGCGAAGGTCAGGCTATCCGTACAGGTCCAACACGATGAAGATGGGGAGGATGGGATGGGGAGGGATGGGATGAGAAGAAATGAGAATTGGCGAGTGGGAGAGGTTTGTGGTTTGGAGTCGTCGGGGTGAGGTTGCAGCGAGCTTTGGGGCTAAATGGTGGTGGCGGCGGCAGCCGGTGCTGGGCCAACTGTGGGAAGCTGGTAGCAAGCAGGGGAGTATTAGCGACGATGTTGGGTAAAATGGGAATTTTCCCTGTGATGATGGGGTTGGTCTGGGTCTTTGCGGGAAATGGTTCGATTTTGGCAGTGGAAAGTGGTGTGAGTGTGGGAGAGCAAGGACGGGTATTAAAAGTCAAGGCAAGTCAAGGTGTTGGTGGGAGAGGCTGTCACTGGCGGCTTTACAACTGAGGTGCGGGTAACTGGATTGTGTTTGTTGTCCGCGAGATGAGGATAAGAGGCAAGCAGATTGCGCTGTCTACACAATGCAGATCAAGGTCGGTGTAGGAAAAGTATGTGGGAAATTCTCTCATCGAGCGGATGAATGACGGACATGTATAATGATGTGCTCGTACAGCAAGCAGCAAGCAAGTCGCAGCCTCATGTCTCTTTCTCTCTCTGCAGCAAGAAGCAGCGACAAGAAGCCGACTCCAAAAGGGAATCCACTGTCGCGGTAGCGGGATGCAGGGCTATACCCCACTATAGTTATAGGGCGTGTAGGGAAGGTCTGGCAGGTTGTGGGCGTGTGTTCCGGACTTGGCTCGGCATGGTATACGTGGTCTATAGAGCTGTTTCAAAGTCTAGATCTATATGCAGGGGTTTCTTGGAAGAGTTGGTTTATTCTCGATTTTTTTTTTTTTGCCCTCTGAGCAATGCGAGAGCGGTTTGTACGTAATAAGAGCGGCAAGACGTTTGGGCGGGTTGCAGTCGTCTCAGTGGGTTCATATTGCGCTGTCTCTCAGTGGATGCAATGCCTGTCCATCGCCAAGACCTCCTTGCGGCTGTTGGAAAAGCTGCTGCCGCTTTATCCATCCACGTCTGAGTCGTCCTAGGTCTGATCAATGATGCGACTCCCAAAACTCAACCGACAGCGCCGACGCCACCACCCACCACCACCCCAGTGCATTGATCCATCCATGCCGCGGCATTTCCCTTGCTTTGGGGCGCGAGGCTGAAAAGAAAAAAAAAGTTTCGAATTTCTTGATTTTTATTTTTCAGAGTTCCATTTTCCCCAGCTCCCTTCCCCGCCGGAGCTTCTTCTGTCCTCCGGCGCTACAGACTGCCCAACCACCACCACCAACACGGTGAATCCCGGTGCCGCCCTGCGCCTCTAATGCCTCTCACCTACGTCAAGCACAAGCACGCAACTCGCAACCAAGCCCAGATGGTGCCGACCCTGCCGCTCAAATGCCTCGCAACTAGGTCACCTCCGACACGCCTTCCGATTGTAGATAAAAAGCTTCATACCTCGTAGACTTGCCATTTTCTCCCTTGCATCTCCTTCATCTGTGACTGACTCTCTAGAATCCCCATCACCACCACCACCACCACCACTTACACCAACCACTCTCTCGTACAAGCAAGAGCTTGCTTGTCAATTACTTCCCCTTTGCCTCGAAGGCTTCATTTTACACCCCTTCTCTCCTTGTTTCTACATAGATTACACAAATGAAGCTCACCACCACGCAGCTGCTCCTCGCCGGCCTGGCCGCCGCCCTGCCGCACCGCGACAGCCCGCAGCAGCGCTTCCTCAACGGCCTCGCCCTGCCCGACAAGTTCGCCGCCGGCCGGCACCGCCCCTACACGCCGGGTCACCGCGATTCTCTCGACCGCTACGTCGACCCGGAGCAGGACTCGCTGGACCCGCTGCCCTGGCGCAACGGCGACGGCGCCAGCGTGCTCGGCCCCATCAACCGCGACCGCGCCCGGCAGAGCCCGGACATGGTGCGCCCGCCGAGCACCGACCACGGCAACGTCGCCAACATGCGCTGGAGCTTTACCGACTCGCACACGCGGATTGAGGTGGGTGATTTTACTGTTTGGAGGTTTTGCCTCGACTCGCTGATTGTCCAATAGGAAGGCGGATGGACGCGACAGACCACCGTCCGCGAACTGCCCACCAGCGTCGAGCTGGCCGGCGTCAACATGCGCCTCGACAAGGGCGTCATCCGCGAGCTGCACTGGCACAAGGAGGCCGAGTGGGCGTACGTGCTCGAGGGCAGCGTCCGCGTCACCGCGCTCGACTACGAGGGCGGCAACTTCATCGACGACCTGAACAAGGGCGACCTGTGGTACTTTCCCAGCGGCGTCCCGCACTCCCTGCAGGGGCTGGGCGAGAACGGCACCGAGTTTCTGCTCATCTTTGACGACGGCAGCTTCTCGGAGGAGTCTACCTTTATCCTGACCGACTGGCTGGGTACGCTTTCCCTCGCCGACACGCAAACACAACATTGGCACTGACGACTAGCACACACGCAGCCCACACCCCCAAGAGCGTCATTGCCGAAAACTTCCACCTCGCCCCCGAAGTCTTTGACCACCTCCCCAAGAGCGAAAAGTACATCTTCCAGGGCTCCCAGCCCGGCTCCCTCGACGCCGAGCGCCCGCGCGGCCGCAACGTCAAGACGTCCAAGTACCAGTTCACCCACCGGCTCCTCGACCAGCCCGCCAAGGAGACGTCGGGCGGCCACGTGCGCGTCGTCGACAGCACCAACTTCCCCATCTCGACGACCGTGTCCGCTGCGCACGCCGTCATCGAGCCCGGCGCGCTGCGCGAGATGCACTGGCACCCCGTCGCCGACGAGTGGTCCTACTTCATCCGCGGCCGCGCGCGCGTCACCATCTTCGCGGCCGAGGGCAGCGCGCGCACGTTCAACTACGTGGCCGGCGACGTGGGCATCGTGCCCAAGAACATGGGCCACTTTGTCGAGAACATTGGCGACGAGCCGCTGGAGATGCTGGAGATTTTCCGCGCGGACCGGTTCCGCGACTTTTCGCTGTTCCAGTGGATGGGGGAGACGCCGCAGAGGATGGTGCTGGACCACTTGTTCGCGGACGATGCGGAGGCCGGGGCCAAGTTTTGGGAGGCGGTACGGAACCCGAGCAAGGATGAGATCACGGACCCGACAAAGGAGCTGTCTCACGACGAGCACGAGGATGTTGATGACGAGGAGCTGTGAGCGAGGGGGGAGGCGAGCTGTGTTGTTTCTCGCCATGGTAGGCTGGCTTCTTGGTTTGGTTGGTTTTCGTCGCAGCTACATGTCGTCCGTCATGTTTCGACTAGTGTTTCATCGAAATACATTCTTTTCTGTATTAATTATTCCCATCTCCTGCCGTTTTCGAAACCATGGAGCTCTCAATGCATGCCAAGCCACCAATCGTAAATTAGATCTCCGCGCAATGCAGCATTACTAGGACTTATCGCCGCCCATCGACCGTCCGTTGTGGAGAGGTAGTATCAGTATGGGTATGTAGTATCCGGCGTATCTTTGCATTGGCGGGCCATTTATAGAAACGTGGTCATCGTTTCATGCGGGAGAATGGATGGTCTAGGTGGATGGATGGCTCGTAGATTATTCTCTGGCGAGGTGAGGAAATGGATGCCCTTTGGTAACGGAGTCACCAGACAGACAGACAGACAGACAGATAGACAGACAGACAGATAGACAGATAGACGGATAGACAGACAGACAGACAGACAGATAGACAGACAGACAGATAGACAGACAGACAGACAGACAGACAGACAGACAGACAGACAGACAGACAGACAGACAGACAGACAGACAGACAGACAGACAGACAGACAGACAGACAGACAGACAGACAGACAGACAGACAGACAGACAGACAGACAGACAGACAGACAGACAGACAGACAGACAGACAGACAGACAGACAGACAGACAGACAGACAGACAGACAGACAGACAGACAGACAGACAGACAGACAGACAGACAGACAGACAGACAGACAGACAGACAGACAGACAGACAGACAGACAGACAGACAGACAGACAGACAGACAGACAGACAGACAGACAGACAGACAGACAGACAGACAGACAGACAGACAGACAGACAGACAGACAGACAGACAGACAGACAGACAGACAGACAGACAGACAGACAGACAGACAGACAGACAGACAGACAGACAGACAGACAGACAGACAGACAGACAGACAGACAGACAGACAGACAGACAGACAGACAGACAGACAGACAGACAGACAGACAGACAGACAGACAGACAGACAGACAGACAGACAGACAGACAGACAGACAGACAGACACAAGGCTGGAGGATGATGGCTGGCTCCGAGTGTCTGCGTCACTGCCCACCGCCCACTGCCCGCGTCATGACACGTCAATACATTGGCAATCTATGCCGCCGCTGCTGCTACTGAAGCATGGTAGCGGAATGTCCGTGCCGAAGTTGGTCGCACAGCATCCGCGGGCTTTGGGTGGTCTTGATACAACTACCTATAACTGTCAACTAAGTTATGTATTAGAGCACGCTGCAGTGGGCACAAGGGATCGCAGGGCAGTACAGGGGCGCCGAGGGGCTGTGCGCAGAGATGTTTATGCTCGCTTGCTTTACAAACCGCAACTAGGGCCATCTTTTAGTTGGATAGACCCTCCTCTAATCCATCTCGATTTCATGCTTCAATGCCAATGCCGCAATGCCGCAATGCCGCAATGCCTTGAAGCTTTTAGTGCGGAAATCCAAATCGCTGGCGACAAGGGCATAGGGAACTTGGTAGGCTGCGGGGATGCTTGCTCCCAGGTTACGGATATGCATGCACCTTCAAAGGCCCTGTCGGGTATTGCACTGCTAACTTAGTTAATTCATACTACGGTCAGTGCTAGAGTGCCAGACAGAGAAATTTTTGTGCTTGGCATTTGCTATGGCGTATTGCGCGGCCAGGGATGGCAGGCAACACGTTGGCTTCATGTGGGAGGCAATCTATCATCAGCGCCATGCATGCATCCCTCTGATGCCAATTGGACAAGCCGCTCTCATCTGACCGTCTTTTCGCCATTCCAAATCCCCGGCCCAATAGCCAATTGGCCTCCAATGGGCCGTACTTGGTTGTAAATGAGACGGGGGTTGAATGATGCGGAATCGGCACTCGATGGCCAACATAAGACACTGACCAGGGCCGGTGTCGGAAGATAAAAATAAAGCAAGACAAGGCAGGTTAACCTGATTGTGGCGCCAATGATATGTAACTCTGCGTCGCGGCATCACAGAGTATCATTCCTGAGAGACAGGGCTAGGTAGTTAGGAGGGCATGTATCTGCCTACGCAAACAAACCTTTCTCTGGTCCTCTGGACACAGCCCGCTCGCATTAGCCTGGGTTATGCCCCCTCCTATCTGCAGGGATCGTCGGGATATAGAAAAGCAGCCCGGTAGAGGCGGCTTTCCTTAGACAAGGGCGGAGCTGGAGTGCGGCGTGGCTAGGCGCCACTACTACACATCACCATTTGTCCATCCAGGCACCCCCTGCTCGGTACCCTGTGGTAGAGAACTGACTTCTATGACGGGGGTACATGCACCAATAGAAATGAAAGAAAAAAATACAGGATGGATGACAGTAACAATGCCAGTTGGCAAATGGATCAAGTCAAACGTCTTGGCAGCCATCGTTAGGGTTCCAGTACAACAACTAGCGAATGGAACTCTAGATGACTCGTCTACTTCTTTTTATAGTAGATTGTTAATTTCTGAAATTAACTCTATTATATAGTAGTCGAAGTAGGCTTGTAGAGTAGCAGAGCTATTTATTGCCTGAAACTCTCGATGTACCCGGATGGTACTTTTACTTTTTGCTTCAGCGTACAAGTTGCTGATCCTGGGGCTTTTGACCACAGCATGGCACGGGGTGAGATGTCTCGATACCTACGGCGTGCTCCGCTGCTCGCTTCCCTTCCCTTGGTTCTTCTGATTCTCGGCGACTATCCAGGATCAAAATGCGGGGGAGGAGCCAAGGCGGGCGCTTCGAGGCTCTGGTGGCTTGTTCCATCAAGCCATCCATCCCCAGCCAGCCAGCCATCCTTGCCCCTCCTAGCCTCACTCACACTCGCGGTGGTGAAGAGAGAAGAAACAGTCCTTGTTTCCGGCGATTGATATCCCTTGTCCAAAGGCTTTTGGCGCAAAGGCCACGGCCTTTCTATTTCGTGGCGTGATCAAGTTGATTGGGACCCCGGACAAGTCTCGGCGTGTCTCCAATGTAGATATGTCTCTAACTTAGTTACTTCGTATTTGTACAGTAACCAGTAATTGACCGCCCTTGCCATCTCGTCTGCTCGCTCTCGCACTAACTTATAAGAAAAGGCTCGTACTTTTTTCTCCTTTGATTCTTTCCTGTTGCTTCCCGACAGCAAGGGCGTCACAGTTGCCGCACCCCTCAGAAAACAAGAGGAAAAAGTCCCCCGGCTAGCTGCTTGCTGGGCAAAAAGCTACCCAGTACTCTCACTCAATCAGTGCAGCTATGTATGCGTGCCTCACTCACCTCGCTCTGGCCGCAGAGCTCGGCTAACACGGCACACAACGTGCCCTGCCCAGACAATCGATGTAGCATTATAGCGCAAGTGGTGGTTATACTGCCGCCGTGCTTATCTCTCCTTCTCAGTCTCTCACTCGCAGATTCACCACCGCAAGGTCATGGTGCCGTCAATGCCGCGGCGGATGCAGGGCGAGACGATCCGAGCATGTCCATGTCCATGTCCATGTCCATGTCCATGTCCATGTCCTTGTCCATGTCGATGCATGATCGTCGTCGCTTGCCTCCACGGAGCCAGAAACTCCCATTGTTTCCCCCTTCTTAATTTACTGGGAACAGAGCAGGGCTCGGAATAAGTGCTGGTATCTGGGTTGGGGGTGTCTACAAAATGATCGACTAGTTAAAAATAAAGAGGGAAACAAGAATGGGCTTGATGACGCGCTACAACATCATTGGACAGCCGCGACAGGTGACTGCTTCCCCCGCCCGCCATGTTGTTGGTGGCGGTGGCGTGAATGAGTGTGTGTGTGTCGACGCCGCAAAGCCTGTAGTAGTTGGTACGGAGAGTTGAAGACGATGCGTTACTGCGAATTCCCGATTCTTTCCAATAAACTAGTAGTAGGTACTTCGCTTGGTCTATTGTACTTGGGGAACCGCCCGTGATTCGGCGCTCAGGAACCTGTCTCTCTCTCCCTGACTTACACTACCTTCGCCGCGCCTGCCGCATTGATTCATCGCCCTGCACCCTCGTCCCAGCCGAGAAGTAGAGCCGAGTGAAGGTGGTGTGTGAAGAAAGGAGCGAGAGTGTGTCCCGTCCCTGAATCCTCGCTCAGCAGCGCGCATCATGCCTGCCTCCCGTTTGGTGTTGATGGGGTGCGCGTGGCCAAAAATATCTACAAGCCCTTCCTTTGGGACTCGTCGATTTCCGTTGGCCTCAAACGTGTGCTGCTATGCCGTCGCCCCCCCCCCCCCCCCCCCCCCCGACTCAAGCCCGTCTCTATGACGGGCTACTACTTCCCCTCACACTCTCTGGCTCTCTCTATCTCGCTCGTACCGTTAGGACTTCTCCTTGTATAAAGTGGCCAGCATCCGTCGATGGTTTACTCTTTGTGACCCGTGATGTACCTGTTCCGTGATTAAAGTCGCCTCTACCAACACACTCGTCTCCATCTGCACCTTGACCCTTTTAAACATCCTTTCCCATATCAAGATTCGAGTGGACCTCGAACGATGAAGTACATCTCAAAGCTCCGCAACAACATCAGCGAGTCCTTCTGGACCGACCCGAACATAAACAGGGTCAAGAGCTGGGCTGACCCGATACGCCGCCGGCTTCCCTCGGCCACGGCGGAGTATCTCGCTGAAAAGCTTCCCGCCGCCCAATGGCTCCCGAATTACAACTTCAAATGGATCCTGAACGACATCATTGGTGGCATCACCATTGGGGTCATGCTCATTCCTCAGGGACTCGCGTATGCCAAGATTGCCAACATCCCCGTCGAGCATGGACTGTACTCTAGTTGGCTGCCATCGGCTCTCTACTTCTTTCTCGGCACCTCAAAGGGTAAGAGTAATCCCAACAAGAACGGATTCGGCTGGAGAGAAAGCCCGAATAGTCATAGTAACAAGATAACAGAAGTATCGTCCGGCCCTACGTCGATTCTGGGCCTCTTCACCGCCGAGGCCGTCGCCGACCTCTCCAAGCAGGGCTACGACCCGGCCAACATTGCCTCCGCCATGGCCTTTCTCGTCGGCGTCTACGCGCTGGCCATCGGCCTGCTGAAGCTCGGCTTCCTGCTCGACTTCGTGTCCGGCCCGGTCCTGACCGGCTGGATCTCCGCTGTAGCCTTTGTCATCGGCCTCGGCCAAGTCGGCTCCCTCATCGGCATCACCACCGGCTCCGGCACCGTCACCATCCTGCGCGACGTGCTCGGCCACCTCGACAAGATCAAGCCCCTCACCCTGTGCGTCGGCCTCACCGGCATCGCGATGCTGTACGCGCTGCAGTGGGTGGGTAGGGCCTGGAGCGGCAAGAACAGGTGGCTCAAGTTCCTGAGCACCAGCCGCGCCGTGGTGGTGCTCGTCGTCTACACCATCATATCATTCCTGGTGAACAAGGACCGCAAGGTCAAGGAGTACGCGTGGAGTGTCACTCAGGTCAACACAAAGGGCCTGCTGCCGCCCCAGGCCCATGACGGGTCGCTGGTCCAAAAGATGGCGTCGCGGTCGATCGCGCCGCTCATTGCCATGGCGGTGGAGCATCTCGGCGTGGCAAAGGCCTTTGGGCTGCGCAACAACTACAGCATCGACAAGAGCCAGGAGCTGGTTTTCCTGGGGACTTCCAACATTGCCAACAGCTTCTTCGGTGCCCAGACCTGTGGAGGTGCCATGTCGCGGACCGCGGTCAACTCAGAGTGCGGTGTCAAGAGCCCGGTCAACTTTCTCTTCACCGCAGGGTTCATCATCCTCACGCTCTATGAACTTGCGCCCGCCCTGTACTGGATTCCCAAGGCCACGCTTTCCGCTATCATTGTACGTCCTCATCTATTCGGTCTGGAGTGAGTGCGTTGCTAATGTAACCTAGATCATGGCCGTTGCCCACCTTGTTTCTTCCCCTCGACTATTTTACCGCTATTGGAGAATGTCGTCCATGGACTTTATCGCATCGATGCTTGGATTCTGGGTTACCCTGTTCACCACTACGGAGATTGGTCTTGCCGTCGCCGTCGCCTTCAGCATCGTCTACACTCTGATTCGCCTCGCCTTCCCCAAGTGGGTTGGACTATCTCACAGAGACACCGAGACTGTTCACTGGTCTCCGCCCAAGCACCATCGCCTGGTCGACGGCATCGACGTCCCGGCCGAGGCCTACCTGGTCCGGTTCACGGAAGACTTGCTGTTCCCCAACGCGGAGCGCGTCAAGAACGCCATCGTCGAGGCCGTCAAGGTCCAGTTTGAGCCGGCCAGCTCTGCTGCGCGCGACATCCTCTCCGCGGAAGGGTCCTGGAACGTGGCCAGCGCCAAGCGCATCGACAAGATCCGGCGCAGGACCAACGTCGTCCCGCTCAAGTGCGACCTTGTACCGCTGCGCCACGTCGTGCTCGACTTCACCATGGTCGGGTTCCTGGACGTCACGGGACTGCTCTCGCTGATTGAGCTGAAGATGGAGCTCAGACGCTACATTGGCGCGGATCTGCAGTTTAGGTTCGTCAACATGGTCGACGAGGTCTACGAGCGGTTCAGACGGTCCGAGTGGGAGTTTTCCCGACAGGGAGAGCAGAGGACGGGCGAGGCGGACACCATCTACAACTCGCTGGAGGCCGCCTTGTTCCATCACGACGGCGACGAGAAATCCGACAATGTCTCGGAAAAGGCTCTGGACGTGTGAGTGGGCTTCTGGGGGCTTCACCAGGCTGGTGGATGCAATCAGGGTCCCAAAGGCCAGCTGTGGCTGCATGGGCCACGCACCTACAATGTGGTTTCATTATGACTTGTGGCAGATTCGATATGCATTTCATCTTTTAACGCTTCGAGATTGAATAAATTCCTGCGTCACACTTGGGGTGTGCTTGTATCAACAAGGCTGCCTGTCCGTCTTAGCTGGCATTCCTTGGCAATTTGGGCATTCAGAGCAAGTTGCCAATATAGGCAACTGGACCCCTTGGCAGGCAACAATTGTTTGTTCTGTTAGCTGCCTCTTTCAAGGTAGTTGATCACGAGTGCTAGAGGAGAGGACAATGGAAATTGCGATGCTTTGTTGGCAGGCTCACGCCATGAATGCTAGGATGCTACATAGGTAGTTGTGCGATTCAGCTTTGGAGCCGTCGAGACGCCACCGTTGGCGCGGTGTCGGTCGCTTCGAGGGGATGCCGAATTTTGTCCGATTTACAAGTCATATTTGATACGAGTTCATTTAGAATTTCATGCATCGGTAGTTGTTGAAATGTTTCCGATTGCCTTGCCTAGAGGACTTTGGTGAGTTAGACGAGAAACTTGAGCTGGTTAATGAAAGCCACATTTTGGGTGGCGTGGTCATCGGCGGCCAATTCTAGAGGCCGCTGATATGAGGATAAACACGGTCCTCTCATAGCGAAAGTAAAAGATTAATCAATTGTTTCGTACAAGAATAGTCTGCATTGACCGACAAGCATGAAGCTTGACCATGCTCTCGTGTATGAGATGGAGTATGCAAAAGTGAACATACTTGTAGCGTTTCATTGAGGCGGCTCATGACGACGTGCGCTTCTTTCGACCCGGCATCAAATCTAAAGCCGAGTTGGGCTATTGGAACAGCAGCATAAAAGCCACGGCTCGGGATCGGCGCATCAAAGCCCTCTATAATAAATCCCCCCCACGTTCTGCCACTGACACGCCCTACCTACGGGATTAGAATGACGACGGTGTGGTGGTGCGGGGAAGGCGCCGTTGCTTGTTAGTCGCCGTGTCATTAGAAGGCGCCACGAGGGGGTTCCATGTATAGACGCAAATCTGGATGCCGTCAGAAATGAAAGAAGAAGCATTTACAGAGACGGCGGTAGAAAAATGGCTACCCGAATCACGCGGCGCGGATGGTTGTTCTTGGCACGCAGCCTCTCGCTCTCCAACCAGGCTGCAATTGTCCGAGCCCGACAATGCCACTCCCCTCTGCATGATTTGCTTCGCGCGCAATTCTCCACGACGAGGACAGTCGCTAGCAATGGTGGCGGCGACCAGCCAAACAACAACTTCGCGGCCGTAGCTACCGGAGGCTACGAGTACCCCGGCATCCCCCGGTTCGAGGACCCCTACGCCAAGAGGAAATGGCAACTGGAGCACATGGCCGGCGCATTCCGCGTCTTTGCTCGGATGGGCTTCACCGAGGGCGCAAGCGGGCACATCAGCGTGAGGGACCCGGTCGACCGGGAGACGTTTTGGATCAACCCGTACGTACGGAGAGACTACGCTCCAAGACAGAGGTGGTGACAAGGACCAGAAAATGAAAAAGATGCTGATGACCTTGTTAGAATGGGCGTCCACTTTGGTCTCCTAACCGCCAGCGACATGGTGCACATTGACGAGCACGGCCAAGTCATCGGCGGCAACCGCACCGCCGTCAACGCCGCCGGCTTCCGCATCCACTCCGCCGTCCACCGAGCCCGGCCGGACGTCGACGCCGCCTGCCACATGCACTCCAAGCACGGCAAGGCCTGGTCCGCCTTTGGCCGGCCTCTCGACATCATCAACCAGGACGCCTGTCGCTTCTGGCGCAACCACGGCGTGCACACGGAATACGGCGGCGTCGCGCTGGCGGACGACGAGGGCGTGCGCATCGCGGCGTCGCTCGGGCCGAGCCACCGCGCCGTCATCCTACAGAACCACGGCCTGCTGACGGCCGGCGGCACCGTGGACGAGGCCGCGTATCTGTACACCCTCATGGAGAGGACGTGTGAGATCCAGCTGCTGGTGGAGGCGGCCGGGCTGGAGAAGAGGCTGATCGGCGACGAGGAGGCGGCCTACACGTACAAGTACGAGGCAGACCCGGTAAGTACTTCCAATGTGTACTTTGCAATATTTCGGTTCGTTTACTGAGATGGGATAGGAAACGCTGTACACAGAGTTTCAGCCCGACTTTCAATACGAAGTGGCCATGGCCAATGGACAACTATACGGGGGCACAGACTTTGGGAAGAGAGAGCCACATTATACAAGATAAATCATAAATGCTAGGGATATCAAGATTAATCTCGTCATCCTAGTAGACATAGACAAAATTTGGGTTCTGTGTGTCCGTCAGGTCCATAAACGCAGTCTCGTTGAGCGCCGCCACCCCCTCGCCGCTCTCCCGCATCGCCGCGCGCAGCTTCTCCTTCTTCCTGTTCTCCCACTTGAACGCGTAGCGCAGGACGAAGAAGAGCAGCAGCTCTATGCAGTTCGCCGCCAGGAGTGAGCCGATGCCCAGCCGGTACGACGGCGCCTGGCTGTCCTTGTAGAAGAAGGGGCTGACGATGTTGCCGATGCACGCGCCGAACCAGATCATGCCCGACACGATCATCTTCTTGGACTGGCCGCCCGTGTTGGACGTGATGAGGGAGAGTGAGATGACGAATGCGGCCTGGTAGGAGCCGGTGAGGTAGCTGTCGAACAAGTCAGCATGGTCACTCCATGGCCAGCCAGGGCGGCACTTACAAGCAGATCAGACGCCCGACGTACGCGTCCCGCGGGGCCAGCAGGAACCCCAAGGCGCCGGCAATGGTCGGCAGCATGAACACGACGCACACGACGGTGCGGCTGTTCGGCGGCATGTACCGGTTCGCCAGCGCGCCGAGGCCGATCCAGACGACCACCAGCGCGCCCTGCGGGATGCCCAGCAGCGCCGTCTGCTTCGTGTCGAATCCCAACCCCCTGATGACGAGCGTGGAAAAGTTGGAGATGCCGCCGTTGGGCACGTTGGCGACCAGCCCGAGCAGCGTGAACAGCCACGTCTTGTAGTCGGCGTAGGCCTCGCGCACCTGCGCCCAGTTGACGCGCCGCTGCTCGATGCCCGTCTGGTTGCGGCGCACGCGCGCGATCATGACCAGCCGCTCCTCGCGCGTGAAGCCGCGGACGGTCCGCGGCGAGCTGGGCAGCGCGAGGAGCAGCGCGACGGCCCAGAGGGAGCAGGCGGCGCCGACGATGATGAACTCGTAGCGCCACGATGCCAGCGTGCCCTTGATCTGGCCAATGCCGTAGCCTACGTCAACCCCCTAGTCAGCAAAAAGACATCCCCGTCCATCGGTCCGGTATGCGAGGGCGAGGGGACAAACACCCACCGATCAGGCCGCCGCCGGCCACGCCGACGCCGTTCCACATGTACCACGCCGAGATGCGCGCCGGCTGCTCCTCGCGCGTGTAGTACATGGAGGTGATGAGCATGAAAGCCGGGTCGGCGATGGCCTCGAACGCGCCGGACAGCACGCGCAGCGCCGCGAGCCCGGCAAAGTCCCGCGCCGCCGCCTGCGCCATCAGCAGCGCGCCCCAGAGGAAGATGTTGGCGGCCAGGTACGTCGCCACGGGGCTGCGCTGCATGATGAGGTTGGACGGGATCGCCCACGCGAGCCAGCCAAAGTAGAAGCAGCTGGACAGCCACGAGTATTCGGTCTTGCCGAGGCCGAGGTCGTCCTTGATGCCGAAGATGGCGGCGTACGATCTGGAAGAGACTGGTCAGCTTCCCAAGGGCTGGATAGTCGGGCTGAAGGGAGGTGCGCAAGCATACAGGGTTGTCTTGTCGACATAATAAAAGAAGTAGCAGATTCCGAGGAGGGGTAGGATGCGCATGTCTAGCTTTCGCACCACACGCCTCTCATCTGCCTTGTCAATCGACTCATCATCGGGATAGCGGGCCAGCGCTTCCATGTAGATGTCAGGCTCGTCCTGGTTGATCTGCTGCTTGACCGCTGGAAGGCCCTCTTCATTGTCCGACCCTCGTCTCTCAAGGTGAGCGACGGGGTCCAGCTTGGTCTCGACACCAGTCATTTCGTCAGTCTTGTGCAAAGAATATGCGAGTGATTGCAGAAGTCCAAGGGCTCCCGTACGCGATGTAATGGCAAGATCGAGACTGGAGTTGTAAGAGAAGAAAGAAACTCAGGTTACTACGTACAAAGGTTATCTATCTCAATGCAGAGCATCAATAGCCGAGAGTCTTGCAGTGGAGATCTATACTCAAAGTGGCATGGGTGGCGATGGGACTCGATTCTGGGGGAGGGGAAACGTGGGGGGGACCCGACGGGTATTCCGGTTCCGCAACGTCTTTATTACCCGGGTTGCTGTTCCTTGACCATATTGCCTTGTTTATTGGTGGAAAAAATATTATTCAAAGACAATCAAAGCGCCATGGGTACTCAGCCTCTGATTTGAGTTTCTGGTTGCTCGATAAGCTTGATAACGTTGTCAATGCCTGCCTCACCGCACCACGACACTCGCTCACAATTACAGCATTCGTCAATGAAATGACAACTAGCGAGAACCTGCAATACACTGCTTCTTTCTGGTCTCCGTGATGAATTTTTATTCTATTCGTTATTGCTCAAATCGCCGTCTACGTGTAAACACGTCCGTCCAATCTCCCAAGTTGCCGCCTCCCAAGTCTTTATCCGGCTGGCGGTGGCTTACAGCCGTGGCGCCATCATCTGGATACCGCCCAAACTGCCGAGAGCGCCCAAGACCTCAATAGCCACTCCTTCTCCAGCCGCCAGCGCGCCCTCCACATGTCCCCTCCAGACACTGCTTGCCGCCGCGCCCGCAAAGTGCACGCCGCCCTCGGCATTCCCTCCGGCCGCCGCCGCCACGTTGAGCGACCGCTGGCCGCCCACCAGCGGGTCCTCGTCCGCCTCGACGACCTGCACGGCGCGCGGGACGTCGCCGCCAAAAATGGCGCCCAGGTGCTGCGCGATGAGCGTCTCGCGCTCCTCCGCCGACATGAGCCACAGCCACATGCCCCGCGCCTGCTCGCCGGACACCTGGCAGGAGAGCGCGTAGAGGCCGGGGCTGTCGATGTCGGTGCGGCAGGACGGGCGCACCTGGGTGATCGGGCCACCGGTCAGGCCCTGCGCGTGGCCGGACAGGCCACGTCGCTGCCACCAGGGATGGTCGAAGAGGACGTCCACGGTGGTGCTGAAGCCCTGCTCGTCTCGCGCGGCTTCCCAGACGGTCGCCGCTGCGATGCCAGGGGTTATCTGGATGGCGCTGCACATGGAGAGGGCACCGGCCAGCACGACCTTGGTGGCGCGGAAGGTGGCGCCAGACTCGGCGTAGAGCGTGCAGCCGTTTGCGCCGTGTTCGATGTGCGTGACTTTCTGGCGCAGTTGGACGGTCCCCGGGCTGAGGCGCTGAGAAAGCGCGGTCGCTATTTGGTTAGAGCCCCCGGTAATTGCAAAGTGGTCGGCGTCGTCGTCGCTCAGGCCGTTGATGGTGTCGAGGACGGCGAGAAGGCCGCCGCAGGAGGCGCAGTGCGACAGGAACTGCGCCACGCTAACGTTGTGAGAGGAGAGGCCAAAGATTGTGCGAGTCCATAAGTTGGCCATCCTTGCAACAACTTCCGTGGCGCCGTACGAGTCGACTAGCTGCTCAACCGTCACATCTGTCGGGGGAGTATCGTTCCTAAGCGAAAGGGTGTCCAGGATGGCCTTGATCTGGAGAAGCGACGCCGCATCTTCCGCATTCAGCTAAGCAATCAGCGATGTTAGTACCCCCTGAAACAACTTGTTTCCAAGTCTTTGTTGCTGTTTCTCACCGCCGGTTGTTCATGGTGGTCGAACGCTGCGAAGCCCTCGAGCACCGCTTTGCCCTGCGCCGGGTGCGGTTCGTCTAGTATGCCGAGCTCTACGGCAAGGGCATAAGTGCGCGGGTGATGCTCGAGATGGAAAGTGCCATTGGTAAAAGCCTGACTGCCAACACGGCCCGACTCCTCGAGGACCAGGCAAAAAGCGCCGGATTGCTGGAGCTTGAGCGCAGCCTGCAGACCACTTACACCGGCGCCGACGATGATCACATCGGCCGCGCGCGGCTGCGTCGCAATGAGGCTGTCTCTGTGCAAAGGCATCATAGGTTCTCTTCTCTTGGTCTTGCAACTTATAATCGGAGAGATAGCAGACAAGAACAACGCAGGATTCCGAGATGTAAAGTGGATTGTCAATTCAAAAACGATCAAGTTGGCCTTTGCTGAGTGCCCAGCATCTATTCTTGTGCGACACGGCAGTTTCCAGCTCAATAGTCTGGCCAATGGTCAACAACGTTATGGCGTTTGGCACTAGGAGTTCGGCGACTTGCCGCCTTATATGTACCACGTCCCAGACGGAACATAGGCAGTGCAAGCCTTTTGGTTCCTTGTGCTTCGGTTCATCCCACGTGTGTTTTAAGCGGAAGCCCGGCAGCAACTGACAATTGGTCAGATTTGGGTGGTGCCAGTCAGAGTAAGCAGCCCGTGTTAGCTCTTACACGAACGAACCCTAGCGGTGGGCTCCAGGTACCGGGCCCATATCACGGCAGATTCCCGCTGAGGGTAGGGACTTTTCTTTTCTTCTTACTGGACAGTGTTTTCTTGTGTCCGGAAATGCCCTATTGGCGAGCGGCGAGCGGCCCAGCTATTGGTCGCCAGTGACGCGACAGCACGTCAGGGAAGTCGGCGTACACCGCATCCCGGAGCCGCACGACTCTAGTTATGTAGACCTCCACCACGGTCCACCAGTGCCTGCAAGCTATTATGTTAGCAATAGAAATCTGTCACTCACTCAACGCTTTTGCAGCTGTGAAGCTATGCCCAACAAGAACGACTTTGCAGCCTCACTTACTAAATACTGCAAAGAACATCTACCGAACGTGGAAGGATTCTGCGACCGGCCGCTGCTCAGGTCTTGAGCAACGTCTTTCGCCACCAGGCCTCTTCCTCAGCCAGGTACTTCCTGACGGAGTCTGGCTTGCTCAGCATGTGGCCCTCATCTGGGATCTCTACAATTTTGACATCACCGCCCTTGTTCTTGACAATGTCGTGGATGATTCTCTCCTGCACAATTGGCACGACAGTGTCGTCTATACCGTGGACAAGGAGCAGCGGGGACTGGATCTTGTCCGCGTGGTACCGTGCGCTGCGCTCCTTGTAGATGCGGTCCTTTTCGTGCTCCGGAGTTCCTTCGGGAAGTAGCAGCGCGCCCGCGTAATCAGACTCCAGCTTGTGCGTGTGGTCGTCGAACTGGACGAGGTCGCTGATGCCGCAGGCGCACACGCCGCCGGCAAACGTGGCTGGATATTGAGTCAACGCCTGCAACGTGTTATAGCCGCCCGCGCTGCCTCCCGTTATGCCGACAGCCCGTGGGCGGACACGGCCCGTCTCGACCAAGTGCGCGGCGAAATCAGCAACATCTTTGGTGTCCGACACGCCCCATCGACCATATAGGTATCGACGGTACGCACTTCCGTAGCCAGTCGACCCAACGTAGTTTATGGCCAGATAGGCATATCCGCGCGAGGTAAAATATTGAGCTCGGAGATTGAGGCCACTGTTGGCCATTCCAGTCGGGCCACCATGCGCGAAGATGATGAGCGGGGGGAGCGCCCCTTCTCTGGCTGTGAACTTGTTGTTGCGTGGCATGAAGAGGAAGCCGTGTGTTTGCCGCGGTTCGCTACGCGACGGTATACTAATGTGTTCCGGGATTGACAATAGATCGGGATGGAAGTCGGTACCCGAGAGTCCAGCGGTGCGGAGCAGCTTAGTCTTTGCGGGACTGTGAATATCAATTCTGAAGAGCGAGTTCGACATCGTAGGCCCCTTTCCGACCACCAGGGCAGAGGACTCGTCGATTCTCGACACACAGTCTGCTCCGAGTGACGATATTCCTTGGTCCTGCGCAACGTGTCTCCAGGTTCCCTGCAGGAGATCAATGGATATCAAGTAGCATGCGCCGTTAGCGACCGCCGTAGCGAGCAGATGCCGACTAGACAACGCCACATATGTCCGGCTGGAGGAGTCAGCAAAGACTACTCAAGTCTACGAGTCTTAAAGGGTCACAAACCTGGCTTCAAATAGAGACGATTCACCAAGATCAAATCTGGTCAATCCTAGAAGAGCGATATGGACAGGCTTGCCACCTTCGGGCGCGACTCTGAAGAGTTGCCGGTGGCCACCGGTCTCTTGCGAAAAGTACAGCGCGCCATCAGGACCCCAATGAGGCTCACACACGCCGTCAGAGTTTCCTCCCGCAACAAGAGTCCTGCTTTTAACGGTGGCGTTATCACGATCCCAGTCAGCGCTGTACAGCTTGGCCGCATCGAAGAGCATCTCGGGATGGTTCCACTCCAACCAGACAAGCCGCGTGCCATTGTTATTGAATCGAGGTTGAAAGTAGAAATCGGCGCCCGAAACGACGCGCTTCACGCTTCCTGTCTCGATATTGATGGCGGCAATGTGATTCTCAATACCATACGGGGTATTGTGAGTGTGGTCCTCCTGGATGGCCAGTACCCACGGCGAGTTCTTGTCCGCCGAGAAGGAGCCATAGCGCAGGATGGGGGAATTCCGAACGACAGTCTTGACTTCCGATGAACTTGGATCAAGAATTCTGACAGTGTTGTCCTGGTTGGAAAAAATGAGACGCCCGTCTGGCAGCATCTGAAGCGACTGGACACCGTACTCATAGACAGAGTTACCCACGCTGCATTCCGTTGGCAAGACGTCCACGGCGCCACGGGCAGTCATTTGCATAATAGCAGTCCTGCCAGTTCCGTCGCCCTCGACGAAGAAGATTTTGTCAGTTTTGCTCTATAGCATGTTAGTTGCATCGATCCAGATACTCAGCCAGAACAACAACAAGGCTTACACAAACGCGGGGTGCGGTTAGGCTTCGCGCTCCAGAGGCGACCGACTCAATGGAGATGGGGGATTCCCATTCTCCGTGGGGGACGACTTTCTTGATAGTCATGATGCAAGAAACGATTGGATGAATAGATATGAGGTTGGCTCCGTGAGAGGATGTCGTAGGCAAACCGATCCGTTTGAAGCACAGATGCGGGGAATGTAGCGATGTACATACTGTACATAGATTGATTGATGGGTGGAGCGCCAGATCTGACTACTACGATGCCTGGCCAACTAGTTACCACATTCATTACCGCCACAGTCGAGGTAGTTGTAGGCACTTTATGTATATATTTGATAATTTTGATCTATTCTTGACTATCAGAATCAAAACTCTCCCGAATAAATCATTCGGTGAGCTCCTTGAGACCTTCCCCAGCCGCTTGGCATTTATTCAGCTCCTCTTCGCGCACCGAAGCTAACCTGCGCGGAAACCTCGTCTTTGCAGTCATCATGTTGGTTCGCCTCTTCATAAAAGGTGTGCTCCAGCTGGATTCGAACCAGCGGCCTTCCCGAAAGACGGCCTGCCACAGCGTGTAACCACGACGCCTCGGGAGTTGAAGAGTGGTGATGAAGCTCCCTGTTAGTCCCCTCCCCCCCCCTCCCCATCGTCCACCACACCGACCTGTTATCGCTGGTTAGAGTTTTATTCTTGAAGAATAACTTACTTGTCGCTAATGGAGGGGCATTGCTTGAGGAGAGTCTCGCCGAATTGGAGCATTTTCGCATCATGCTTAATGGGCTGCTGGGAGGTAGATGAGACTGTAGATGCGCCAGCCCGCTTTGTCCAGGGGGTAGCCACGCTTCTTCGCGCCTGGCGTGTTGAGGTCGTTTTCAGTTATGACACGGCCTTTCTTCTGTGACTCGCCAGGCGCCGTTTTGCGCTCGACTTCGAGATTATCATCGTCGCCCTCTTCGGAGGGGAATATTCCCGGTGTAGAAGTCATTCTGGGGGAGCCAGTGGCAGCTAAACCCAAGACGTTTCTCACAACACATTTTGCATCGCTGACTTCGGTGATCTCGCCAGGGCAAAGACCAAACAAGGCGTCGTCGAATAGCTTGTGCAATGACGTTCGCGGGATCTCTCGGGAATTTCAAGAGATCTGAAGGCCGCTCGATGTCATCCGGGGGTGTTGAGGGACCTGGGCTGCTTTTGGAGGATTCGACCCGCGACAGAACACTCATACGTCCACTGCTTTTTGGCCAGGCACTACTGGGGCAGCGCCACTTACGCTGCTCTCCTCCGATGAGTCCTGGCGATGATGACCAGGAATGCCGGTTGTAGTGGCATGAGCGACAGCAGGGCGGGAAGGGAGGTTCACCCTGTCGTGGAGCCAGCCTTCCATTCCCAAGGAAGCAGCAAAGCATTCAACTACAACTCCATCATGTACGCAGCATTGTTTCTAATGCCTGACGGCCTTCCAGACACACTGGGTACCTAGAGGCTTCGTCAGTAGCAGAGATTGTCTACGAAAATCTTCCTTCTTTGTTCTTAGGATCTAGAGGGGCTTGTTGCACTACTTAGCAAAAATATGGTGAAGCGTCGAAGGCGACTGCGCCAGTTCCCGCAATGACACGTACTGCGAGTTGATTTGAATAGGTCGCATACCAATGAGTGCCAGCTTCGGGGATGCCGTATAGTGGCTTGTTGACCACAATGATTGTGCCTTCTGGATATTCATTCTTAATCGCATTTGGGCGGAAAAGATGTTGATATATTTTCAGACATCGCATCACGTGCATACTGGTCTGTTTGACTTTCTGCTATTCACTTTCTGCTCGTTAGTTAATACAGACGTGTTTGCTTTCTTTTCACAACCCCAGCAAACCAGTCGCCAGTGACAAACATGAAGTCAGATCCAGATATTTACTCATTTACGTTTCCATTAACTTACATGTGACCTAGTCACTGGGCTATGATTCACTTTAACAATGAAATTCTCCCCCAGTAAACAGCCCTCTTGTCCACGCTCGTCAGCATTAACTTCACCACAACGTCCAACGCAGCTTGGCAGCCTGCACGCAGCAGCAAATACGCGTCAATGACACCAAGAAATATTACTCCGTCGGCTTCAAAGCAAAGTCGCCACGCATTTGATTCACACATTCAACACGTGCAGGTTGATTTGCCTCCCGGTGGGTTGGTCCGTTTACCGTGTCGCAAACGCTGATACCGCTACTGGAGCGCGTTCCCCCAGACAGGCAAGCCATACTTGCGGTGTGTCTTTATCGAGCATCATTTTGGACTTCCACGAGTCAGGCAGCATAATTGCTGCCACGAGGCCTCTGGTCCCTCCCCCATTTCCCTTTTTGGTACTGCGCACATCAGGGGGCGTGGACCTGACTGACTCTTGCGTCGATCTCTGCAACGTCGCCGATGCCAGCAGCCGAAGTAGATGCCAGTGGCTATGCTTGCTTTAATAGGGCTATGAGACGCTCCGCATAATACACCCCACCCAGATCGCTATCAACTACTCCCAGATACCAAAATACTCCTCGTGGCTGATGTGGAACTCGGTGCCATGGTAGAGGGTTGCTTGGAACGGAACGAGCACGCCCAAAGGGACTTTTGCCAAACACCAAGGCTGCTCAGGTCAAGTTTGGGCTATTTCGGCTCAGCTTACCTGAAGCAGCCCTTTCATATACTTGAATCGGCCGGAAGGCCGTTTCGTGCGGCATCACCGGCAAGTTTCACCAGTCGTATGAGGCGCAAAAAGAAAAAGAAAATTATTTCCAGACAAAAAATTTTATTTAATTTTCAATTATCAGTACTAGGCAATAGTATGAGAGCTTAATACCAGCAGCTTCCAAAAAAAGAAAGAAATCAATGCTAAAATCGCACTAGCAATACACGTTTTCCACTCCGAGATCCTTGTCCCGCTTACTTGCCCTCGGCCTGATCACCATCCTTCACAGGATTTGCGTGTTGCAAATCTTCTAGGCTTGAATCTTCTTGTTTCAAAGGCCAAAGGCCAAGGGAGCGGAGGATCGTTTCATAACATTCAACACAAGACAATACGAGTTGCGCTGCTTATGCGGTGAACTCGATAGCGCGGCGCTTGTCGTTGTTGTCGTTGTTGTTCTGGCCGCGTCCGTTGTCGCGTCCGTTGCCGCGGCCGTTGCCGGTCTGCTGCTGGGCGTTGCCGGCGGCGGGGGTGCCGCCGACGAGGCCGTTAGCGTTGCCGGTAGCAGGGACAGCGGCGTTCGGGTTGCCAGCAGCAGGGTTGCCGACGATGGCGTTGTTGCCACCAGCACCAGTGCCAGCAGCGGGAGCAGCAGCACCAGCACCGGTGCCAGCAGCGGGAGCAGCACCACCAGCACCGGTTCCAGCAGCGGGAGCAGCAGCACCAGCACCGGTTCCAGCAGCGGGAGCAGCAGCACCCGCACCGGTGCCAGCAGCGGGAACGGCACCAGCACCGGTTCCAGCAGCGGGAACGGCACCATTACCGGCAGCGGGAGCAGCACCAGGGGCGGCGCCGCCGGCCGCGGCCATCTGGACGGGGACGACGCCGCCAAAGGGGCCGGCGTTGGCCGGGTTCTGGCAACGCACCAGGCAGACGTTGTTCTCGCCAGCCACGGTGCCCGAGCACTGCTGGTTGGCCGGGATGGCCGCCACCAGGGGGTGGTCGCTCGCGTTGCCGTCGTTGTTGCGGCCGCGCTGGTTGCCCGCCACGTTCTGGGTAACCTGGATGTTGTCCCAGGTGGTGCCGGAGCCGTCGGCGTTGATCATGCAGGTGTAGGGGCCGGCGCCGTCGGCGTTGACCTGGTGAAGGGTCATGGTGAGGGCGCCGCCGGGGGTCACCTGGGGCAGCGAGTCGCCTGTCTCCGCCATGATCTTGGAGGTGCCGGCCTCGAGCTGGTTGGCGCCCTGGCCGACGGTCTCGCCAAAGGTCTGCGCGGAGGCTCCACGGAAACGCGTGGCGTCCTGCTGGAAGGGGTTGCGCCGGGTGCCGTCGCGAGGAGTGGTGGACTCGATGCCAAGAGCCATGCCGCTGCCGCCGGCGTTGCCTACGGCATTGGTGATGGCGGCGTGGCCGGAGACGAGCTGGGCGGCCATAAGCACGGAGGCGGCGATGATGGACTTGACGGGAGCCATTGTGTGTGAGTTTTGTTTCTTTGGGGGGTGGAAGAAGAGAGCGAAGAGAGAGTGGTGTAAGGATTGTCTTTTGATATTAAGTGATGTAGTGTAAAAGACCTGGCCAGCAGGAGAGAAGATGTGAAGAGAAGAGGAGCTGCTGGTTGTGAAGTTGTGGAAGTAATGATGAGGATAGAGAAGATTCGAGCAGATTAACCGGAGGAAGTGACCGGATTTATAGATCATGTCATCAATCTCGGGCCCGTCATTCTGTTGCCCAGCCTCCTCGCAGTGGTGAATAGGGGTCACTGGGCCGCAGCAGAAGAGACCAATGAAACGCGAAACAGGTTCAAACATGGAAAGGTTCAGAAGTCTTCTCAATCTGCTAGGTAATCCCTACGACATGTCTACGTCTCGGGACTTACACGGAGTCGCGACTCGTCCAAACGCGGATGCTCAGCATCTTCACCGACGGAGGCTATGCTCGGCCAACCGCGGCCGTCGCTTGCGGGTCCTGGTCGGTATACCGATAGCTTGGCATGGAGGCAGCCGTGAGGGGCCATAGGGGGCTGCATGCCTGGGGTCAGTCAGAAGGTCCAGGACGATGCGAAGGGGAGAGGAGGGGGGATGTGTCACCTGTTCCTTCATGGAGAAAAGTTGGTGAACATGAGCAGCGGCAAGGGTATGTGCGGAAACGCGACTGAGAAACCTGGGCAAGGGTTGTCTCGCGTACTGCCAAACTTGCTAGGGAATCATGTGCTCTGATTGGTCCAGGGCCGGTGACGGTATATCGATGCTTCTAAAACGATATAGGGAAGCCCAAAAAGGGACAGCGGACTGCCTCACGATGGAGAGGGTGGAATTGGCGACAGGGACAGTTTCAAGGGACGAGGCCGCTACCGTTGGCCACTGGCTCCAGTAGACCGCAGTGGGTAGAGAGAAGACAGAAACGGGCCTTAATAGATCGAGGGATGAAAATAGCACTTTGAATGTTAATATTGTCGTTGACCAAAGGTTGTCAGCTGTGAGGTCGTGCTCGATGTGAAGGTCATTAACTCCGCGATTGCTTGTTGACAGCGGGCCAGAGCGCCTCGCGGAGATACACGGCCTACGCACAGGCGCTGGCGTCCACATAATCTGATCATCTTGCTCTATTTCGAGCACGGCCACAATAGTTACGGTCACAATATCCGAGCTTTTTTTCTTTTTTTTTTCACTTCTCTCTTCTTCGGGGGCTAAAAGGGACAGTGTTTTGGACAAGAAACCTGCAGCGCGCCGGCTACCACCCTCCACCCCATGTCCAGGGCCGTGCTCAGCGTGTCAAGTTCTCAAGTCTGATACGCACCAAAATATTTTGAGGTGCCAAGTCTACAACCCCAGGTCCTAGCCCGCTAAAAATGAATAGAACCAAAATCAAGATAATCTATAGCACTACAGGAAATCGTTCTACAGGGCTGGAAAACAGCCGTCTTGGCTCCGGTTGGAGCAAAGGATGGACGCGCTACAAACATGGCTGAAAGTGCAACATCAACGCCACAGCTATTCAGCCCATCTACAAACATCTATACGATAGAGACAAGCGCGGTCGTCTACGTGCCGTCCAGCACAGGCGTTGGACTCGCCGCCCTACTGCCACGCCAGAGGCCAGATTCGGCGGCGATGGTATCCGCCAAGCCGCAAGGCAATAAAATAAATTCCGGAAATTGTGCGGGTTCCCGCAGAACTCTTGGCAAGTAGCACATGTGGTCGTGATCCTAGCTGCGGTAAGATATGCGAGGTTTCGGCAGGGCAGATTTCGCAGGACGGGGAGGGGAACACATCATAATGGGCGATTTCCGAGCGACAAAACGGCCCAGTAACCGTAAACGACAGGGTGGGTGTGTCCCGTTTCGCATCCCCCTAGGTGAGGCATGAAGAAACTCCAGGTGTGGTTTTATGAGACATCGCCAAGGGAGGAGGCTGTGTCAAAGGCATGAAGTGTGAAGAGCAGCTGCAGGATCGACGGGTCGTGTTTAGGATCGCCTTTTCGTCGCGCGGAAATGCTGAATCGGATTTACTCTGGGGGGGCGCAGCAATGCGAGAAACGACCAGGGAGGAATGCCGCAGTGAGGTTTCTCGGGTCGTCGAGATCCGAGCTTGGCCGTTGCCTGAAGAACCGTCCTTCTTCTTCTTCTTCATCACGGACAGTTTGATACGCTGCCGCTTGGCGTTTACTGGTCGCCCGTTTGTCCTTCTCAGGCTGGTTTCATCGTCTTTCTCTTCCTCTTCTCTCCCCTTCGGCCAACCCAACCAAACACATGCCCCCCCAACGGCTTCAAACGAGCTACAACTCTCGGCCGCCGTTGTGCTCGGCAATGGGAGGAGTCGCATATGCCAGCGTATCGCGATTTTCAAAACATGCAACGATGTTGATGCTGCCAGATTCAACACAGGTGGGAACGCATGACATGAGGAAGCAAAGAGCAAGGTAGTAGAGGGGATGGAAATAGTACGTTACCTGGACAGCTAGTTGACATGAGTAGAGAAAATTCATACACAAGAAAACTCAAACACAATGATATAAATCACACATAGCCAAGTGCTGCGCATTCACAACCTATATTTAGCAGTCGTGCGGGACATCGACCCGCGTGATAAAAATGGGCGGCTGCGCGTGGTGCACATGACCCGACACCACCCAACCCATGTTTTTCGCGTTCAGTTGCCCAGGTCATGTTGCCCTAGGCGAAAGACAATGCGTGCAAAACAAGAATCGAATTTCGACTTACCAAGTAATGTGAGCTTTGTTCGTTCATACCAAGTGCATCTAAACATAGTCATTGGTTAGCGGCTCACACCCAGCTTGGAAATGCATGACGTAAACACCATGTCAGCGAAATCAAGCAGACAAGAGCACACTTGAAAGGCATCGTTTGCAAATCATTCGTCATAAGATACAAGTATGTACAGGTATAATCACATATATACAGCACCCTTATCCCCTCATGCTAGTCAAGTCCCATCGTGCCTTTGGGCCGCCTTCGGGCAGCCTCGGCCGGGGCTTTTTGTATTCTGGAGAAGACCTCTTCAGGAGTCCTCCTACTATTGGCACGCGACACTGTCGCAGAGGTTCGGTTTCTGATATATGATTTGGGCGGCTGCGATCGCCGTGTGCATAAGGCTCTGATAACAGTAGCCTTGCAGGGATGCTCGAGATAGTTGGTGGCTTCTGACAACGGTTTAGGTGTTGCTGTTTCAGAATCCAGGGTATCATAGGTAAGGTCATCATCGAGTTCGTATTGGATAGGAAGGTTGTAAATGTCCCAATCTTCGTCATCTTGTGGCGTCATGGGCAGAGATTTGGAGTCGTGATAATGATCCGATGGATCAACAGACGAGATGGTCTCGACAGAGTCGCCAGCCGACGTGACGGTTTCACCACTATCAGACTGCGATGTAGTATCATCGTCATCCTTCGACAAGTCTCGAAGAAACCCTGAAATTCTTCCAGATTCGGAAGCAGAGAAAGATGCTGATCGAGACGATCGGCCAGTGGAAGGATAACTGGCATCGTCCGAGTATTCTGAAGGAGTGCTCGCTGAGTGCGGCGGAGAGGGAGGGCCGTGCGCATCCATGGGACAAGGATCAACCATCATGACGGGACCATTGGGGAAGAAGTCATCATGGTCGAGAAACTGTGACATATCCTCGATTTCAGTGAGTTTGGTGCCAGTTGTACAAGCAGAGTCGCTTTCGAAAGCCACAGTCTCCGAGACTGGCGATGGGCATTGCTTCTCATCGACCAGCTCCTCGGGAATGTAGCTCGCAAAGTAACGAACGATGGAGTCATATGATTTGGTTCGGAAGAGCTGGACCGCGTGCTGCCACTGATCGGTACCCATCAACTTGGGATTTGCGATAATTTCAACGGCGAGCGACTCAAGGCAGTCATTCATCTCCTTGGTACGCTGACCCTTGCGCTCAGCCATCAGTTGATGGAACTCCTCGGCAGTATCGGCTTGGTGGGAGAGCTCAAAGACATCGTGGTGGAAGGCCTCGGGGTCTTGGAGGGAGAAGGAGACGGTATTATATTGGTCGTGTAAGGAAGTGAAGAGGTCGCCTCTTTTCATGTTGAACTTCCAGGCGGGCCATGCCCAGCCCGGTTCGTCCATTGTCGGTCGGAGAACAAGGGATGTTGATTTGTTATGGTGAGAATATCGAAGAAGAAAAGACGTGTCTAGATGTGCAAGCCCGGAATCATTTGGTGGACAGGGCTCATCTAGAGCGAAGCAGCAGTACTGAAAGTCATTGCGGTGGTATTCTGAGTCGGGGAAGAGCGAAAGGCGTGGAAATCGCGGGCTCGAATTCGATCAGTATGCAGTTCTTCTGGTTTGACAGGCTCAAGATTCCGACACGACGACAAAGCCAGAGGTTGTGGGGGGCGCGTTGACTACCCTCTGTGACGGGAAGTTGAGGGAGGCCAGGAGGTCGGCGCGCTGCTGCCTGAGGCAAAGAGCGGTGAATGTTTTGATTGGGTAGCGTGTCTGACAAGTGGCACAGAAAGGTCCACAACTAGGAGACATTACCTCGCACTAATCTGTTTTCGGCCATGCTCACTTGGCCGGCTTGCATTAGCGCGGGTTCGCAAGCAATCTTTTGCTTGGGCTACTCTTCATAGAGCTTAGCGCTGGCATGCGAGGGCTCAGCTTTTGATGCGGGTGGACTCTGGGCCTTAAAATAGCCAATGAGAGAGTGCAACTACCTCGGAGTGGCGTTTTTCTCGCTCGTGCCCGAATTTGAGTCGGGCCCCAGCCGGGCCCAGCCTATCGCAAGGCGCCTGTGGCTGGTGTTTTGAGATGTGGCTGATAGACTTATGTACGGCGCAGCCATTCTTGAGCCAGGTAACCAGGGGGCGCAACCAATCGTCACGGTTGGACTTTGCAGTGCTTGCTGATGCTGAGCATTTTCACAAGTTTCCGCCAGTCATGGTGAGAGGTTGAGAGCGGTCCGCCTTGCCCTCCGTGGACTCGGAGAAGCAGTTCTTTGGAAGCCGCACTTTATTCATATCGAGACGAAATGTTGGAGGGACGCCAATGTGTGTTATGCTCATTGTAATCAGCAGTCGGTTCACCGTGCAAGACTGAAGCAGGCCGCGTGGATGAGTGAAGGCTTTTTGGTGAAAGGAATCCCAAATCCAGGTCAACTGGAATGATTGTTTTACGCTATAGCTGTTCGAAGCCCGTCGTAAGACGTCACGGACAGTTGCTCATGGCGGAGTGACAGGACGAGGTCGTAACGGCGCGTTGTGGAAAAGACGTCGTTGAAATAGTCGAACAGATCGCCAGTTCTGCTGAACCACGTGAGTGGCGCTCAGGGCTCAGTCACTGGACCGTTGTCGGATCACGAACCGTCACGGCATTATCAGCTGCGAGGGCAATGACGGCGATGTATCCTTGAAACAGCGTTATGCGCGTCATTGTTCGATTCGCGATGCAATGCAGATTCCACGAGGATTTGGAGAATGAGGAAGTGAAAGATGGAAACTGGTAACGGGACCGAGAGAGAAGGAGGCAAGTTGGGCGAAATGCATAGCCACACTGGGCTGCCTCGAGGCAGACAGGCACGGGGACACTAGAAGGTAACATTCAGATAATGGCACAGTGCAGTGTACAGTGTCAAAATGGGAGAACAAGGCTGAGTGCTCCTGCCAGTTGAGAGAAACGTACAGTGCGGTAATGGCACACATTCTGTCTTTAGCACAATTGTGAGCAGACGCTAAAATAGGTTCCAACGTATTCCATGGACAGATATTACGTGGTTCCCCGTGGAAGAGACAGAGATTAAAAGTGAATATGTTGCTGGGTATGTCTTTGTATAAGGATTGTCTTTCTTCACGATAGCAAGGCTTCTTTGTTCCAGCTTCGCGCATCTACGGTATCTCACTGACACGGGCTGTGCCGTCGCTAACAGGAAAAAGAAGGGTCTATAAACCCACTCCACTTCAGCCACAGGCGACTGCCGCCCGCTGGTAGCATCCGTCCACAGGGCCCTCCAGGCTTTCAATCCGTTCTTTTAGCAGCCGCTGTGCTCACTGGCTCACCACCGGTGGTGACTCGATCCAACGTGAACCTGAGGCTTCTATCAGCTGGCCGCCACTCACTTGCTCTCTTTGCGCGCCTGACGCTGGCGTCCTCACCGTGACCTCTGAGTTGTTCCTGCATTTATTCTACCCTCGGCCATTTCGATTTTGCATCTTTCTGTCCTGCATTCTTCTTTTGGACATTTTATCTGCGAATTGTACATTGCCAACACATCAACATTGCATAATCCCTCCCGACCACCACACTATCACAGCCACAGCCTGGCCCGTCGCTCCCGTCCCCCCCGTCACCCCGCCGCCCACCAGTCATCGACGGACCCTGCCTTCCAGTGCTCTCTCTGCCTCTGGCCTGCCTGCAGTCAGCAACAGCCTGCCAGTAGCCTGTGGGCGGCCACCACCACCACCCCCATCTCTGCCAGCCTGAGGCGCCACACCATGCACCTGCGTCAGGCATCACTTTCGCTTCAGAGATTATTCAGAACAATCACCATGGCCGATCCCAAACCGTCGCCTCGGGAGGAGGCGACGGAGGAGAGGACTGAGCCGTTTTCGCAGTCTGAGCTTGACGCCCGTATCCGTGCCGTCGACGTCAGTGCCTCCGGGCCCAGCCCCGACCAAGAGCATGTCCCGCTCGACGTCCTCTTGCTCGAGGACCATCACCACAGACAAAACATCCGTCTCTTGGTTCGCCCCTTTGCTGAGCTTCCCAGCCTTCCCGCAGCACCTTCAAGCGGTAACTGCCGCTGGCTCGCCCTCCGCGCCGAGATTGCCTCCTCGGACCAGCCCTCGCACAAGGTCTTGGCCGTACAACAGACCGCCCGCGACATCAAGTTCTCAGTACGGGTACCTGCAAGCGTTATCGATCCTGCCGACACCCTCATTTGCCCTTCGCTCTGGTGTGAGCTCTACTTCGATCCTGCCAGCGATAAGCTCATCCTCGTCAACCGCTCCGAGGTCCCCATTGCCCTCGTCCGTCTCTCCCAGACGGCCCCCGCCAGCCCGTCTTTGAACGACTACCCCATCGTCTACCCGCACGTTACCAAGTCGTTAGAACCTGGCACCTGGCGCATCAAGGTCTGCGAAACTGCTGTTTTGGATTTTAGGATTCTAGAGAAGCGCCCGGTCATTCTCTATGAGCAACCGCCTCTGAGTCACAGCCAAAGCACCTTCTCTCGTGGCAGCTCGCTAGTCTCCACTAGCGGCAAGCGTGCCCTGACTCCCGATGATGAAGATGAAGGTGACAAGCGCGTCAAGCGTCGGGTATCCCAAGTCGAAGGCCGAGCGGCAGACGGTCTTGTCATGTTTCTAAATCCCTCGGCAGATCCCCTGGTCTTTTCGTTACCAAATGGTGCCAAAAAGGCGGGCAAGGAGCTGGCGGCTGGCAACAACACCAATGCCCTCCTCGACGCTGAACAGGGCGACACAGTCTACATGACAGGCATATGTGAGCTCGATGAGTATCAGCTCATCAAGCAGGAGCCCATAGCCTCCACCGCCCAGTCCGCCGTCTTTGTGGGTCGCCATTCCAAGCGGCCTGACAATATCGTCACCGTCAAGGTGCTCAAGACAGTCGTGAGCGGTTCGGATAAGCCAAACGTACATGAGCGCAATGTTATTCGCCAAGCCGACATGTGGCAGCGCGAGTACCAGACGCAGGAGAACTTGCAACACCACTCCATCGTGCGCTACTACGGAGGCGACGCCCGCTTCCTCTCACTGTACATGGAGCACGTTGATGCGAAGGATCTGACTGTTCAAAACCGTTGGAGAAGCAAGCAAGACGACCACTTTACCGGATCCCGAGAAGACGCAACCCGCATCTTACGAGACATCTCTAGCGCGCTCAGCTACATTCATGGGCGCCAGCTTGTTCATAACGACATCAAGCCGGCCAACGTCCTGTACTCCCTGGAGCGCGGCGCCGTCCTGTGCGACTTTGGCATGTCGACCGCCACGGCCAGCCCGCCTAGCGGCGGCGGCACACCTTACTACATCCCTCCCGAGTTTATCGGGCGCAAACTTCGCGGGCCGGCCGCCGACGTATGGGCCATGGGTGTTACCATGCTGTACCTGTTGCGGAAGCTTCCGCTGCCCGAGAGTCGCGCCAGACCACAGAGCGGCAAACCGCTCTACTGGCTGATAGCCGGAGTTAATAACCCGCAGGCCTTGCAGAAATATGGCAACGGCCAACCTGCCATCCTGCAGATGCGCGCCTGGCTGACAGAGGTGCACGATGCCGCGCAGAAGCTCGACAAGGACGACCGCCTCGAGCGCATCGTCAGGGAAATGCTCACTCCAAATCCCACTCAGCGCATCACGATGCCTTCAATCCTGGAGCAGCTCACTTCGGGCTTGTAGTGAATCTCAAATTGCGAACTGCAATGCCGAGGCTGGTACAAAGCCGGCACATACATCCATAACAGTTACGATGAGACGCAATCGGTTGTTCGGCGTTATTTTGGATAGAGTATTGTTTGCATCTGTATATTTACATGTACGGTTGTTTGATATAGTGTATTTATGGGGGTTCGTTGGAATTACATACCAAGCACATGTTCTTTTTTGCAATTCATATTATTCATATTATTCTTAATTCTAAACTTTGAGAATCGCCAAGGCTCTTTATCGTGCTGCGCTACATGTTCACTTTACCCATTTACCTCGTCCTGTTCCTCATATTACAGTCGTGTTCATTTCCGCGCTTCAGCCTTTGTGGAAGACGACGCCAACGGCATCGCTCCCTCTTCTCTCTTGCTCTTTGCGCGTCAGCATCTGTCCCTTAATCTCGTGAATAGTTTACAGGCTCGATCCTAGGGCAAAGAGGGCCGCCGCGCCGACCACCGTCGCGAGCACGCCGCCATTCACCCCGACGGCGGCAGCAGCGCCCGATTTTCCGGAGCCCGTCTGCGTGGCCGTGGCGCCGGCGCCGCTCGTCGTCGCGCTGGCGTTCTGGGGCTTGACCTCGGTGAGGGTGACGCCCTTGCTGGCGCAGGTCGCGTTGCTCTTCTTGGCGTCCTTGGAGAAGCGGACGTCGGCGCAGTTGTAGAGGGCGGAGCCGCTAGCACCCGAGGTGACGACCTGGACGGTGGCGCGGGTGCCGTCGGCGATGCCGGCGGGGACGGCGAGGCGGTCGACGCAGAGGGTGCCGCGGCCGGTGGTGTTCCAGAGGTCCGGGGTGAGGGTCAGGTTGAAGTTGGTGGTGTTGGCGCCGAGGCCGAGGTTGACGAAGACGTAGGTCCAGGGGTGGTGCAGGTCCAGCTCGAGGGGCCCGCCGTCGAGGGGCCACTCGGTGACGTTGCCGGCGCCGTACGGGACGCCGGCGCCTTGGACGCGTTAGCGGGAGAGTTGTTTGCTTCGAGCAGGAATGAGAGCTTACATGGGTAGGTCCACTGGCTGTACTTGGCGTCATTCCCAGCGGCGAGGGTGTCGGCGCGCCATTGAGGCTGGGTCAGGCCAAAGTGCGCGGTGACGGCCTGGGAGGCGGCGAGGAGGAGGGCAATCTTGGGCAGCATTGTGAGAGATGGTGAGTGTGGTCAATGGGTAAAGCAACCTGTCGAGCTTGAAAGCGGGAAAAGAGATGAGACAAGAGGTGGAATGGGAAAACGGGACGGGCGGTGGTGGTGGACTGCGAGCACTATATACACGCGTTGAAAACTAGCGCACGGCGTACAATCCTCTCTCTTTCTTTGCCCGCTTTCCTAATCCAGCTCAGATGATATCATGTCATAGCATCACGCACACAGCAAATTGGTACCGCCGTTGCCGCATTGCGCATATATTGCAGCGATGCCGGGGGTATGTGCACTGTGGCGTCCACTAGCGGAGGGCAAGCCTCCAAATGTTGATTGAATCCCAGCGGCTAGTTGGGGTAACCTGAGAGAATTATGGGTGCATTTTTTTTTTGTGAAAGGCCAGCTGCCCGGGATCTTTGAAACGTCGGTACGTGAAAGTTTAAGTACCTTCCGGAGGTGGTGGGGCCGGTACACGGCCCATGTCCCCGTCTAGCTAGGCCTTACCAGTATGATGCAGACAAACAAGACTGACTGACAGGAAAACGATCCTTTGTTTCCAGGCAAGTCTTGTCTTGGCTGGCCCTTTCAGTCACCGGTCTCGCTCCTTTTCCACCTTGCTGTTCCTGTTCATCCGTTATGCCGCAATCTGCAGGGCTGAGAAGGGATTGGTACAGACAGGCACTATTTGCGTCAGTTCTAGAGCGGCTGGCCGTGGGGCGCGGGGCTTGCACCTACGGAAAACTTGCTCAAATGCACGCAGTCAATCTTGTATTCAAGCTTCTTTTCCGTCAAATGGGTGGTTGGTATGCTCAAGTCCGTGTGCGAATATTTAACGTATCACATTATTGTTTTAAGTGAGGCTGGTAGCTCCTAAAACCTTGGTCCTCTCGAATGTGCGTCGTGCGATTCAAGCCACACATGGCTTTCGCGATGCGCACCAATGCCACCACAAATCATTCCGGAAAATGAAAAATCGTGCAGTTTGATTTCTAGGTGGTGAATCTGTACTCTGTAAATTCTGCAACCTTAAGAGGACTGACTATACGCAATCATGACGCCCAATTTCATGCTTCACAATAATGCGTAGACTAGTTACCCTAGACCCCTCATGAGCCTCACCAGCCATTTCTCAGGTAGCAGCGCCTAACAAGAGTATGTGAAACAAAAAAAATATGCACAGGCTTGCCCCAATTCAACACGCACAGTTGTAGAGCCCGTTTTCAAGAAGGACTCTGCATTTTCCATCTGTCTATAGGTAATCGACCCTCTATAGAGCTTACAATATCTAGTTACCTTTACAGCTTCTCCAGACGCCCTTCCTTAGGCTGCTCATCCTCATCCAGGACCTCCTCCCGCAGACGTACCTCGACGCCCGTCGGCCCGTTCTTGCCAAACTTCGTCAGTACCACGTGCTCAAAGTCGCCCTCGCGCCCCTGCCCCTCGAGCTCCGGCCCCGTGTACGCCAGCGACAGCACCGCGCGACGATCCGCGCGCAGGTACATCGGCACCGGGCTGATCACCTTGTCGCCCCAGGACACCTGCGCCGACGCGTGCGCGCGGCCGAGCGCCGTCGTCGCCGTCGGCACCTCCTTGACGAAGCGCAGCAGCCGCCGCCGCTCCCGCATGAAGCGCCCGGACTCCTCCTCGAGCGCGCCGGGCCGCCCCCCGCCGACGTACCGCCCGCGAACAGCGCCGCCGTGTGCTCCACGCCCCCGTCGGGCGTCGGGATCACCGTCCGCGCCGGCACGTCGCGGCGTGTCAGCGGCAGCAGGTACAGGTACATCTGCGTCGTGAAGCGCTTCGGCACGGTCACGGGCGTCAGCCAGCGCGTGTACGGGATGAGGGACTCTGCGCTCGCATTGTTAGCAATCCACGAGCTGAAACAAGGGGGGGGGGGGGGGGAGCCAGTCGCCGAACTTGACCTCGCGGGCGTGGATGCGCTTGCGCGCCGCCTCGCGCTCCGCCTCCGGGAGTTGCACCAGCTTGCCATCGTCGCGCTTGGCCAGCAGCACGCCCGACTCCTCAAAGGTCTCGCGCACCGCGCACATGCGGTACGCCGGGCCGTCGCGGTGCCGCGCCGGGTCCCCCTCGGGCGGCACCTCGCCGTCGTGGAACGGGTCCACGTTGCCCCCGGGGAACACGTGCGCCGACGCGAACGATGTCGACGTCTTGACGCGGTGCAGCAGCAGCACCTCGTTGGACGACGACAGCAGCACGACCGACGCGCTGGGCCGCGCCGGCGGGAGGGCGGATTCGCCGTCGTCCTTGGTCATCGCGCGAGGCTTAGAGGAGGCTGTTGCCGGTGCGTGGGAAGCGGTAGCTGAGCTGGAGAATGGCCGTCGTCGTGTCTGACGAGGGCGCGGTGATGAGTTGGGGCACGCGTGGTGGTGGATGGATACAGCTGGAAAGGCTAGGTTTGTTGTGGCAAGAATGGTACTGGCGACTCTGGGCGTGTTAATTGGCCATCTTCGTCTTGCGACCTTGTATAAATGTGAATTCATTAGGAGAAATTGTCGCCGGATCGGCTATCACACGTATAACCGTCCTAGGGCGTGCGCCGATGTCTGATCAAGGCTTGTTTGCGGGGAATCAGCGGCTACCGAGGTCCGCCGGTCTTGTGCCGGAGATTTCATATGTACTGTAGCGGCCCCACCGCAACTAATAGCAGCTCCGGGGCCGCCAGCTTCATCACTCTACCAAGTACGGATACGGTGTTGAACCTGTTCCCCAGGTCGTAAACTTGATTTGACTCGATAAATCTACTCCAAAAATACAGACTTATAATCCAATGGCCATGTACAGGGGGAATGTCCCATACCTAGACCAACGCCACGCTAAAACCAACAAGAAATGGGTGTATAACAACTGGGAAATAATGCTTCATCAATATCGTTTCCTCTCCTTCCCTCGAAGATTTACCTTCCAGAGGCAGCATATGCTCTTCGACTCGCACCACTTCTTCACCTCCCCTGAGCTCACCTCATCGTCGTACCCGGCCGTGGTGAGCGGTCCGCAGTTCAGCCACGCAGTAAGGTCTTCTAAGATGATTGGGTCGTACATAAGTATCTTCTCGTACCAAGACGGGTTATTTACGTCTTTGCACCTCGGCGCTGAAGTAACTGCCTTGGTAATATACTCAAAGGACGCCGGCTTGTCGCATGCCAACACCGCCATGGACAGCTCGGCATCGTCATCCATAGAGAGCGACAAGTCTACCGCTTGAGAAGGCGAGAATGTCTCGTCCGGCACTGAGGATGGTGAATCAGAGAGGGTTTCGAGCTCATCAGCATCCGACTCCGAGTCTGGTATTTCAACAACGACTTTGGAGCTCCTGGCCTTGCGCTTAGGAGTGCTGGGGACCAAGATCGTGGAACCCGGATGGAGCACAGTTGCGGCGCAGCGAGCTACTGTTTCTGTCAATGATGGCGTTGGTGCTGGTGAGTTTCGTGGTCTACCACGAGGTCGTTTTGGTGGGCTCATGGGCTGCTGTGCTGATGGTGGGGGCTCTTGCGGTTGTGACGCGCTCGCCAGGGATGATTCTGGCCTAGCAGGTGTCTTTGCAGGCGATCTTGCCTGTCCTGATTTCCCTGGTGACCGCACGCTTGGGCCAGCAAGCGTCGACGCCGATCTTGCGCCCGAGACAGCACCGGTCTGGTTCTTGCCTTGCCAGCATTTTTCAAGAAGTGCGATTCTGGCCCCTCTTTGGCGGATATTCTTGAAGCCATATGATGATACGGCGCTGGCTAGTTGTGCATCGGTGAAGAGTTCGAATTTAGGACGAGATGGCAGGTCTGGTGAAATAGGCGCCGCAGGCGTCAACTGCGTATCCTGTGAAGATAGAGCAATTCGCTGCTTTGCGGCTGGAGGGCTCGCACGTGGTAACTTTGGAGACTTTGGTGGTTTCAATGCATCCGAAAGGGTAAGAAATGAGTCGTCTTCAGGAGGGCTTGCTTCTTTGAAGTATCCAAAAGGATCAGCCTCTGCCTGGGGAACTGGCAAGTCTTGTGATGTTTGGGCCAGCTCCTGAATTCCAAGATCAAACAGATCTCCAGCTTCATCGCGAGCCGCCGCGTCCCAAAGCGAGCGCTTCGCTTCTGGGGGCTCGATGGCGTCGCTGTTGATTGGCGTCGAAAGTGTGATGTAATCGGTTTCATTCGAATTCTTCATAGCCGTAGCCAGATCTCGCAGGAATCTCGGGGACTGTTCTTGGGCCAGCTGGCTTGATGTTCCAAAAAGGAAGTCTTGATTTGCAACTTGACGCAGCGCAGCGCTAGGTGACAACAGCATTCGCTTAGGCGGCGCTTCTTTCTTTTTCCTCTTCTGTGGAGCTTTGGTGGTGCGTTTTCTCGCCGTCTTCTTCGGCGCATTGTTCTCTGTATCAGCTGCCGCATCCGAAGCCTGTGCTTTTGAGCTTCTAGTCCGGGTCTCCTCGTCTGTGCCAGGATCGGGCTGACTAGCAAGTTTGTATGCGGCAGTAGCCAGGCCCGTGATAGTTCGTGGTTTCTTTTTCGGCGCAGGCTTCTTCTTTGTATTCACGGGCTTAGCAGCAACCGAGTGACTCTGTTCGGAATTCGTCGATACCGCCTCAATCAATTTCCGTTTCCGAAAAATGCTACCATCTTCGTCCGATCGGGCAATTGACGTCGAGGTCGAAACATTGTCGCATTTGAAAGCTTCCAGGACTTTGGAAAGTGCGCCGCTGCGCTCCGTCGCCTCAGGGTCTAGTTGTGACATTGTTGGACTTAAATTCTCCGGCTCAGTCGCCTTTGGAGACTTCTGTTTCGGCGGGGTCCAGTCGAGGCGTCTCACGGGGGCTCGTTCTAAATTCAATGGTGCGTCTTGACATACAGAGTTTGTAATTGTATCGGCCTTTTCGGTTTCGAGAGATTCGAGCACTGGTTTTTTGAAGTTTTTGCTCTCCGTCGCAGCTGCATGGGGCAAGGCCGCCGGCGATGATGAGAGTAGTAGTGGTTGACGAGATGTATCTTGGTTGTCATGCCGTTGTATCATACTCTTCTTGTTCACAATGGACTGATGAGACTCTGCTTTGCTAGGTGTTCGATAGTGCGACTCATGGACCGAGGCTTCCAGCGTTGGCGACAGGTTCATGGTCTCCGGCCAGGGACCCGGTGCTGACATCTGCGACCGGCCACGGCGGGGTGTGGTAGGTGCGGTCGACTTGAAGATCGGCGGATTAAGCGGCTGCGATCCCAAGTTCTGAAGGGAGGGAAAATCTGGCGAGGAGGATATCACAAGAGGGGAAGTTGCGATTCGGTGCTTTGAAGGAGACGTCAGGAACATTTCAGGAGAAGCCATTGCGCCGGAAACATGTGCTCGAGTGCGCAGAGCGCATCTCGAGCCCGTCAGACGCAGCAGAATGATTTCTAAATTCTCCTCCGAGTGACACTTCCGACCGCGCGCTTGATACGGAGGCGGTTGCGTCGCGTGTTGCTCGTCATACGTTTCGCTGAAATGTTCAGGTCAAAGAAAGTGGAGCCCTGTCATTGCGAGGGGTTCCCGATTTGGCGTCGGCGCGACGGTACTCTTTGATTGGTCCAGCTTGGTCGCGAGACATCCACGTTATCACATGATGGGTCATGTGACGCACAAAAGCCCTCCCCGCCCCACGAAATTATTCAGCGCCAGGGCAAATTCTGAAGTGACGAATTGGCGAGGCTAATCCCACCAGTGCATCACGACCAATCTTTACACTCCCCGAAACAACCTCACAACACCGTCAAGATGGAGAACGACCGTGGCGAGATCGTCGATCTGTAAGACAACACCGAAACCCCCGAAGCAATACAATTCTACCATGCGGAAATCGATTGGCGAGGAAATGAATGGGCGAGTGCTAATGTTGCGACTTTGAACCACAGCTACGTCCCCCGCAAGTGCAGCGCTACCAACCGCATCATCAAGGCCAAGGATCACGGCTCCGTCCAGATCTCCATTGCCAAGGTTGACGAGAACGGTCGTGCCGTCCCCGGCGAGAACCACGTCTACGCCCTCTGCGGCTTCGTGCGCGCCATGGGCGAGTCCGACGACGCTATGAACCGTCTGGCTCAGCGCGATGGCCTGCTGAAGAACGTCTGGAGCGGTCAGCGATAAACGAGTTGCAAACGACGAAATGGGAAAAGGGAAAATAGAGAGTTGAAAGGTGCATAATACCCGAGCGCGACGGAACCGAAAGCACACAGCATGCACCGACAGCAATGCTAACGATCCGGTAGTTTTTGGGATTTGGTTTTCGGCAAAGGATGCATTTGTGGAACTTAGAGTTGGCCTGCATTTAGCATAATCCAATTCGAGGCGTCTCGGCTCGATTTCGAAGACACAAAAAAACAAACAAAAGAATTACGAATCTACCCCAACGCATGTGAGGCTTGGACGTGATTGTGGATATGTGACTGGTGTTGTACGTCCGGCTGGAAAAGTCTCCTCTCGCACCGGCTGGCTCACTGGGCTCACCGCCTGTGACGCTGCTCTCCATTGCTGAGGATTCTGAGGCTACTCCGATAGTCTCCAAGCCGCAGATTATTCTTGGCCTTCAAAAAGCCGTGACAGATGAGACTGCTTGTCATGGTACAGATACGGGTCAGACATGCCTCGAACTGATATTTGTTCCAGATCGAACTGATGACTATTCCTGTTGCAAGACTAACTTCCAATCTGGGATACTCCTACAAGTACTATTACAGATGCGAAGTATCAACGACCTCGCGATGATTCTACGCCACGGCCGCTTTGTAGGCAGCCAGAGCCCGTGCCCGGCATTCACTGTGTTCGACAATCGGCTTCGGGTAGCCGGCCTTCTTCGCCTTGTCCCCCGCGCCGCGATTGTATGGGTCGTGAATCTGCTTGTTATCCAGCTCCTTCAACTCCGGCACCCACCTGCGGATGTACTCGCCGTCGGGGTCGAAGCGCTCGCTCTGCCGGAGCGGGTTGAAGATGCGAAAGTACGGCTGCGGATCGACACCGACGCTGGCGCTGAAGCCCCAGCCGCCGTTGTTGCTCGCAAAGTCGCCGTCGACCAGGTGCTCCATGAAGTGCTTCTCGCCCATGCGCCAGTCAATGAGGAGGTCCTTGGCGAGGAATGACGCCACTATCATGCGCGGTCGGTTGTGCATGTAGCCCGTGTGACTGAGTTGGCGCATCGCAGCGTCGATGATGGGGAACCCGGTCTTGCCTTCGCACCATGCTTTGAAGTGATCTTGGTCGTAGGACCATTCAATGTCTGCATAATCAGGCTTGTATGGCTTGTTCATGCTGAGAATTGCATGTTAGAAAAATACACCAAATATTGTAATTTGTGCACTCACCAAACATGTGGCCATCGAACCAGTACGTGACGGTAAAAGTCTCTCCATGCCACTTCGCTGATCCAAACTTTGATGCCTTCGAGGCCGCCGTCCAGCTTCTTTGACTTGTTCCTGTCTCTTGCGGTACGCACGCAGGTTCGAGCACTGATCGTGCCGCTGGCCAAGTGCACAGAGAGGCTCGACGTGCCGTCTTGACTCGGCAAGTTCCTCTGATCGCTATATTCGCCAATGCGCTCCTCGCAGAACTTGTCCAGGCGGGCCTTGGCCTCATGCTCGCCGCACGGCCACAGGGAGTTGAACCGGGTTTTCTCTTCTGCTGACAGTTCCTTGCCCTTGGGTGCCGCTGGAATCTTGGAGTCGAACAGTTTCTGGAACCTGTTTCGTGCGGATGCAGGATTGTTGGGCGGAGCATCGTGTAGCTCCAGCAATTCAAGATTCGAGTGAATGTGAGCCATCCAGGAGCGATACCAGGGCGTGTACACGGCGTACTGGTTGCCCGAGCCGCTACGAAGCTGGCCCGGGGGAACCACACACGTATCGTGGATGGCCTCGAACGACTTGTTCTTTTCGGCGAAAAGGTGTAGGAGCTTGGTCTCGCGACGCAGCTCATCGACTTCATACTCCAGGTTCGTGCATAGGTGGTTGCAGCCCCAAGAATCGAGCAGCTCGAGCACGCGAGCAGGTATCTTGGCGCGCTCTTCCACCGTCTCGATGTATAGAGGAATGTCCAGTTTGGCCAGGTCATCTTTTAGTACTTGCAGGGTGCGAAGAATGAAGTCAACTCGCACTGGCGCCCTGAGATGAGCCTCGAGATCCTGGGGACTGAGCAGGTAGAAGCAGAGCAGCGGAACACTCATTTCCTTTGCCTTTTGAGCCGCCAGAGCAAGCGAGGTGTTGTCAGCGCAGCGCAAGTCACTCTTAAACCAGTGAGCAACAGCTTCGCCGTTGGCGGCATTCTTCATCGCCTCCGCCGTCTCCCGCTGGGCTTTCACCAAGTTCTCCATTGGACGATGGAGCGCCTCTTCAGCATAGGCGCGCGCTCTGGTGTTGCTCATCTCTGGCGGGTAGTAATCTCGGAGGACGATTCCGTGCTTTTCGGTGACATCAGCTGCGTGGTGTGGTTCCCGAAGCTCACGATCGTATGCCGTCGTCGTCCTGGCCTTCTTGTCCCCGTTTGCGGTAGCTGCAGGAGCAGCGCTAGCTTTTCGTTTTGTTGCGCGGGGTGCCATTGTACTGAAAGGTCCAGGTATTGGTGATTGTGGCCGTAAAGACGTTGAGAAGATTCCGGCAACTCGAGATGCGAAAAGGGTCCGTCGCGTCACTGGCCAGAAACAGAAGTGCATGTATGTAAGCGGCGGGTGATGTGAGAAGGCGCGCAATGGCAAACCCAAACGCGACTTAACCAATGAAAAGATGAAGAAAATACCCAACGTTTATATATGATGTCAAATACGAAGTTTGGGCATGGGGGCTGGATGAGTGCGCACTTTTCACCCCTTGGAACGATATGAGTGATCTGGTTGCCAAGGGGCCCGATTTCGCATGCGTCATAGCAAGACTGGAGATCGGAAGCGATCTACCTACCGTTAATGAGTTGGCTGTCAACCGTCGAGTTTAACTAGCAGCCACAGACACCAATTCACAAACAAGCGACGAGAGTCGATGGTGGAAATGAAGGCAGAAAAAAAGAAGAAAGGAAAACGCCAAACGCAAAACGTGCTGATCTATCGCCGATAGTTAAAATAATAAAAAAAAAAAAAAAAAAAAAAAGAGGACTCGAACCGGCAATCTCAAGATTTCGAGGAATAGAAGCTATGCTAATGTTAGCTTTCTGTAAGGAACAACGACAAGATCTAAGCGGGGTACGCACTCTTGCGCCTTAGCCATTAGGCCAAGGGGGCCGTTGTTACCCGACGACGGCTAATTTTGTATTATTAGCCCAAAGCAGCGTAACCTAAATTCTAGCTGACCCATTACATTAGTTGAGTTGTTTTTTGATGGGTAAATTAGATGCACTCAACTTCAATATTTTATTTCGATATTCCTTTCAATTTTCTAAGCTCGCTGCGGAGCTGGCTTCTCTATCCGGACTTGAGTGTTGCCTGGACATGGTCGGGATGGTGGTGCGCAGGTACCCAGGTCCGGCTGTGTCAGATGATGCCGTAGGTTTTTAATTGCTTATAGCATTTAATGTCGAAAAGTCTCCGTAACATTATCTTTCAGTACGTATGAGAAGTTACTGTTCTGTTACCATTTGCTACGCGGGTCTAGGTTGTAGCTCGCCGTGTTCCGAATTAGGCTCGCCGTGTTCCGAATTAGGCTCGCCGAAACTACGCCACGCTGGGTAGAAGATAATGGAAACACCGCCGTTCTTAAATTAAGCAAGGCTAGAATACTGAGCATCTGTTGTAATAATGAGCATTGTATTTAACAATTGACTTATAGTGGAAACTGGGGCATCTTTGCTTATCAGCGCCATCAGACAATAATTTACACTCGACGTGACGAGTCTTTCGGAGCCCAGGGTTGGATCCTCGGAGCCCAGGGTTGGATCCTCGGAGCCATCGTCAAAGCTGCGGCGCCAATTACAGCCCAGTTCGACACCTTTTGATTGCATCACAAAGCGAATAGCTAGTATGGTCGAATTAAAGCTGGAAAGAGTCAGCCACCTGACGCAAAAAGATATTGAGGGGCTGGACTTTAGCTTCACGATCGAGGCCGAAGTTGCACGGCCCATCAGCCAACTGGAGAATGACTTGCCGTTTCAAACACTCCCGCTGCCAAAGCGTGTCAAAGACTTTGGCTTCGACGAAGACGAACTGCAGGGCGGCGATGGCGTGAACAAGGCCATCTTCGTCCTCAGAGCCGAGGATGGTCGCGTGTACGGATATGCTGTCGCGTCCAGAAACTGGAACAGGATGGTCTCGCTCGACTTCATCGGGTTGGATGCCAGCGTGCGAGGCTCCGGCAACGCGCTTCGGCTTCTGGAGGCCGTCAAGACGTGGACGCGCGAGATCGGCCTCGGCGCGGTTCGTATTGAGGGCCAGTCGAACAACGTCGCGGCGTGTCGCTTCTACAAGAACGCCGGCCTCGTGTTTGCGGGCTACGACGAGCACCTCTACAGCGCAATCCCAGAGAGTAGAGGCGAGGTTGCCGTATTTTTCTACGCGGTGCTGGACTAACGAAAGCCACCGGGGATATTGTTGGGTGGACGGTCGGGGTTTGAATGATGGATATGCTCAGTTTTAAATATATATATTAATTAAACATTTTATGAATTATGTTCAAGGTTTATTGAAGGCTGCTGCTTCTCTGTTGTAGCCTCATTGTTAACGTTGTCTGCAGCGGGTGGGCTCAGCCAGCACTCACCACTGAAGGATCCCTGGAGGCCCCCCCCCCAATTGCTCTCTGTTGGGTCTCGAGTCGCGCTTCTGCCTGCATCTCATCCACGACACATTTTTACATCAGCATTCTTACTCGTCTCTAGCCGGGGCAGACCGAGAGCCTCGTCGTCCATTTATAATCTTTTATAAAGACCCTTTCGAACACCCGGGCACCTCTCCAACCGGACCGGTTGCGCCTCACCAGCGTTATCAGCAAAAATCGGCAAGCGCGTCAAGGCTGTCCGATCGGCTGCCTGTTGCTTCGGCCTCAGCCAACTACAGAAGCGCTCAGAGCTCTCGGAGAGGGTGCAATCTAACGTGAGGGTGTCACCACCACACCCTCACTCGGCCTTTAGTCCTGCGAGCTTGCCATCATTATTAGCCACGCCGTAAGCCTGCTATGGCTGGTTCAAAGACATGGCGCCCCCTGACGTTGTCGGAAGATGGCGGACTGCCTCCATTGCTGGTCGCATTTGAGACGAAATCTTCCGAGTACTCTATTCAGGTTACAGACATGGCTCATGTATGGACCGAGTCGATGGAGAGAAAGGCCATATGCATCAGAGCATGGGGTGAGAACACGAGCATCGACCCGAGCGACACGCCGGAGAATATGGGCAAGTTCCTCCAGACACTCCAGCTTGCGCTGAACGGTATGGAATCTGGGAAAGATGAAGCTACGGTTACCCTCTCCCCAGGCCCTTTGAATGACGCGGGGGAGGATGGCTTACAGTTAGTCGCCACATGCCCACTTCCTGGCTTTGAGCCTCTCAAATGGCCATTTTATCTCAAGAAATCCTCTTCGGTTACTCTCACAAACGACTTCGCAATCCCTCTTGTTGAGAATCTATACTCCAAGAGTCGTCAGGTCGACATGCTCATACAGGCGTTGAAGCATAAAGACCATGTGATTGCCAAGCTCTCCGACAAGCTTGAAGCTACCGGCACCGGCTTGGAGCATGTATTCACCGCGCTTTCAGGCCGCAAAAAGGTGACCCGAGAGGCGGCAGATGGCAAGATCAGAGGTCTGGCCCCGTTCAATGAACGCAAGATGCACGATGATCTTCAAAACGACGCCGATCAACCCTGTGACGTGATAGATCTAGTATCAAGAGTATTTGGCGGCAGGGCTGCGTTATCTGATATGTCGATGAACTTTGCATCAGGAAGCCAAGAAGGCTGGTGGCGTGGCTTCAGTAGCACATCAAGTCTACCGCATCGCGCTGCTCCCGCAACCGAGGCCCAGGCTGTAGCGCCAGCTGACACTGCGGTGCCATCCTCACCCCCAGATGCCAACGATATGACGATGAGGGAAGAGGATGACGATGATGGTGACGACGAGTTCCAGGTTCAGTCAACCCCGCCACGCCTCAAGCCAAAGAAGGGCGAGGCTCGGTCGAATGACGCTACATTGTCAAACCAAGAGTCGCCTTCAAGAGCCGTCAAGGAGTGGCACAAGTCTTCTCAGGAGCCGAAGAGAATCGGCCGCATCGGCGCATCAGGGGGCAAGAAACAGGTACCACTACCCTCGCCTCCTCCCAAGGCAGCCAGCCCTCCTCCGTCGCGCCCTGTCACCAAAGCAGCCGCGGAAGGTGGTGACGACGACGAGACCGCCTCAGAGACAGCCAGTGACGTCGACGAGACCGCGTCTCTCCCCGACGAATCCACCGCCCCGTTTCCCCCCCCTCCAGCCAAGGCATCGCCAGCAAAGAAGAGCGGTCTGGGCCGCATCGGAGGCAAGGCGAAAACGTCGCTGCATGATAATGCAAAGACAGCAGCGCATGCTGACGACACACCTCCTGCAGCAGCAGCAGCAGCAGAAGGAGAAAAAGCAAAGGGGGAGGCCGGGTCTGTGGTAACAGGGCCACAGAAGAGGCTGGGTGTCATCGGGAAGCGGATTGGGGGCACCAAGGGCGGCGACGACGACGTGCAGCGCGGTCGTACAGCCGCTCGCGGTGCGTCGGCGGCGGAGGCTGGGACGCAGAGGAAGCAGGAGACGTCGCAGGAGCGCGCGGACAGGAAGCGGGAGGAGCTGAAGCGGGAGCTGGAGAAGAAGGCGGCGGCCGGACCGGCGAAGAAGAAGAGGAGGTTCTGAGGGCCCGTTGTGAATACTACTAGTCAGTGGAATATGCCATCTAGAAGATATCTCTCAATCTTGTCTATATCACTGTCGTTCTGCTGGGGCACAGACTGTCACGTTCTGTAGGCAACATGACAACTCATTCTCGGGTTTCTGACAAGAGCGCCGCGAGTTGACAGTCGGGCCATTCCCTGAGCAAACCATCGTTGCGTGGCATGGTCAGACAAGATGGACACGCGCGAAAAGAGCTGTTCATACTTCCTCTCCTGCTGATTACTGCCGATGTGATACAGCGAAACTTTCTTCTTCTACACCGTCCATTACGTGAAACGCCATCTCTGGGCTCTCTTACTCATACCCCTAGCCCCCCCTCCCCTCGATCTCACCTACCACAGCCGATTTTCATCTATACACGGGCCGAATACCATCATGCACCTCTTCGCCTAGTGAAACTGGCCGCTGCTGGGGGGGGGGAGAAGGGTGTGGTGTCACGGGTGAGAAGTGATGAGTGAGGCACGAGGAAGATGCACGACACACGGACGCGTGGCTGGGGACAGAATTGGGAGAGAGAGATGGATGGAACAAGTGCCGAATTGCCACTGCAGCGTCGCGTAACCGTTACGCCTTGCTCATGACTTGATTTCCTTTCATATTATGCTAAATAAAGATGACAACTCAAGTTTGATGGAGACACGAAAAAAACAAGTTCTTGGCGGGGGGGGACGCGCTTCTACATTTGGCCTCTTGTAGAACCGCACCTTGTCCCTGTTGGAGATGAAGTTTTGTAGACCGAGCGTTGGACCGCGATGGTCGTCCTACGGGTCGAGAACTTTGTACAGAGCTGGCACGAGTCTATGCTCTTTGTTCAACGAGAGACGAAGAGTTGCTGGGACTTGGTTCATTCCCGAGAAGGAAGCAACGTGTTTGTAGAACTTTGAAAGGTGATACTACCTGAGGCAACGTCGTTCTCGACGGGGTTGCATGGCAGGATTGAGAACAGAGAGAGAGAGAGAGAGAGAGAGAGAGAGAGAGTCGATCGGCAGAGGTTTGTTTGAATGTCTCAGGAACGACGAACAGTTTCTTTGTAGGCGTTCATCTGCGCGCATCTATTTCGAATAGTCCATTCCACGTATTCTCGGCCAATCGGCCACCTCAATCGCTCCGTCTCCCCCATCCCATCCACGCTCACCCACGTCTCACTTTATTTGTTTCCGGACGACAACCGACGGAGAATGGATAGGGGGAAGGTTACTGCGAAAGGCCTGGGCCAATGCTCTCTCGCCTCGCTTGCTCTTACTTACTCACTGCCTGCCTGCCGTTCTGGAATGGCCGAGATTCCAAATAAAATTTTGGCAACGACAGCCGACAGCATGCAGGGACGCAGCATGCAAGCACGTACAGGTCGCGGCCCTGCACATAAGGCACGGTATGCAACCATGCGGCCCTCCGTCTTAGCGAACGAGCAACTTGGCGGGAAAGAGAGGGCTTGTTGATTCCGCGCACGACGGGAGTCGTCTCGCAGCCGTCTTTGTCTTCTTCTTGTTTTGTCTCGTCTCGTCTATGCAAACCTACAGCCCTTGTTCCGCCTCTCTCTCCCAGGGAGGGCGTAGGTGAGGTCAAGGTTTTTTTTTTTATTACCGATATGGCATCCCGCAGCCAACTGCGAGACAAGATGGCGCCATCACATTGGAACCGCGCGGGGGAGGTCGGTGAGAGTGAACGATGGGACGACGGAAACATCATCACTGACCATTCATCGCCGTAGTCTCGGGCGCCGGTCTAATGACAGTCAAATCTGCGTGGACGCTGCGGGCGACTTGTGCTTGTGTGTATGTCTCTGTGCGTGTATTATTGGGCAACTGAGGTTGGAAATACTCAACTACGGGCGTTGTTGATCATGTTCAGCCCTGATGAGCCCCAGCTCCGACCCTGTAGCGAGTGTCTAGCCGAGGGAGAGTGTGTTTGTGCGTGCTGTGGTCAGGCGACGAGTAAGGCGACGCGCCCGTTGACGACGACGAGAGACAGCCGTCGGCCGTATCGACCGACCTGGGAGTGGGAGTGTCGGCGGCGACGAACCTGGAACCTTGTTCATGTTATGGATTCCCCATCCCCATCCCATGTTTTATGGCTGAGCTGAGGTACCCTGTTTGTCTTGTCTTTCGCGGGCTGCTGGTAGGCGGCTGTTCCGATCTCCTGGACCATCATCATCATCGTCATCATCGTCAAACACACCATGACACCGGCCCCTGGCCCTGGTCAATTCTATATTTTGCTTTTTGCCTCGACCCGACGGCGCGGGCGCGGCCTGGTCAGCAGCCTGTCTGTCTGGGTTGCCTTTCTGCATCTTGCAGACTCGCATCCCCCCCTCCCCCCCCGAAAGACAAAGCTGGGAGGGGGGTGGATGTCGCAGCTGCGGGCAGCCTTCTTCTGTCGAGTCGACGCCCCAAAAATGCATGTAGTGTTGGCAGATCACCAAGGCCCCCCCCTCCCCGTCCCTTTCGCGCATCGTCCCCCAATCGTTGCAGACAGACGACAGACCCCACGAAGAAAGTGAGGCGGCTGATGGGCGAGCCGTGGCAAATGGGGCCCTTGACAACCCTGGTGGACAGCTGCCATGCCAGGTTCTCATCCTGAAACAGTGGCACGCGCTCCATGCTTCTTTTCTTTATTTCTTATTTCTTATTTATTTTATTTTATTTTTTGTCCCTTCTCCCTGTCTCTGCTGTCTGTCCCTGTCCCTGCCCCTGTCCCTGTCCCTGTCTCTCTGATCTGTATCTGTACCCTCTGTCGCTTCTCTTGAACCCCTTGGGGGCGATGGGAAGGGTAGGTTAATTAGTAGGCAAACGGGCAATCGGTATCTCCCTCGCCCAAATATCCCGTGACGGCTTCAAGGTCAAGACATAGTTCCGGACGCACACACACACGCACACACACAAACAACGACAACAACTACAACCGCTTTCTCTCTGTCTCTCCGTCTTCCGTCTCCGGCGGCTTGCCTCTGCGTATTTTTAGCACCACCACCACTTTTTCTTTTTTTGAACCAGCCGTCTTTTTCGCGAAAAAATCACGAAACTCCCCCCTCGCCCCCGCCGCCCGCGCCATCATCATATCGTCGGCGTTGTTGGTATTGTTCTTTTTTCCTATTCAGATCTAAAACTAGCCTAGCTTGATGGCTTGATGGGCGATGGGTTCATTCTCCAAGTTAAAGTCGCCGCCGACGCAACACCACAC